TATTAATAAATTATTTGTAAATAATAAGGATTTAAGTTTATAGATTAGTTATATTATTATTTTAGATAATAAAGGATCTATTAATTAAGATAATAAAATCTGGATCATTGGAAATATCATTTATTGGTTATTTATTAAATATAAGTATATTATTTATAATATTCTTGTTAATAAAATCTATGATATGGTATAGGGTTTTGATATTAGTTATATCATCTATTATATTATTAATATAATTCTGAAATATCTCTTATTTATTAAGATCTTTCTTGTTTTATATATCAATTCTTTCTCTTTATATTAATGTTTGATATAGATGGGTAATATTAACAAAAAAAAATTAATAATTAATTTAATAACTTTGAAGCAATTATATAAAAATTAAAAAATAAATAATATCCAATAGATTCATGGTAGTTATAACCCTATAAACACCATGATGAAGGCATCTCCAAATGAAGTTATAAAAAGGCTAATAGAAAATAACCAAATTAATTTATAATTAGAAGGATAAGTAAAACACATAGCTAATAACAAATTCATAATCAATTAATTACGAAAAGAAAATAAAGTGAATGATGGTTATATAGATGAAGGATATATAATCTATTTAATCATCAAGATTTTTTTTAAATAGGTTATCCTTCTTACCTACTCATATAGATAGATCTTTTTTCCTTAGATAACTTAATACATATCATCTCATCCCCATTACTTTGCTTTACTTGTTATATTGTTTTTCATTTACATACATACCTACTAACAGATTTCTTATTATTATTGATTATATTTAGGCTCTAAATCTTGGTTAGTTCCTTTTTTCCCTGATTTTTTATTATTTTGGAATTTTTTTTTTTATTATATCTTTTATATAATTTATTATTATAAAGAATTACTTTGGTTATATATTTATTAATAATAATAGGTTATTCTTCTTTAGAAAATTTATCTTTTATCTAGATAATTATTCCTTTATAAAAATAATTAAATTATATATCTTTAAGTAATTATCTTATAGCTATAAGTTATTTAAATTCTGTTATATAAAGTATAATTTATTTTTTTTATTTAAGGTAATGGATGGTCTTTTATATTTTTTCTTTTTTAAATGGTTTATTAAACATTATTTATATTTTGTTTTCAAAATGTTTATATAGTTTAAAGATATATTAAGATTCTTTTAATTCTTTTTTGATAATATTAAAATGGTTTTTTAAAATAGATTAAAATTATATAAAAGTAATTTCATTTAAGAACTGAATAATAATAAATATCTATTGTTCTTTTTATAATAAATTTTCTTTATAAAAGAATAAATAAAGTTTTATATATATAAATTAATCTTTAATATTTAAAGTTCCATTATAAGTTAATAAATTTATTAATTTATATCTTTTAATAAATAAAAAAAGGATTATTATTTTTTCTTTTTTTAGTTAAAGATCTTTATTTCTTTTTTTTTTCTTATCTTTTCCATTATTATTATTATTATTATCTAGAGGTCTAGGGGATATTAAAGATTAGAAAGATGCCAGTTGATAAAAGGTTCCTGATAGGGATCCCTTAAGGACCTTTCTAAATTTAACCTTCTTTAAGGCTAATTCTTTTTTAAACCTTTTGACCTTTTTAAAGGTAATTATTATTCTGATTTATTAATTAAGGATCTTTTTTTCTTCCTGATTATCTTTTCTTATTTTGATATTGATTTTTTCCTATATTTCTATTTTTGGGATTTATAAGTATGTCTTAGGAGGTATTATTTTGTTAATAAATTAAAATATTTTCTTTATTGGTAGTAGATCTTAAATAATATAAATAAATATAGATATTCTGGATAGTGATGGATTATGTTATTATAAATTATTTAGATCTTTATTTTGGAATTTTTCTTTATTTAATTTTTCTTTATTTTCCAGGTTAGGGTCTATTAATTTGTTTTATATCCAATTATGATATGTCTTAAAAGGTAATTCTTGGAAGGTATAAAGATTTTCTATTTTATTTTTAAAAATTAGTAAAATAAGAAAAGGTTTGATTAATAATGGTAAAAGAATATCTTATAGATGATTCATACCATTTCTTAACCTAGTATTAATATTAATTAAAAAGTTATCAAAATGTGACAAACTTATTTCTTAAAAAGATATAATTGTTATTAGATTAACTAATCTAAAATTTCTTAATTTAAAGATAATAATATTAATAATAGGTTAAGTAATTAAGTTAATTCTATTTGTTAAAAAAGTTTAAAATTTTTTTATTATATTTAAAAAAATAATTTTAAATTAATAATTAAAGAATTATAAAAAGAATAATTAAATATATAAGAAATATTTATAATTATATAATTATTCCTTCCCTTTCTTTTATCCTAAAGTTATTATAATATATTATGATATATTATGATATATTGTAATGTGTTATAATATATTGTGATGTGTTGCATCTCAGTATATCAGATTGGAATTTAGCCGTGATAGGTTGCCTATGCTTCATCCTTCGTGGTCCAACAAGGGTCCCTCATGGCTGGTTTGTAATAATAAGGCTAAGATAACTAATTAAAGGAAGTCTTTATAAAAACAATAGAAACTATATATTAAGGCTTATATAATAATTTTTAATGATCTCTAAGAATATTATAGAGATAAACAAAGAGGAGGTTTCTAAGAATATTATAGAGATAAATAAAAAGGAGGTTTTTAAAGGTTTCTATTTAAAAAATAAAGATTACTTAAATAAAATATATATAAAAAAGAAATCTCCTATATATTTAATTATTTTTTTATAATTCTTTAATTATTAATTTAAGATTTATTTTTTAAATATAATAAGAAGATTCTAAACCTCTTTGATAAACAGAACCAACTTAGTTACTTAACCTATTATTAATATTATTACCTTTAAATTAAAAAACCTTGGATTAGCCAATCCAGTAATGATTATACCTCTCTAAGGCATAGGTTCGTTACAATTGATAAAAGATTAAAATTCACATCTTTAATAAAAAAGTTAACGAAAAGATTATCCATAGATATAACATTAATTTATATTTCAATAACATATTATTATTCCTTTATTAATCTCTGCTTTTTTATTAAATAATTCCTTTCCTTAACATTATTTAATTTTATATCCTGTTATAATAGTTAAAGGTTATAATGTTCAAGGAGATCCTTTTACTAATATAATTACTATAATTTATTTATTTTTGTTAAAATCTTTAAATGGAGTTCCTTTTAAAGATAAACTAAGTCATCTTCAGCATCCCAACGCTCCTTTTCTAAACATTCCTAGGCTGCAGAAACCTGCTCAAAGGAATTCATTTTAATAATATTATATTACTTATATTAATGATAAATATAATAATTATAATACATATTATCAAATATAAGGAAACAATTATCTTCCTTATAATTAATATAATATCACAAACTAATTTAAGAACAACCAATTAAGCCATTAAATAAAAGCTTCTTAATAACCAATTAGTTATTATTCTTTAATTTTATATTATATATATTATCCTATAATTTAAAACATAATATTATATCTTTTTTTTATAAGATATGTTCCTATGCCATACCATATGAGAAGAACTAGGCCTCATACCTCTTGGTATATATATTATATTATAAAATAGATAAAGCCTTATACCTATATATTAAAAATATAATATAAAGAAACTCTAAGATTCCAAGCTAATGATACCCTTATCAACTAGGCCTCCTTGCCTGCTTATTATCAATATTACCTAAAAGCTTGGAAAGTAATAAAGCTTTTATCTAATAACTATGGGAATTGAACCTACATCTCTTACTTTAGCAGATAAAATTGGTTATTATATTACAAATTAATTTAGGGATAACCAGTTAAGCCATAAAATAAAAGTTTCCCAATAATTAATTAGTTATTATTCTCTAATTTTATATTATATATGTTATCCCACAGCTTGGAACGTAACATATAATTATTATATAATAAAATAAGAAGTTTATATCTTTCTATATAATTAACATAAACTTTATATTCACCATATTAATTTAGATAAGAATATATAATTAATTTTAAAACAAAGGAAGATATATTAAATAAAATAAAATAAAAAAGGAAAGGACCTACCAAGAAGAGGAAATTTTTAAGATAAAGATTTTAGGAAAGGAAGAATAATGTCATAAACCAGGAATCCCGCGCCTGCTTCTGAAAGATGAGTAGGGCCTGATATAACCAATAATAATATAATCTTGGATATTTGGATATATCGATCAACAACATATCCAATATAAAGAACACATCTAATACATCTAATATAAAGAATATATCTAACATATCTAATATAAAGAATACATCTAACATATCCAATGTAGAAAAGGAAGGAGGAATAACTATATAACCATAAGATGTTTCCTATATATCTAATCATTCTTTTTATAACTCTTTAATTATTAATTTAAGATTATTCTTTTGAGTATAGTGAGAGGACTCCAAGCCTCTCTGACAAACAGAACATACTTAACTACTTGACCTATTATTGATACTGTTACCTTCAAATCAAGACACCCCAGATTAGCTAATCCAGCAACGACTATACCTCTCCGAGGCATAGGTTCGTCGCAATTACTTAACGCTTCAACCACCCAGGCACCATACTGTATATGGATATAATTTCACCTAAGTTACTATTAAGATATATGTCAAATTGGGTGGGACCGGTAAGCGTTAATTTACCGATGCTGAACTTTCACAACTAAATGGTTTGTAATGTGTTGTTGTATTATGTCTCAAGTTGGCAGGGCCCGAACAAGACGTACACAAGAGATAAGGCATGTATTATTAATGATGTTGTATCAAGCATTACTGCAGGTAGTTATATCGAAATCCCTCTTGGAAATTATCACGCTATATATGGAATCAAAGCACAATTTGCCTACGAATACATAATTTATGTATGATAGCTCGACGTTGAACATATAATATATATCTTCATGCAAGTTAATAGAATCGGGCGATTAGGAGTTCCTCGATGTCTACTTCAAACCGTATTGTTCCTTGATAAAGACAGACGCCCTTTCAGCCAACGCATATATAGTCGACTGTATATTGGCCGTGGGAAGAAGTGGCACCGCACTGGCATCAACAACTCGTAAGTTCGCCGTGCCATAGACCTTAAGCTTCGGATCCAGAACTCCACCCTTATCACGAGGCAACATGGAACAAGTGCCTGCTGGATGCCACATGGTGGTGGCCCGTAGACGGACGTAGTTCCGTGCACCATTAAGGTCATTGAAGTCGGAAAGAGATCGTGATGGTGTAATAGGTTGCTTTAAAAGTTTGGTTAAGGGTAATGATGCTGCTAGTTTGTGTAATTCTAGCGTGTGCTCAGCTAGGATCTCGAGATCCACAGGGTGAGATAGGTATTTTGGGTCAATAATAGGGTCGTCCTTAATCTTAGACGAACGAATGTGGACATTCCCGCGTGATAACGGATGGCTAAGTGCGGCTATGAAAGAGATATGGTTGCCTGGAAGTACGTCTATGGTAATTTGACCGGTCTCCGGATCAGATAGGGTTGGGATTTGGTAAGGAAAAGTGAAATAGACACCTGATGGTTGTTCTGGATCGAGTAAGGCATTTTCTGCTACTTTATAGTAGGCCTGTGCCCGAGATAACTCCTGGTTTGATAGGGTTTGAGCACTAGCACGGCTACTCTGAAGCAGTTGCTGAAGCGATTTACTGCCTCCGGGCCGACTCAAGCTGACAGTAGATACGTGAGCATTTGTAAGAAACCCTGTAGAGGTCAACGGACCCGTTCTATTATTTTTTAGTTCTTCTACAGCCTTTCGAAGCGCCTCAGCTTCTTGTCGTATAATACCATCCTTGGTTTGGGTCGTATCCAATGCTTTGAAACCCATCTCACAAACAAGATGGTCTTGGAGGTTTTCTCCTACGTGGGGAAGATCGATAACCACCGGAATATTATATCGCTCGAGGATAGTCTTATCTCCAATACCGGATAGTTCAAGTAGCTTGGGTGATTGGCAAGCCCCGGCGGCCAGGATAACTTCCTTTTTAGCCATGACGGTTTTTATTCGTGATTCATGTTGGTATTGAACGCCGGTGGCCTTATTCGACACGGTGAAAAAAATCTTTTCCACGACAGCGTTAGTTAAAACTTCAAGATTGCTGCGACCCTTCGCGAGGTCGTAGTATGTGTTAGCCGAATAGGATCTGGTGCCGGTTACTGGTTCCACACTTGATTGATTGATAAATCCTCCAACAGAATCTTTTATCCAGGGATTATGAGGCATAAGGTTCCCCGCCCTCTTAAAGGCCTCTATCCACGCCTCCCCGAGTTGATTTGGGCTTTCAGGAAAAGAAAGTTGGATTGGACCATCTGCCTGATCATCTTCCCAAGCTTCTTTGCCTAATGCCTTCTTCTGAATTTCAGGAATGGTAGGAGGGGTGTAAGATTTGATGAAAAAGGGGCGAAACGTTTCCCAATCCCAGCCCTCGTTACCCAAGGCACCCCAGGCATCAATTATTTTCTTGGTTGGCGGCGAGAAGTTTTGCGCATTCAGTGCGCTTGAACCACCAAGGGTTTTGCCTTGGCTCAGAGTTATTTGTCTACCTTTCATACTATTCTGCGAGTTTTATGTGAGAATCAGGTTGATAATTCAAATTGCCTAGAGGAATTCCTACCTGGGGCTCTGTCTTGAAGCTCCAGTCGATATCCGATCCTTGTAAGGCTAGCCATGAAACTCCAAGCTTAACTTTTTCGTCGTCACTCGTATCCGAGCCGGCCTCTAGGACAAGAACTTGTTGACTAGCATCTTCTGAGAGGCGAGCAGCGAGAACTAATCCAGCAGTACCACCGCCAATAATAACGAAGTCGTACTGATTTGATGACATGATCAAGGTTTCAACAGCGTGTATAAGGGGTGGAGGGGTTTGGCTAATTATCTAAGTAACTATGGTATGCTTGTTTCTCTGGGTCAATAGGAATAGTGCTGCGACTTGATATCTAAGAAGTTATGGATTTGACGAGGTGGCGACAAGTGTATTAGTGATGGTTTAGAGGGTTAAGTAAACTTCACTGTCCGGATGAGAGGGAGTACGCAAGGAATGGTCGCGCCCTCGGAACCTCCTTTTGTAGCTTGTGTGGCACTTGTTATATGCATCTATCTACCTAGCATGCTAAAAACGGAACCGTCGCATTCTAACGCCGCACGCTAGTCCTTTTGAAGATATTCTGGTCTGATTGAGAAGTGTTATATTGGATCACTCTTTGCGGTGGCCCCGGCCTTTACGTCGTGGTCAGGATGATCCAACTGGGTATGGGATTCCAATGAACACCTTAGTGCTACAGAGAAGACTAACTTCATGATTAATCGCCGAAATTCTTATATAACTCTTTCCCTCCGTGATGCCGATTGAGGTCGTACCTAAGTGGACGGAGGGGATCATGGTACATTTAAGCAGTATTACAGGGTTCCTCTTCCAACAAAAGAAACAACCCGACAAGTACATTACCGCCAACATACGTACCTAGGTATATCCTATTGGTGACAAGCCAGTGGGGAGCTTTGGGAATGTTCCACCTTATATTACACCAACAGAATTCTTGGCAATCCTGTATCCCGATCGTAGTCTCATAGAACTAATAGCCGTTTTCTTAAGATACTCTTATCAATGAATGTAGAAGGAAAATTATGAAAAGATCGTGGCTATTACGTAGTCGCGGCAACTATGTTTCAATAAGTCCCGCCCCCATTTGAATACTGCTCAACAAGCCTTCAAGCCTTTCATTTACTGGTACCAACCGTGACGGTCGCGTATAGGAGCTGGATATTTCCTATCTAGATGCGTCTCGACCCCGGGGGGATTAGCTTCATGTTGCTATAATCGCGTACATGACTCGAAACATCACCAATCGCGCCAATACTGCTACCCACAGGTATTGGGTATCAAGGATACAAAGAGGGACTTAATAAAGTAAACGTAGGTACCGTCGCACAACAGCTTCGATGCAGTGCGGCCTTTCCATATCTGGGTTTCCATCCTACTTCCACCCTACCAAAATGGCTCATATGTTTCCCAAAGTACCTAAACAGAGCCTGGCGTTGGTCTAAGGGGCTAGTACAAGAAAATCACATCCCCCTTTTTTCCATAGTGTCCCTAATCCGTTATTCAGCCAATCATACCATCAGATTTCATCAGGCATGAACAGCTTGTCGTCGCCGACACGCCTGATTACAACCAGCTACTTGACCCGCGACCGGGGGATGGTGGGATACACAACGACCTGCATATGCGGCACAAGATTCACTCGATTGGATGCCCTCAATCGACACATCGCTACAAAGTCTACCGGAGCACCCCAATTCCTCTTCAATTATCGCGAAAAAGGCTTTCGTCGTCGCGACCACCTGACTCAACATGAGGACAGATGCCCCCGAAACTGTGACAATAATCATCACCTTGGGTCAACCACAGATAGCAGCATTGAAGTGGACGGTACCTACAATTCTCAGTGGCTTCCATTAGGATGCTACGTCATGGGCTGCGACAGAGTAGGCCCTAATGGATTCAATGAACAGTCTCAGCTAATTGAGCATCATGCCGTGGTGCATTCGGTACCCACCCTTGATGCTTCACAGGACCATGAGGATGGGTAGCATGTCACCCTCGTGCTTTGGTTGTTTATGCGCCCCTTTGGATGGTAATGGGCGAGGGGGTATGAGGCGGATATGAATATGTGGTGCTGGGACTAACTCACATTGGATACAACGAATAAACATCGTTTGCTTAGATCTGTTTTCATTTGACCGTGCTAATGACCTTGTGGGATTTTAACCAAACTTAGGTAGGATCATATCATAATACTTAATACCGTAGAAAACTTTCCACTATTTAGACGGGAGTTTGGATATAAAACGACGAGTCATGTAGATATTTACTCCGGTACGCGTATGGAGACGAGTTACCTATAATTATCACTATTCTTAATACCTATCTAAGCATCGTGTGAAGTTCTCTCAACATAGGCAAGCTGTGAGTAGTTAAGCCGTACGGAGGGATACATCCTGGGAAGTATCGGAGCAACTCCTTATCGCTGATGTGGAGGTAAGGGAGCCCTTAGAACAAAGAAGCCATTCTTGTATGTATACGATAGTTTCCGTAGCAGTTACTTGCGATCTCCTCGCGCAACAACAGAGTTATTAACCCCCTTATACGGTTGGTCTCATGACACAAGCACCAGTAATCATGTCTTTCTCAGTTACTCTTGAAATAATTCATAGCTACTGCCTTGCCAAGTCCGGCCTCTTTTTCCCAATCATCCAAGCTCCATCGCGCACGGCCCCAGAGACCAACTAATTTCCCGTTGTCTGGAGCGTATTTGGTGACATCAAAACCGGACGGCTGTTCGTATAGGTAGAAGACGTATCGATGAGGTGCAGCCCCTGGTGGGGGAGATGGACCTATATAGTTAACGATAAAGGGTGCGCTTGAATTAAGTACCACCGATTCGTTGGTGGTAGAGCTACTCCTGGCTTTCAGGTCGGATTGGATCCAGTGTAAGGCAGGCCCGAGAACATTCCATGAAACGAAAGGGGGATCAATGTCGATAGAAATGACCATATATGTATTTGAAGAAGAGGCACTGAAACTGATTTCCGGTGGAGTTCGAGCAACTATTATACGCATTAGTACGTCTACTTATGTTTCCCTGTGATTGAAATGAATAGACTACATACCTCCTCTTGGAATATATTGACCTGGTTCAACTTTATGAGATCCAAAAGTGAGTCCCAAGACTTTGGATGCATCCTCCTCGATCAAACTAAAGCCCAACTCGACACTTTTGTTGTTAGGCATGGTCGTCGTCTTATGATATGATATGATTATGAAAGAAACCCTGTGGCTTTCGTTTAGAAATCGTAGCGTTACGGATATTAGATTCGTAACAGAATGTTTCAACAACGTTAGGTACACCTAAAATGATGTAAACGGATAATTATTCATGACTAAATCATTTGAGAAGAAAAATAATTCTTTTGAATACATGGGCTGCTGTCCAATTTCAGCGCCTATGATGATAGGGGTTAGTATCGGCTAAACAATGCCGAATCGGCTCCGACGCTACGTTGTAGTGACTAGTGTGTAACCCCAAGGATTGCTAGGAGGTTGGATTTTCAAAGGTGCGGAGCCGGTTCGGCAAAATGGTCTTCAAATCTCTAGTACATCATCATATTGTATAAATTGAACTTGACTCTCATATTTCGACAAGAGGTCACGATAAGGCCCAGGTATATACATCGGAGTAAAGTAGTTTCGTTCGCTCCAAGCGAATTTAATTATCATGTTGCAACAAAGCGGGGGGTCTGCACCTAACGATAGTCCTCATTTTGATAGGCAGACGAATACATCAAATGAAATCAAAGATGGCCAAGTCAACCAAGAAAGCGAACAGGACGAGGCACCAGTTCATTCTATCTTCGGGCCAAGAACCAAATTATTCATTATTCTAATAACTGTCTTTGCAACACTATTTTCACCATTCTCTTCCTTCATCTATCTTCCAGCACTCACACCTATCGCGCAATCCTATAATCGATCTCTTGGAGAAATTAATCTTACAGTTACTCTTTATCAAGTCATGCAAGCTATTGCCCCTCTCTTCTTCGGTGATTTAAGTGATCAGATAGGACGAAGACCTGTCTACATGCTTACATTTGCCATCTTCATAGGTGCAAATATTGGGCTAGCTCTACAAAATAGTTATGCCGCACTTATGGTTCTTCGAGCACTACAAAGTACAGGTAGTAGTGCAACTGTGGCTATTGGTAGTGCTGTAGTTGCGGATGTTACAACTGCTGCTGATAGAGGCGGCTATATCACTGCTGTACAAGCTAGTGTTCAATTCGCCCCAGCCTTAGCACCCGTTCTAGGTGGAATATTAACCCAATATCTCGGTTGGAGATCAACCTTTTGGTTCTTGGTTATCGCGGCTGGTGTATTTTTAATGATCTATATCCCATTTACCCCTGAAGTAAGTCAATGTACCCCATCCAAGAAACCCGAGGAGGGAACTTCAACTAACATGAATACGTTACAGACGGCTCGTAAAATTGTCGGAAATGGATCTATTCCTCCTCCAAAGATGAATATGTCCTTATTCTCCGCCTATAACCTCCGCCATAGACGAAAAGACTTGGAATCACAAGGTCAAACATTACCCGAGCCTAAGAAACTACCAAGACGAATTCCCATACCCAACCTTTGGGCCGCTATTATCATTGTATTCGAAAAGGATGTTGGTTTACTCATGTTTTTCATGTCACTCTTCGTTATGGCGAATTACGCTATCCTAGTCCCTTTACAAGACGTTATTCGGAGGCGATATGATTTCAACGACTTACAAGTGGGCTTATGTTACATCCCCTTTGCAGTTGGTTCCGTGGTAGGGGCCGTTTTTGTTGGCAAGATTCTCAATTGGAATTATGCTCGCGTTGCGAAGAGTATCGGCGTTACACCAGATCGGAAACGAGGAGATGATTTACGAAAATTCCCGATAGAAAGAGCTCGACTTGACTTGATGTGGCCATGGACTGCTTTAGCAGTTGCTATGATTATCACATGGGGATGGGTTGTTAATACGAAAACCACCTTGGCGGCTCCTTTAATTGTCTTATTCTTTGCTGGAGTTGGTTTGAGTGGTCCTGTTTCTATCCTGACCACAATACTGGTTGATCTTTATCCTATGAACCCCGGACGAGTATCTTCTACATTTAACTTAACAAGAGCTACACTGAGTGCTGTAGGAAGTGCTGTCGTACAGTATATTATAGACGCTTGGGGTTATGGATTTACTTACCTTTTCATGGGTCTTCTTGTATCAGCAGCAAGTATATGCGTGTTGATTGTACGGAAATGGGGTCCCAAATGGAGAGAGGAACGATACCAAAGATTTGAACGTGCCGGTCCGAAATAAAGTCATGTCTGACTTTGACCTGAACGAGGTTCGTCCTTGGCTACCAGAGATGGTGGATCTGCGGTGGGATATAAGCATTGGCGCCATAAGTCGTTGCTACTTAGACCACAGATATCTACAGGTGATAGCTACAATGTACCTTACATCAATAACATTGCGTTTAATGAAGCTATCTATCTACTGGCCAAGGAGAACATATACCGTTGACATTTTGCCTATGTTACCTATTTCTTTATTTTGAAACATCCAATGTAGATCTATCTACTCTAGTTTACCGACGCGAGTCAAATAACCTAATTCAATAACATGTGAAAGTCAAGCGCATCGACCCTATCCACTAGCTTGGCTGCATCTCATCCTTCGTACCATCGGCGATTGGATTTCGTCGTCTACTCGCCAAGAGAGATCAGCTTTCATACAGATAGCTCCAGTCCGGGCTACCTATACTAAATACTTCATCCCCAAATACCCACCTAAGGTAGGTTAACTTGCTATATGGCATGCAGCTCGTCCATTATTCCAGTCCAGTATGCCCAACTCATTTAACTTTGTCGACAGAGGTCGTTAAGTTCACCTTGTCCTGTAGCTACAGAATCTGCATCAACCAAAAGGACGACATTGAAATTCATCGCCGGTGAGTTGTGTTAGCTTAGCATATGGATATGGTATGAACATACATCCGCATATTGCCACGGCCTGCAGTTAAGGGGTTTATCATACGACGAAAATAAATTCGGATGAGTTCCACTTCCTCCCGGGTCATGAATAAGTTCATACCGGCATCGGACGCATTAAATATGTATAAACGTCTTGGAAATTTCACGGCGTAGTGTTGGACGTATAAAACTTCTATATCGTTGCTTCAAGGATTTCGGAATGAATCCACTCGGTGTAATTATCGTGAAACTCGCCGACGATAGCCAACAGATCAATACTTGGGTAACATGAGGTCTTTTACGATTACAAGAGAGGTCGATTAAGGAGAAGAGGGATTTAAATAGTGGACCCCTTACATGATAAGGGGTTGTGATGCCAAGAAAGCCGAGGAGCGGAAATCTTGGCAACTGACGGGATACCCTGTTGTAATCACGGGAGCTAGTTGTAGAAGCATGTTAAGTGGATTCCGCCGAGCCGGTAGAAGTAACCGTGGCGGGTATGCATTTTTTGCATGAGAATCTTCAAGGGGATTGGCCTTGGCTGTTTCGATCCATGAATGTTATCAGATATGGATAGCTAGAAGCGCAGCGCCTCCCATGGCTTTCTTCGACACCTGGAACTCAGTCCTACTTGAAAATCTGAAACAAAATTCGCCTCCCACGTTGCCGTGTTCGTTTGCTGATGGACATTGAAATATCCCCGAGTGGCAAATTGACAACCACTCATAATGATAAAAACGTTGAAAGGCCCTGAGTCAAACTAGAGAGTCTATCTTGAACTGTTGAGAATAAATGAGTAAGGCAAAGTAGAAAGATTAAAAGAGATAATTACCGGTCACCCGTCTTGGCCTTTTCTACAACATCTATCTAATGCAATTCAACAAAGCTTATTTTTTAAAATGCCGAATGATAAATGATCTTTACCTGTTTAGACCATAGTTGCCGCCGGTACCGAGATTGTTCTTCGGTGGGTAAGAGACGATGTTACTTCTTGGCGATAATAGTCACCACAATATTACATCAACCATAGCATAGTAATTCTTATGGAGTTTGTGGGAAATCATATACGATAAATACAAGAAGTTCTATCGACGATATCGCCATTTTTCGGCGTAGTCAAGTTTTAGCTGCAAGTATCTACACCTACTCTAAACGGGATAGCTTAATGGAGTCTGCTTTGGGTCTTGTGTTTGCGTAGTAGTGATCAATAGAAACTCATATTCATGATCCACGATTGAAGATCCTCATTGTAACCTCAAGGTAATCATTACTCTACAAGGTTTAATTGTTTGCGTGGTTAGATGGGCTATGCCAAAAAAGTTACTAAATCAGATAAAATCTCGCGTCAATAAACTTACGAACAATGTAAATCATTACTATGATAATAATTAGATAATAAACTTCCCGATGATGCCTTCGCGTGCTAGATGGTTCAAATCTACTTCAGATAGATGAACGTATCGTCGAGATTGATTTAAAATAAGTGAATTCCATGTAGAGACTATGCGTAAGGTATATGACGGAATGTGAACACCGAACACGACAGAAACGTACTGAATGCTACTTGATGTATAAATTCTACCTCGTACGAGCTTACATTACCTAAGCTCGTACCAAGGGAACAAGAAGAACCAAGAATGACGATCAAATAGTATCTTGCAGAAGTGATCTACGTAGATTCCAAATATTACTTTCTCCTGGATATGAATGAAAAATCGGAGTAACGCGTACCGAAGCTCGGAAAGAGTACTGGCCAGTCCATCAAGGTCATTTCTAACTAATGAAGGCGGGATAGTAGCTAGTTAATACCACTATATAGAGCCTCATAAGTATTGCTTCCTAAGCACTAAGAACCTGATACATTATCTACTAGTTACCAACGCCTCCTAAGATTACAGTAAGTCGTCGTATACGGACTAGTATTCAAATCATTATTTCATTTCTTACACACGATCTGATTTTCAACTTTCTAGATTCTAAAAAGATATTGGAAAACAATAGCTTTTGAAATTGTGGCTTAGGAAATTCGATTCGACACCATCAAATATTTCCAGTAAGCATGGCCAAGTATTATTTCGCGACCACCTTCCTTGGAACTGGACTGAGTTTATCTGATGAGATCCGATTCCGTTCCGACTCCGCTATGAAAATGGCTAGGCATCATAATTCCAGGTCAGCCCAAGGCTTGGATTTGATGCAAGAATATTGAAAAGGCTGCATTCACATGTCTCCAAGATTATTCCAAGAACTTTGATTCTTATTTGTCAATATTCATTTGGATTTATCCGCAGATGATTTCCAAGTACAGATAAAGTATGAAAATCCCCTTCACAATATCCCAGATGTTATATTCTCTGGCATGCTTGATAGTTCTGACCGCTCACGTTCTCAAACTACTTGTTGCTATTGGCATTACTGATATCAACTTCAATATCGAGTCTTTGCCTGATAATATCGATGTCTACACCAGTGTTTGACAATGGACCTTATGGCCCCAAACCGAAAGGACTCACTGTAGCTATTCGAAGCGACTCAAGCTTAGAAGCTAGCGGAGATGTTCCAGACAAGGATTCACTTACGGATAGTCAATGTCAAAGCCCAACACAAGGAACAGAACTTCAAGATCAAACATTACGCCTACCGTTCCCAAGATTACTAGCAGCTTACCTTTGCCTCGCTTCTATCTATTTTATTTCTACCCTTGACATCAACTCTGTTGCTACTGCTCTACCTTCTATTTCTACCTCCCTAAACGCCGGTAACACAATCACATGGACGGGTACTGCTTATGTTATGGGACAAACCGCTTTTCAACCCCTATATGGACGACTATCTGATATATTTGGCCGAAAGGTTGTTTTGATCACCTCTATATGCTCTCTTATCATTGGTGACCTTCTCTGTGGATTCGCTCAGAATCCAATATGGCTTTATACCTGTCGATCGTTAAGTGGTATCGGTGGTGGAGGGATTAACTCGTTGGTACAGATAACCGCTAGCGACTTGGTTAGTCTGAGAGATAGGGGGAAATATCAAGGTATTCTAAGTGCTGGTGTTGGATTGGGAGCTGCTACAGGCCCATTTATCGCCGCTGCTATTATGCAGAATACTACGGATGGTTGGAGATGGATCTTTCGAGTTCCCCCTATTCTCGCAACTGCGGTAAGTCATGTTCCTCGCCCTCCTTAATTATATAGCCACCAAACACTTCGAACGCCTGGAGTCTCGCCTTAGAAAGTGGTCCAATAGTTAATTGAAGGAACGGTAATTATATCGTCAAGAATTTGGACTAATTCTTACGCAGTGTGCCGCCGTTATGTGGTTTTCTCTTCCTTTGAAACCAGTTACCGGTAGTTGGTCGGAGAAGGTTCGAAAGATTGACTGGTGCGGTCTATTCCTTGGAGTGACTGGTGTTTTATTCCTCATAGTGAGTTTATAACCCCTCATGTCTACCTACCTGGGTGGGTACATATTCATGCAGTCGATATGATGGCTGATACAAAGTAGATACCAATCAACTCAGGTGGAAGTACATTTCCATGGAACCATCCTGTCGTCATCGCATTGCTCGTTATAGGGGGTACTTTTATCATCCTATTTGGCGTAGTAGAAGCTCGACTAGCCAAGTTCCCCCTTATCCCATTACGTTTGTTCAACAGATTATCCACCAGTACGATTTATTTGCAGAGCTTCCTATATAATGGAGTATGGCAAATCAACATTTACTTCTTGCCTATCTATTTTCAAGATGTTAAGGGATACAATCCTCTTCAAAATGCTATGCTTATGCTACCATTGTTATTAACTCAGGCTGTTGCGGCATTGGTAGCTGGTCAAATCACTTCAAAAATCGCTAGGTAAGCCACTTATAACCCATTATGATCTCGACTAACCGATAAAAAGGCCTGGCCCTGTCGTATCAGGTGGTCTAGTCTTGTGGTTATTGGGGGCTGGTTTGAAAGTGATGTTTTCACGGACTACGTCGCCTGGCGTATCTGTAATATCGTTATTTATCGAAGGAACCGGTATTGGATTCGTACTTCAGCCAGGTATGATTATAATAATACATGATCATGTTAACTTACTAATGATTTCATAGCTCTGGTCGCTTTACAAGCTTTATCCAAAAAGGAAGATAGAGCCGTTGCTACATCTACGCGAAACCTCATGCGTATGTTAGGGTCGGTTTTTAGTTTGGCAGTAGCAAATACTGTTCAATTCGAATTTATGAAGCTAGGTTTATCCGATACGATACCCACCACTCTTCGATCTCGTGTAATTGAAGGGTTATGGGAAAAGGGTGAACCGGGTTCCGAAGCGTGGGAATCCGACATTCTGGACGCAAAGCTCAACGGACTACGCGCCGTTTTTATCATGATGGTTCCTATGATAGCTATATGTCTTTTGGGTTGTATCTTAATCCCCAATGTTAAATTGATGGGAGACCCGAAAGCCAATGCGTCGGAAAAGAAGGGAGAGGACAAGATCACGGTTTAAACTCGTCAATGACACCGGTACCGAATTATATGAATAGGGTAGACATAGATTGCGATATATGTTTGTGGTAGATCATAGAGAACTTTCTGTTACCTTTTAGGTTGGCAATGGTTTAGACAAGAGTTGGCACTTTATATAATATTATTTCATGTTCAAAGGGGTCTGCCATGATGCATGGACATGTAACCATAATGCTTAGGTACGTTGAATGAGGATTTCGCAACCAGATCACAACCTTTTTATCTCCTTCAATAGATAACATAACAATCAGCTGACGGCTGACGGTCGCCATTTTCTATTAATTTATTACTCTTTTTTTGATCCATCCATAGGGCGAGATGGAAGATATTGACTAGAGTACTACCGGGTACTCTTTTTACGTAACCTAACAGGTGAAGAAATAGAATCTAGATCTAAAAAGGAGAAATCGTTTAGAACCAGTTGGATATCTGTACGAACCTACACGGCCTTTTTATGATTAGGTATCCGTGTTACGGTTTCGAACCAATCGATCATAAATCCAGCTCCGGTTAACAACAGTCAACCAAATACCAAGTATGAGAATCGTTACTGGTAAGGTGAATGCCCAATATATCCAAAATTTGCTTTGTACAACATCGGACTTGTCCCATTGGAGAGACGGGATTGCGAAGAGAGCTGCAAAAAAGGTAGCCGGAAGGAATGCCATGGTCATAATAGCAATGGTCTTCATGGAAGAGCTATCGCGTTTACTTGCGGCTGCCAGGTTGGCGCTAGCAACAGCATCCTCGTGCGTAAGGAATGCAAATAGCTATGTTCCGTCAGACTACTAAATCAACATCAGGTATATGGCGCACTCACCACCCCAGACAGCTTCTCGGCGCGGTACTGCAAATAAGATAAGTATTCAGAGTCTGTTGCCATTTGTCGTTCAAGAATTGGAACTCTTTCGCGAAGAGTGTGTAAACTCGTCCTGTAATTAGCTCTCATTGATCCTTCTGGAACTTCCACCATCTCTCCGCCCTTGTGAGCTTGTAGCATTGTCTCGAGCATTTGCTGAGCTATACGCTGGAGTCTCATTTTGTTCTTAATATTGCCTGCGACCTCACCAACACGCTGTGTCCATATCGCTAGATCATCAATGCTGAATATGCCTTCGCGTTGCTGCAGTGGGTTCTCAATCGCGTTACCGTGAGGACCAAAGCCTGTGCGGCCCTCTACTGTTCTAAGGTTTGCTAACCCCGCCGCGGTTGATATATCCTGCCACTGTATTTGATGTACCACGACAGCAATGCATAACACATATGGGGTTGCGACGCATTCACCGTACACGCGTAGTATATGGCCCAGGTCGAAAAAGCTATCTAGTAGGCGATCGACGAATACGCCGACTATGCATGCTGTACTAGGGTCATACGTCCAGACGATCGCGAATATTGAGGTACCCAAAAAACGAGTGGATAAAAACCCGGCACTATTATCAAGAAACTCATAATAGCCGTCTTTGTCGTGGCATATAAGGTGCAGTGCCGTGGTATCGGCCTTCATGGAGGTAAATAAGTCATGGAAGCCACCTGCAGAGACATAGAGAGCTGCATTGAGGTCGCGTTGAATACGGACCAGTTTTAACGAAGCTCGACTTTCCTTAATTCCGGCGCATATGTTGCTTGTGGCCCACTGGCCCAAATTAGACTCCGTTAACTTGGCGTGATGAAATTCTGTGTCATTCGGTAGCTGGGCAGGGAGGGCTATCTCAATTGTGTCAAACTGAAATGACGGTCTGTGATCTAGAAACTTTTGTGTTGCGCTGAAGGTTGACGCCGCTACCTTCCTTAGGCCTTCCATTCTCTTCATAGATATTTGAGCAGTTAAGATCGATGGCTGGGCATAAAACTCCAAGAAAAGTAACAAATTGTATTCGAGATAACCGTTATGATGTTATAATCTAGATGCAGAGACATACCCATAAGATAACTGCGACCTAACCCCGCCCTTTACGCACCTAGGACGACAGCCTGCATGATACCGTGCGCCGTTTTCAATAAACCGCCAATGCGCCATAATACAGTGTATTGTTTACAGTATGGTGGCATTTCGCACTGCTAAACTAAATTTACAGGGCCATTAGTGCTGTAATTACAGCGCATTTCAGTGGGGTGCTAAAACGCGCTATAAGTGTGCTGTAAATTTAGGGCTCTACAGGACTCTAGAGTACTATAATTATAGCACATTATAGCGCCCAACTGAAATGCGCTGTAAGTGTGTTGTAATTATAGGGCTTTACAGGGCTTCAGAGTACTATAATTGTAGCGCATTATAGCACCCCACTGAAATTCGCTGTAATTATAGGGGATTCCAGGGCTTTAAGCCCTGTAGCTATAGCGCCTTGAAGGTACTCACTGTAGTGTGCTGTAATTACAGTGGGCTACAGCGCTTCAAGCCCTATATTTACAGCACACTTGCAGGACGTCTCAGCACCTCACTATAACACGCTGTAATTACAGCACATTACAGGGGCTACCTATAAAGCGCTGTATTTATAGTGGACTTCAGCACATGACTCCCTGTAATTACAGCTACACAGTACGTAGCGCCACTACACTGTACATCCGCACGGCGTCTTGGTGCATTGGCGGTTTTATGCTTATTGGACCGCCGTACATGAAGTATAGAGGCTACATGAATTGTTCGGGATAATCTTTAAAGTATCATAAGGTTAGGTATACATATGAACAATGCCAGCATCAGCATCACAAACTACCCCGCGTTTCGTAACTTCGAATTGAATTGGTGCGGGGCAGAAATAATCCAATTACTTTTCACATTTAGATCTTGGGAGTGATGTCAACGATGAAGGCGATACAATGGATGTCCCTGGCCTAGGAAATGATAGATATTATGTAGTTGTTAGCCATTTCCTTGCGCCCGTTGAGTAACGGTGTCAGTGTCACTACCTATTGTATACCCTCCCCGCCCCCGCACAGCAGGTTAGAATTACACTTCACGGGCCGATCCGAAGAACTCTAAAACTGTAACCTTAATAGGTTTAATTCAACTATCATGTAAATCTAAGTATCGTCCGTATTGAAGTGATAAAAGGGTAATGTATACTGTGGGAATGATAGGTGAATGGGTGAATGAGCAAATGATCCATTCTGTTCAGAATCGACTAAATACCGAAGGATCGTATGTACCTACCTAGGTAGATATGATCTACCTATCCAGGTACTCGATACCCGTGCTATCAGTTGGCAACGCCATTCCGCCATTACGAAGCCGTACATGGTAGAAGACAATTAAGCAAGTTCCGCTGATGAAGGTAGACCCATGTTTTCAGCTGTGGCGCGTAGGCACTACTGCTGATTCATCGAATATCATTGGGTGCCATCGGCTCTGAACCTGCAGCTCCTAGGTATATTAACACTGAGAGAGCTGAATCAATGTTTCATTTTAATCCATTAATCTACCAAGGTACCTTAACATCCCGACCCCTAGGTAGATTTATAGGTAGATCTAATACTTGGTACATAATCGTCGCTGGACTTATAGTTTATGTACAAGGTAGAATTCGGAGGTTTGGATCCTTTGCCAAGCTGGATGGCCTCTGTTTCCGTGAAATTGATGTGCCATGAGAATGTGGCGGTGGCTTAGAGTGCCCGAAAATTAGCCCGATCTACCTAGCAGCCTAGTTCCGCGATGCCTAGTCAAACTAAAAGAAAACAACATCAATTCATTTCCTGGAAATTCTCAGCCCAACCTTTCATCTCAACATGAATTGATTGGATCAATACGACCTACGAATGGACCTACCAACCCAAAACAAACTAAAACTCTCCCGTACTAGTACTCATAAAGTACGGTCGGGTTGTATCACTTGCAAGAAACGCCACATCAAATGCGACGAGGCTCAACCTCATTGCAATAACTGTCTTAAAAGTCGAGGAACTTGCGAAGGTTATGCTCCTATTCGAAAAAAGAGGGCTTCCAGCCCGGTTCAATTCCGATGGGATTCTAAACGATTGGCTCGTAGCACCTCTCCTCCTATGCAGTTGAAGCTTGATCCGGACTCTCTTGATTTCCAAGATGCAAAGGGAATGCTCTACTTTCAAGAGTTCGTGGGGTTGGCACAAGGTCGATGGGTCAATGCTGTCGGGTGTAATACTTTGTGGGAATTATTGCCACAACTCGCATTTTCCGATGGTACGATCCGATCCGCCGCTATAGCTGTCGGCGCCTTAAGTTTGTGGCATCGTCAGTCTACTCATGATTCGCTTCGGACAATCTCTGTGCCAACCATTCCCAAAGCGGAAAGAGATGCGCATTATTTCTACGCCGTGGCTTATTATTGCAGGTCACTCAAATTACAGAACCAACACGCTTCCGCGCGTGACGCAATGTTTCTTTCGGTGTTATGGTTGGTATTTGAAACACTTAGGGGTGGGAAGAGAGCTGCTTTAAGCCACGTTAATCATGGCCTAGCCATTCTACTTGAGCTTCTCACGGGGGAAGATGTTGATCATCGCGTGGCTGAATTAGCACCTAGTCCAGCACCTCTCCTTGAAGCAGTAGCCAACATCTTCGTTCCCCTAGCTATGCAGGCTCGTGCTGTCCTTCAGGGAAGAATCGGCAACGGACCGCCACTGCCCTCTCTAACAAAAGGACTACGAAGCAAAAAGAAGACAATGGAATCCTTCATAATCTTAATGAGCCATCTAACTCGTCCGAAGGCCACCATGGAAAACATTCCTGCTGTCTTTAATAACCTTGATGAATTTGAGGAGTATTGGGTCACTGCTCAGCGTGCTCAGATTGTAATGGCATCTATCATGACTGATGTCATGCGAGATTCGGGAGTCTTCGCATCAAATGGGCACGACATCATCAAAAAGTTTTACTCGGCTCTTCTTGGGGATGGTCGAATCCTAGAAATTTCTCAGAACTCAGGGAAGGTGATGCAAAAACTGGATGCCGCATTTTTACCTCTATTTAATAAGATTCTAATGTCGGATGTGGAATCGCCAGAATATCTAAAAGCCATCCATTTACGTTTAGAATATTTAGGTGTTTACATCTTCAACGACCCTCCGCAGTTCCTCGACATAGAGACATTACATTCGCGAACGCCTTTATTTCGTGAGTATCTGTCTCTCGCCGAGGTCGCGTTACGCATAGCCAAGCGAGAGATTAAAAATCCTGCGCATCAATTCTCACTCCAATGCGGATTAGCATTTAACCTATTAATTACTTCATTCTTCTGCCGTGATCCTCTTACCCGTGATCAAGCTGTGTGGATGGTAAGTCATTTAGTTTCTTAACTCTCTTACCCAACGTCGACGTCCTGGTATACTGATGATGAATAGTTAAGAGAATACCCCGCTCAAGATGGATTATGGAATACTCGTTCCCTCTACCTCCTAGCTCTTAGGAATCGCGACGTGGAGAAATCCAACACAGTCGAAGGTACTCCTATGGAACAATTACAGCGACTTTGGCGACGTGAATTTGTATTTGAAGATGGTGGCGACCGTATCTTATTTCGTTATTACGACAAGGATAAGGTTACTGGGGAATGGGAATTGATAGAAGAGGTTGTTGAAGTTCGAGAGGACGCCGAAGATATACATTGGAAACGACAACCATTAACTGGATCTGGAGGTCTTCTCATGAAAGACTTGTACGTTGAATAACAGGAATAGTCATTGAGGACTCAGCGCAAGGATCAGTGAGGATGTGCACCAACATGGAGTTTTGCGGCAATTCGCGGCATTTCTTGAATTGGTACGTTTAATCTTGTGCTCAAAAGAAAATACATTAATGAGTCTAGTTCATATTACAAGTCTACGATATCAACGGCGAAATCAAGCAACTATAATGTATCGTCATCCTAGCCAATCCAGAGACGCCCAAGAGCCGATCCGATGTATACCCTCTACCTCTACCTTATGGTTCGTCTCTAACATACTATTCTATTGGTCTAAGGCTTGGCTCTGACACTGTTATTTCGTTAGCGCGACCGAAGGAAACGCCAATGAGGAGGAACTTACCATCTCCCAATATACACCTTGTTGCTTAACCAATTCGCTATGGGTTCCTTTCTCGACAACCTTTCCATGTTCTAAAACGAAAATTATATCGGCGGTTTGAATAGTTGAAAGCCGATGAGCTACAGCAACCATAGTACGTCCGGTACGTGCTTTCTCTAATGCAGCCTGAACAATCTTCTCCGATTCCGAATCCAGTGCTGATGTTGCTTCATCTAAAAGAAGAATCTTAGGGTTTCGAATTAAGGCACGCGCGATCGCAATTCTTTGCTTCTGTCCTCCGGATATTTCTTTCTGGCCGATGTCGGTATCATAACCTTCGGGCAAAGACATGATAAATTCATGAATGAATGCATCGCGACATACTTCATGGATTCTTTCTTCCGATATAGAGCTTGGATCTGTAACACCGAAAAGAATGTTATCGCGCACGGTTCCCCGAAACATGGTTGGTTCCTGTGCTACAAGCGATAGATTTTGCCTATAACCATAGACCCCGAGGTCATTTACGTTGGTGTCATTGCAGAGGATTGCGCCTTGGTTGGATTCTAGGTCGTAAAATCTTTCTAATAGTGAGATGATTGTTGATTTTCCCGAACCAGATGGACCAACGAGAGCTGCATATTGACCCTTTTCAATTCTCAGGTTTAACCCTTCAAAGACCGAGACGTCGCGCGTCGGATATTTGAAATGAACATCGCGAAACTCGATTCGAATACCATCGTCCGATTCGGGTATAATTACGCTTTTCTCTGTCTCGCCTTCATCTATATTAGCGGACTCTTCCATATCGAATATTCTATTCGCGGCCATCGCAGCTTGTGCAGCACTGGGAGCGTTCGCTAACACGGTCGCCGCGCCTTCTGCACCTTGTATAATAGCCATGAAACAGACAAAGAAGGCTTCCAAGCTATATTCTCCAGTCGACAAGAGTCTACCCCCATAATAGAAGACCAACGCTTGGCAACCTAGGCTAGCACTTTCCGCAAACCCGTAAAGTGCTGCTGTCCATTGAGCCTTGCGCCTAGCCTTCTGAACATGTCCTTGGAGAAGCTTTTGATATCGATTATTGATCGTGGATTCCATTGTGAGAGAAGATACTGTTCGGATTGCATTGATAGCTTCGGTAGCAAATTGCGAACTTTCCAAAAACACGGCCGAATTCATTTGATCGAACTGTACTTCATGTCTAAATTTCCAAAAGCCAGATGCTAGCATAATTGGCATGGTGACGAATGTTGCGACTAAGCCAAGCTTCCATCCGAAGATGAGTGAGATGATGATACATCCGACGACCGTCCAAACGCCAGCGAGCCACGATACCATATTAACGCCAAATAAATCTTCTAGCTGTTTGGCGTCCCCAGCGATTTGGGAGGTTAATGTACCGTGGGAGTGACTATCCTCGTCAAAAAAGCTAGGCTTTTGATACAGCATGTCAGTTAGATATCGCATCTTATACGCTGCGCTAACAAAGTATTGAGCTCTCAGACTGAACCATCCTAATGCCAAGTACGAAAGACCAACGCCACCAGCTAAGGCAAACCACATTAACCCCCAAAAGTTGGATTGTTTCTTAAGTTCGTCCCCTTGAAGTAGGAATACGCCAATAACTTTGGCGAATAGCCAAGCTTGAATCGGTGTACCGGCCGCAGTCGACATAGATGAAGCAAGAGCGCCTAAATACAATGACACATATACTCGTTGATCGTATAGAAGTTTCGAGAAGGCGCGAACTAAACTTCGGGGATTTTTAGCTGTGGTTTGAAGGGTCACTTCGATATGAGTCGCCGCGTCATTAGACTCGCTGGCGGCCTTTTCGGACTTGGTGTCATATGTCTGTGGTAATGCATCTGGCTGCTCTTCGTCGTTGGCTAGTTGAAGTGATTGAGCTTTCACTAAACCACTGTAGACTCCATTTTCGTTGGCAAGGAGGCTTGTGTGGGTTCCTTCTTCCACCGCTCGCCCTTTTTGTAATACGACAATATGATCGGCCTTTTTGATAGTAGAGAGTCGATGCGCAATGGTGATTGTTGTTCGACCTTGCGAAACTCTATCCAGAGCATCTTGTACAATACGTTCACCTCGTACGTCAATTGCGGATGTTGCTTCATCGAGAATAAGGATACGTGGCTTTTTGATGATACTTCTGGCGATGGCAATACGTTGTTTTTGACCACCTGAGAGTTTCATCCCTCCGTCACCCACTTTTGTGTCGTACTTTTCTGGTAAAAGGTCGATAAATTCATGGGCGTAGGCTTCTTGACATGCCTCTTGGACTAGGTCTCGTTTTCGCTCTTCGGATTCTTCTGCAAATTCAGTTCCGATGAGGCCATTCGCCACATTACCGAATATAGTATCGTTGAAGAGAAATGGTTCTTGCTGGACAAGACCGATTTGCGTTCTCCACCAATACAAATCAATGTCTTGTAAGTTGTGATTGCCTACCGTGATCGACCCGGTTGACTCGGGTTCAACGGGCACTTCAGACTCCTCGGGTTGGTCCGTTTTTTCATCATTTGACTCGTCCGATGGTTTAATAGCGTTAAGAGTGTACCACCGCTCTAGCAAGGCAACGATAGTACTCTTCCCGGAACCTGAGGGACCCACGAGAGCAGTATTCTGACCGTGCCGAATGCGAAAACTCAGCATGTCTAGAACCTTGACACCAGGGCGACTAGGATATGAGAAGGATACGTCGGTGAAAACCAAGTCCTCGCCAGTAATGTCTGGCTTAAGAGAACCGGATGAAGGCAGAGGAGCATCGATAACGGTGAATAATTCGCATGCAGCAACCATGGCTTTACTAACTGCTATAAGTGGCGTCGATATTCGCTCCACAGAGGTGAGAATCATCATGACCGACATGAGTACTACGATGACCACACCGGCGTTATCAATCGCACCGACACTGTATCGCCGTGCACCATACCAAAAGGCCTTTATGCGTTAGCTTTTAGACTTAGATCTATAGATTATCATTGATTAAGTACTTACCAGACCGAACGCCCCAAAAATACCGAAAAATACGCAGCATAATTGAATCCCAACAACTGGAGGTATTTTTTGAGCTTTTTTAAGAGCCTCCTGCACCCATTTTTCATAACGAGAGATGATTCGACTTTGAGCACCACATGCCATGACCAGCCGAATACCTTGCAATGCTTCGCTTGCGATAGCTGTTCCTTGGGTATCCGCTTGAATAGTTTCGGTTTGACCTTTGACGATTAAAGGTACAGCGAAAGATAAGACGACCAAGATATAAAGCATTAACGAGGATGTCACTAACGTAAGATCCCAACTCCAAATAAAGGCAACAATTATCGCTCCGAAGATGGTGGCAGTAAATTGGAGGAAGGTACCTAAACGTTCGGAGATGCCAATCTGTAAAGTTGCTGACGTTGCTGTAATAGCTGTCGCTGGTGCACCAGTAGGCATGGTGTCTATTGCGTGGATTGATTGCGCGAGTAGGGATTGTAGGTAATGGCGACGGATAGCCGACGACATACGAATACCGATCATTCTGAAACAAAACTTATTGATAGAGGTTAGACCCCAACGAGCGAGGAATAGACCCATGATGTATAAGGACTGTCGGCTAAGGATTTGGTCAAATTCGCCGCGGGATATAGTGGTCGCATCTTTGAAGTAATTGGTAAATTGTCCTACGAGTTGACCAAAGATGATATTCATGAGCGGCATGGCAACACCAGCACCGATAGATGCTACAGCAGCTATAGCGTATACACAAAAATCCCATTTTGTTGCGTAGGTAAAGATTCTTAGATAATCGGAAATGGCTGGCGTTCGTTGCGGTGGCTTCGTTTCCGTTTCAGTCGTTTGATTTTTGGTTGGTGTTGCCGTCCCATCGTCGGCCATACTGTCCGAGGGCCGTCTCATAAGTCTTAGGAGATTCCTCAGGTAGACTTGACGGAGATTACTGTGTAGATAAGACTGAGAAGATAACGCATAAAGGAACCGGAAGAACTAAAAGATGAAATAAAAGTAAACGATAATGAAGGACGTAAGTTAAACTTGATGCGACGATATGTAAAGTCTTTTCTAGACGCTGAAATATTCGCTGACTCTTATAGCGCCTCTGTACAAGCCGTATCCTTATTACCCTTTTAGGAAATTTACGATTTACGACTTACGAGCTGGATTATGCCAAGCCCAAGTTACGATTTACGATGTAACGCTATATAGTTAGTATTACTCGATCTAGAACTAATGGGGTATCGTTTGATCTAACGAATCAACGGGAGTGGTGAGGCACATTTGTAGACTTATAAGCACTTTACCTGCGGTGAATCCTGACGGAACGAATGTATAGCAGCCGTGTACCGTGGATGTTGCTTGAACATATTAGAGAAGGGAGCATTTATGTGCGCCATATCTATTTGAGATATTGTGACGGTCCGTGCTCAGTATTTTGCCCTATCCAGATTAGTGCAACGCGACCTGAAAAAATTAGATAACGCGACATTCTTTAAACATATTTCTTGTACAGCATGGTTGACCGCTGTACAGCCCAATGCGAAGTAATAAACTTGCTGATTTCATGACTCTCGGGGTTTTAGCCCATCATCGTATCAATACTTCGATATATGTCTAAGTGAAGTAAGAAAACGCAAGTCTTGATAACCGAAACTAACTGGCCGTCATAGTACCCCGCAATCCCCGATCGAACTCCCAATGCCTTCAACGATTCCCGAGTAAACCACCCACTATCTCAACGACTTACCTCATCATCTTAGGTGCCATTTTCCAACTTTCCCCCATGCCCCGCGTAACGATCTCGAAATGGCCATGCCGACTACCGTGCCACGTCCGAACAAGTCACCTATATCCCATAGAGCAGCCCAGACATTCCGGCTAGGTGATGAGGACTTTAAAGGCGAAAATAGAAGGCTTTTAACCGGGCATGATGCCGTCTATCCGCAGGTCGTCGTGGCTAGATTCAACATGGGGGTTGGCACAAGAATAAAAGGACTCGGATGACCCGAGACTTCCTACAAAGGATGGCCGCAGTATACGAGAGCTATAGCCGAATGATTCATGACAAGATGGTAGGAAATGCCTATCCGACCCCGTTAAGCAATCCCCGGTATTGGAATGACGCGTGTAGAATCGTGCCTCCTCCCCAAGCCAATACCGTTACATGATGGCGTCTATCTCTCTTGAATAGTTACCTTGCGGTTAACATCCGGCGTTAATAAACACTATTGATTGAATACATGATCTTTAACGATATCCACCTCCCCATTGATTCCCATAAGGTGGATATTCTTGCTGAGGTGGCCCACCATATCCTTGATTAGGATACCCTTGAGATGGTCGTGATGCATTATAATAAGATGCTGCCTCTCCTTGTGAAGTCCCATATCCTTGTTGAGGAAAACCTGGCTGATTATAAGATGGATGTTGAGTAGATGCACCACCATAACTAGGATAAGGTGAAAATCCATCCCCTTGTTGTAAAGGTTGGGGAGGTTGATGTGGTGTATATCCATAACCTGGACTTGTATAACCTGGATTGGATGTTAGACGTCCTTGAGAATGGGAAGACGTAGGTCGGCTTGATCCATAACCAGATTCTGGGCGAAGACTTTCACCTGCTCCCATAGCATTTAGATCTCTTGTAGCACATTGAGACCAAAGTGATCCACTAGGTTTTCCATGACCAAGTTTTTCAAGACCACCATCAAAAATACCACCACCATGTGAATGACCTTTCTGTCCGGATTGAATATGATTTTTACCCGTTCGAACAGATTCGGAACCAAGAATATGGTTAATTTCGTGACGTCGAGGATATTCGTCGGCCCATTTTCGTACGGTTTGAAACATTTCTCGTTGAATTTCGACATGGTCATCACGAAGGGCGGGATGATGAAAGGCACGTAGTACATCATTAACTACTTCGTCGACAGGAACACCGGGATTATCCCAAGCGTAGAGAACTCGTCTAGATACATTAGTACGGATGAAGCGAAAGTAGAAAGATGGAAAGTATACGTACGGTACTACATATTGAAGAATTGTAGAGGCAATTCTTCCAGCGCATGAGTTTAGAACATTGGTGAAATGATCCTTGGAAAGCATAGAATGTGTCGGATCGGTACATCTAGGATTTTTCCATGGTTCTAATTGCGAGTTTGCACTAGAATTGATAACTTCGGAGGAACCATCCTTTAATGCTTTGGTTATGGCATTGATGATAGGTCGAATGAATGGAGCTAATAGACCTAGGACGAAAGCTGTCAAGGTCTCACTAATATGCTCCAAGAGCTTTTCCAAACCAGGTATCTTCGCTATACCTCTATTGATCGATTTGACAATCTTGTCTCGGAATTCCAATATGGGATATATTTGTTTGGATACTTTGACGGGATCGAAACTTTCGCTCATACCTGGTACGATGTTGGGGTTGGAATTGGTTGTTGCTCGTGTACCGTAGTACGAATCTTGTTCGTTTCTTCTCTCTTGATCTTCGGCCATACGTTTTAAATCGCGCGCTTCAGAAGCCATTCCTCCTCCGATTCCAGGAAGTTGGCTTACAAGGGAGATGAAATCACCTGTACCACCACCGAACCCACCACCAAATCCTCTTGAAGTACCACCCGACGAACTAGCACCTTGTTCGGAATTCTTCAAGGCGACATCCAGTTCGTCAACTTCGGATTGTGTAAAATGATCGTTGGCTTCACCTAGAACGGAATGTAAAAAGTCGACACCACCAAAGGTACCGGTTACGAGAGGAAATACTCGTTTACCATGTAAGGTAATTTCCGAACCGGATCCGCAATGAGGAAAAACTTGATGATACCCAAGCTCTCGTAAAGCAAGTTCGCAATAGTTGCTATGAGCGCTAAAATCCTCCATGCAGTGTAAAGCTTGACCTAAACATCGTAAAGCTTCGCAAAGATCTTCTTCCTTTCCTTTTCCGTGGGAACCATGACAATATAATCTACCAAAATGTACGCTCCTACCGATACTAAATCGAAGGTAACCGGCACTAGTAGCCCAGTTTCCATGTTCGTTAGCTATGTAATTCTTCATACCGGTACGCATATCAATTTCGGTTTCGATAGGTTGGACAGGACCTCGAAGTCGTTTATCGAACGTTCTAGCATCTAAACCGTCGGCATAACCCAAAGGATTATCTATGTGTTCCTCTGGTCTATAAACACCAAGACGTTCTTCGGTAACTTCGAATTCTTCGGTAGCATATCCATTGGCAAGAAAGGAAAGAATCCAAACGAGGATACGAATGGTGGCGGCATTAACACCCTTGAGACTACCAACATCTAAAGCTTGGGAATAATCTCGAAGCCAATTTCCGAAATAAGTACGTTGAACCATTAAAGTAGTCCACTTCTTTCCATGAAGGAATGCGATGGTTTTGAGCATATCTTCAATATCGCCATGACGCCAATTGTGACCTTCAACTTGAGCGATAGAAGGAATATTACCAGCACCGAAAGCAACAGTTTTACCAGGCATCACAACCAATACGATAAGGAAGATCAGCAGATAACTGCCGAAGCCGAAGCCGAATCGAAAAGCCATGATGTCGGTTAACCATATATCGATGAATAATCGTGTCGCGAGATTGATAAATTGAATGAATGAAATATTAGGTAGAAGTTTTCCTACCCAAGTAAGTTTACGAGATGAAGCTGAACTGATGATGAAATCTAAGATAAGCAATGGCGGGGTAGTTTCGTAGTTTTGGTACAGTACAAAGTACATAATTCCTACGTAAGATTCAGCCACTTACATTCAATGTTGTATGACCTGGACATCCTCTAAGCCATTAATGATGAATACCTAGGTACCTCTCACCATACCGGTAATTATATTCAAGCTAAATACCTAGGTGGATATTACATCAACGTCATTAAGTGTAACTTCTCTAAATGTCGGGTTACAAGCTGAAAAGCAGCTAAGCCTCAAATGATACATTCACAGCCAAATTCGTCATACTTTATGACCAATTAAATATTTCATAAAAATGAGTAAGAATCAATTAACTGCGCCACTACCATACCAAATGAAGTCATACACCTTTCCCCTTACTCATCTTTAAATTCTTTAAATGAGGGAATGTCCTAATAACTTGGAAATTAAACCTTTACTAACCGATGGCCGACAACATTAGAATATGAACTTGGATCGGAAATATCTACATCATGAATACCGAGTGGGTAGACCGAAACGGTTCAGATGCATTATGCAGCCCTACGCCTTAAAGAAACCAAACCACACCGATTTATTTCATCCCCATTTTAGATTTTTATCTAAGGACATATTCAACAGATCCTTATCATATTCATTCGATGACCAATTCTTCGTGTATTCAAGTCGCTCATTTATAAGATTTATCAGGTCTATTTACATAAATTCTATTCATAGATAATGATCAAGATTTGTTTATATTTTTGTAGCTGACAGATCTTGTGGGGGGATCTATTACGAGAGACGGGCCGTTCTATATCCTCAATACGAAAGAGTTAACATTGATTCGATTAAATAACTTGTATGCCGAATTTCGGGCTTACTCAAATACATATTTATGTAATGAATATCCATAATAACCTCGGGAATGATAAATGTCTCTAGGTTATTACAGTACGTTCGATATATCCGGATTAAATATAAATTCCTTTTTATTTCCAGGTCATGCCGGGTGCTGTGGGATGGACATGCCGAACTATCCTCTTAACTAAACAAATCATACATCAAGCATCGACGTCTATATTATGAATAATACTACATAAATGGGAGATTAAGTATTCATCTATCAATCATGTACATCAATACCTATTATAGAACTTAGATCTAGATCCTAATTTCGTGATATGTGTAGGTAGGTGTGGGTCATCCGATCACCCGTATAAAATAGGGCTGACATGTATAAGAATTAGTACAGCACTATGTAGGATGAATTTCTCAACCCCAATTTCGAGTGGTCGTCATTTAGACCATCAATTAGAGCCTCAATTCCTTCATACGCAATTCCATCGTTGAGCTTTCAGCTGGTTTTTTCAAATTGTATAGCCTTGTGGTTTAAACCATGTGGTAATAGAAATTATCAAAGTGTAAGATTTCAGCTGGATACTAAACGGGAGGGAAGATATCAATGATTTAAATACGCTGAAATATATCGGTGTAGTCATAAAAGGTCAAAGTGGCTAACTTATATGCGGCTGAAAGAATAACCTAGTATCAACTTAGGTAATTCAGCTCATGATAAACCTTCACCGACGTGACATTTCCATCACATCTCCGAGAAATTAATAAATTATCGGAGTTCTCCATTCGGTGGTCGTTGAGGCGGAAGCGGAAATGCCGCCAGGACAATACACTATACATTCATGAATCATACCATTTTACCAAAAGTCGGAATGAGAAATTCGGACCGAAGAAGAATGGGTTCTTGAACCATACAATCGGTAAAATCATTACCATGGTATTGGGAAGATGTAAGCAATCAAACTCAGTAAAAAGCGGTGTCTTCGGTTTTCCTAAACGAGTCTACCTTTCAAGACATTGTAGGCGAAGCTTTCCCGACAGTTAACAAATATCGGAGTACAAGACGAGATAGTCTTGAACCAATTAACGTTCCTTATTCACGTAAAACAGAATTGTAGCACCAAATCTTTTAGTCAAGTAATAACGACTTGACTTTAATAATAGCGGTAACGTTCAAGAACTTGAGAACAAATCAAATCATATCGATTGCCTAACGTGCGTAACGCAAGATTATCTCGATAATTCCTCGAGCCGCCATTCGTTCTAGGATACATGACTAGATATCTTACATGCTTGGGTACTTATGTGGTTACTTAACCGAAAGACGTAGTACCTAGGTATGGCATGCAGGTTGGACAAGTGTGGTGAAATGTGAGCTGTGGTTATATGTAAAGTGATAATGTAATTCCTAACAGATCCGACATTTCAGATGTTTGAAGTGCCATACAGATGGTAATTGATCTTATTCGATGTCGTGCATACTTTACACTTTACAAACCAACCTCCTAGTCTTCTAGGTAGGTATGATTCACCGCTTTTAATGTCATAAGCGTAGGACGATTACATTCCGTATGGTATGATACGATACGTAAAATAAGAGAAAAATCTTGTTTATGAAGGTTCGTCGTACGAGAATATTCATAACAAGAAATTGATGACGCCAAAAATTACAAAATAATAAAACAGGCGGGATAAATTGTGAGGATGAGTGGAGAGGATCGGTGAGCACTCTACGTAGACTTCAATGTTGAGTATGATATCCTTCTGACATATTCTCATCACACTAATAATTGGATATCCGATGAAATAATATTGTCAGCCTTGTTAGGTACTTCTGACAAGTAATTCTAGGACATAACGACATGGAATTGTATAGAATTCATTCCTAGACGAATTCGTATAATATTGGTTGTTATACGGTTCATATATGTATGTTTCACATGTTTCTCCTACCTAGGTATGAAGAATATACCGAAGTCTGTATCAGTCATGTATAACCGAATAAAATAAGTACGTTTCGGTAAGAAATGTCTTAAAGAAAAGGTACAAGACGGAAACTCATTCTTGACCGTACGAAGATGTGTAACCATAAATCCAAGGCGGCTCTAATGGCGGATGTTACATTGCATAACAAGGTCAGAATACCCATCGGACAGCCCTACAAGGCGACAATAGTATGATGTATCAGCTAGTCCCATGGTAGATCATTATACAAGAAAGGTTGTCGGACCTACTCGTGACCAATAACCTTGCATAACTTCGTCAGCGATGTTAAACGGTTCGACTTGTGCTTCCCGACTTTTTGGCTTAGTCCGCGTGCATCCTCGTACTGCCTTACTGATGTACATGATAAAAGTATCAAAATAGAACTTCGGCTAAGAGAGGTAAGACGAGAGATTCTGGAAGGTTGCCTAGGTAAGGTTGTCTTATGTTTCATTACCTCAAGAGGCGGCGGTCTGGCGGACGCAGGCGACGGACATAAGTGCATAACCGAAGGCAAGGCCGTTGAGAGGAAGTTTTGCAAGACTCATATAACTATATAATGGAAGTCTTCTCGATGATTTGAAATGTCCTGATAGCTTCATCAAACAACTCAATCTTCATCTTTAGACACTGGTTCATTCATATCCGAGATTATATACGAGATTAAGACGCTTGACTTGTTCTCGATTCTTGACGGTAAAAGAATTGCTCGAATTATTCAGAAATATTCAGACAAAAATGGCTCTTACACTTTGGAGAGACATTTCACCACTAGGCCAACCTCTTAAGAGGCCAACTAATAAATCTCCCCATGCCTTAATAATAGGTGGTGGTGTTACCGGATTGATATCGTAAGTTGAGAGGTTTCTTGTCGAAATACCCATTTCATGTTAATTGAATATTCCATGAATTGAGATTAAAGAGCGAACACTAACTTTGAAAAGAGCTTGGGTACTTTTAGATCGAGGATATCATGTTACCATCGTCAGTAGTGCATGGGCAAACGATGAACAACGTTTGACATCACAAATAGCTGGAGCTTTATGGGAATTTCCTCCAGCTGTATGTGGTCAACATACCGATAAAATCTCATTAGCTCATTCGAAACATTGGTCCATGACAGCGTATCACATTTGGGATGGAATAGCATCCATTCCTGGTTTCAGTGATGCGTCTGGAGTACGAATGATGCCTTCGGATTTCTTCTTTCCTGAACCTGTGGAAAGTGACAAAGCACAAGTTTCCAAGATGACCGAGATCATGGCTAGTGGTGTGCGAGGATTTTATCGAGGAGCTGACATAATCGACGAAAGAGGAATTGACCCATCATACGGTGCTGTAGACGCGTATGAATTATTAGCACCTGTCATCGATACCGATAAAGCAATGGGATGGCTTATGGAACTTGTCGAAAGCAAAGGAGCTAATCTTATCACCGAGACCATTCAAGATGACCTTGTGGAGATTGAAGATTCATTACTATCTCGATTCGAAGCCGATGTCATCATCAATTGTACTGGACTTCAAGCGCAAGAACTTGCCGGCGATGAAAGTGTTTATCCGATTCGAGGTGGACTTATTCGAGTCATCAACGATGGAACGGATTTTCCAAAAGTAGATGCGGCTTTGACTATTACGGCAGATGCTGCTCATTCTGCTAATGAGATTATTTTCCTCGTACCTAGGAATGATAACATTCTTTGTAAGTCATTCGCTGAAACTTTCCATATTTGACCTTGGGACGAATGACTTTTGTCTGATAGCCAAGAAAAAAAAAAAAAAAAGAGAAGCTGACTGAATGACAGTAATCGGAGGTATTACTGAACCTCATGAATGGAATCTAGACCTTACTTTGGATACTCCTATCATTCGTAGGATGAGAGAAAGATGCGAAAAATTCTTACCTGGATTAGAAAATGCTCGTGTCGATCCAGAATATCCATTCGCTCAAGGTCTTCGTCCTTTCCGAGGTCAAAATGTACGAGTGGAACGTGAACTTCGTAGAACAGGTAGCCGAATTGTTCATTCATATGGACATGGTGGTGCCGGTTGGAGTTTATCGTTTGGATGTGCTCAAGATGTGGCTATGCTTGTTGAAGAAGCTTTGAATGGTATACCAGCAAGACCTATGAGTGAAACAGTCTTTGAAAGGAAAGCAGCAGGATTTCAAAGACCACAAGGACGTTAATCATTTCATTGGATCAATTCTTTTGGGATGGGTTGCTTTGATTCTCTTGGGAGTGGGAATAGAATTGGGCATTATTTTGGTGTATAATTTGATTTTGATAGAAGGGGAAGGTCGTTCTTCGGTTATCTTTCATCATCACAATATGGGGATATAGATGTCATCTGATTGGATTCGAATAGGATAATATATTTCAGTGGATAGAAATGACGAATAATAATAAAAAATCGAAAAATCTAGCGGTGACTCTGACCACCATTATGACTCTGAGATGAGAAAGGAACAAATAAGTTGTGACTAAGAATCATAGGCACATACATACCTATCAGGGGTATTTAGAAGACATCATAGGTGATCGAGTTCCTGGCTGAATAAGGATGGTTCGAATTGATAGTGCAAATGTATGAATAAGCGACTTGACGATGAATTCAATTCAGGAATAAATAGCGAGGTTACTCAAAACATTCCGATGAATTTCCGATACAATAACTGTATCATCGTGCGATATATTAGATATTCATAGTGATATGATCTTACTGCAGAAAGATGAGAAAGGATCCGCTAAAAAGTATGAAATCGAAGACAGTAACACGTGCCAGGCGTGTCTAACGACTACAAAACTTGGGTTGAAGAATAAAACTTATAAACAAGTGATGGATATTGAATGAAGTGAGGGAAGAAAGGAAATCCAAAAGATCAAACGTCTAACACGAGGGATCGCCTTACTTTCGGAGATAGATCTTGTAAACATCAATCAAGATTGTCGATTAGGTGGAGCAATGCGAAGGGTAACAATGAAGTAACGGTTTTAAGAGATCTAATGCGATATTAATATTCGGATGAACCGCTCAATTCTCGGTCCTATCGGTAAGTTCTCATTGAATTAAATATAGAAACAAGGTGTATTTCCAAGTGGTTTTTGAATCGACATAGGTATAGATATTCCATTGGAATGTCTAACGAATGTGATTAAGAGTGATGATGTTGGAAGAATGAATGTAAGAAGAGGTGCTCGGGAGGAGCGGACTACCGTACCCACTAGCAGACCCCTTATCGAGTTTACTCGATTATCTTTTACTGAGGGGAAGGTACATGTACCTATATACCTAATGTACCTAGGTATATGTAGGTAAGTCGTGTCTCCTTTCCTCAAGGGTTCCTAGGTATTTCGGGACGTAGCCGGTATGTACGGACTTATAATGGATGTGTCGCTTGCGACTTGAAACTAACCGAATGAAAATACGCAAGCATTTATAACATAGAATCATTAGATCTTCTAATATGTTCCTGTTTGAAAATATTAAGATATACAAGCGGCACGGTCCCGGATTCCGATCCCCCGCTCTTAAAACCGCTAGGAGTGAGATTAAAAATAGTGAACTAAAGGCTTCCCTGTTAAAACTAATCCTATTTAGATATAGTCTGTACCGAGGCTCTACTATAGCTGCGTCATTCTGCCAGGAACTAACTCAAGTATTTCACCGCCTAACCTCATATAGGTATCCGTAAAGTATGTACCTACCTACGTATTTAAGGACTAATACTACCTAAGTAAGGGGTAATATGATCTGTATAGAAGTTCCTAGAATGAATCTAACAAGATTTTTAATCAAGATGAATTGTCCTTTGAATATTTCACCTTGTTATAATAAATCTACAGCCTCAATCTGTAATTCAAGGCATCCTTAAGAATTAAAGAATGAGAGGATAATATTATGTACCAATGCACTTAGATATCGTATAGTACATGCATTAGCTATTCATGGCCGAATTACTTGGAATAAGTTAGTAGGTACCATTCTTTCCTCCTAAATACAATACAAATATGAGTACCTATCCAAGTACCTCGGCAAGTCAATACAAGGTTTTGACAAAACGCCCCATAACCTGCCTGGAGTTCAACCTAGCTAAAACGCCAACTCCACTAAAATCTACCTAGCAAAGACCCCTAAAAAGGTCATTTTAAAAGGCGAGCTATCAAAAATAATAGGGTGGTTCATTTTTTCGATGCGACGAATTAACCCTTTCTCCAGTTCTCATTCATTCACCAAATCACCCCAACAACAATAGTCAAGTCACGACATCAAATATCTTCGTTTTTACATTTCAACGACATTATTCATCCTCAAATTCACGATTCATCTCAAAGTAATCACACTCAAATCGTTCAAGATGATTGATAATTTACATCTTGTCAACATGATGTCTTTTCTTGATTCGCTTTAATCCAGCGTTTAGTTGGACTAAACGATACTTTTATTCATCTTTTGATCCAAAGTCACCATCAAATTCATCTACCTACACATATATCTAGGTAATTATCCTCTAGGTATTTGTTTCCGATTGGGACTTGTTACTTACCTAAGTAATTCTCCTAGTCACGTCGATAGGAGGAGTCATACAAATTCATCACCAAGACTTGATACTATTCGTCATTCGCGTCACACAAGAATCTATTCAAGACATTCAAACTTGGAATTTGGAAACTTGAAAGGAATTCATAGAATATTTTCTGGGAATCGCGATATGTATTCGAAGACCGTTGGGTTTTCGGAAGATATCAAAGTTAACGAGATGATTGAAAAGGAACAACAACATCCTCATCCTCATTATCACCGCTATCATCATCATCATCAACTATCACATACAATCAATATGAAATTGCAATCTCCTGAAGATGTTCTTCGAGAAGCATATATCTCCGCCAAAGATATCGCTGTCGAACAATCATTTTCTCATATTGGATCTCCACCTATCAATTTTGCTACAGTACTTCCCGGACTTTATCGAAGTGGTTATCCTCAAACATCGGATTATCCATTTATGCAGACACTTGATTTAAAAACTATCGTCACCTTAGTCGGCAAAGAGTTACCGGATGGATTTCAACAATTTATTGACGAAAATGGAATCAAACATCAAATATTCGACATGGCTGGTACCAAAAAGGCAGAAATTCCAATTGAAACTATGCAATCCATCATTTCAATTATCAGCAACCGAAAAAATTATCCTCTACTCATTCATTGTAATCATGGAAAACATCGAACTGGATGTGTTGTTGGTGTTTTACGAAAAACCAACGAATGGGATACCACCAGCATTATTCGAGAATACACCAAATATGCCGAACCAAAGGTTAGAGAGACAGATGTGAAATACCTACTGGATTTCAAGTTAGCGGATCTTCCCAATGTCATATCAAGACCAAGTCGAGCACCTTTTGTCGTACGTACATTTTATGGTATGATCATGTTGGCATCATTCACTATATCCATCTGGGTATATTCAAGTACTAGATTATTATTACTCACTACCGTTTAATTCAACACAACCTCATTTCGCGATGTATCGTTTCAAATCATCAGACAGGGAAGGCATTAAATCAACATGGACGGCTTATTATGAATATGCCACGACGAGACCGAAGGAGACCATTGATTAGGATCTAATTATGATTCCGATTGTCTAGGAATGCATTGGAAGCTTGGTGTTTCTTCAATTGATTATATCAAGAATGTATTTGAGGAAAATTGAAGATAGAGAAAGAACAACTTCGACGACATGGCGTTGAGAAAATTGAAAGCATATTCATAGGTATAACAGATTTATGGATGGTTGGTTTTGGTAGACTATCAAGTGCTGATATGTCTAATGGAGTTTTGATTTGATTCGCATGGATAAATGTATCCCATCTTAAGTTTCTAATATCAAGATTTGTCGGGATATATTACTACGGGGTTAAGTTCAGATTGACACAATACCTGAATCGAGCTGAATTGAATTGGATGCAAATAGACAGGAATGGAAAAGATGGATAGACAATTCAAATCCAAGATACATCAATTGAAGGGTTTTCCACAGCTTATTTTATTAAATCAAGTATTTGTGACACGTCTGGTTACCCATCCAAATATGTCACCATCACATAAGGTGTTCGGTAAGTCTTCAGAGCTACCTCCATGAAACCTCCTTTTCTTGGTATGCTTCGTACATGCTACCACATGATTAAGATATTCATTCAACCCATCTTGGATTATTCCTCCTATTTTCCTTTTCTTTATTTCGATCACCTTTAGCATATACCCAACCAGCCGCGATAACATTCATCAATCCTATACCAATTGCACCACCTCTAACGATACCTCGAATTGAAAATCGACTCCTAAAGGTATTTGGTCTTCTTCTTAAAGCTAATAGAGCATATGTACCACTACTTGCCGCAGTGATACCAGCACTATCAATCTTGAACCCTTGAAGATTGGCATAACTAGAGAAGAGTAATATAGGTACGAATAACATAGGTTTAATTTGTAATGGACGAAAATGAAGTGCCGTTATTAGTGTTGCGAGTCCTGTAGGAGCGAAAGAGGAATCTGTAGTATGTCAATATTTGTATGTATTTCAGGGTGATATAATTGAGTCGAATTCATGTGAAACGAAACGAAAAAAGGAAGAAAAAAAGAGATACATACTTCCCCATGCTTCAAATTGTGATCCTATGGATTTGGATGGTTCGGAAGATGTCATATTGGATATGTTCGTCGTTCAATCGGTTGATGATCGAATCCTTGTGTACTTTCGAAACCACAAGATCAGATTTCTGTAGGGATATGTGATCGAATAACGAACGAAATAGATAAATCGAATTAAATAGGTCAATTATGATTAACCTCGTCACGATCTAAACTGTTGATATTTATTTGTTTTTTCCTGTAATTAAATAGAGACGAAATTGATATTGATATTAATATTGAATGACGAATTGATGATGAGGCTCATTTTTAAGAATTCTTATTATTCTATTAGAAATGGAAATGGATAGTGGGGTATGGGGTATCGAGGCGATATCATTGCATCTTAGCATGTACCCATACATTCAAAATTTATTATGCATCAGCCACAATCTTATCGGTCTAGAACATTTGAAGCCACTTTGCAACAAGAACTTTAGAATATTCTCAATCAATTTCAGCCTCGACTTCATTTCAATTCAATCACAATTTCATTCCGTTTCGTTCTTTAATTAATGAGGATATCTTCCTCATTTCATAATTCTTGCTCACCATTTTAGCGATTCGATAACACTTCTAATTTCGATTCCTTATATTCAATCATCCGAGCAAACAAAACAACTGGAACGTCGCGTACCTAGATATCATCTACCTACCTACCCACCCACCTACTCGTCCACCTATCAACATATCTTATTCCGATAATTCCATTCGATTTTGATATGTTCATCTCGGATTAACCTCTAAACTCGAGGCGATTCCCTTCGCCATAAACCCATTTATTCCGATCCATCATTCGATTCGATCTAGATCTAATACCGATTCGCCTCGTTTAACCCGCGCGGACCTCATTCGACTCCCATACAAATACAATCTTGATCATGCCTAGCGCAACATCCTCTGGTTTTGATTCCTCAAATGGATCAGCTCGATCTAGAGAACATAATCAAGGAAATCAAGATCGTAAATTCACTCCCGAACAAAAAGCTGCGGTATTACGAATTCGAAGATGTAAAGCGACAGCGTTTTATGATATCCTAGACCTCGAATCCGTACGATCAACATGTTCCGATGCCGATATTAAAAAAGCCTATCGTAAACAATCCTTATTGACACATCCGGATAAAAATGGTCATGAACATGCAGATGAAGCCTTCAAGATGGTTAGTCGTGCTTTTGGAGTATTAGGAGATAAGGAAAAACGAGAAAAATATGATCGATTCGGTACCGATCCGGATAGTAGATTTGAAAGCGCTAGAGCTCAAGCTAGTAATCCATTTAGTGGATTTGGTGGTGCAAGAGCTGGTCCAGGTGGTCCAGGAGGTCCATTTGGTGGTGGTGGAATGTGGGAAGACGAGATAAGTCCTGAAGAAATGTTTCAACGATTCTTTGGAGGTGGATTTGGTGGTCCTTTCGGAGGTAAGTTATTTACGTTTGATCCCTTACAGTCAAAAGTAAAGAAGAGAGGGATATGAGAGTAGAGAAGTCTAACATATAATAGGTTTCGATACTGGACCGCAATTCGTCTTTAATATCGGTGGTAATCGTGGATTCCGAGTACATCAAATGGGTGGTGCAGGTCCTAGAAGAAGACCAAGAGAAACTGACCAACGACCACAAACAGGTTGGGATACATTAATCAGTCTATTACCAATCCTCTTTTTATTCGTATTCCCATTATTGTCCTCCATCTTTTCCGGAAGCGATTCACAACCTACTGTACCATCGATGGTATTCGATGCCGAATCCCCTCCTTTAACATATCATCGAACTACACCAAAACTTGGCGTCGATTATTATGTTGATCCTGCTGAAGTTATCGGATGGAATGATTATAAATTTCGACAACTTGATAAAGAAGCTGAAGTTGGATTCGTACGTGCTTTACGACGTCGTTGCGATACTGAAATGCGTACGAAACATGATTTAATCGAAAAGGCACAAGGATGGTTTCATGTGGATCATGACAAGATGAAAATTGCCGAACAATTCGAAATGTCCTCATGCAAACGTATGGATGCTCTTGGTATTTCCCGGTAGCATTATTTCATCCGGGGATATTGTTTTGAGGATACCTAGATATCATACTTGTGTCTATCGTCCGAAGTCAAGTACCTAGGTAGAGTTATAGGTAGAGGAAAACGGTTCGATTCAATAGTATCTAATAAAGAATTACGAGCGAGGATTTTGAAATGTTTAAATATGCTAGGCGTTTGGAGATTACGAATTAAGCATGAAATTCATCATGTTAGATATTCATGAATTGATACTATATTACTACCTGTATCGTCGTCATTCCTAGTCTCAATCCACTTCTCGATTAATTCTTCAAATAATACAAATACTACTTATCTAATTCCTCTCCTAGGATCTAATGCTTCATTCCTTCTAAAATCTCGTATTTCTTTCGTACCTAAACTTCCTAATCCTCCTTCACTTCTACGTTCCCAACCTCCAAGTCGTACTACAAGACATGTTGCATTATCTCCATCATTACTGACTTCTGTAGCATATGATACAACATCTCTTGAACCTTGTTCGGGTGTTTTGGCTTCTTTAACAATATCAACAATCTCTTGATCGCTTAGAGTACCGGAAATACCATCCGACATCAATACGATAAAGCTATATTGTGCTGGTCCTAATTCCGTACGTGTAATTTCAGGTTCAGCAGAAACACCTAATCGTTTTGAAGCCATATCTCCAAAAGCTCGAGAGTTGGCTAAACCTTGGATTCGTTCTTCACCGAATGAATCCGTCACGAATGATGCAGCGAATCGACGTAATCGATGAGATTCGCTTGGAGAACTTGGTCGATGATCTGATGTTAAAGGTCGAGGTAAACCAGTAGCAGTTTCGCATAATAAAATTCGAGTATCACCAACGTGACCAACAAGTAACGTTGAAGTAGCAGCTGGATGCCAAAATGGAGCTGGTGTAGGTGTTGATATTAAAACAACGGATGCGGTCGAGCCTCCTTTAAATCGTGTACGTCCACCTATACCTTGACCTGATGGAGGTAAATGATGTGGTTTTCCTAATACTTCATCGAAATTTAATGCCGTATCGGAAACGTATGGATCATCAGGATCAGGTTTTCGAGCTTGTGCTGCAACAAAGTCGAGGTCGGCACGAAGGAACGCATATGTTAAAACGGATTCGATACTAATAGGAGGCGCGAGAGAGTCGGAATCTTGTTTAAGATGAAAGTAAGGAGGATGAAATCGTCGAAAATAACCACCAATAGTACTCTTATATTCTTCAACAAGTTCCTTTTGTAATCGTAAAGCTTTTGATTGCGAGACTATGGCTGGGATAGGTTGACTTCCTTCGATAGCTTTGGACTTTTGAACTTCTTGTATCGCATCATTTTTATCTATTTCGGGTATCTCAGCTTTTGCCATGACAGCTTCCGAACCTTTTATATCCAATTGGTCAAGTTTCTTTTGTCCAGCAGTTTCGATGTCGGGTAGGGTTCGTTTCGGGGTACCAGAAGAATCCGAGTCGGGGTTATTACTCTTTCGCGTCGAACGAAGACTGCTTTTCAATTCGAATTCTTCTGCTGCCTCTTCGATATATCCATGAAGTTCATCTCGTAGAAAATTACTACATTGTGTCCCTCCATGACCATCAAAAACCCCAAAATAAAATATTTGAGGATCTCCGTATGCACTATCAGCCGATGTACCTTCTCCTGTCTTATTCATAGTACTTCTAACAAGACTAATAGGAGCACGTTTTGCGAAAGCAGGTATATCGATAGTACCGGCTTGATTGGTATCTTCATTATATGGTCTCGAACCTCTGGAATCCGCAGCACCGAAATGATGTTTAGCACTACGTAAAGGTATACGAACAACGGTTAAATCTCGATTCGACGGTAGATGGGGTGGAGATATGGGTGCGGCACCGGAATTCGAATTATGAGGAGCGGCTGCGGATCGAGGTAATTTATGATGAGGACCGGTAGGAGCTCGTGAATCGGGATGTAACGAAGAGGATGGTAGATGTGTTACGAAATATGTATGAAAACCACGTTGAACATTACGTGGTGAAGGAGGAACTTGAGAGGATTGGGATTCGACACGAGATGTAGTATTCGTATCTTGGGATACCGAAAAGAATCGATTTTGGGAGTTTGATGCTGTACATCTCGAAACGGTTCGATACGTATATTTCGAGCTATTTGATTCGAAGAAATTCGCGATAAAACCTATACAATCTATTGTTAGTTAAGTCGTGCTACGCAAATCCAAGACAAGCAGGAAAGCAGATAGAAACGAAGCCGAAAGACGGGCGGACAATAGGTAGACAGGCAAATAGAGGGACAGATGAACTACTAACCATACGTATCATTCAAGGACCATCTTTTCGGTCCACGACCTAACCCCATAACGTAGGTGATATAGGGATATCCTTAATTGTCGAATTGAGGTATTGTATTCGGCTTCACAACACATGTGTTAAGCACTCAGGACCATACGGTGTATGATTATAAACGATCGCAAGGTAAATCGGAGTAGAATTCGCAATTCAAAGCCGGTGTCGGAAGTATTGACGAGATAAATTCGTTTCGTTTCGTTAGGGTATTGTTGAGGATGATGATCATGTGGTAAAACGTCAAATGAAGTCAATTAGACTTGGGTAGGTTAGGAAACGAGCATAAACTAAATCAGGACCGAAAATTAACATCAAGGAGAACAAGAGTGTATATAAATTCAACTCCAAAAGACGAAGATGAATAATGAATTAAGAAAGAAACATTTGATGCCTTGGTAAGAATTAGGAATTAGGTATGATGGAATCATTTTGGAGGATTAAAGTTGTCCGCCTCAACCCGACGGTTTGGAGAGAAAGATCCCACAAAACTCTATTAATTTCTTAGAACGTACCGAAAATACAAGGATATGATTGGTTACATCAAGTAGTGGGGTTTAGCAAGTACATGCACATATCTAGCAATTGAATTTTATGTTTTATCCATAGATGTATCCTAGTAGCATCCGCGATCCGTCTTTAGTTTTACATTTCAGATACATTATCACAAAAGAAGCCCTCAAAATACACCATAATTCGAATCGAATATCCAACGTTCACATTGGGGTTTACAGTAGCTATAGGTATTAAACTAAGAGAACCTATACCTACGAGTACCTAGATAGGTATGCGTCATGCCGTCATGCCGTCATACCCGAATGTTAGTTCAAAAACCATGCGGGGCTTTAATGTTAACGCATACTTTAATTGGTACCTAGGGACCAATGTGCTTAAGGTTGATAAGAATCAACCAAAATATCAATTCATAATACGTACCATACATTTACAAACATACCTAGGTACCTACAACTTCAAATTTACTACACCACCATTATCAATATCTATTGCGACATTCAAGATAATCACACCAGTTATAAGTCAGAATTGATACCGTTCCATCATTCAAATGTTAGTTCGGTTCCATATCCATTCAAATTTACATACCGGAAAATAATCAACACCGTTTCGGTAAAGATCCAAGTCTTGCGTAGTATTCATCTACAATTCGACATTCTCCACGCGGACATACGGGTTCCAATACCTTACCTAGGATTGCCTAACAGCCTAGTTATCGCACCTAAGCTACTTGGTAGATAGGCTAGAACTTCCTGGTCTATTATTCCTTGCATATTTTCTCCTCTTATAGATTCATATATACATAGACACGCCCACATCCGAATCCACCGCATCTTTCATTCGTTACAACATCATATTTCCGGTAGAACCCGACACCGGATTATGTCTATTTCCAACGTCGGATCTGTCGTATTACATTTAGTTGTATTCTTAACAACTCTTGTCAATTTTCATTCGGTTTTATCTCATGTTGAACCTGTCCTACTTATCGGTCTTTATATACTTTCGAAATTGTTTACTCGAACTCCCGACGATTTTTGTATGTTAAAATGTCCAGAGCTTTAAGTACACAAGTCGATTTGGAGATAGCCATCAATGGTTATATAACTCCAGGAGAAGATTATTTCGACCGAGGTGCTGCTTCACCGGTTTTATCTTCAATATCGAATCGAGAACAACAAGAAAAAAGACCTCGACCTACTCCACTTCCTGGTCCACCAAATGCCGAAAGTTTAGCTAGAATGATATCCAATGCTAGAAAATCGAAAAAAGGAAAGATAGGAATACGTGATAGAATATGTTGTCATCAATGGACTTGGTTTACGATGGTACGTATGATTTTCTTATGTCGTTCTTTTTTTCGTCGCTAACATAAATTAGACAATGGTAAGCTAAGACTTTGATATCATGTACTTTTGATAGTCATCTCTATCATATATATCATAAGTCGCATACTTAATGATACCTAGGCAACTGGTGGTGTTGCCAATGTCCTTCACTCAGGTAATATCCCTCCCCCTAACAAGGGTTCGAATCATAGAATACCTAGGTGGCTAACATTTAATTTAGTATGGACTCCGTATCGTGCTGATTGGATTTGGTATATCGGTCTCATCTTCTTTCTTCTCAATTTATGTCTTTTTATCATGAATTGCATCTTAATTACGATGAGATTCATCATGGTACCGGGAAGTTTTATGCATTCATTTTTGGATCAAATGGAATCACTTTTTATTCCATCCGTGGTACGTTCAATTTTTTCAATTCCTATGTCGCTTAATCTCATATCTATTAATTCATATATCAATTCATATAATATCGGAATTTTATACGATACCAAACTAATGTTGAATTAGGTAGTCTCGTAAGTTTCACGATGGACTTCATCATGACACCTTCATTGATTACGAACAGCACTGCAACTATCATGATCAATACTTGCGAATATGGTATTCCTATGACAGGTCCTTGGCTTCAACATACTATGGAATGGTTATTTTGGATTTATATCGTCGTAAGCGTAATAGCTAGTGCTGGTATGTATTTGATTTTATGGTCAACTCAGTAAGTCAATCCATTCGTCACATTTCAATCCGACATTGTTCTTCTCGGGTCACTAACATATAACAGAATCTTCCCTATTCATACCATGACACCCGTTTGGGTATTTCCAGGATATCCTTTACTTTTAACGGCTCCGTTCGCTAGTACACTCATAGCAGCGAATACTACGGCTATGAACAATCCACCTATCAATAGATTAGCTATAGCAATGTGTGCCATAGCTGTACAAGGTACTGGGTTCCTTATAAGTTTTATGATATGCGCTGCATTCATTTATCGTCTTATGACACAAAAGTTACCTAGAGATATGCAAAGACCAGGTGTAGTAAGTCATACCTACCAATGTCCCCTTATGATTCTCGATATTGACTTCCTATCAGTTCATCTCTATTGGACCTAGTGGTTTTACAGTAGCTGGATTAGGTATGATCATCCATTTATATGCAGCCTGTTCAGCCTGGATATTCATCTAGATGGTACAACTAACTTAAATAGTTTCCCTCGGTCAGCAATCACAAGTTGTCATACCAGATAGTTTTCAAGGATCAACTCATAGTGTTATCATCTTACGATTACTCTCAACTATAGTTGGATTATGGTTATGGGGTCTTAGTATTTGGTTCTTTTTAGTATCGGTCGGTTCATTATGGAAATATGTACGACCTGAACGAAAGATGCCTTTTCAAATGACATGGTGGTCTTTCGTCTTCCCAAATACCGCATTAGTTACTGCTACTTTAGCTTTAGCTACCGCACTTGGAAGTACTGGACTTCGTATTTGTGGTTGTGTTATGGCAGCTTTATTAATTGTTGTTTGGGCTCTCGTTTTGATGAGTATGTTGAAATGTCTTTGGAATAGACAACTACTTTGGCCGAAAGAGTTAGAAGGCGATTGATCAGTTACGACTTCTCATTGGATGAGGGCTCAATATTGTTGGGTACCAAGTTAAGGGTTCACGAAGCATGTATTTCGGCGTTTGGTTGATACCCAAAATTAGACATCATTCTCGCGATAAGATGGTCAATAAAGTTAGATATGGTGATAGACAACATAATATGTATCTGCCCTGCTCAGAAGTACCTAGCAGGTATGACTCGAAGTCCCCAAGCACCCAGTTGACATGACAGGTATCTACCTAGATATCTACTCAATCTCTTCAATTTTTGGCTTCACCTTTGGTTCTAGTGATGGTAAATCTGGTCTCGAACTAAGCCCAATATCTAATCCAGCTAGTTTCGTCAATGCTGTAGGTCCTTGATCATCACGAACTTCCGAGATGGATGATACCAATGTACTTAAATGCCAATTTTGTAAACTTTCCACAACATCACGAGCATGTTGTTGTACAAGTCCATCATTATCCGTTTGTGCGATATACTCAAGTGAACGTGTAATATCCTCACGACTTGTATCTGTAAGTCCAAATCCAAGACGTTTACCACTTTCGCGTGCATCCGAAAGAGCTTTAACGAAATGTAAAATAAGAATAATAGCAGCTCGTCGTAAAATTCCAACTTCCGGATCGGTTTCGAGAGCGAGAATGTTAAGACATAGATCGACGGATGTCTCAATAAGAGAAGTACCCAATCCAGCAACATTAATTTCAATACCGACGGAGAGGATAGATAATGCTGAAGCACGCATACGTACGTCTTCCGCTCCACGTTTACTTTCCCATCCAGATACGATATGTGCGATAATTTCATTCCGTGATTTCTCTTCTTCCGTTTGTTCATCAAGTTCGCTAAAGTCAGGTACCTCTCCATGCCAAGCATCTTGAGCTGCTTTATTTTTCATTTGTTTCAGTCGATCTTCTCGTTCTTGTTTCGTCTTGGTTTTAGGTCGATATGCGCGTCGTCCCGCGATTGTAAGTAGCGCTTCACCTACTTGCTTTGATGTTTCTCCTGAAAATGTCTCACCAAGACGTTGTATCACTTGAAGTAAAGCTTCACCGAATCGTAGTCGAACATCGGTCGTCTCTAACTCGTTGGCATCGATATAATGTTCTAATATCTCTTTGGTAGTTGATCTAGGATGTTTATTCGCCAGTTGAGTGAATAATTTCAATACCGTCAAATTGATATAATCATCATCTTCGTTCAGAAGCGACGAGAGAAGTACCAAGATGGATTGAATATCGAGGATAGGACTACTAGATCTAATTAACCCAGATAAAAGATTTAAACCTTCTGTCCGTACGGGCGGGGGGGAATCTGACTGCGTAATATATGATATAGCTAGGTTATATGTTTTGCGATCTTCTACTTGACGATCCGTTGGTGCTGTTGTTCTTTCAGACGGATCGTCAATCCCGTCTCGGTATTTTAGAAGAAGGGAAAGGTTGCGAGCCGTTTGTGATATATCCATATCTTGTGACTTGCTGATTCTTTCGAGTGAGGTTTCGATAGACGTGATGATATCTGTAGGTGCCTTTGACTTTTGAAAACCTGGGGCTGTGACCACGATGTTTAATAGACTTAATGCCACCGCTGTAGCATCATCGTGCGTCGAGATTGAAGAGGTATGCGATTCATTCAATACCTGACTAACAAATTCAAGTAATTGTTTCCAATTTGATACTAATTTGTCGGATAACATTTCCATCATCTTTTGAAGAACTTTCGCTTCGATAATTTGTATTGTTGGATCTTTCAATGGATCTTCCTTGGAAATGAATTGAATCTCATCAGTTCTCTTTTTAGATCCAAATGAACTTCGGAATAAACTGAGAAATAGTGTAGAAATATCGGAATCGGTCCCAACAGACTGTAAAAGATTCACGAGAGAATCCGATTTCGATTCCAATAGTTTCAGGTTCAACTCAACGTCGGAAACATTCGTATTCCCTCGTAATTGCTTTATTTGAATTTTAGAATCTCCCACTTGGTCATAAATCCATCGAGGCTTAGATGCATCCGAGTTTCCATTGATGAGAAGGTTGTCAAGAAGTATTTGGAATTTCTCAGGAGACCCCGAAAGCTTGAGGTAGATCTGCAAAAGGGTATGTGCAGGATTTCGATATCGATCGTCAAATTCCTTATTCGTAGAAGACCAAGTTGAAAGTGTCCATAGCGGTAACATCAATGGCGTAAGCAGTCTTTTGGTTAAACCCGGATTTGGATGCGATTCCAATAAGGAAGATAATCGCCTCAAAGCAACATATAATTCGTCGGCTTCAACAAGAACTGCTTCTTTTTGTAAATCAATAACTTCATCTGGACCAGCGCTGAAAACGAGTGGATCGTTCTTAGATTCTTGTGATGATAAGCTTGGATCGATCTTAGCGAGCATCGGTTCAGCAAATGATATCCAACCAGATGATCCTAAATGAAATAAATGTTAGAAAACATATATCATCTCGAGGATCAATAAAACAGGTCATACCAGGAGCACCAAATTGTTTTCTTCCTAATATACCAAATCCAATAACGTATGAAGCAGCCCTCATCAGATCCGGACCATCCTTTCCATCAAGAAGGGTTAAAAGTTGGGGCGCGATACCAAGGAACCATTGTTCAGGTGGAACTGTAGCAGGTGGGGTAGATAATAAATTTGTTGCTAATTTCAAAGCTTCCATGGTAATGTTGGCTCCTTGTTTCTGTGGCGTTGCTGCTTCAGATGTCTTTACTGTACTAGACGGATGAATAGAAAAGACAAATTCCAATGTAGCTCGAACACCATCCGGTCTTTGAGGAAGTATGGTAAGTACATCCATTAAACGAACTTGAAGCCATCCTGGAACGCGATCAGGTTGGGTTAATTTACTTAGGATTGACATAAGCGCTATGGTATTTGTTCTGATGAATATTAGAAATGACTATTCGATGTCATATAATTGACATACTTGGATAGGAGAGCGCTGAATTCTTTTTGACCTTCTGAACGAGATTGTTCATCACTTGAAGGTTGAAATGCTTTCAATCCAGCACTTTCAATAGCTAATATGAGGGAGTCTTGCCGAGACATTGTAGATTTGATGTGATTACAAAGCTGGTAGTTGGAATCGCTACCGGGGTAGATAATTAGATAGTCGAAAAAACCTATATTGATCGAGTATTCAGATTAATAGCATTCATGCACTAGATGTGTCGTATTCGGATCTTCTAGTCTTCGTGTTTCGTTGAATACGGATTAAATGAGGATGAAGTTGAAAGAAGTTGATCGAAGTTGAGAAAGTTGAAGATGACAATTACGTAGCCCCCAGAACTGGCAGCTTAGGCAATTTAGTGGACAATTTAGGTTGATACCACTGTGGTTTAGTGGATCTAGTGGATACTTAATTGATTATGGTTGCTAAATAGCGTGAATAGCGGGGGCGGGGTAACAAGTGGCACCATTTGTCAAGTCCGTGCCAACTAATAAAACGCGATCATAAATCTAACGCGTTTTTCAATTATTTACTTTCTTTCTTTCTATCCAATCATCCTACTCTCACAACTATTCATCATCAACTTCCTCATTCCCTACCGGAGATAAATCAATCGCTGGTAATTTACTCGAGATACGAATTTATTCATCTTTAATCTTATTGAATCCTTTCGAATTACAACTCTTTCGGTCATTTTGAATTGACCTTTACATAACTCGCATGACACCTACTCTACAGTCCTCCGATTCCCATTTTCCGAAAGGAATGTCTTCGTGACCCCTTAATCGAATCTTTTAATACCTCACATAACACGTCGCTATTTCTTGGGGTCAAAAGGGACCTAATAAGAATTGCCGCGTAAGGATTGTTATGGGAAGGTTGTTTACCGAATCTTGGTAGACGGATCGATTAATAGGGAATGGTATTTCGGAACTTAACCCTAAGCTACCTCTTGGTTCCAAGTTTTGCGTTTACAGTCGTTCAGAATCTACCTTATAAGTTCCTTGTCGATTTTCTAGTGATACTATGTCCTGCTGAAAAGTAGGCATAGTAGATCCGGACTTCAAGGGGTGGAAGGGGAGTAGTTGAACTTTCCAGTCATCTTTATGATGTGTGAGGTGCCTTTGCTATGAGTCGTATTGATAAGAATACCTGGTCTGGTATCACTCGTCAGCTTTGTGTCGCTGGTATTTATACTCTGGTCATTCAATGCCGTATTGATGATGTTCGTTAAAAGTTATGTGGGAATGAAAGATGGTTTTCCTTTTGGTGTACTGTTGTTAATTGAAGACAGCATTGGCATTCGATTTGATCGTATTCTGCCATTGCTTGTAACATCAAGACTAATGGAAGGAAGGTAATATTGGTTACATACAGTCAAGACCTTGTAACAATTTCATCATTCATCATTGATCTTATTCGCCGGAATCATCTATACCACTGTTTCGACCGAGTTAGATGAGCGATGATCATTTGGTTTCAACAGAAATTGTCATAAGAATTCTTGATAATTTTTATTGCCATATTATTTCTTCTCGGAATCCATCTGTCTTTAGTTACGATTCGATACATCATCAGTTGTTGGTTTAAACCCCAACTCATCAAAACAAGCTTTAATGAATCCATCCACTTCATCTCCCCAACCAATTTCATCACGACTCTCAATACCACATTTGGACAATTGTCATTGATGTGTCATTTTATGAGGTATGATCAGGCGCATTAACTTTCTCTTGTGGGTTTTGTCCCATGATGATGAAAGACGCCAAGCCTCTTTCATTCACTACTCTAGTGGTAGTGTATGAATTTCCCTCCCCTCTACCAGATATGGATTGAGGAGAGATGATAGTACGATTTTTATGGATGTATTTTGATCGTACGGAAATGTCCCCCTTGTTGCTTTAGATTTATCTAAACTCGTCGGGGAGGAATCAAAAACAAGTCCTTGTTGGTAATGCGTTCTACAGAAAGAGTTGTTAATGAGAATAGGATCAATATGATCGATTTGATTTGATTCGCCGGGTCCAACAATTGATAACGTCGAAGATGGTTTGGATAAAGTGGGAAGTAGATTCATGAATGTTGTTTTGAGAAATACATGATCGGGTAAGCCGTCAAATGTCACTTTTTTGTAGGGAACGAATATCCGGGACCCATCTTGAGTTGGTGTCAAAGTTTTGTACTTGTCCGGATTTTTTGTCTATGAAAAAGATGATGTTGATACGGTAAACCTGTCAATGTATAAATCATCGCTTTTTGGATTTAACACTACATATTTGAAGGACAGGCCGATTGGAAAGGTTGTCCTAGGTTGTCCCTCTAACTCGTAGTCGCTATGGGTGGAGGGTCAGCCCCCTTTTTTAGGGATAAGTCTCCCCTCTATTACTCTCCATCCCCACCATCATCCTCTGACTCTGTGTCATCCTCTGTCTCCCCTTCAAAGTCTGATACGTTTCGCTGATCATCCGATTTCAAGATTTCATAGTTCATAGGATATCCTTCAAACACCCAATCTTCAAAACTAAGACCTTCTGCTATACTTGGCATCTTAACGAATATCGGAATTTCAACATCAATATTTGTGCGGATATCGTTCGCTGCAAACCTAACGGCATGATCTGTTACCTTTTCCAAACCCATCGACTCATAGAACGAAGCGGTATTTTCTAAGGTTTCCACGTATAAGGGAAGCTCAAGTTCGTCGGCAATATCAATTCCCCATTCTAATAGGAATTCTCTAATTTGTTCGCGTCGATAATCTGGATGTACTGTTAAGCTTGAAAGGTCTTGATTTTATTAGTTTTTTTTCTGTCAGTAATTTAAATCATGATTTCAACTCACAGACGTGTTTACGTCCACCAAATGCATCTTCCCTAATTTCAATCAATCCTTCCAAATTCTTTTGGCATTTCGATTTTTTCTCTTCGCCCTTTAACAAATGAAATATCTCAAGTGGTTGTTTCTAACCATTCTTTTGAGAATCCCATAGGATTTGCCAACTGGCTACTCCGACAATCCTATCTGTATCTGTATCGACGCATTTTACCGTGTAAATATTTCGTTCGGTATTTTCAAGTTGTTTCCGTAATCCATTAGAAAGGTTTCTTGGAAGTGTATGTGATATTCCTAAGGCATATTCGAACGCTGCAATATTGACCTCGGCGATAGCTTCAACGTCCCAGGAGTTTGTTGGTAAAACAGCGAACGGCATTTTGAAATTATTTTTTATTTAAGATTAACAAATCAGATAGGAACGGCTGTGGATGTTGAGTGTTTAGAATTGTATAGGATGGTTGATGATTTAAGAAATGAATGATGTGTCTTGATGTGTTGTTTTTTCACTTGTGCCTTCTATCAACCACCTAGACACCTGCCTAGGCGTTCTAGGATCAACTGACTCTTGCTGCTGTGATGGTGTAAACCACCTAGGTACCTGGGTAGCTAGTGCCCTTGGCGCATCCATATAGGTAATACTCAGCTTCCTAATGTTTAAGAAAGTGCAACGCGACCCTTTCAACAACTAACTAGGTACATTAGGCATACAAGAAAACAAATATCATACCTTCATCAACGTAAATTATAGCAAGATCTATTCATACCTAGGTAAATAGCTCCAAATTACCAGGCCAGAACTACCTAAATATGAAGTCGAAAGTCTGCGTATACTTAAATAAGATCGCGACCGTCCAATTTATAACGGGCTTAGGGGAATGGCATGTGACGTATTAATTCCTTAACTAGTACAGCAGCCTACCTAGATGCATAAATTACAGAACGGTTGTCAACCTTAGAATACCTCAAGTTTTAAGGAATTTCCATTTTTGGCTGCTAACACAGGTTACAAGGCAACTGATTGGGTTAAATAATTAGCGCGAGTAAAACAATTGCCCTGCTTAGCAGCTTAGGTATTGCATTCTAGGCTTATCTAGGGCTCATGAAGTAGAAAATAGGTCCATCAGTTTACCTACCTAGGTATGTAATGAGCCTGGCGAAGTATACCTAACGTTGGCATTTAGTAGGCTACCTGCAAATCCCCTACCTTTAGACGTCAGACACATACAATTGGCCGTTAAGAATCATCAATCATGGTACAGTCCCAGGGCATTTGGATGATTTAAGTACCTAGGTAAATAAACGTTTGTTGGTAGATTGATTACAACGTATCTCTTTTCATCCAATAAGAACAGATCCACTTGGACTTGCATCCTGGCATACATATGTACCTTGGAGGCTGAGAAGTTTGCCTAATCCTTCAAACCAATGCGACCGCGGGGCTGTGTCGAAGAAATAATGGCGATAACAAACACTCGCGAGTAGATTTTTTCCTACTTCAATCAATATGCTATTTCTTTGATAATTATTCTTCTCCTTTCAATTCTCTTCTTATATTATTTCATGTAATTTTTCGCCTTCGACAGCGCAAATTCGTTCGTTTTCGAGATTACTCAACTCGCCACGATGGCAGTCGACGAAAAACGATCATGTTCTTCGCGATTATCTTTCCTTCGAACCAAAAGAGCAATGTTCGCATTGACAATATTGGTTATTATATCGGCCGTATTAATTGGTAAGTTTCTCCTTTACCTTCCATCGATATTAATTATCAAATACCTACATGTAGAGGACCATATGCTAATGTCTGTGTTCAACCGTAGCTCTCGGCGCGACCCACGTACTTCGATCCGATAACGGTAGCAATAACGACAATAACGACAATAACAATGACAATAATCCTCAGCGACCGACCGATGTCAACATAACATCAGATGGTATCATGTCCGCATTAGGGAATTGGAAACCAAAGAATTCAAGCAATATCGCAAGTGGTACACCTCTTCGTATTATGGCACTTGGTGCTTCATTAGTTCGAGGAGAATTTTCAATTGGTAATATCGGATTTCGCAAGACAATGCGTGATCAACTAGTTGATTTAGGTGTTCCTGTCAACATGGTTGGATCTCAACGATTCGGAGATATGCTTGATAATGATCTTGAAGCATATGGTGGAAATCGTGTCAGTCAAATTTATGAACATGCTACTCATATCGTACCACAACTTCAACCAAACATCTTCTTGATTCAAGTAGGAACAAATAATGTTCTTCAAAATCGAGATGTCGACAAAACGGGTACAGATATGAAAAACTTCATAAATTACTTATTAAAGACATCCCCTCGATCGACCGTAATATTTAGTACCTGTTTAACCAACACAGTTCCCGATTGCGAACCCAAGATTCTAGATGTCAATCAACAATATCGCGATCTCATCAAGAATTATACCGGAAAGCCAGTCTTATTAGCAGAAATGCATCCTAGCGAAGGATTTCCTGATCGACCACAACCTTCCGATATTGGTCCTGATGGTACACATCCTTCAGATTATGGTTATGAATTAATGGGACATATCTTTACAAAAGGTATTCAAGAAGCAGATAGGAAAGGATTTCTTCGATGGCCGGTTGAAAATGGACTTGAAAAAGATGGAGATGCTGGAAGAGCTGAAGCGAATACGACAACGGTAGAATTACCACCACCCACTTCGACGACAACTACTATTACTAGTACTTCTCAAACCGATTCAACAAATACTGTAACTACGAAACCCACGGCGAAAAGCTAGACCTTCGATGGTGTAAGGGTTTGATATACAGCAATCCATGATCATATCATACGTAGAATTGTATGTTATGTATGGTTATGATTGCCTTCTCTCCACCTAATTACGGCGAATCGCACCCGATTAGTGATACGGTGGTACCCAACCCACCAACCTAGGTACCTAGATACGCTATGAAGTCACTGAGGATCTACAACATTAGGGGAACTCGGCTAGAGATCGAAAGGCTTCTTAATTCGAATAATTCGACTCGGTTCAGGTTACCTTAATAATGAAGCTATACCCAGGTTCTTGCCGAAATATCATACGTACTAGTATGATATAGGTCATAGCATCGTGTCGCAAATGCTAGGATTTTGAAACGAGGCTCTCCAGACCCATGTAAATCAATAAGTTACCCCTAGGTAATCGGGTAGTCTGAAGACTGATCTTTGCAACATCATCATGCAGTCACGTAAGGAAATTTCATAAATTGATCAATTTCAATGCAATTGAACGTTGTTAGAATTTCCTTACTCATCCTCACAAATACCATTTTTTTCTATTTTTTTTATTCGTAATAACTAGATATATTATTTTGTAGGTAAGATTCTACGAGAAAATGACATGGATCAATTTTCATTCGTACACTCGTCATGGCGCTAATACCCCCTGTTAACCGACGTCTCAATGGTATCGTCTCAGATTCAAGTCGAAACAGCTTCAGTTACAGCCACCATTACTTTTGTAAATATGAAGGATATAATATGGAGTTATGATTGACTTATTCATAATACCATAAAATCATTTCAATCCCCTCTATTGATCTCCATGATCTTCAACTTCCCTTTCTCATATCATTCTTTTTGTTACGAACAGACTTATTTATTAAATTTTAACTTGATTCCCCTGTGTAGATCACGATGGAATCTCAAAAAGCCAAGTACGCCAATCTACAACACGTCGATGATCGAGATGATGCAAGATCTAGTACCGAAGTTGAAGATTCTTTAATGGGTGATGAAAAACAATGGCATGATGTAGAATTGAACAGACCAACAACACGAAAAACAAGAATACGTCGATTCATCACTACAATCAAATCAACTAGATGGATAATCGATACTACTCTATTATTGATCATATTAGGATTATTGATACGAGATCAATGGCGAAAACCTGAAGAAAAAGAAGTAAATCCTTGGCAATTTGGTCAAGATTTAACCGGAGTTGGTCCAAGACGTAAGTTAAATATGTATCGCATGAGAATTCGTACATCAAATCTAATGAAGTACCCAGTTTCTCAAAAAATCACAACATTCGTCCGAGATGAATCGTACGCACCGAATAATACAGCCGAATTCTTCACAGATGAAGTATTACAGAGATGGAATGATATGATGCCAACGGGTATGGGATTTGTATGGGTGAATGATACAAATAAGTATCATGATCTACCTACACCCATCATGTGGCCGGATAAGACTGTTTTTACTACATCAGCTACTCATCAATTACACTGTCTCGTAAGTTTCTAATTCTCTTCCCGTTGGAGCATCATAGCTTACATCTCCTTTAGTTCGCCATCGTTCAAACCTACTCTGGATTAACATCTGGTCATGAAATTCCAGATGATCATCATTGGCATATGATTCATTGTTTCGATTATATGAGACAAGCTATTATGTGCAGCGCCGATATGGCTTTGGAAGGACTAGAAACTACATTCCCAGATCATAATGGAGGTTCTGATGGTTGGGATTCTAAGCATGGTATGTCTCTATCTATCCCTCTTGACTTTTATTTCATACTAATGAATAAATACAGTATGCCGTGATTGGAATGATGTCAAGTCATATTTGGAAAGTGTACGCGCATATGACGATAAACTCATCTATTGAGAAATATTTTATTTGTTTTATTGGCATAAATAAGCATAGGAGTTGGGGACATGGAAATATTCAATTATCCATCAAGAATTCATTACATTAACATCGAAATTGATGTTGAATTGATGCTATATCAAACTAAAATTCGGAGTACATGATTTGACCCATCATCCAAATGATTGAATTGAATATGAGAAACACATATAGTTAATCATGTACAGGTAGCATGATAACTGCTCCATGCTGAATATATCTTCACATGGGGTGATGGAAACTTATTTCATCATATGAGCAAAATCATCCATGTATTCGGTCGGGTTAGCCGAAAACGTTTCCGCCTTTTTAAGTTCCTCTTCAGCCTTCCTTTTCTCTTCTATAGTATTCTCTTCGGCTTTCTTCTTTCTCTCTTCTTGTTCCAAAGCAGCCTTTTCTGGATAACACGTAGGACAAGTTTCATCAATGACAGGATGAGCTAATTGACCCGATTTAGTCATGACGTTATTCGTAACACGTATAGGGTGATATGTATTCGCATACAATCCTAACTTAGCTTTTGTGCATAATCTGATATCTGTCTTATGATGACGGCTATGCCATGGTTTTTTGCATCGAAGATAATCATGTACATGACTTTCACACATCTTCACTACTTATCCAGATACCTTAAAGGTCTAAATAGACGAAATTAAGCTCGAGATAACGAGTTTAGCTCGATATAATAAAGATGTATGATGGTTTTGAGGAAAAGATGGCTACGCAACGTCGTTCGTACCGTAAATATAAAATTGTGGGAATAGTGCGTGACTTTATAGAATTTCTATTTTTCTTAAACAAAGATAATGTATTGTAACAATCACATTCTCATAATACTCACCCTTTGTTTATCTCTTAGTCAAGCGCATTATGCATTGTTGTTGTATTTAAGGTCATTGTTTACGATTTGATCTTACCTGTGTTCCCAATCAGGCGCTGTGAATTGACCTACCTAACATGACAACCCACCAAAATCTCCAGCCATGCCTTCGTGTGCCTTTACTATATTCAGTTATATTTTATCGAGAGAATTGAGCCATCCTCAATTCTAAAGGAGGTGTTTTGGGGGGTCGTCGCTGTCAATAATTTCTAATATCTTTCCTATGCGCCTTTATAGGTTCTATGTAAGTGTGTGCTGTCTCTATCACGATGCAGGTAAATCGACTTAATGGTCACGCATTTAGATAGTTACCTGTGATCTTTATTCCACCAAGCCGAAACGAATTTCATCCGATGACCCCCTTATTAAACCTGTTGAGTTGAGATGCAGACAGTCGTAAAATTACGGATTGACTTTCGATTTAAACACGCGACACTATTTTTAAGGAATAGCAGGACCTGATTAATATGAATGATACATACCTAGATGCAAAATGTCTCGACGTGTAACGTAGCTGAAGAGGGGTAACACACAATCATTCCATATTCGGCTGTTATTCATGTGTATGTGACCGAATTGAATCTCGCCTCCAATTGAAGACATTTGTTAATAATGCAGAAGATGAAGTTTAATTAAGAAGACGGGATACATGTATGTAGTCGATTTTGTCATACTTATCGGCGTAGAGTGGATCCCGGTACCGGATGACCGGAGAGGAAGTTGCAGTGCTCATGTGTTACCTTCCAACCATATGGTGTATTGACGTATAAGCAAATAGTGTATGTTTCGGCATAGTTAGAGAACTAGTAAATGAAACTCGCGTAGGGGGTGAAGACGTAAAACTATGACTAGAGTAGATAGGGGAAGAAGTGCATCGTCAGCCCAGAAACGCGACTCTCATGAATACATACATATGGGTGCCTGGGAAATTCAACCGCCGGAAATATTATACCGAGAACGATAATATTGAGCGTCAAACTTATTCGAATTGGTCCGATGAACCGTTTCACACGAGGAGAGGGTCTACAAGCCTCTGTGGGAAGAATTGAGTGCCGGTCCAAGATTGGGATAGTTCAAAATCCTCCCCAATGGACGTAGTAGATATCCATTGTTATCTATTAGTGGTATACACTACACCAGTAAAGACACAATAATGTATTCGTTAATGCGTTGATTGCTTATATCCTATGGAGGTTGTAAGTTTCGTGGAAGTATCCATGGATGTGGTTATGTGTTAGATGATGATAGTGGGGTCATCCGACGAGATCCTACTACGAACGGCCTGGAAATAATTAGGCACAGATCGATAGGTAATGAATTGGCAACAAGGGAAACATTACGAAAGAAATTTAGCCCCTGAACGCCACTGTGAGGATTATAGATATCGATATCTCAATAATTACCTACCTACCTACCTAACTAGGGTAGTAGACCGATTGCCACAAAAACTACGCTAAGAAATCGTCAATGGAACATTGATTAATTACATAATAAATTTAAGTATTCATCTCATTGCATACTGTTACTATTTTAAGTAAAATAAGCAAATAACAAAAATCGATACATTTACGCGTCTACCCCTAGAAATACACGGGACGGGACATGCGCCACAATTAAGACGCGGAATTTGGCCGATCTAGACGTCAAAGAATTTCTGGCCTGAACCCTGGAACATTTGAACAAGTAATAATAACCTCAAATTTATCTAATTTGGTATAGCATAATCAACGAAATATCTTTCATATTTTTGATTCGAAAAGCCCGTTTACTCGAAAATACCGAATAACAAAGTACAAATCTTCGATTTTACATTCCGATTTTTATAGACCTTTCGCCCTTTCGTTTATCCATCATACTCGACAACTCGACCTTATATCCTTTCGCCTCCCTTTCGATTTTTCGATCTTTCGACCCTTCGATTCTTCGACCCCTTCCCCTTCGCTTCCCGTTTCTTTCCGGGCGCGTTCGTGTGAAGGGGAAGACGACGAGAAGAGGGAAAGCATTGAAGCAAATATGCGATGTCGTATCCACCGGCCAAGCGACAGCGATCTAACACGTCGCGAGATTCTGTCAATGGCACCCCACAAACAACTGCTCCTGCCTTGCGACATCATCAAGTCAACCAAGGAATCAATTTATATTCCCCGACCGGATACGAAAATGGAGGTTATCCCCTCCAAACGACCGCTCGTCAACAAGTTAATTATAACCCATACTCTCCCAACACGGTGACGAATACAACTGGCGGATATGGCGGAGCATACCAAACTTCCTCGACAGGTTATGGTTCAGGACCATATAGTCCTCAACAACAGACTCCTAGCTTTGCTACACATTATTCTCAGGCACCTACGAATGGACATATGACTTCTCATGTTGCGCATTATGCTCAAGCAGCGATGAATGGAATTCGTAATGGAACATTTGCGACGGAAACACAAGCACAAACACAAACGCAGACATTGTTACAAGGACAATCACCACAGGCAGGAACGGGTGGAACGTATTCTCCTATACCGACGAATCATGTTACAAATTACAATCAACAACAGCAACAACCACAACAGCCCGCTAATCCTCCCACATCGACGTTATCGCAACATCCTCAACATTCCTTGTCGCAATATGGGGAACCATATCCTTCACAGACGGTAGCACATCCTACAACATATCACGCTAGTACCAATTCATACTCGGAAACTCCCTCTACGTTAAATTCTCATTTTAGCCCGGCGCATCTTCCTAGTCCGTCGCATTTACATAGCCCAGCTCCTATGTCGACTCCTTTAACTCACAATGGGAATGGTCATACACCTGAAGATTTACAGGAAATTGATGATGATGCACAGGGTGAAACAGCGGATGAATCAACGGAGGTAAGTAATAATCATAGGAAGACTTGTTACAAAAAGTAAGACTAGACGAAAGAAATCATCAACTAATATCAATTCGTTTAAATCATCTAGATTTATACCAATCCTGACCTTTCCAAAACGTCCATACCATCTATATCATCTGTTCCTACACCTCCGATCGATACATCGTCTAGAAATGGGCAAAGATTTAGGAAATGTGCCTGTAAAACAGGACGTGGTGATAAGAAGGCTTGCATATTTTGCGTTTGTAGCAAACAAGGACTCAGTTGTAGTTCAGCATGCTCTTGTGGTGAAGCATGTGCCAATCCTTTCGCAGATTTGACACAATTCTTTGGTCCATCCACTATATTTTCTAAGCCTTGTGGTGCCAACGCTTGTTTCGCTACATGGCTTTGTAACCAACCTAATGTCGAGGAACTAGATATGGACCTCATAATAGATATTCTACTATACGACGATACATCATGGGCGAATATTCGAGAATATACGGAACCTCTTCGAAAATGGGAAGAGGATTGGAAGAGAACTCGTGGTGGTAAAAGGAAGAAAAGTCGTGAAGAAAGAGAACGTCTCGAATTTGAATTACTTCGTGGCGCATTAGGCAATTGTAACCAGAATGATTTTTATGGTCACTGGTATAGCTTTTGTCGAGGAAGTTGGGTACCTACAGATCTTTGGGATCATTGTCAAGAATGTCGACTCTGCAAACCGAGTACGGAATGGCATTGTGACAAACATAATCGTTGTACTACAGATCGTATCTGTCCTGATTGTTCATCTACGCCATATTCTGGTATGTTGCCTTCATATACGGATCCCGGCAGTTGTTAAGTAAAACATTACACATAAAAATGGGTTCTGGAACATCTCCATCGATACGGAGATTGAAAAACGAATGGGTTATAATTATTTCTTCGTCTTTGATGTATACTTCGGAAGACTGAAGATAAGGATAGACAGCGTACGATAGGGATATGGGTTCGTTATAGGGGATACACAGTGGTTTCTCTTTATTATATCTTATATATACATTAGGTACCTCGTATTGGTGGTGATATATTGTATGTTGGTACGGGAAACAATTGAAACGTCTTGATGGCAAGCAATCGGTTAATAAGGGCGTATTTGGGATTAGAGAGCAAATACGTTACAAAAGATGAAGATCAGGGTAAACCTAGTTATTACTCTCATGGTATTACATTGATTGTGATTTGATGAATATGACTTACGTAGATATGTATGATGAGATAGCGATAATAATAAAGATTGTATGTATTCAGATAGGTACCTAGGCAGGTAAAACTAGTCGATCCTGAAGTCACTTCTGTTGATAGGCAGCTTTTAAGGGCTTGTCGCAATACCTAGGTACCTAGGTATTCAGTTAGGTGTTGACAGTCGCCATATTTGATGTACAGCCCTTAAGTGGCCCAGCTTACAGGTAGGTACCTAGCGCACCGTAAGTCCCATAAAAAGAGTCGCTATATTTCGTGGCTATCTGGTACCTTTATTCTATTGTGACTGCTTTCTGTACCTACTTGCTCATACTAGGGGAAGCCAATGCCCCAGGATGCCACTAAAATCGTACCAACACCGCATTGGTGCACATTGTATTCCGATTGTTGTTATCACCACACCTAGAGAACCTTGGAAATCAAGTTCCACTTAAGCTTCGGTCACGTCCCTAGATGCTATTAAATCCCCACATTTCTTCTAATCAGCAACGAAATTGTAGTTGACGCCATACCTGGGTGGAAAGGACGGTTTGACCTTCCTAACTACACTAGTATAGATTTAATATTCTATTCGATCACTATGAATGCCTCGTAATTATATCTATAATTTTCTAAACGACGCAGCAATTAGCTGACCTAACAGAACTCGCCACCGGTTGCCAAAAGCCTCGAAGTTGACGCTAAAGTAGATATCCGGACGTATTGATATTCCGGTTGCCGCGCGTTTCCAAATAGATCAAATTCCTAACTGACAAGAACATGATACACGGCAAGATCATATCGGTGTGTACGATAATATAGGCAAGGTACTGCGAAACTATCTCGGAATATCCTCAAGGAAGTAAGAAAAAAAAAACTATAAAATAGGTATTAAAATACACATAAAGTTGAATGTTGAGGCTAAGGAAAATGATAGGGCATATCTCGATCTACCGACTTTATCTCAAAATCGGAATAGACCGAAATTTTCTATAGCCTGATGCTTGGTAACCTGCGGGGTTTTTTAACCCATGCTTGTCATGTTAATCTTGTCCAACTGTAGGTATTTTACAAGGGTAGATCCTAGGTATTTAGGTTTTAGCATGGTAGGTGGGGATTATACAGCATTCTAGATACATGTCCTACATATCTAGGTTCCTAGGTAGGTATTTATATAGGGCACGTTGTTTACCTACATGTAGGTAGGCATGCCTTTGGTCCTATCTTATAAGTACATACTGCCTATAAATTGAAGCTATGTGTTGAAACCTAGCGTAAAAAGAATAAACGGATCTAATATTGGACACAAATGAGGGTATAAAACATTTGAGATAATACCTAGACCAAATCCTAATGTGAAGAGTCAGTCATTCCTAACCACACCTGCCTAGATATACAATACATCAATGTTTATCCACCTAGATACCCATCAATGTAAGCATATGAAAATCCATTTTAATTTAGCGAACCGTTACCTTGGGTCTCTTTGTAGGCCAACCTGTCACGTCAGCCCCATTTCAATTGTCAGTGTTGGTTCGAATAGAATTTTGTAGTAACCAATAAGGATCTTTCTCTTACCTGAAGTTGGTCTTCATTGTAATTTATATAGGTATTATTTCCTCATGAGTTTAAGTATCGAGAATATGTACCTAATTTATGGCATTAGGTAGAAATCTTAAGTACTACATACAGTGCATATCTGTACTAACTTCATACCTAGTAAAGTATCTCGGTACCCAAGACATTCATCAGCATCCTCCCTACTACCTAGGTAATTGAAGTAGGTATTTCCTAGGTACCCGGGTGTAGTTGCATCTTAAAGATCACACAAGATGAGATAATTGAACTAACAGACACATAGTGTCAAGTGTGGCTGTCAGACTCGCGTATTCAAGTGGTGTCGTTCCTGATACCCAATGATATATTTATAATGAATGTAAATGTAAATTACCTACATAAAATTCAACCAACATTCATTTATAGATAGAACCAGTAATGAGAGTAAGGTTGTTAGCCCCCAAGAATTATCGACTAGGATAGATGAAGTCTGTACTACCCTCTAACGTCCCTGCGTATCATCAGATACCTAGCGGCATCTACCGAAGCATGCTTCATATATATTAGGTAGGTATACATAAAGTACCTAACTAATGATGGTTAGTAAGAAGAGGCGAAGTAATGATAACTCACTTGTAGGTAAGTGGGAACTAACACCCATATAATAATACCTTAGAACCGGTACCTTAAACGATCTCAAGATGTACAGATGAGCGAAAAGGAACCAACATTAAATATTCAAGCGTGATAGGAAGAAATGAAAGGAAAGAAATATCATTCATGACACACAATTTTATTACGTTAGTTGTCCTTATGATATAAATTTTTGTGAAATATTCCTAAATTCATACCTTTGGTTCTTGTTCTTCTAATTGTCCTTCGACCGACTATTAATTCATACTCGACTCGTACTGCATGTTGCGTGTTGAAACGATGGCTGATCGCGTCGTAGCTGCACGATCCGTTAGGCCGGTAGAATCCGGGGTTTCCACGAAGATGGTTGATACGCATGTTGGAACCAAATCATATAAATCTCCGCTTTTGTGGCTTCCTTGTGAACTCCTCGTGCATACGGCCTCCTATCTTTCTCCGGAAGACTTATTCAATTTACGCTTGACATGTCGTCGTATTGAAACGTTTCTCTTCGATACGTTCTCGGAAGAATTCTTTGCTAATAGACGATTCATGGTTACTGAATGGTTAGTTTCACAAAATCCCCCCTTTTTAGTCTGACATGGATGCTGACTCCGACACTGCCGCAGTACGTATTCTCTCCTACGTAGAAAAGGGGACTATTATGCTGTACAATGTTGCTTCGACTTCAACCTGCGGATACCCCAATTACCTCCACTCGAGTTTAACAACCATGTCCTGTTTAGATCTGAACCTTGTACTGACGCGTTGAAACGATATAGATAGCTTGAAATGCTTGATCGACATATCGAAACATCCTACTCTGTCAAAGCGCTTAATAAAGTTCACCATCGGACTTGATCGATTATATAGTAGCGATGCTCTACCTAGTGTTGGAGATGGAGGTTGGGGTGACAATAACTTGCCTACCAAAAGAGGTGTTGAACCTTATAGACTGGAAGAGCTTGCTGTAGAGCAAAATTGGCTTGTCAGCAGTGGAAGATTACAATTACTACTTAGCGAGGCATTAAATGACCTACCAAATCTGATCGAACTCAACCTTCGAGATGCCAGCATCATCCGAGAATTCCCTCGCCCAGAATCAAACCCATCATTCGTCAGCCATGGTACCGCCGAAGTACGTCGACAGACGGGGATAGATTTATCGAGTAACGAATCGCATCTACATCAACAAGACCAATTTGCCGATATCATATTCTCTACTGCCTTGCTAGCCGTAGCAAGAAGTGGTAAACGATTGAAAGCCATCACTGTGGACATACAGAAACGAGATATGGGTTTATCTAGTTCGGCTTTTGCGATTCCTAAATCTCTTGTTAGCTCGCTCCGATTTGCTTTACAAGACTTACGATCGCTCAATCTATCTGTCAGTTTTACCTACGTCACGCTAGGTAGTTTCGCGACTGGATCTATGGCATTCTTACGATGGCAACCCCACTACCTGTTCTCCTTCCTCGAGTATACACCAAACCTAACTCGAATACGAATCGAATCGAAAGGACCAAGCTTCCTTTCAGATGGGATAATAGGGTGGTTAGCTCGATTAGTAGATTTGTCAAATGGGAAGCAAGTGGAAGGCTCACGTCTTCATGGTCGTCTACAACCTGGATTCGACCACGTTGCTTTAGGTCAGAGATTTCATAACTTACAAGTTTTGGAATTAGGGAATATGATCTCTCCCACCGAATCATTATCGAAGGTTTTACTTCATCTTACTAGTTCCTTACGGAAACTAGGGTTATGCATGGTAGGATTGTCAGTGGCTCCGGGGGATGATGAGCTTGATAATAATCGTCGAAGTCCAAACGCTTGGTCATATATTTTTCGAGAGATGTCGAAATCTACATGCCTAGAGGACATACATATTAGTTCTCTAGGTCATCATACTCCAGGATGTACAACCGGCGACAACAAACATCAAGTGGTTTTCTTGAAATCCGAATTTGGTGTACAGTCGGGTCCTCGTAACGGATTATTAAACACATGGTCGCATGTGGGTAGTATTTCAGTCATGAAGGCTTTTCTTGTTGAAGTTGCGGAAAAGACGGTTGTAATATGCTCTAGTTGCAAGCAGAGGAATTCCAGTTATCGAACATCTGAAGAGATCTTGTAGATTAAAATGGATTACTTGGTATTATTAGGTGTCGTCGGTTAGTTCCGATTCGTTTGGAATTGAATAGGTTCCCTATTAATTGATTATTAAATGTATCGGAACTGTAGCATTGCGATGCCTTTAAATATGTATGTACTTGCTGGGATTGACCTTGAATAGACTACCTTAATATCTTGATGTATGCGATGGAATTGAAATTCGGAAAATTGCTACGAGGTACTAGGCTAGGTACCTAGGTAGAGTTAGTGGATAAACGACCAGGGTGCAACGTTTGAGGGGTACCTAGCTACCCCAAAATTATGTTCTAAATAGAATTTTGCGGTGATTGGTATGTACCTAGGTAGGGCTGTCATATTGAAGATATACTGGAATTAATAGATGATTATTTCCCTAATTCACATCTATGAATATCTATCCAAGTACGTATAGCTACCTAGGTACCTAGGTACGTACGAAATTACCGCCTATTTAATCGTACATGCTTAATTGTTTCAGGAAACTGGAATAATGTATCTTTCCTTATCTTTCGGCCGAAGATACCGTTCGACGATTTGTTATGACGGCTTCCTGCAGATCGACAGGGGTTTAGATAACTATCTTTCCTTTGTTTATGGTTCTGAAATATGAATGGCTGCTAATTCGATGGGAATCCCACGTTTCTCAGTGTGTTCGATGTAACAGATACCTAGGTATGTGCGGGGATAAGTAAGCATGAAATCTCTCCAATGTTATCGAGAAAGATATTCTTAAACCTCATCCTCCCACGTATGATTATTCTTCGTTCAAGTTCGAATATTGTTGAGGGTTGGATAGACAAGCCGAATTCAAACCACATTAGGCGTTAATATTGCGGTTGATATACTCGCGGATTCAAAATGGCCTCACCAATATCTTCAAATCATGGCGACATTGACGAGTCTTTGGTACCGGGAACTGTTCATTTGGTGGATCTCGAACATACAATGGCGACACGACATGCTAAAGATCAAAAAGATATCGTACTTGTACCAACACCATCTACGGACCCAAATGATCCATTAAATTGGACACCAAGACGCAAATACTTGGCTTTAACCTGCGCTCTACTCTATACTTGGTTTAATGGGATGGCATTATCAGTTGTCTATTCGGTTCTCGTACCACTCTCAACAGCACTCTCAGTAACGGAAGGGGATCTTAACGCGGGAACGGGATACATGTTCCTTTTATTAGGTTGGGGACTCCTCTTTTGGCAACCGTTCGCTTTACAATACGGAAAACGCCTAACGTATCTAATCTCTTTGGTCGCACTCATGGCTGTTACGGTGTGGGGTCCTTATGCGCGTGGTAATGGTCAATGGATTGCGAATCGAGTTTTGACTGGTTTCTTCGCAGCGCCTATCGAGGCCTTACCCGAGACAAGTATCGCAGATCTATTCTTCGCTCATGAGCGTGCTACTTATATGGGTTGGTATGCCTTTACGCTCGTTGGAAGTAACTTTTTCGCCCCAGTCATCAGTGGTTTTATTAATGATGGAGTGGGTTATCGATGGGTGTTTTATTTCCAAGCCATCTTTTGCGCGGCAACTTGGATATTCCTATTTTTCTTCATGGAAGAAACAAATTACGATCGTCGGACCGTAGGTATCGTCGCTGAATTGAATGATGATGTCGATCAGTCAAGTCCAGACGCAGAAAAAGCCAAAGAGGGGTTGGAAGAACCATCCGACACCATTGGACGAATCTCTTCTCCGGAAGCTCAACCGTCAATCACCATCAAAACATTCTGGCAAAGAATGTCCGTCATGGATAAACCTCGACCATTTATGATGCATTATCGAGCATGGCAATCTTTAAAGTTGCTATCTTGGCCTGTGGTATTTTATTCGGGATTTAGTTATGGAACTTACCTCATTTATTTCAACATCCTCAATGCGACGAGTTCTATTATTTTAGGTGGTCCACCATATAACTTTCGCCCGTCCCTCGTCGGTCTAAGCTATGTTGCTTGCTTAGTAGGAGTCGTTGCAGCATCGGCCTTTACGGGTGTATTCTCGGATCGATTCATCCTACGCCTAGCTCGTAAGAATAATGGCGTTTTCGAACCCGAGCATCGATTATGGCTATTTATTGTTGCGACTTTAGTAATTCCTTCCTCTTTGATACTTTGGGGCGTCGGTGCTGCTCATCAAGTACATTGGTTTGGTTTGGTATTTGCTATGGGCACTACTGCTTTCGCCAATACGATGGGTGTCACTCTTAGTGTTTCCTATCTAATCGATTCATATCGGGATATATCTGGAGATGCCTTAACAACATGTATTATCATTCGTAATACTATGAGTTTTGCTATTGGATATGGTATTACTCCTTGGTTGGATAATTTGGGATATCAAAATTGTTTCATTAGTGTTGCGTTTGTTGGGTTAGCTATATGTTCTATTTTTCTGGTCATGATCAAGTGGGGTAAGAAGTTCAGAGAGATGAAGAGGGTTGACTATTGGAATGAAGTTAAGAAAAGGATTGATCTTGGGTTAGTTCATTAAGACTGCACTCTCAGATGCTGGAGTAACCACCTAGGTAGGTTAAGAAAAGATGGAATGATGGAAATCAATTAAATAGAAAGATATCATGCAAGCATATTCACATCATAAGTGCTATATTGGTATCGTTGGTCTATCAATCTGGATAGGTATTCCATCCTTCCACGCAGTACGATGATTAAAACCTTTAAAAACGAGTGAAAAAGAAACATCGACGTAATCCATCCTGTCCCATTACATAAGGTATGTACTCATTCATCACAACTCACACATTGGCTCATAGAAGCTTCAGCGTCACTTCACTACAAATCCACGTCAGTAACAGCTTCAGCGGTTACCGGCTCTTCCGACTCCGATTCTTGAGGATCTTCAGAAGTCTCTTCCGGAATTGTTGAAGGCATGTCTTGCTTGCTTGCAAGATCAGTAGGGGCAACTTTGATAGTTGCGGTAGAGGTTTCTACCTCCGTTTCTGTAACCGTATGAAAAACTCGGACAACTTTCTTTTCCGTTACAGTTTCCGTTTCCGTCTCTTCCAATGTCGCAGCATAAAAACTTCCTTGGGAAGCTCGCGTGTTGCATGGCTCGTAGACGGTGGACACAGTTGCTAACTCTGCAATGCTCTCTTCTACCTCGTCAGGTTGCGATATGTATATGGACTCCTCCTCGTTGGGTATGGCATCCGTGGTTTCATCGTTGAGCTCTTCTTCCTCGACAGCTGGTGTGGAGGATTCTTGAAAGTACTCTGTGGTAGTCGGGGTATCAACGATGGAGGTACTGTATTGAAGCATAGACTCGGAAGGTTCTTGGTTCTTTGGTTCGTCCACCATCGGCTCGAAGTTGGTTTCTTGTTGAAAGGAATCTTCCGAGGTCGACATAGGTTCGACGATGGGTGTATGGTGGATTGCATCGGGTAACTCTTGATAATCCGATGTAGCCGCAATAGGTTTGACCGACGGGGTATGTTCTTGAGACGTCACACTCGAAGATTGGTCACAAATAGAAGCTGCCGTAAAGGATTCCACGATCGGAACTTTCATCTGAGCTATAGGAACCTGAGGAATATCGTGGATCTGCGACTGAGCTTGGGTACGTCGTACAACAGGCATATCTCTTATTCTGTGGATGACCGGTTCATAAGTAGGTTCAGAAGGGGCAGGAGCATTTCGAAGAGCTAGCATAAGAACGAAAATACTAAGAGTAAAGATGATGATATTCTTGCGATCTTGCATCAAGACTCTTATAGATTGCAACATAAGTTCTGGGAGGGATGCATTCTGATAAGTGCCTTGCTGTGATCCATGTTCGTAACTTTCTTCCGGGTGTTTTGATGTATATGTAGATGGAGATGGAGAAGGGGATGGGATATATGAGTCTCGTTGACGATGAGAACGAGAATGAACAGACGGCTCTCTAAATTGAGATCGCGTGGGCGACTGAGGAGGTGGTGTATGGCCATAAATTTCACGAAGTCTTTCCTCGTCTCGTTGTCGACGTTTTCCTGGAGAGATATCTGCCGACATGGATGATCCAACTCGCTCGGGTGGAGGTGAAAAGGTATCGTAATGCGAGTTCAACAGATCTTCCTGCTCTTTTCGATGTTCTTGCTCCATCTGTTCGGCTACCTCTTTAGCAATATCGGCTTCTTCTTGCTGTGCGAATTCACGTTCCTGATGAATTGCAGCAAGTCGAACCAATTCTTCTTGTAAGGCGGGTTCGACCATAGGCTCCAATTCAACATCTACACGCTCCATCTCCTTCCAACATACCTCCCAGGCGCCGGTCTTCATCAATCCGTTCGAAGCGTACACCTTGACCCGGAAGATTTTCTTAGAACCAAGAGAATCATATCGAATCTCGTTCTTACAGGTACTGCACCAGTAATGTTTTTCGATGGATTTTGTTCGTTCCGCATCCCATTCGTCCTCACTTTCTTCCCCTTCGGTTAAGGCAGTTTCGTTGGCTGGACCAAGATAATGGCCACATTCCAAGATCCGGGCTCGTCGGTGATGAGGTAACTCCAAAGTTTCGAGTAGACGTTCCTCGAGAACCTCATAATCACTTTGGGGATGACCCAACAATACACCTCTCTCAATTATGGTATCGTCGACACGATCTTTGAGAATTCGCCATGATTCTTGTAGGGCTTTTACCTGATCGCTTAGGTCATCCATCTCAAGGTTATTGAGAAGATCACCCCACTCCCACCTCAACGGTAGAAGAGTGACGTGGAGTAATACAAGCGGTGCCTCTTTCCTTCCCTTGAATCGCGACGGAGTAGACATCATCTTTGGCGAGTACTGTGCAGAAGCATTGGGCGTCCCTAAACGAGATACAGTCGGGAATTGCCTCTTGGCAGATCTTGGTGACCCAAGGACCGAAGGTGGAGGTGAAGACATCTGCATCGCGCGGACGTCAGAGGGTGTACGGAATGGTGGACGAGGTGTTCCTCTAACCGTTGGGATAAACTCCTTCTTTTCGTATTCTCTTTCGTATTGAGAAATGTCGGAGATCCGGGGCGATCGAATAACGGTTGTCATATTATCGGAATCTCTGTGCGTCTTACCAGGCTCGGGAATACCGTCATAAGACCCTAAAGAGCTGCGTGGACTCTTGTCACTAAATACGTCTTCGTCTGTAGCTTCGTGATGAGAACTACTACCGTCACCGTCATCGACATGAGGGGCACGATATGTAGCAAATTCAGAGCGATCCGGATAGGTATTCTCTTCTCGAGTTTGATAATTGGAGTTATCGGTCGTATCGCTTATCATAGAGCCATCTTCAACATCTTCGTGCTCTTCGTTATTTTGTTCGGGATGGCCAGCTTGCTCTGGATCTTCACTATTCGCTTCGTTACGATCGATCTCTATGCTTTGACGGACATCCGATTCTCGATTAGGATCATCTGTCATATTTTCTTCTTCAATTGCACATGCGCCGTTATCAATCGATTCTTGGTTCACGTTTGAACCATCCACTGTCTCGGAAATGTCTTGTTCGGTATGGTTCTGGTTTGTTCCGATCGAGTCTTGTTCTGATGAGGTAGTGTTGATATCTACTGCTTCTGTCGTTTGCGACTGAGGACCTTCTTCACACATCGGTGTGTTTTGACAGGATTGGTCGATGTATATGTCGAAATCCTGGTTTGTTTTTCGACGAGGCATTCAATCGAGAAGGACGAACAGGAAGAAACTTTCGGATGAGGGACCTAGATAAGTAGATATTAATGAGTATTCACCAATGTTGAACAAATAGATTTTCACTTACGGTTTGTTTTGAAGTAGGTTGCGTCGGCCATGGATTAAAATCTGCAATCCGACCTTGAAAATATGGAATTGAATAAATGGTTGGGTAGAATTGAAAAGGGATGCGGGTCGGCGAGTTGGTCAGTCCAGTGATTGTTGATATCCGCCGTTGCCCCGTCAACACTACCATTTAATCCCCATGATGGGTCATCATATCCAATGGTAAAAGAAATCACAACTTGGCACAATTGACATTAAAATGTAAAGGGATAAGATTATCGTAATTTAGAATTAAGAATTAGCTACCTCCCGTTCAATGAAAGTGTAGTAATATCGTGAATAATTACGCATGGAGATTTTTCTTATTTGCAACTTATGCTTCTTTGTGTACAATCTCTGACGTCATTTTAGAATAGCAAATATGTGTACATACATTGTAGTACCTCTGTACACTACCTATCTCACCGCCTCGTAATAATGAAGCTACCTATGCAAACCTCAGTCCCATTCGATATTGATTGTGGGTATTCAATTCTAGTTCCTATCTCAACCAAGGTGTGCATTCCTTTGATGAATGATATAGCATGGCCTCAAGATCCGAGGCTCGTAGAAAAAGATAAAGTACCTAGGTATGTTATACAGTCGCGGTACGCCAATTCGCCCAACACAAAGCCTATTATATGAATCAGTGCCTTATTAGTGAGCGGCAAAATGGATGTTGGATTATAATATGAAGTGTTAATTACCTAGGCACCTAAGATGGCTGAGGAGGATCAAGGTACCTAGGTAATGAACAAACGGCTGAGGATTGTGAGAATCAGAAGATATAACTCCCCACCTGCCTAGATATACAACAACCCAATCATCCGGGTAGTCATTAAGTGTACAGGTAGGTTCTAAGCGCCTCAATACTAAAGTACTTGCTTCCGAATAATAATCGAATCCTTATCACAGTACCTGAGTAGTATGCTGGTAATCAGATTCCATTACTGTTCTTCAACCACCTTAGCCCATTCATTTACCACATCCTCTATCTCTAAAAGTAACTGTCCCTTTCTTTCTTCGGTACACCAGCTACCCATAATAATACCCTTGGATACCATTTCCCATTCTCTAATACCCAAATGAAACGTTCCTTGGAGAGCGCAGTAATTCTCAAGGATATAACCACCAAAGTAGGCTGGATCATCACTATTAATACTGAACCTCACTCCAGCATCAATCAACCTCCTCAATGGGAATGACTCTACTGAAGCAATACAGTTCAACTTGACATTAGATAGAGGGCACATGGTCAATAAGGTCTTTGAAGAGGCAAGACGTCTGACTAATGTATCATCCCCTTCTGTTAAAGCCCGGATTCCATGATCTATCCGTTGTACCCCTAATACATCAAGAGCTTGAGTAACGTAGATTGGTGGACCTTCTTCACCAGCGTGGATTGTCCCTCGAATGCCCAATTCTCTCGCAACATCATATAGATCTTTCCACATCGGTGGTGGGAATGGTACTTCAGAAGAATCCATACCGATAGCTGTAAGAGTGCCATTTTCGAAATAACCAGCATCCTTCGCTTGGGTAAATGTTTCCATCGCTCCAGAAAGAGGTAGATGTCGTAATAGACACATGATCAGTTGCGTCGTCATATCAAATTCCGCCTCCGCTCTAATTTGTGCTCTTCTAAAACTTTCAACGATAGTTGACAACTCTATCCCGCGAGTTATATGAGCTTGCGGGTCGAAGAAAACTTCGGCATGACGAACATTTTGGGATGCAGCCTTGGTGAAGTAGGCATAGGCTAAGGCTTCAAAATCCGATTCATTGATTAATATCGACATACCAATGTAGTAATAACCCAAAAAATCGTCAAGACTTCGAAAGTTTTGATATCGTTCCCGGAGAGATTCTATCGAAGCGAAAGCCGAATCTGTAGAAATCGGAAGGGTAATGTTATTCTTAATGGCAAGCTCGAACAGGAGCTCTGGTTCTAAGGAACCTTCGAGATGGATATGGTGTTCAGCTTTAGGCAGGGCAGCGAGAAACCCGTGTAATGGTGTTTTACACATGATGGATGGATGATTCAAGATTATTGAATAAAATTAACTGGAAATAATAACCCAATGATCATAAAATGCCATTCGATTTCGTGCGATTATCCCCAAGTTTGTAGGAGGTAGAATTATTTTGGCTCATCAGAAAATTCTTCGTTGCCTCAATTTTTAAGTAATATTTAGGCACCTGAACACCTAGAAATATCGATATAAACAATAATGCGTGATTTAAAGGATTGTTTCGATTATATATGTATAAATCACCTGTTATCAAATGACTCTTTTACTTAGTTGATATGAGTCAGGTTTAGATACGAACTCTAGAATTTCATATTATTTAAAAGTCCACCCGTGGATAAGTACCGTTGAAATGAATGACGGGTTTAGCGGGAAACAAATAATCGTACATTACTGACATACAGTAGTAGTTCAATAGGTATAACTAAGAATAACAGCAACCATTATCTTGGTAGTTTTCGTGCACTCAAAATTTCGGGAATATATCGAAACAATCAAGTCGTTTGAATAAAATCATGGCCTATTAATTCGAGACGAATTAGATACAATAAAGTCGGGAATTCGGTAACCCGAGAAGAATGTACAAAAAGAAGGCTTGATTCGGATCCCATCCCGACCGGGAAGAAGGGTCAAAAGTGGAGAAGAATAGATATAAATAACCACTTAGGTTGTCGATCAGGACAAAAGTAAAACTGGACCCTGAAATAACACGCTAAGAGATCGCAAGCAAACTACCTAGGTACGATGACAGACAGAAGATCAGCGGTTACGGACAAGTCCGTAATAACATCCACGTAGCCACGTTCATACCTATCCAAGTATATGTTGACTATCAATATTTGGCTTTTAGAACCGATTTAGATTGGTTTAGATCTTAACTAAGCTCCTTCGGATCGTCCTGTGTCGAAATACATCTACCTATACATACTTAGATACCTAGGTAGGTAAGTGAAATGTAGCTAATAACCATCTACTCTTCCCTAGAGAGTATACCTTGGCAAGTAACTAATTAATTCAGTTGTGCTGCAAGGGGAACGCCAATTATTGGGTTCTCATTAGGGACTGCTTTACTAGGGATCCCGAACCGCATTGCGCATTATGTAGTTCCGCCCCGTCCAAAAGATTTCGGACTCTACTCCCGGTCTCGCGGCTGGTTTTGTAACAACCACCAAACCAAATATGGTAGGCGAATAAGTATACGCACGCAGTAAAAGGAGGTTACCGATTACATGATACCATGTGTCAGGGGCGGAAGTAAGCGAAGAAAGACGGACAAAAAGAAAATGTAGTAGCATGGATTATTTGCTTCGGAATGTGCCTATTCGATCAATCAATCATGGTAAGATTTGCTACCTAATAGGTTAGGTAGTTAGACAAATTGAAGTACCTTCACATACATGTAATACTTTTAATGGTTCATATGCATTATCAGTAAAATATTCAGTGGGGTTTACATTTCGTTACGAGGATTACAACGAATCAATTCTCCATGAAAAAGCCATAGGATTCAAAAATAGAAGATTGTTATCCTGAGAAGAAGCAAGCGGTGAGTACGAAGTATTTAGGTATAAATTCCTTATTTTATGAACCTAGCTTGGCTGTATACATAGCCAGGTACGGTACTTAAATACGTAAGTATGCATAGATAACGGTACCTATCATAAGAGAAGTTAAAATCGTTTGATAGACGGGAAGGATTCTTGTATGAACATGTTAATAAAATCAACTGCAGTGGACTTTTTCTTCATCATTAGAACTTCCCCAGTTTCCGGTCTTCTATCCGAATCGGAATTTAGTAGTATGGTCTTATATTTAAACTGTTACAGAGACCTCGTGGCAAGCTTGCGCCGCCAGCCCGCCTACATGTTGATCCTCACCCCAGGTGGAATCCTAGTACACGTGCACTGATCAGCCGCAGAAGTACCTAACCGAACTAGCTAAAAGAGATACAGAAGGAAGGAAACCGTCGTAAATCTTGTACGAGTCAAATCCTACAACTTCGATTCTTTTTCTTCTTATGCAGCGGGTCTTGTAATTTTATTCTTCATCCACGTCGAGCCGATAATGTATTTTGGACCAACCAACACGTCAGCAAGATCCTATCACTAAGAACCCCTGGAAATACAATTAGGAAGAGGAAGATCTTTCCTCTTTAGAATATCGACTCGGTGGATAAGATAAAATGCAAAACTGTGTGAAATTTTGGTCGTCGGGATAGTGGTACAATGTCGTTCGTTTCACCACATGTCTTGTCCTGAGTCTGTACCACTTTTATCCCCGAGACCATATGTCGCCTCGCGCAGCTTACTCGCATGGGGATGAATAACCCTTGGTATTACGTTGATGCACGTAATTGCGAAAGATATCTTAACTAGTTCGGTTGCGTACAGCGTCAATTGGTTCATGATTTATGCTTCGAACGAAAGAATCTCATCCTGAGGTATTCTCAACTTATTCCGACGTAAGGATTTGCTTTTTTACTGGTCATTTCGTTCAAAACCATGCCGATGCGGGGATGAATTGTTCGAAGTGCCGCGGTGGTATTCGATTCTCTTGGCTAGAGGTACCGTGGAGAAATCAGTAAGGGTCGACTGCCTTATTTGGGTTCTTCTCCAGAATGAACGTCTCACCTTTTCTTTCACGAAAGTCACCTTGGTAACATACATGCATAACCCTTTTTACACACAATACACGAAGAAACGAGGGGAGGGGAGGGGAATATCTTCGCCGAGATCTTGATGCTTGCGTGCTAAGCTACCTAGGTAGTGTATTAGACTTGTGATGCGTTACATGGACGGCATGTTTTTCCATGTCGCACGGGATGGGATGCTACATCAAGAAACGTTCAAGGAATAGGTTCTGGCCCACCATATGCGGGTACTCCATTATGTATGTACATAAGACCGCAGCGGTAGGGTACGACGAATTAGGGTAACGGCAGGAGGGAAAAGGAATCCACCGGGGGGAAGGGACAAAAAGTCACACGTACCTACGGATTTATTATACATGCCTAGGTATTTACATCCGTACGTGGGGATAACTATCCATTAGGCAACATAGGAGACGCGTCCGCCTACGATTTATTGCTACAGTATTCTTCACCCCCTCGAATCTCCCACGGGAACTTTTGGTTGTCGAAAAAGGTAATGTCCGTGTTTCGAATGAGTGCGGAGCCGATCTCGTCGTGGATTCGTCCCGCGGGTTCGGCAATCGGCCGCTACCTAACTGGCATACGGTCCTCTTAGCTCCATTGGGTAAGCTTCTCCATGTGTTCTTTGAATTCATAATCATGCGGCCTCGGTACCAATTTTGCCCACCATACGTGCTTGTCGATATGAATAAGTTTTTCTGTCGGTGGAATATGCGTAGGTGGGCATGTATGGGTAAGGTAGAATAAGGTAATGCAAGTAAGGCAAGGCAAGGTAAGGTAAGACGAGGTAAGGAACGGGATATTGATATTTAATCATTCGATATTTATTCACGTGCCAAGCTTGGCGATCCTAAATCATGATTTCCTAAAATCTTCATTCCTCGTGATACTATACATTTCAGGATTGCCTGCCGATAATATGTTAGATCGACGATTGCCTTATACCTAGATAATTGGGTAGTTGGTCACCTGTTCCCTAGCCGTTGTCGTCAACTAGCATGGATCCTTGGAATTGTAGATGCTGATGGCGTGTTCTCTTGAAGTGGGGAGATTCCACCTATTTCATACCCTACCTAGGTGCATACCAACGTTAGGTATCTACGAAGAAGAGGTTAAACATGAACCAACGTACACAGGTGTATAATGCAACATAAAGTCGCAATAGCGATCCGGGAATGAATATTTTTGTCCGCCTAGGTACCCTAGGTAGATAGATACTAATGGATTTAGGTATCGCTTCAGTTCTAAGCCAAATAATCGGAGTAAAGCGAAGACGAAGATTTGAGAAGTATACGGCTTCCTATGATATCATGGATCTTTTACCTTCTTGGTTCTTTACATGTTTGAATCCTTGTTATGCTTGCTTGTTCGCTTGCTCGTTGATTTACTTGCTTGTCTATTGTTTGTTAGTTGGGCGATATGCAAACATGATGCTAGTATTCAATCTCATGCAGTTCGTAAAAACAGATCTCCTCGGCTTGGTTACCGAACCACTTGTCAGTAACGACCTTGTGGATCAATAAACTACCAACCAACAACGTGGGACCGTCTAGACCTAGCCTAAAAGTGTGGATAGTTATATAGATCATGCGAATAACCGTCCGTGTTGAGTCTTAACCGTCAAATGTACTACCTACCATTGGTGATCTCTATCCCATTACCGGTGTTCTCGATTTTTTTCTTATTTCCACGTTACTATTAAGTAAATACCAACGTCGGTAACTCGGTTTCCAGCATGACGAAATTAGAGGATACGCTCTTGTTTGACTGCAGTGGAACGAGCCAGCTATGAATGTCATGACTGTCGTGACCTGTCATAATCTAAAATAAAAGGGATGATGACCAAAGGTTTCGTGAAAAATGAGTCAACTTAACCAAAACTTGGCGAAGTATATCTTGTAAATATCTAGGATATCCATCTTTAGTATTAAAGAATGACCCATATTTCAAGTCGAGACTATAATTCCCGTGGGGACCGACGCGCGTCCCAAGAAATAGTAATTCGGTTCGAGGTGCTCATTCCGGAGGAAACCGAAAAGTAGGTAATTAACGCGCCAGCCGCGCGCGATCCCAGGGATGAGGGACGCTAGGTTTTAGTTCCTCTGAAGTTTTGACATGCTTGGGAAATTATATCGGTAATAAATATGGGATGAGAATTTAGCCTAGTATTGTAGCGTCATGGTAGGCCATGATGAAGAATGCCGGGTTCAAGAATATTAGGTTAGATCATAAATCGAATACCCGCTAGCTTTAGATAAGTAGTAGATGCCCGATCCCTCCTCTTCGATACGGAGCGGCTAGTAAATCAGTCGAGTCTATGAACTAGGTAATAAGATGACCTAGACCTCGAACTGGGAAATAATTCGGTTAGGTCCCATGGATCTAACACAGTTATTTGGACGTTGCAAAACCTGAATGATCTTACAGAATGATGCCCCAATTCTAAGTATCTCGGTAGGTATTCGCGTAAAGTTCTAATACCAATTAAATGGAGAGAAAATAAAAGAAACTTATATGATCCTAGAAATCTAAAAGTAAGGTATTCTATAACTTGTCAACATATTTTTTCTTGTAACAGATAAATTAAATGCAAGTGTCCTTACTACCATAATAACAAAGGTGTAAAATCCAAGGAACATTTCTAGAAGAACTTACATAGCTGAATGATCAACAATGGTTGATTATAATATCCTATCGTAATACTGAATGCTTATCCGGTCGGATGTCTTCCGCGCCCAGATTCATTCTAAGGCGTCGCAGTACCCCCCTGGTTCCTATACCGTAAGTTCCTATAAGACAAGTAGATACTTATAATTGAAGTACTTTTATATTTGACATAAGCCTGGACATATACTTATGTAGGTGGTTCCTTAGCAACATGTTAGGTACATGTTATAGAATACATTCATCAAGTATTCCGAAAGATAGCTTGAGCTGCGTATGCGAGGTTATTACTTCTATAGATTTATACTTGCCCCTTACGTTAACTCTTGGTTTCGTCTCTTTCATTTAAATCATTTAAAAATATATAAAATTCCCATCACCTTATATACACAAGTACCTACATACCTACCTAAGTAAGTAAGTAATAAAAATTACATATACATCTAAATACATATTTTAATAAACATATAACTAAGTACCGAGGTACCTATATCAAAACTTCCATTATTAACATGGTTTTATTCTCCCGCAACTAACAACTAAGTGCAGCGTAAGGATGAAACCGACAACCCTAGAAAGCCATAAGCCCAAGATATCTTCTGTTCCAATGAATAACCCTCTCCGCCCCTTCCAAAGGTCACAGTCATACCAGTAATACTTCAATATTTTCATTTCATCTCTTGCACCAAATACTACCTCGGTACTCCCCGTGACGGGTACTACATAATCCTATCCTAATGCCCAGAACTAGCGAACTTCTTTTTCTTATTTATGAATGTAACTATTCGATCAGGATTCGGGACTCGGTGAAATGGAACATCACTTTTCACTATCCCTGCATTGTGATCTTAAGAGGTTCTGGTTCTACTAAAAGCCTCAAATCCCCTGACGGTCTCGATATTCAATGTGCTCAACTTCAGCCTTAATTAATAATGCCATTCTCATTTGGTATGCCCAACTATTGTCAATGTTTACCAATGAATTGGAATACCCCCCACAGCATTCAACGGACCTTATATCTTTACATACCTAAGGAGGAGGTACTTATATGCATTTAGATAGTAAGTACAACGACACATCAACAACATACTATTGTTTCAAAAACGGAATGAACCTTTTGTTGGTTCTGGTCACGAGCTTATAAATAACGTGGGATAGCGTCTAGATCTTCATGATCTGATTGACAGGCTTATAATTCTACTACTATTATATGATTATTGAAGATCCTCCACAGGTTTTGCACCTTAATACCACTTCATACCCCTGACCCTTGTTTTTAGCTTCATAACTTATTACTACCTATCCGCGTGGCCTCTTTCCATCCGTCTTTTTCTATCTTTGCCGTAAATGGACTTCGGTGAGGGTACTTCTTTTGATATGTTAATGAATATTTTTGAAATTTGAATGATTTCGCCGTTAAAATGGTAGATATGGTAGACGTTGTCAACCGTAATGGCCTTAGGAACTAGGTATATAAAGTGCTTAAGTACTTCGGCAGGTAATTGTCAATGATATATACTAAGGAACTGACTCATGTCTCCGAAACGGGGGATTCTTAAGACATTGTCTTGCCTTATGAATACTAAAATCCAATCGAAATGTTTTGCCTAAGTAGGTAGTTATAATTAGTAACATAGTTTTCGCAATCCTATAAATTTATTTCGTAATTGTTTCCAACTAAGTATATAAACATTGGATTGATTCATGATATCAGGAAGCGATTATATCTGATGGTCGGGGTGCTACCTGAGATTAACTTCTGATAGTTAATCAATTTCTCCAGATCTTTAGACGTTGTTCTACGCTACGATGCAGCCTACTATACAATTCACACGGGGGTATGATGTTGTCAGCCGGCACAGTTCTCAGCTAGGAAACCCGGTAGACAGGACGATAAGTACCTAGGTAACTAAAAAAGGTGCAATATCGGACTCTATCATGTACTGTTTCAAACTGGAGGAATTGAGGGTTAATCCATCTACCTAGATTATTAGGAGGTAAATACAATCCAAATGGTGGTCTAATATTTATCAAACTTGGAAGCCCCATAGGCGACAAATGAATAATAAGAAGAGATCCCGTACTATTGAAAAACTATGGTATAAAAGATACGACGCATTATTCGACCCCTTCTTCATCAATTGGAAATGGGTTCATCAGGGCGGAAAACTCCATTATCTAACCCTTGCTTGTTCGGAATCATCCCTCATCGTACAGACAAGGGTGGTAACACCCCCCTGGACCTACCAAAAACCGTTATGCAGGCTACATACCACGTACGTACAATGTTATGTACCTCCCTAAGCAAGTACTGTACGTATTTAAGTTGATACTATAGTGTGTGATCTCTTTGCGGCACCTTGCATTATACCCCATGTCCTTTTCAACCCCGACTGGATTACATACCTACATACCTAGGTAGATTACTACGTAGCTACCATGTATATACATATGTACGGTTGGGGCCCAAGGTTTTTTTTTTTCTTCTCTCCCCCCTTGTAAATTGCTAGGGCTATCACCAGGACAAAACGTGCCTTGAAAATGATCAGATCGTCCCGGGATCACTAACTCGTTCGAGAAAGATTGAGGGGCGAGCTAGTAGCCATCGGTTCTTTCGGGCTGGGACCGCCATAAGAACGCCACAAGTTTGAAAAATGCCACGAGCTTGTGACAGGGCCCCGACCACTCGTCCGGTAAGTTTTCCGAAGGATTGGGGAGAAAAAGCAAGATAACTAAAGAAAAAGAACATTACCACACGGATATCTTTTAAGGTCAGCATTTCGGAACCAATAGCGCATCCAATTACTTGGAGTATGCTGATAATTTTCGGAGTTTATTCGATTTCTTAGTTCAACCAAACGATCAGGTTACATCGGGACGAGCACGGAGAGTACTCGATCTTTGGTACGTTTCAAGCTAGCTGTCCTTAGTGATCATATTTTCTACCCTGTCGTGACCCGTTGTTCGTTCTGTGGGACGCTCCTCTTTTCATATGCCAGGTTTTATTAAATATAAAGAAGAATAAAATAAAAGGCGATCGGGCCATAAGCTCACAGATGATTGTCTAACCTAACAATATCTTACACGCATCTATCGTCTGGTCCTAGCCATGCTTGTCAAAAGTTACTAAAACGACGGACCGGCCACTGCCGCTTGCCAGGGAAAAAAAGAACAAATCAACCCCCCTACACGTATATAGCATAGCTCTTATTATTATTTCGCACCACTTTTATTTTGCTAACTAAGACTTAGCGTGTCGCCAAGTTGAATAGCTGAAGAACTGGGGAGGAAGAGATATTAAGATGTTTAAAGAATGAAGGAAAAAAACACTTACCAAACTACCTAGAGCATCTAAAGTACCTAGGTACCTACGGTACACTCCCGGGAGAAGGACGAAAAGTTGAGGACAGAAAAGAAAAAAAGGACATGGGGATAGAAAACTTCCCCCCAAAAGAATACTTTCTAGATTCCGAATGCACATCATGCACCCGAACGGGTCTGGTAGACCTGGCACAGCCGAGAGGAATGCCGACTCACCAGTCAGTCCTACCTAAAAAAATATCCTACAACTGTTAAATAATGCGCAACTACTACTAAATACAGTACAACTTTCCAATATGGAGGTTGCATAGTCTAGGATTCCCTACATGGTCAGGGCAAAGACCCATTGCAGGGCATGGGCAGGGCAGGGCAGGGCAGCCGAACCGACATCAGGATGACTTTCTGGTAGGTAGGGGAAAAGTAATGTCGCATGAATGTATGTACTTGGGAAACTTAGTTCATATTTAGCATCAACCTGGGGAGGGGGGGTATCTCTGACAAGCCATTGGCCTCCGCAGCAAGCCAAAAAGGATATCTTCCCTGTCAGTCGCATTCCCCAAGTTTGAAAGCGCTACGGTACATATATGCTGAGGGGCTAGGTAGATATCGGTTGAACATACATACATACCATACGTACCGACGTATATGTACTAAGATACTGTACCTTTGCTACCTACCTATATACCTAGATACATATCTACATACGGAATAGAAATCGCGATATACCCACGATATCTATACATACGATACATATACACGATACATACAAGTTAGTAGAATCTCTATTAAGCCCTTTCAGAAATGGTAGTCCGATTCGCCATCGCGGCTTGCCCCCCTTGATCTGGGCAAGGACCCAGGGTTTTACCACAGTATGGTGACCTGTGCTTATATTAGGGTCAGGCTAGGGTCCAGGCCGGCGACCCACCTAAGAAGTTCGAAACACCGTAGCTAGCTGCTTTTTCTTTGCTACTGCTGTAGATGGGCATCGTTACCTAGCCCTGTTCGGTTTCCTTCCTTGCACTTATTTACAGGGGTGGTTCAGAAAGAAGGATTCGTTCAGTTTGACCCCTCTAGATTATATTCCCGATTTTTGCTTTGGCGCCGGACTAGGGCGGGAGACCCAGATGAATATACATCTGCGAACTAGTTAGCAGCAAGTAATAGCTCGCGTTACTACCTATGAAGTTTGCCATCATCTTCTTTTCTCCTCAAGTCGTTGCCCTTTTCTCTCACCCCCCCTCTCTCGACGCCTTGTTACTTCTTCTATTGTTACTAGTTACTTACCCCTTGAGTAAAAGGGCCGCACATCTCCCAAAACTCAACTACCATCACCATTATCATCGTCCACCCCGGAAGCTCTTCTACAGTAACACCACATTAAACCCGTATTGTACTTACCTACCTATACCTCTCACCTTCATACATGATCGTTATCGCCTACTGGCAGATTCACCCTTCCTATTTAGGCAACCAACCTTCCTATTATCCAACCTGCTTGACATAATCAAAGCTTCCAATCGAACAAAAAATCAATGCTAGATCGCAACAACCTCAACGCTTTCAAGGCTCTGATTCTAACCGGTCATTCATCCCGTGTAGTTTGGGAGCCCCCGCTAGTGGCAATTTGTTGGGTTGTCGAATCAATAGGGACAGAGGAGGAATAGTTTAAAAAAAAAGACTAGAACTAGAAAGGGTTATTTTTGTTTTCTAGTAGCACAACGCTGCCGCTGCAACACCGCAAAAAATACAGCAGTTCGTTCCTAGGTTTTCTGGAGGAAGGAAGAGAAAGAGACGAAAGCTTTTAGGTGGATTAGATTCGGACTACGGTTTTGGTACGAGGGTAGTAACTTCGAAGTCGCCTCCACCCACGTCGAAAGTCCGCCACTCGCCGTATGTTCATCATCCCAGGACTGGACCACGGTGGAATGGTGTTTGGATGCTATTCTGATAGTTGGCCTTTTCCGAAAAGACGTTTGCAACACAGCTCGCTGCATGTTCCTTGAGCGGTAACTCTCCCCAGAACGCCGCCCGACTGGGGAGAGCCCGACCCGAGGAGAACTCCGCTCGACCAAGCTACGGAAAGAGTTTAATTTGGTTCTATAATCTCTTACCGTCGCCATTATTATTGTTATTATTATATTTCTTCCATTCCCTAAAAAAAAACGAACGATGGCAGCATCGTCACACAACCCTTTTCCCCGTTCTCCTAATCCATCTACAAGATCGTATGACTCTTCTTCGGTCTCTTCGGCAACTTCACCTCGGCCGCAAGTTCAACTCTTAGGCAACTTAATGGGTTCTAACGCGAGACCGAATCCTACTCAGACGCCACCACAACCTATAGGGATTCCGCCGCTACCTCCAGTGAGCCAGACAGGGTTTCAACCATATACGCCGGTAACGGCAACTTCCGTGATGGGCCGAGATTCGTTGCCACCAACGGACTCGGTAGCGAGCACTCCGGGACTTTCTAGTGCTCAGTTGTCGGCAAATGTCTCGGCTCAGAAACGTGCTTACCGTCAAAGGAGGAAAGATCCTAGGTACGTACTCGGGTAGATAGTTTGACCTGGAAACTAGATCGTCTTCTTCTTTCTACGAACCCCTTTTTTTATCAGCGTAGGAAGAAGTCCAATGCTAACTTCTAGGTATGGGATATCGAGAGGACGATTATTGACATTCCGTAGGTCACCTCGGTGTACCAGGAACAAGTTGATATTCGTTTCTCGAATCTCGTACGTTATTTAAAGTTGCGATGCCTGTCGGGAGAGAAAGGTCAAGTGTGATGCTACGGAGACGACGAGCTGTTCGGAATGCTCTAGCCGTAACGTCAAATGTCAGTTTACCAAGGAAACAAACCGGCGAATGTCATCCATCAAACAAGTACAGGATTTGGAGAAGCAAATAGAGAGAGTACGGAGGGAGAATAATAACCTGAGGCGTACTCTCGCTGAGAGGGGCGAACATATGGATCTTGATGCGGAGGGGGCAGAGCAGATACCGACGCAGCAACAGCAGCAGCAACAGCTTCAGCTACTCCCAGAGCTCAACTCCGAACCTAGGAGACGAAAACGAGCAGTACCATTATTACGGGATCCTTCACGAGCGAGAACAGCATTCCGAAATTACTCGAGAGGTCTATTGAAACCTCCAGCGCCCTATCGACTACCACAGACGACTATCGTTTCGTTCGATCAAGCTAGACCGTCGTTACCCGCTAAAGCGATCGTAGATAAACTCCTTCTAACGTATTACGGCGCGGCGCATATTATGATGCCAATATTACACTGGCCGACTTTGCAGCACCAAGTTGATGAGCTCTACCAGAATACCACTGATCTACAGCGGGTTCCCATATCTTGGCATGCTATGTTCTTTGCCGTATTAGCTATGGGGAGCTTGTTTAGTAACGACCCATATCCTGACAGAACTTTACAAGCCAACGAATTCCTCGAAGCTTCGCGAAGCTTAATCGATCCGTGGAATAACGACTTCGATTTAGATAACGTTCGAACGGCGTTATTTATTTCGCTAGCTCTAAATGAGCTAAATTTGAGGTCGGCAGCTTGGACTTGGTTAGGTAGTGCTGTACGAAGTGCGCAGGATCTTGATCTCCACTTAGAAGTGGTCGGGGTACGTTCTAGGGTCGAGGCGGATATGAGACGAAGAGTTTGGTGGGCAATTTACGTGTTCGATCGTACGCTGTCTATGGAGCTTGGACGTCCTTTTATGATCGACGATGCCGATTGCGACGTAGCCTTACCCGAACCATTCGACGATCATTACCTCCATACTGAAGGTCCCGTACATCCTCCAAACGCCGTACCCCTGACGCATTTTCTACATGGGATCATCAATATCGTGCGGTCCTTTTCTGCCATGAGAAAAGCCTTCTCTCATCCAGTAATCGAACCACCATGCCTTGCGACTTTCGATAATCACTTCGTCGCATGTCAGAAGATGTTCCCGGAAGCCTGCGAAGCAAGCAATTCTTCCCTAATCGCTCCTCATGTGCTAATGCCCCTTTCGTACCTCCTTAGTACTCGATTATTGTTGCACCGCCATAATCTTGCCCCGGGTTGTCCTTTAGAAGCCAGGAGCGATGCGATTCAGCAGTGTAAAGCAACAGCAGTCGATACGGCGAATTTAATCGCTCGGACGAATGCAACGCTTGCTGACACGGCTACGTCCCTTCTTGTGACTCATGTCTTCCGTTGCACATTATTCTTACTCCTAACCGGATATTACGATCAAGCATCCACATGCCTGAGAGCTCTCAAGTCGGTCGATGCGCGACGAGACGTCGCGATCCCGTGTGGTCGTTTCTTATCTTTCTTCCTACAAGTATTAGGAACCAAACAGCGAGAATTTCTATTAACCGTCGTACCCCGTTCGACAACACCCGGTTATCCCCCACAAGCGACTTTACCAGACCCCAGGACTATTCAAGATGCGCTATTACGAGATGAAGAGCTTTTGATCTACGTGAGTGCCGATATACAAGCTAGCACAGAAGCATCTTGGGTATGGTTCGGAGCGGAGCGTGAAGCCCCGTTAACATTACCACTATCTTCCGTTGGGGGCGGCCTGGGACATCCAGATACTCGGACAGGTCTAAACGCCAAAGAAAGGGAAGATTGGAGCGGGTGGGATAATCTAATAGAGCTTACAAGAGGTCTTGCTTCTGGGGCGGGAAGCCCAGCACCGGGATATATACCTAGAGCACAAACACTTCCTCCTATTAAAACAGAACAAGGAGCAAATTTACCAGGAGGTGGTGTAGCCGAGATTGGAAGTAGCAGAAACAGTCCAGCCGCTGGAACAACATCGGGAAGTCGAAGTACGGAGAGAATCAGCATTGCAAACATCATATAATCAAATTTCCTAGGCCAATTCAATTTTGGAATGGATCCAGAAAAAACTCACCGGATGAGACCGAACGAAACTACGAGTACGAGTTTGACGAACGAACGAACGAATACCCCGTTTATTCTTTCTCAATTGTTTTCGAAATTGACAGGCGCTTGGAGGTTTTTGTGTCGCATTTTTATACGATTGTACTTTTATATCATTCTTCGCATCTCTACGGTAATACCCAGTTTCCGGTTTCCGGTATGGTGTTAGTAGACAATCTATTAGGGGGTTATTTAGCTTCTAACGCGGTTCGCCTTTGTTTCTTTCAATTCTTTCGACAATTAGATCCTCTTTTTTTTTTCAAACATATCCGAAGACATGCAAAATTTCCCTACTGTCACTACTGAGACATTTTTCTCCTGCTCTTGGTGGTTGGTGGGTATACGCCACAGCTGTTTAGCTTCTAGCGTCTGTTGTATTTGAAGGATTGACATCATTATGTCATCGAATACCCGAGGCTAGGTACTTATCTAGGCTCAGGGGGTCCAGGGGGGTACGGGAAGCGAGCCGAAGGAAATAAGAGAGGGAGGAACCAAATCAAAAGGGTTCCTATTACGTGGGTGGCTTGTCTACGAAGCAATACCTAGCGTTAAACATTCGCTCATCGGTTCAGCGCGCAAACGGCAAGAATGGGCGAGGTTCAAAGGGGTTTAACGGATTTTGCAGTGGATGCTAAGCGTTACAATAGGCTCTACAACCTAGTCGTACTTGCATGTTACATGTATATGATAGCCTCTTGAACATAACTTGAGCTTGCATTAAGAGAAGCTAATGCACTTGTTTTGCTGGCTGACTAGAGGTACATATTTCCACTTCCTCGTGAATTATTACTGCAATATGCGTATATAACCTACCTTACTTACAAGGAGGGTAGATAGCTTATAACTATTGTCGTCTGGCTCGCCGAATCATGTTTGTGGGTTTTCTATGCAGTCATATGCTAGATTCGGACCATGTTAGGTTGATCCAAGCGAATAACCGACAAGAATAACAGATGAATGTTAAGATGAAAGCCTCATCTGACATGTTTACACGTGCTAACCACGGCGTAACGAGGCTTGGCGGTTGTTTTTCAGACAACTAAAATCTTACCTACAGCATCTATTCTAGGCGAGGTACCTTGGTCTCAGCTCTATCAAAATGGGATTTGACAATGGATGTTCGGTTACCCAACCATTCTTATATGTACTCCAACTTCGTCGGATATATCACTTTGAGGTGGTGTGGAAGTTTGTCAAGGATACATCTGTGGCTATACCTATAAGCTAGAGGGGTAGAAATAACCTTCATAGGGAACAAGTAGATAAGTCGCGAAATACATAATAGGCCACGAGGGAGGGGGTCGATCCGTTATGCATGTTGGAAATGACTTACATGAAACGACTCCATAGAACATGAGATATGTAAAGAATGGTGGATAGGAGATGGTGGAAATTTCTTAGAAAGCCTTTTTGATTATAGGTAAATAAGAGCTCTACACCCTCCTGCGCGATGCGGGATCATGAAACAACAAGGGTAGTGAATTATGTTATGTTCTGATAGACCAAAAAATGACTAGGTATGTTCAGCTCGATATTCCGCACGGATATTAGACTTAAGTACCTACCTACGCTACAACTCAAGCATCTACTTACTTAATCAACAATCGAAAGAGATTAATTCGTGGCTATAATTAGTTACTGCAACGTAATAATCCTACTAAAAGCGGTATACCGTCATAGACAATTGTATTCCTATTTTTTCCCGTCTTGGTAAATCCGGATATTGCACCTTCGGGTAGTGCTCACCCGATATTTGTACCTTGAGCGACTTTCTCAAGGGTTGGATGAAATATCATGAGGTTGGTAAGAAAGGGTCGGACCGTATCTCTTGGGTATGCTAATTATCATATCAGTGGCTAGTAACATGCCTGGTAGGAATCCTTGTAGCTCTGTTTCTAAGTATACGCCTAGATTTTTTATTTTCTTTTTTTTTTCAACAAAACAAAACAAAACAAACGAAAGACCAAGTACAAGTACCTCTGAGATTTAAGGCGCCTCACCGAATCCCAGTGAAGTAGGATAACTCGATAGGCACTTAGTATCCGTGTATGTTGACCAATTGATGAATTCAGACCTATCCATGATCATGAGAATCGATTGGTTCTTACGATTCTTCCTATTACTCGCCACCACCGGGTCCTTAAGCATTTAAGTATCTGAGGTATTTTAAGTATCGCTGCGGATCATTAGTAGGGGAGTATCTATCTATATCTCGTTACTGTAATGCTTTAATGTGTTACCATACACCCCTAGGAGAGATTCAGGGGTCATATATGGTGAGAGTTGCTTTGGCTGTCCACTCCGGACCTCATATATGACCACATCATGTTAATTAGCTGACAGTCTAGTAAATAATTGGATCTATGATTCGGAGGGGGGCAATATTCACGGACTCATCCGACTTACAGCCCCCTTACATATAATACTACGTAAATCTGTAGCCTCTTTCCGATATGTACCCGATTACAACTATACTAGACTTATAAATCTATTAATAACTTGAATACATAATTCGTATGTTCAACTTTATGTCTGATCGGATTGTTAATACGCCGTCTATCATATCGTTAGAGTTACAATATCACCACCCGAATGTCACTTATTATGTACCTGGGTACCCTAAATGCAAGTTTTCCGTACTCAAAGAGGGCGGATGGAAGGAAGAGGATCGTACAGATCTTGGTTGTTCAATATCGGCTCACCTTACCATTAGAAAAATTGATATGATATAAGTGATACCTTAAGGATGTTATTACATAATCTAAGACACCATATACTATAGCATTACTAGAATAGGGGTTAAGGGTTACACGAAGGACCTTAACTCATGTATTACATAAGTCTGTACAACTCTGAGCACATGGTCGTCAGATATATATAAGCTTACCAATATATCGATCCATCCAATGGGAGCGTCGAGACATAGGCAAAGACATAGACTTTAACGGAGAATTACTGAGTAGCTGAAGTTAGAAAGGGGTATTAGCTAATGATGTAACCATGTATATCGACTTTATTTAGCCCGCTAGATCGCAGTACAGCAAACTAGGAGACGGAAGATTGTATACGGAAATTAGACTGGATTGAAGGGGCAATTCTTGGGATCTAATACTTAAATTTAGCTGGGATTGCTACTTAATCTCAATCTAAGTTGAATTTTCCTTCGTGACCTTCATTGACGACGAGCCAGCGCAATGAGGTATTGGGGGGTTTGGAGTATGCGATAACTAATGTTGCTTGTTCATCATTCCTTATTTCATGACCAACAAATTTTCGAGTGACGATGAAGCTAGAGTCTTTGGTAATGTAGTCCAAAAGACGGCGTTCAAGTAACTCGTCGTTGATGGACTCTGATCCCCAGACAACATGATGGAAGACTACCTTATCATTTTTAATATAGTGCCGTCCCTCTTCATAAAAGTCTTGCTCCGTAAAACCATTCTCTACGCCCTCTGACTCGTAGTAGCTTTGATCGCTCTCTTCCATTTTACCCTGTCGGTCTTCTATCATGACGGTCTTATCGCGTTGTTTGGCGATGATTCGTGATTCATTTACATGAATTTCAAGTTGACTCTCAAGATCGGATATTCTTAACTTCGCTTGTTTAAGCTCATTTTTCGCATCATACTCTTGATGTTGTCTTTCCTGAATATCTGTACGGAGTTGGTTATTTATAGGTTCCATTATTTGAATTCTTTTATTATACGTCTGGATAGTATCATCGGTCGGCTTTACGGTGGGGATATCTTTTAATGACAAATCATCCACGGAAAGTTAGATAATAACCAATGATAAATATCAAAAGGTGGCACATACGATCAGATTCTTCGTCAAGTCCTTGACGAGGCATCACAGAAGTCGATGGAATGGTTCTGGACGATGAACGAATACGAAATAATTGAATTTGAGGACCATGGGCAAAATTTGAACTTGTAGACAATCGCGACTCAAGGGCTCCCAATACACATCCACGATCCAATCTCTTATATCTTGTTGCTTCCGTCATCTAGTCTGAACTTGGGGTAAGATTAGTTGTTGGATATCACGATCGGGTTTCTAATAGGCTTCGTGTCGAGGACATGCTTCAAGTACTTTCGTAGTGGATGGAATAGCATGTCTAAGCATTGTAGAGCGAGTATTCAGGGTCCAGATCACGCGCAACAGTTGCGAATCAAGATCAGAAGACGCATGAATACCGCCCAACTCCTAAGACGAGACCAGTCGGAATGTTCTTGACTTGTATGATGTCACGTTGGGAGTTGATTCGTAGCCTCATGTGTGTTGTATTCGTTGACTCCAAGTAATATCAATTTCTCTGAGGAGTATAACGAGATTCTAAGCATTGATAGCATCCATATTGACAGAAATTCCACCTTAACTCGTCGAAATTAGGGAACTTGTTCAATAGAGGATGTGATTGGCTGGCTACTGCCTATGAATATTTTAATTCATGTACCTAGCAGAGCGCGGTTATTGTATCGCATCGCCATACCCAATCTATCCAACATCATATCGGCAGGTTTAAATGTCGGAGCTTATCGTAGCTAAAAGCGTTGAGATGAAGATGTAATATGACAAGGTCGTCTTATTTCAGTCGCCGACCATAAATTACCTAGGTAGGGGACGTAGGTGATTGTGTTGGTGGATGATTCCTTGACTGGTAGGTCGGCCTTCAATGACGAATCTGATCGCCGACTACTTATATTTCAATCCCCACCTAGCTTCTTACCCAAGTATCTAGACGCCTCCAATCGGTTATATATAGACACAGGTGCTAATCGTTTTCGGGTGGAGGTAATCGGCAGATAGATTGGTTCAAATTATTGATCAAGTCCGGAAGATTAAATACTCAGTGTCTAGACTTGAGACGTGTTGGTAGGTAGGTGATAAAGTAGTGTCGCGTTGCCTGGAGTAGGTATATCTATCCGTAGCTGCGTAGACGCCATAGTAAACCTCTCCAGCATACATAACATATTGTTTCCTCGTCGTAATGCCATAATCATACATACCTACCTAGACAGGTTAGGCGAATATGGAGGTCAATCACCCGACTCTATCATCCACCGTTGCTTAATCTTCCTCATGTGCTCCGGTCAAAGGACCAGCAAGACCTTGCATACGACGTCCAAGTAAATCGTCGGAACTATCTAGCTTTACAAAGCTTTTAGATTTTTGTCCAAACCCGGATCTTCCATTTGATCTTTTCTTCTTCGTATTTCCATTTGGCTTGTCAGTATCGCTTTCTTCTCGTTCGGGACTTTTTGATTTCGCCTTATTCTCGTCGCTAGTGGTTCTCGATCGTAGTTTCGTCATATTTATTTCGAGTGGTTTATCTTCATCGCCGCTAGATTCGGTACGAATGTGATGACGTTTCGACTGTGTTTGCTGTTCAAATTTCGTGCGTGCTTCTGCGGTATTTAATAGATCTACAGCCCATCGCGCACAGCGATCGATTAGTTTCCACGCAGGTGGGTACAAAGTTGGGAATTGAGTGAAACCATGACTGATGCCAGGGATTAGAACGACTTCAGCGACGTCCTTTTCGTCGAAGTCCGTAATGTCGTCCAAACCTTTCATTCCTTGAGAGCTACGCTGAGAATGAAAGGCTTGTTTTGCACGACGTAAACGCCCTGCGAAGATGACCGTATCATCAACCAAAGGATCACGTTCGCCGGTGAGAAAGTATGTTTTGGGAAATTTTCGCAACAGGAAATCAGGTGCCAATATGGGAGATAATAGATAATCCTGCGAAAAGTCGGGTCGGTTGTGGGGTCCGACATACAAAATGATCATTGCGCGCATCATTTCGGGGGTCAAAACGCGATCGTTGAAATAGGATATCATAGATGCCATAGCCAAACGCGTTCGCATGGGTTCGGGTCTGTGCGATATTGACTTGGTATCTCCATTGGTGATAGGAATCGATTGTTGAGATTTCGTCCATGTTTGACGGTTAGCATGGGAATATTCCGGTTGAGGACTACGAAGGCCGTCGTCATTTGCGGCAATATCCAATTTGGAAAATTTGGTGCCGGCAACTGGTCCGGAAGGTTCTTCGTCTTCGTCATCGGATTGATGGGGAGTACCGACAAGATCGTTATACTGCATACTTTTCCGACGCAGGTAATCCTTATTCGTAACTCGCATCCGCCGATCTTTGATAAGAGACATTTGTTCGTCGGACATCCAGTTGCCGATGTTCATATCTAAACCGGGGTAAAGAAGTACAAGGCCAGCAGGTACTGGTAACTCCGCTTGGATCGACGATTGACGCTGGTTTGTCGCACTCTCGATTACCATAAGAGTCGTAGCTGTCGCAAGATTACCACCAGCACTATCACCAGTGACCACCACCTTCGGAATCTCTATCCCCGACATTCCTATGCATCTTCCTTTGCTTCTAATTATCGTCGTATACACATCGAAACATTCATTCAGGGCATATGGGTATGGAAACTCTGGTGCTTTCTTGTAATCCAGACTAAGTACCGGAAGACCCGTCTTTCCGGCCCAAGAAAAGAGCTTATCGTCGTTACACCGTGGATCCATAGCCACAAAGCCACCCCCGGGAATGTCTAGGATCATCTTATTGATATGTTCCAGGTCGGAGATAGGTCCGTCATAATATAACCAACCGGAAACAGGTTCCTTGTAATCGCTAGTATTAGGTCGAGGTATCCGAATAGCTCGTGGTGGCCATCGTGTAAATCGAGGTCGCATCAGGTTTTGAGCCGCCCGTAAATACGGCGAGGTTCCTTTATTCCAACTAACTCGTAGATGATCGACAGTCAAGGCTCCTCTAACCTTTCTAACCTTTTCGTCTGCACGTTCCGCTGCTACCAGATAGAAGAGAGAAAATACGAGGCTGGCTATATCGCGTATCCATTTTCTCTTCAGCTTCATAGCTGTCCAGAACCCCGCGTCAAGTGCAGTTAAGACCCATGTCGCACGGAAGTATTTTGCATCATACATATTTGCCATTGGTTCCGGACTAGCAAGTCCGACGAGAGTACTGAAATTCCGAGCGGCGTATAGATACATCATGGTCAATACGACGGTTTGCCATGTTGTTAATATTCTCGACGATATTTTCGAAAGGTATCGGATAAGTGGGGGCCCATGTCGATGACCTCTATTTAATGTTAGTATCGCGAATCAGATCCTCAGATGAATGTATCCGATCTTCTTACTTGAATAGGTAGAATGACCAAAACGTCAAGACGGCAAGTACTTGAAGTCTACGCGACTTCACGGAAGGTTTTCCAAGCACGTGGTCTATCATAATGTATAGTGGTAGGGTAGATTCACCTAGGTATCATTGGAAGATAGAAATGTAGGCGGGAATAAAGAAATGATTAGAAAATTGGAAATTTGCGATTTCAAAACATAATACACAAAATAGTCGCATATACGATTGGAAAAAGGTAATACGAAGAATCTAGATTGATAAACACTAGTCGATATGTTTTCAAAAAGTAATACAGCATGTGAATTGTAACATGGTTTCTTACGACAACTTATTGTTAGGGAAGATCAAGGTAATGGAATTAAAGGCACGAAACAACAAACGGCTCGGTACGGAGAGTTCGGATTAGTAAAACAATGTTAGATCTAAGACTATTCGGAAGTAGACAATAGAAATTGGGTTCGTGACATAAGTTCCGAGGACTAGTATGTAATATGATAATAATTGCTAGTAGCTGACCGAGCTGACAGGATAAGATTGAATTTAGAAGCTTGTGATGAAAACCTGGAACCTATCGGCTCTTCTGGTGACGTTTGCGTCTAGGATCTAGGTTAACTCATGCCATAGGTAAGTGAATCTGGCATGTGAAAGTCGCCTTACAAGTACTAATCACTAACTGATCAGCAGATCGATTCCCCCCATAATCCCCCACATTCACTTGATTTTAAGCCTGGAGCCGTCAGGGGGATTAGGAATGTAGCCCCACGTTGGAGATTTGGAGATTTGTGTCCATGAGTAGTACACGAGGTATCTGGGCAGGTAATCCTAGAACCGCCTCGTAGCTATGAGTTCGAATGAATCTCTAGCACGTACCTATATACCTACCTCATATCTACATATGTAGGTTGTAGGTATTCTTGGTTGTGAAAATTGACCAATACCCGGGTACCTACTTAGGTATATAAGTAGACGAATACCATCATAAATATCTAGATAGATACCTAGGAATGGTGACCCGTATTTTATTCGGGGATACATTTTGAGCTGAATAGAAGGAAGATCAATTAAGATCACGCGCTGACAGTGGTAAAGCCGTCGCCTACCGCAAGGAGGTATCTAACCGATTGGTCCGTCAATTTTCAGTGTTGCGGATTAGCCCTTACCTATAATACACCTATCGAAATAGGTACATTGTTGTAGAACTCTTCGTTTTCAATCGCGACAAAGCTCTTAAGGGCATCTAGGCACCTAAGATTCGAGTAGACACCTACATGGGTATATATTGAATGTGTTGTTATTCGCAATTAGGACCATTATTAAAACAAATCCACGTTACCGAAAAATAAGTGATAAGATAAGAAGATATCAAAAGTACAGTCGCCTTATTCAAACATATCCTACTTGACGAAGGGATTCAAAAAGAATGAAAAATGGAAGGTCCCAAAAGGAAGAAGAAGAAGAAGAGAGATTCCTACCGTAAAAAGATGATTCTGTAACATACTCCAAAGAAAAAAAAAACTGCGAGATCGGAACGGTAATTCTTATCGATAAGGATACAAGCTATGATTCTTTCCAAGTTTTTTGAGTGGCATGTTTTTCTCCAAGTGACTCTTTCTTTTTTGTACTTTGATATAAAATAAAGTACTTCGATTTATTCTTTTCAATTCATTTTCTCCTCCTCAATCAACGCGGTGGTAACATAGTAGGACGGTCCCCAACTTTACGATATACGACATACGATATACGATATTCATGGCTTTTCGATCCCCCGTTCGACGATTAGTATCTACTACTACTACTAGAATACGAGGTATATCCTCTCAAGCGACAACAACGTCGAATCTATCACACAGTGTTCAAGAATCCATTTCTCACGAAGCTTCCCTACCGAACCCAGATCCATCAGATGATTCAGCCAGTGCATCTTTAATTAATGAACACTCTAAATTCATGCTAGCGACGTATGCTAGACCACCACCGGTATTTGTCAAAGGAGAAGGTTCCTACTTATGGGATTTAGAAAATCGAAAGTATTTGGATTTCACGGCGGGGATCGCAGTCAATGCGCTTGGACATAGCAATCCTGGTCTTGCGAAAGTCCTTTCCGATCAGGTAAGATTGAATCAATTGTTTTTTATTCCGTTATTTTTCTTTATTTTCATTTCTCGTTTCCATACGCACATACTAATCAACCCCACCAGGCTCATACATTATGGCATGCTTCCAACCTCTATTACAATCCATGGACAGGAGCTCTATCCCAACTTCTAGTCGAAAAAACCCTCGAATCCGGTGCTATGCATGACGCTGCAACAGTTTTCGTATGCAATTCCGGCTCCGAAGCCAACGAAGCTGCCATTAAATTCTCTCGAAAAGTTGGCAAGGTCTTAGATCCTTCCGGTGCCAAATACGAATTCGTTTCCTTCCATAATTCGTTCCACGGTCGTACCATGGGCAGTTTATCCGCGACTCCCAATCCCAAATACCAACAACCTTTCGCTCCCATGTTGCCAGGTTTCAAGTACGGTACATACAACGATATTGAAGCAATCGACGATCTCGTAACGGATAAAACTTGTGGTGTGATAATCGAACCTATTCAAGGTGAGGGAGGAGTCAACGTTGCTAGCGATGAATTCCTCATTGCTCTAGCCAGGCGATGTCGTCAAGTTGGAGTAGTACTCATCTATGATGAGATTCAATGTGGTCTGTCAAGAACTGGTACTCTTTGGGCGCATAGCCATCTTCCCAAGGAGGCACATCCTGATGTCCTTACCACGGCCAAAGCGCTCGGTAACGGTTTTCCCGTCGGTGCCATTATTGTCAACAATCATATTAGTGAAAAGATCAAGATTGGTGATCATGGTACGACCTTTGGTGGTAACCCTATGGCATGTCGATTGGCTCATTACGTGGTTTCTCAACTGTCCGATCCAAAGTTGCAACAAGACGTTCTTTCCAAGTCAAAGAAGTTCATCGAGGGGTTTCAGAGCTTGAAAGAACGATACCCTGATCTAATCACCGAGGTTCGCGGTAAAGGTTTGATTCTTGGTTTACAATTGACTCAAGATCCTTCACCTATAGTGAAGGCAGCTAGGGAAAGGGGATTGTTGGTGATTACATGCGGAACTAATACACTCAGATTCGTTCCACCACTCACGATTAACGATGAGGAAATTAAGAGTGGGTTGAATATTCTAGAGGAGGCCATTAAAGCTACTCGATAATTTTTATTCTTCATATCAGCAAGGTGTTGAGGTTTATTAAAAGAAGGGACTCTCTTTTCGGCTAGATTCGAGATACGTGTTACGATGAACTCTTTCTATACGTTTAATAGATATTCTACCCTCGATGGGACGGGTATAGGAGACGAACCAGCGTCGATTATCATAAACATTCCATTTTCCTAGACATACGCTTAAATACCTAGGTATCTTGGTAAGTATAAAGGATAAACGGGGATTGCCGACCCCTAGGCATCTGCCATCAACGAGCAGGGTGGATGGAGTTTAATTAAGACAACGACCAAAATATTTGAAGCAGCCAGCGTATCATAAACATGAGTTATGTCGAAGGTCAACTTGAACAAAGCCGATTACAGTTGTCAAATATGAAAATAAAGACAACCCAACAATCCAATCCCGTGTGCCCTCTCCTGGGTTTTTCATTGAAAAAGTACCTATGAGATTCAGATGGCATGTCGTACATTTCCCCAGGTGAGTTACAAGTGAGTGAGTGGTGACTTCCGATCCACCTAGTACTAATATGATACCACATGATACCTACAGAGCCTTTATTCTAGGTAAGAATAGGGAATACTCTTACGTCAGGCCTATAAACAAATTCCGGCAGACCGGTACTCGTTTCTATCGAATCTCCGACCGAGAGCTTTTCACTCACATCGATCTAACGATTGCCACATTCTAATGCGATATCATGATTTAGGTCTACCCCACGACGTATTACTACCATACGGCATGACTCTAGGAATTTAGGCTTAACATATTCACCTCTTTCCACCTAAAGATCCTTACTTGCCGTCATTCCCGATTATCTATAAGTGTGGTACGAACCAGACTTTGAGGTAAACTACCCATAGATTAATATATCATCCTAGGTCATGCTTCATATTAATGCGGAGGATTATGCTTTCAAATTGCTTACTACCAGGCATACGAAGGTATCTATGTGTGCATCTATGACAAAGAATGACGATGAACCCAGCTACATTATTACCCCTAGTGACCCCATAGAGTCGCCTTATGATAAAGATAGAACTATATTCATCATTTCTCTCAAGGCTTCTCGTAGTATTAAGATGCAATTGAAACGAACCTGCCGATTCGTTCTTAATGAGGCTCTAATGGAAATTTGGAATACACCTCGAGTAGATGGGTTACAAGAAAATACCTAGCCACACAACGAAACCTACATAATATCGATATCTACCTGGGTATCTATCAAGGAGGTAGTTATCTACCGGTTGGGGCCTTATTAGGCCGATATCTAGGTAATAAGATGGTGTGATGACGATGTTGAACGTCGCGGGCTAGTCTGGTTTTAATAGTTGAAGCCTGTAACCCTAAAATTGTAAAAGGGATAGAAGGGGGGCGATGACAGAGTTGAAGATGGTTTTCCCTGGTTTCAAGGGTATCTACCTAGACATCTTTCATATTTTCGGCAAATGTATCATCTAACCCCCCTGAATTACTCCTTTTCTGTACCTTTGCGACAGCCGATTACGTCGTCATTCTTTTTTTCACCTTGAAATTTATTGATTCTTCGAGGCTCATTTATTATTTTTATAATTCCTGTTGTAACACCTCAATTCAAAGTCTGCAGACTAACTATTTGAAATTCTACTCACCAATTAGAGTCGGCATAGGCTATTATATCATTTTCAACTGTCTCGTTATCGGGGGACCGAGTAAAAACTCGATCCTAATTCCCACCGGAAACCACTCCCCGGACGAGTAGCGGTGGTAGTCGTTCATCCCCCGCGTTAGATAAGTACAAATTCGGATGCGGATGAGCTCAACGGTGATACTCCACCCAATGAATAACCAGAAGGATATATATAAAATCAACTCAAATCTCCCTACTTTAACCGGATCCAATAACGCGTAACCGATCCCTTGTCCTTTTGGACCCTTTTACCATTTACGTAACTTATGATGATGCGAGATAGTCTAGGTACCTAGCTCACGGCACCTTTCAAAACCAATAAATACATAGGAAAGGCATTTGCCGAGAACCTGTCAACCCCCTCGTACATAAATATATATGAGGTCGCCATCTCGCCGGATATTAATTCTACAAACGTATGGGGTAGACGTGAGTTGATTGGCACTAGACCTAGGTCATCCTGAACTTCCATTCATTTTCTAGTTAGGTAGATGCTCTACGCTCTGCTGTGAATTTTTGCGTTGATATCATATGTAGGGGATGTCTAGTTGTATTCAAAATAAGTCAAATAGATCTGTAGATCCGGGCCTGTGTCTCCTTACTTTCTCCTCCTGAATCCTCAGATCCTCGTGGTTCTATTGTTAGCCTTGTCAATATCGGATTTACCGTAAAGATGAGATTGCTTTCAGCTATCGCGTTTATCGCGCCCGTCCAAGCCGGTCTCCGGTTTCCATGCTCAACCCTAACCATCCAACGTCTGGATCCTGTGGTGCAGCCAGGTATTAACCCGTCCGCTCACGTGCACCATATCGTCGGTGGAAATGCCTTCAACGCTACTATGCTTGGTGATGTTGGTGCTAGAGCTACATGCACTACTTGCCAAATGGCCGAGGATTTCTCAAACTACTGGACGGCACACTTATACTTCAAACATCCCGTCAATGGATCTTACCACCGTGTACCGGTGATTCCCGTCCAGCCCCTACTGGGAGGCTCGAACGGCGCCCAAGGTGGACTTACTGTCTACTACACCCAGTTCGACTTGAGCAGGGACAATCTCAACCAGCAAAAAATCAAGGCCTTCCCACCGGTATTAAAATGATTCTTAAATATTATATCCATACTCTTTGTTCGTTATTCAAATATCTAAAGCTTCTCAGGGTTTCCGCATGACCGTGGGCAGCCCAACTGCTACGGCCCGAGAGCACATCGGGCTTAGTTACCAATGCATGACAGGCGGTAACAGAGGCACCCTACAGGCTAACTTCCCTGACAAGCCATGCTCAGGTGGTATATTCACCACTCACCACTTCCCCCCGTTAGTAATTTTTCTACGCTAAATTCAAGACTATACGGATACTAACTATCAACTTAGATGCTGGGATGGTAAGAACCTTGACAGTGCAGACCATCAATCCCATATGTACAACACGGTCAACACGGATTACTTTAACAATGCTCCCGCATGCCCGGAATCTCACCCGGTTAGGTATGTATAAGAGCGTCGTGTTCTTGCGTTGCCCCTATTTAGCCCTTATCTAGCCCTACCGACCCCCTATTTTTCGAAAACCATCGTTGCCATCAGGTTAGCCGTCAATTTACTAACAAACTTGACAGAGTTCCCCAAGTCACATTCGAGATTACATGGGATACCACCAAGTTCAACAGCATGTGGACTTCTGGCCCTAACCCATTCGTATGGAGTTTTGAGGGTAGTGGATATGGTACCCACGGCGACTACATGTTCGGCTGGAAGGATGATGCTCTTCAACGCGCAATGGACAAGTCTGAATGCTTCTACGATGGCTGCGGTTCCATCACGAAGCAAGCTATGTCGACTGCCAACCAATGCAAGGTTGCCGACATGGTTGGAGAGGAAACCGATGGATGTAAGTTTTGACTCTTCTCAATATTGGAAGCGCGGATACTAATTTATACTAGGGCTCGACAGCCTTCCCGGTATGGCTATGCCAGCTTAAATTTAGATTGGGCAAAGTCCACGGTGTGGCTCATGATATTCTAGAATGTCATCAAATGTATAAGCTATTCAGGTGGATCTTGCGCGTTCTTAGATTCAAGTTGAACTTGTTAGTAGTTGAGTTATATATACATCATTCACTGAACATACCCAAGTATGAAAGGAGTTAGGTTGCTTGGGTTAACTTGAAAACGGCCTAGTGCATCGATTTCCACCATCCATCGTAGGATAGGGACATATCTATATGAAGAATCTATAATCCATGACATTTGAAAGTAGCATTACTAGATAATAATATCCAATATCACCGAACGAGGAGGTAAAGACAGCCCGACTACTGTTATAGCACCACGGTAAATTGTAACAAAATACGTACCCAGAAAAATACAGGCCAATAGTAGGCAACCAGGTAGGTATTCCAAAAGCTCGAAGAGATCCCTTATATGGTAACAACATCGCACCTTTTCATCTAAAAAGGATGCACCGGCTTCCCCAAAACTGACTGTGTGGTCATTATATCTAATAGTTAATCATAAGTAAATGCATCTCTAGCCGGATAGACTTGAAACACGGTCGAACTCATGACAGCCACTCGAACTATAAGACTCGGGAAGATATGAATTTCATCCCAAAGAGGAATATTCATTGAAACTACTCCTAGCTATGGCTAAATCCATCCTACTTCACAATTCTAGACTCAGGTGTGTAAAAATAAGAGAAGCGAAACCGGAATAGAATGGCTCAATCATACCGCAGCTTATGACAAACTCAGTCTAGACTTAGAAACATCAATCACGGAAACAAGGCGTTCAATAGGAAGTCCCTCCTTATTCATTGCCCATATTAGTTCTCCGTTGAAGTTAATTGACTATCCTACGTTAAGAAACTACCGCCAAACCCATGCGATTAACCTCCTCGAGGCAAGAATGCGTCCCCGGTAGGCAAAGCAATTAGAGACTAAATCATACGCGATAGTAGTTCCCTCGTTCCTATATTGTTCTAGCTTCAGTTCTTCCAACTCATCACACTTAAGCGCCGAGAATTTCTTGTATCTATCGAATCCCGATGGCTGTAATATGCCCTAACATCCCGATAGGTCGTCGAATTCAGAACGCTTACGAAGGGAAAGAGAGAATGTAACGATGACAACACGCAGGACCCCAGAAAAAAAATCAAATCCATATTTGGTTACACGTTATTCCGTACCTGCATATGTATATTGATTAATGACCACCGTACCTAGAAGTAGATAACTAGATCTACCATAGCTCGATCGACACGTAATGGCTGCTGAGTAGGGTCACATTCACCGCCTTAATCAAACAGCGCGATTGTTCTTTTTGCGCCACTTCCCTTACTGGTTGCGCACGCGGAGTTGGAACGGAATAGGAAAACAATCGAAAGAGAAAAAGGCCTCGTTGGGCATTCTCGCTCGCCTAAACACACGAGATTTAAACGCGTGGCATCTTTAGAAGAAGAGGATCTATTAGAGCTTACCGATTCCTTTCATATTGCTCAAAAATAACTCAGTAGTTACCAACCCTCACAGATACAAATTTCATCGGCCTATTATCGTCAGGCAACCTTTAGGGCTTAAGAGGCGTTCAATAGGCGTTACTAATGAACTTGGCACCCGTAGAATGACTATCTCATAGGTATCTAGGTACTTACGGACTACCGCACACGAATTCGATTAAGCCACTGAAGAGGTAGGACTACGTTAGGTACCTAGATAGGTATTGAGAACAGCATCCATAACCACCCCCCCACGCGATCGAATTAGCGAATGGCGTCACCCGTTCGGCCCGCTCGATGTTGATCATCTAAATTCTTACACAGCCCCAATGTGATAGGATACGAAGATATCTTAAGTACCTAGGTACACAGAAGGTAGGAAATTTTTGTTGAAGAATCTAGATTCGGCGAGCAAGATAATGGAAGGGCCGGGACTGTGAAAATCAAGAAGTCTTTCACCACTAGGTACTCAACTTACATACAAGACTAATGCAGATAGTTAAGTCCGTGAGCTGCAATAAACCACCTGACAATTACTTACATATGTACTTGTCGGCGATATGCAACGTGCACTTTCTTATAACACTTCAATTTTAACATATTCAGCGACTAGAAATGCATGTATGCGGCTTTTCTAGATCTTAGGTACCTAGATGTGTAAAAGTTTCCAAAGAAAACTTTTCTTAACCCTTCTAAATAAGGTAAGACTTCGCGGTATCTCTCGTCAGCTGGATGTGATGTGATTTGGCTTTGGTACCTTGCAGCCAGAACCAAATCACTGGAGCGGAGGGGTTTCTTCGCATTCCCGCCCACACCGACCATGATGAATAAATATGAGATTGACCAACGAGAAAATTGATAAGGAAAAAAAGGCAAAAAATAAAATTAAAGTATGTAGTGATAAGTATAGGTCTTACTGGTAATAATTCATAGGATTGTACGTCATACAAAGTATCTACTGTGCTTAAGTGCTTATACAATTTCCTCAGTAACTTATTCATATATCATCCTTCTATTTGAGGCTTAGGTGAGGAATTCCTGATGGATGTAGTCTAAGGATTTAAAATCTGCCGTAGTTTCTAAAGAATAAAGGAAGGAATCAGAAAAAAAGGAAGAGAAGAGCCGAAGAACCAATCAAAAACTGATCGCATAAAGCGAATTGGGAGCTGCCACACCACGCGAGTCCCATGCGTCTTACGTCTAGAATCCTCTTTCATCAACCTTTTTTTTTTTTGTTATTATGGTGACATCGTCCCTTGCATTAGGGTATTTTAATTGTGGATTATGGACTGAAAAGATTTTTTTTTTTTTCTTTTCTTTTTTTTTTTGGTAGCTACTGATTCCTCGGTTCGGGCTAAATTGGGGAAAGCTAAGGAATTGACGGAACATCTGAAGTCGTAGGGTTAGCTTGTGATGATATTAGGAAGTTATCTAGGTACTTTTCCACCTGTAGCGGGCTGTAAATGGGTACATTGGTAGGTAATCTTTCAACGCCGAGATCTATTCACACGTTAGTCTCGACAATGCCTTCTAGGTAAAGTAATGATAAGCAAACAATGATCATCATAAACTTATTCCACAATAAAGTGTAATTCCCCTCTAACCCCTCGTATTGGCACCTGTCAATGCGTTTTCCGTTGGATTGGTACAATGTGGGACAGCAACTCGTGGCACGCCAGCACCCAAGCTAGATATTTCCTAGAACCAACATGTGCATTGCATTGGTCAAAAATCAATCTATGGGCCTACGAAGCCTTCATTTAAGGTATGTGTCTGAAGGATTCTCCTACATACAATATACGCCACATATCTTAGCCACCTCCAAAAAGGACGAATAGAAAAATCTAGATGTGGAGTTGAAATTTGATTGCCTAGCAACCTAGATGTTTCTAAAAAGTTGAAGGTGAACTAACATCTATGTAGGTAGGCTTGGATAATCTTTTCTCGTAGAATTAGGGCCGAGATGAGGAAAAGCTTGTGAAGGTCTATTAAAATTGTAGAATTGTGTTATATGTTATGTAGTATAGAATTTCGACTCGGGAAGGTTCCCGGTTCTCCAAAGACATTACTATATGAATACCTACCTAGGTACGTATATACGTCAAAATGACGGTACCTACGGCGTGATTCGAATAGATTCGGAGAAGTATGAGCATCTACTCCGACTGGATGGTCAGCAATAGACACACGAGATAAACTCAAGAGATAAGGTTCAACGTATGATGATGAGATGAGGATTAAAAAGTTGACCCTAAAAAAGCCGCTGACGTGACTTCAACCGGGAAGAGTAATCTTGCCGGTTTGTTTCCCGTAGCTAACTATTGTACGTAACGACATTGATAACGCCTTACAAAGATAACTATACTTGGTGTTTGTTCTTAGATATTCCCGTCGGGTATGAATTGAATTGCTTGTATATTTGTGACAGCCGATGATAATAATACCTGCCTTGGGTTCCTAGGTAAACATGTCTTGGTGCTGTATACTTAGGTATTTACTGCAGGGCGGGTTTTGGAACACTACGATTAATGAATGGGTTTAGCATGTTTATCCAAGCTACCTAGGTACAGTTACAAAAGTAGTGAGCGCTATATATTTCGGTACGTTAAGCGAAGAGATGGATAGAATAATCATAGTTCAGGATAAAAACGATGCCATATTGAAATGATGTCTTTGTATTTGTATAAGGAATGATGTTGTAGTATTGACGACGTCATGTTGATCCAATACCGGCGCATTGGCTCGGAATTGAAATGATAGAGGATGATCTCTAACCCCTCAAAAAATCCACAGCGTGGATGATGATAGAAGTTCACTTCATGCTACTTTGAAGAGGAACCTTACCCAGCTATCGGGCATTTAAGGCCATGTCATTAATGCGGAGTTTCGCATGTAATTATAAACCGAAAAGCGTGTATCATAGCCTATCTATTCAGCCATCCAGCCAACCCGCTCACCTAGCAGCCAAGGTATTCCTTAAATGTACCTAGGTAGCTACAGTATTACATGCAGAAGAAAAAATTAAATGAAAGAAGCTTCTACATACTAGGCACATCAAACTCAGGGGTCTTGCATGTGTTCGGATGTGTTGTAACTCGGCAATGTTTAGGATACAAAAGAGCAACTTAAGGATCAATCAACGTCACTAAACTTGAAGTACAACTAGGTAATTCCTTTGTAATCGATCTGTAGTTATCTCAACAATTTTATAATCTCATTATTATGACAGTTGTGAGACAACGTCAGCAACTCCAGAAAACTACCTAATGAACCGGTAAGATGTCTTACGAAGTCGCACACGATGAATTCATGCTCTTATTTACTTGGGTACGTAGAAAAGCAAGGTAAGCTCTGGGGTAGACTACATGATTGCCGTATAAGGAAACTAACTCACCTTGTAGCTCGGATGGTCCATGGCTGCGGTAAGATCTACCAGGAATCGAGCTCGGACCAAAATGTTGGAATTGATTGAACAATTTAAGTGGCTGATTGGTTACAACCAACCCCACAGGTCCTAGCAATGGACAAGGGAAATTTTTTTTCTCCCTACGATTTTCTTTGTGCTGAGGGTTTTTCATGTTTTCATATCTAAGTACCTACCCAGGTAGGTACCTAAGGACCTAGCCACAATATGCTGGTATACCATCTAGATCATCTATCCCAACAAATCTCTCGACAAAGCCACCTACGAGAGATTTTAAGGTATAATATCATCTTGAGGATTCAGATTCGTCATGGGATATGAATGTACTAATATCAACATTGATAATGCCGTTGCTTCGTCAAATAAGCACATAATAGGACCCTACATTTGAACAGACTAATGCAAGGTACGAACAACCAACATATTGCAAGGCAGTAGTGTAGACGATCGACATTGTTCCCTGATGCTTGTAGAGAAATTCTTTGGAAGACATTGGTTTCATATCCGGAGATTTTCTCTTGACTTGTTAAAGACCAGCAATGATTCTAAAGACTAATGTTGACTCTGGCATCATTCCGTTGTCGGATAATTCTATCTCGATCCACCCGCATGTTTAGGTGTTTTTCGAGGGTTTAAAAAATGCATCACTACGGGGGATTGTACGAAACTTGTCGTAGTACAGTTATCGGCTTCCCAATTAGCGTATGATTTTTCTAGTTTCTTTTCTCATTAGATACATTTTACTAATTCCGTCATGTAAAACGGGATATGCCGTGGTTTCGTCGGCTAGGGCCATATTGGTCGACATGATTTTCTAGACGGCGTCTTTTTTCTGTGGGCGACATGAGAAGTTTAACAATGACAAGTTAGAGTTGTGTCACCTTTGACAAAACTAAATCCTATTCCTCCAATGAGAACCTGTATTAGAAAAATCAAATAAGTAACTCAGGACGAATACGACATGAGTTTGCGAAACCTACCTGACTTAAAGGCAGGTTTACCCGCAGCCTCTACCTAGGTCATTCTGAAAATAAGCGAGCTAGATTTGGTGTGCATCGTTATACCTTCGTTCATCTAGTTAAGGCGTTGGGGCCAAATAAATTTGAGGACTGCATTCCGTACGCGTTGAAAATCTCCCACGGTAGCTAGGCTGTTGAGTAGGGGATTGCGCGGAACTTGATACTACCTCCGGAAGTCATAGATTTTACATACATAATAGAATGAACATTTAAACCAGCTCCAAATGTGATAGGTGACTTGTCATGCTGTAAAAGATCTAATTGGTAGTACGCGGTTTACATATATGCCTAATCGTTTGAATATGCTCAAGTACTTAGGTACTTATCTTAGGTAGCAACATACCTACGTAGGTCACGTAGCTAGGTTATAAGGGAGGCCGGGAAAGACCGCCATGTACCAGTAGAATCAACATGCGGTGACAGAGCTCACCGCGTCAACTTGCTAATGATAGAGACCTTTTTTCGAATGACAACATACAGGGAGGATATCGACAGTTGACGGAACGGGACGGGATGGTCTAAAAGACATGAGTTTGAAGTACAACATGCAGTCGGTAAAAAAAAGAGTGCTGCAAAACTAACGTATCTGCCCATCTGACCGAGGCAGGGTGCATTGCTTAATGCGGGAAGCCAGTAGAGAAAACTTCTGGAGCGATACAGAACCCACACACGGGTCTATCATTTGAATTGCTAATGATATTCTCTGCACATGTATCTTTAATATGTATAGAAGGTCAGGTGTTGAAATTTGTATGATGCTATTTGAGAACCATTTGACTGTTGACTACAGCTGCACGTCTGGCACTTGTCAAGGCTTTACTTATCCCTACGAAGGCATCTACCTTGGCGCTTAAGTTAGGTACCAGGCGGAGTTTGTGTTGTACATATGATGGAAATGGAATTCATTTACTTATAGGGTTCAGTTACATAATAAACGTACAAATTTACGTTGTATTTTATTCGTCATTATCCTGCCTACTACGTAAATCATGTAGTCACCATATGGATGCATGATAACATCGTCAATTTGATTTTATTTCGCTCAAGCAATTATAGTACAATATTGAGCTTTGATGTTGACTTGTTTTTATCACATCATGTCACGTTTCGTCCAAGAACAAAACAACGCGATATTCATCCCAATTAAGCGCGTTTCTCCTCGGTAGTTGGAGACCTAAGTAGTAGATCCGTTCCTCGATGTCACCTAAGCTGCTAGGATACTTGTTCCAAAAACGAAACAAACTAATGTAAGCTAGATAGATAGTTGTTCACCGAGTCCAGACTTGTCATAATAACCGAGGCGCGATGTTGAAAAATCACTAAAGATGAATCTGAGACTGAAGACTGTTTGAATTTCATGATAAACCCCCTATTACTGTGCACGGATTGCATCTTTTTATAGGTAACACCATACGTAACACTTCTTAATTGTAATGGCTGGTAATATGGTACGAGGAGTGCTTACTTTGAATTTGGGGTGTTGGATATGTACTTGGATACTTTAGGTTAGGTGTGTATCAAAACCACGAGCTTTGACCGATGGCTTACCGACTTGTCGGGAGGGGGCATCTAACGATTCTAGGAAGTACAGAAAGCGGTCTCATGTCTTCGTTCCATTTTGTATCTACAACCAACGTACCTAGGTAGTCGATGGTTCTTTTAAATATTTAATAAATATTGTATTTTTAAGAGTCTGATGGCCTATTTGAGCTCATTGCTAAATTGTGTATATAGGTACCTTAGGTAGGTAGATAGATATTTTTATATACCTAAAGTACCTAGATACATATGATATCTTATTTAAAATATTAGATCGTAAACACAGTATTAATATTACGTAGTACTAGTATGTTTCTACCATTATTAGCATACCACAAATCAATCTTGTTACTAATGAACACGTACGCACTGTGCTTATGCTCTTACTTATTCTCCGTATTTAATCCCCACTGTCAGCATGGCCTACTGCCTTTTTAGTCTAATTCGACGGCTCGTAAGGGTGGTAATCCCGATGGAGGTTAAGTTAGAATCCTTGTTCTACCTAGCTTAGCTAGTACATACCTAGGTACGTAGCCACCAGGAATCAAAGCCGGGACCGTTAGTACCTAAGAAGAAAGTCGGAGAGATGGAATTTTTTTTCTCTTCTCACTCACTACATTCGCTGTAAGTGGATCATAATCATATGTCTTTTACATATATAAGTACTTACCTAGGTAGGTAGGTATAAATTATTTCATAATTGCATTAAGTAGCTTTTATACAAGACTAGTCATCTATCTGAATATTGTAGATAGATGTATAAATATATAATGCTTTAAATATATAATAATGCTAAGCTCGATAAGTTAATTGCATCTTTTCTTAACAGATGAAAAAAGTATGTAGAACAAGAGATTGAATACTTAAGTATATATTTTTTCGGTTGAACATGGCGATTGGATCATAAATCGGCATTTTCATACGTACATGTATACCTACCTAGGTACCCAGGTATGTAGGCAGAGGTCACAACCCCGCCTCCCCCAACCTCTCCCCAAGCTTTGTGCTTCACATTTTATCGTAGGCGCATAGGGTACATAGGTAGGTAGGCTCTATATACGTACCTATGTAAGGTCTTGCTATTGTTTATTTGGTTTCGTTTAAAGCCTCTGCAGTTTTGTAAATATGTACATATATACATAATGAATGTCCATGGTAACTCGCTATCCTCTAACTGGTGGAGAACATAGAAGTAGACTTCCGATGGAGTTGTCGGTTGTCAAGGCTCAAAGAAACCGCTCGACAGGAATCACTTAGTGGTGGATCCCTTATGCATGACTGTGTTCATCCTCTGTTGAAATTTATGGCCGCCGAGAAAGAGGGCCCATCTACTCTTAATCCACAGGCCAATGCCCACCAAAGTGGTCCCAGTAGCTTGCTGGAAGCTCTCCCCGGACCCCTGCCGCTGTTAGCTTAGCCCCCCGTAAGCAGCCCAAGCGGTTCAGGTGTCATCCCAGTTGGTCGGGCTCCTAAGCAAGCTAAGCCTACAAGGATCAGAAAGGGGAAAGTTCACGATTTTGCGGATGTCAAAGAGTTTCCAGGGCGGCAGGTCGGTAGGGCCGTCATCAGTCCTGATTCCTGGAGCCGGTGGAGCCGCCCAGTGCACCAAAATCGAACGGAACAAGGTCTAGCAAAGCCACCCGCTCACATCCCGTCGATTTTTTTTTTCTTTACCAGTCAAGGAGGTATTGTACTCTCCTGTAATTTTTTTTCCCCAACCTCAACCTAGAAAAAAAGAAAAAGGATCTCTTACCTCTTTCTATCTCACATATGTACACTTTTTTTCTCTCCCTCTTTTCTAATCTTACCACCCTCGCACAATACGACCGTGGGCTTCTAAGGGCCCGCCAATAGAATACAAGTAACTTTCGTCAAACCTGAGATTCTGGGGAATAACGGTCGACTCGGACTCGCACACGATAGTATTTGCTTGCAACTCTTGGATTGTCTGGACTCATTGGCATATGTCGTACGGTCTCGCAAATTCTTATCGGTTTTTGTCAAGGTGCAGAGAAGGACGACCTTTTGGGGAGGCCAGGGAGAAAGATTGTTGTGTCAAGATTTACAAGATACTACCTAATTGATTGGTAAAGCGGTATACTTTCGAGAGACGGCACCGCAGCCTGACTACGACCCCACGAAATTTCAACTACCCCAAGCTACAAGTGCCCAGAACACGTGGACCAGTGTGACCACCCGAAGATTGATAGGGCAAAAGAGTCAGTCCACTGGTACACGTATATACCTATGAACCATTGGACATTTTTCGAAAGAGAAAATCGTCACGAGGTTTGACCACCGATATCTTTCAAGGTTATCTTATTAGGAGGTATCTTACTATCTATAAGACGCGAGAATCGGTTTATTAGAGCCGAAAAAAAACGAACTGTTTTGGTTTTTCTTCCTTTTTTCGGACGACAATCTATTTCCCAAGATAGCATTACAGGATCCTGGATGTATTTACCCTGACGTATCATTATTACCTACCTGCCTCACCCCACCAAACACAATACCGCGAATCGACTGATATTACCAACAACGATAACGCGACAGAAACTACCGCAAAGATAGTTTCGACGACATCAGCGATTGTGGATTTCGAAAGAGATACTCAACTATCGACATCATGTCTTTAAAATTACGGCCTCTCAAGTTGCCATTATTGGTGGAAGAGAGAAGAAGGAAAGAGGAGGAAGAAGCAGCGCAACGTGAAATGATGGAAGTTGAGGTGCCGTATAACTTCTACACAACTGACTCTTACTCGTCGGACGCGACGTCACCAGTAACACCAACATTTTCTACGCGTGGTCATCTACGTTACTCTAGTTCCATGTCGTCTTTCGATCTTGCAACAGTAGCGAGCGCTGAAAGTCCTTCGTCTCCGATACAAACAACCCAAAATTCCAATAAACGCGTGCTTCCTGACGTGAAGGAAGAACCTATTGAGTTTGACGATTCGGATTCGGACTCTGAATTTGATGATGCGTCCGAATTATACCAATGTCTATGTAAGTTATGCCTGCTCTTATTTCTAGCTTGTTGATCAATTCTAACAATTCCGTTTAGGTGATGAACCCTGTATACACAAGGACACCGATCTAGTACAAAGCACTTCGAACTTCTACACGCAGAGCCAGAGTACCGACTACGATGTTGGATTCTTTAGCGATGGCGATTTTAGCTTTAGCCTACGATCCTCGTCAAGAAAGCAAAGAGAAAGATCTGAGTCGTCATTTGCTGGGTTTTCATATCGTCTAGGTTCTCGATTCCCGGCCTTTACGAAATGGAAATCCTCGTCGAAGCCTTCTAGCATTATCAGCTCGCCTGTATCCGATTTTGGATTCGAGCGACCGATCTTATCAAGAGCAACTTCGAGTCGTTCTTCGTCAGTTTCAGCGCCCAGTCGGCATCGTCGTGATCGCTCGAACGAACCTCCTGTGCCACCTACGCCTGCCCTATCACGTTTTGGAAGTAGTGATAGTTTCATGCCTTTAGACGGAGCTATCGACGCCCAGAAGACAGGTGACGTTCTATTAGCTATAGAACATGAGCGAAAGCAAGCTGCGACGCCGCTTCTTCCGCCTTTGATGGCTTCAGCTTCCGAGCATATCTTATCGCAATCTTCACCGCTAGAATCACCAAGCGTTGCTGCTTCTGCTTCACCAATTGGAGAAGAATACTATGCGACAGGAATGCTATCTCCACCGCTCAGCGCAAAGGCCTCAAACTCTTCTCTTCGTCTTCTGCCTACACCTGTGGAGCTACCGCAACTTCCTGCACCAGACGCCTGGTCCGACCTTTTGGGGCATGCTAACTATACGATCGTACCGAAACCGTACAAACTGGAAACTGTTGATTTAGAATCTCTACGTCTGTTCCGAGCAGATTGGGAAACCGCACGAGTGAACTATACAAAACATCTCGCACGAACCGGCGAACACTACGGTCAGACCTCCAAGACTTACGCACTTACTGAAGCCAAATGGGCTGAAACGCAACGAAATTGGCGTAGCCTTCATGACGAACTCGCAGCGGCAGTTGTCGCTAGTGGTCAAGTAACAGTGTGCGAGAAGTTTGAGGAGGTTCTAACCACAGTTCCGAGAATGGACGCTGAGGGTAAATTTCCCGAACGTGGTGACGAAGACATTGTCGGACCGATGGTACGCGAAGCCACCATGATGTCTTTGGATAGTGTAGAACGAAAGGGGCCAAGCTTTTGGCGTCATCTTGTCGGCAAAGTTGGTCTAAGAAAATGAACCTCCGCTCCTTACCTCTACCACCTTCCTACCTACATAACACCAATATTGGCCACGGATCTCGAATGATTTTCAATATTACGACTTACCTAATGACGATTTTACGACTATTGAACGTCGCTTACGCTCGTTTCTAACATCTTTTTCTTACATCTTTACGTCTTGCAGCATAGAGAGATACCATTTGTCGTTTTTCATTTTTATTTATTTTGGATACCAATTAGAAGGACGACCGAATCCCGAGTACTACTACCTACTGGTACTATCAACGCCACTACCAACACCATCAAGCTTTCGCAACAGCTGCAGCGGCATTCACATGCATCGCATCGGTGTTGGTGTATCGCAATCGAAAATGTTTATTTGCTTAAACAACTTACACCATAATCTACCTGAGGATGTCTCGGCCCGAGACCGAGAAGCCCCCATGCACATATTTTCCTGCTTGTTGCATTTCTTTAGCGTCTTTCCAACCTACCTACATGTCTTAGCTGGTGTTCTCGCGGAATATCGGCGACCTACGTTATGCATGTGTACGTACGAGGTTAAGATCGACAAAGAGTGCCAATGATCGGGACAGAACATAGTTTTTTTTTTTCTAAATTTTTATTTGTACGCACTGTTCATACGCGGGATTCATACCCAATGTCTTGAAAGCGGAAAGTATACCGGTTGCATATCAGAAAAAGAAAAGTTCGGAATCACAGCATGGGTTTAGGGGAATAAGGAGTGATTTCGGAATTTTTTCGTCTTTTTATTCCAATTGGCAATCTTCAGTGTTTACCGGCATCATATCATATCATCGCATTGGCGCTTGGGTGGAAAAAAAAAAGTTGCAAAAGAAAGGACGGAAGAGGGTTCAACGATTTTTTGGAATGCCTCTTGTGTGCAATACTGTACTGTCTGTACATCATTTTGTCTGATTGTCGAAGGGTGGAGAACAGGGAGGGGTAGGAGTTCGATAATACTCCTATTGAGTACAACAGATTTGTCTGGTGAGCGGATGAGGGGATGATATTAACTTGCTGGGTCACTCTAAATCGATGACCGCAGCCTCCGGCCTCTTGAGAACAACTACAACCCAGACTGATAGTCTTTTAGTTGTTATCAAGGGGTGACGAGGAGACTTGTGTGAAGAGAAAAGAAACATGTACATGACCGGGTTTATTCCCTCCCTAGTTAGAATCAGTTATTAACTTGGGTCAACTAAAATAACATGGACATATATAAACACAGCTTTTCGATTTTCATACAATTGTGCATAACGAGTGATAGCAAGCTGTTTTAAGTCAACTTGATGTTTCTAATTGTATCTACCTGGGTATTTAGATACCTACCTAGGTACCGTGGGATGACGAAGTCCTAAGAATTTTGTTGACGAAGCCCCGTGTTTGTGGCGCTTTATGGAGGGGATTTTCAGCATTTAGCAGCATATATTGAATCTATCAAAGGTGTGAAGTCTGCAATGAGATAATAAATTGTTCCTGATCTTCACGCATAACCCCACGTACGACCGATGGCATAAACCATTGGAGGAAAGGCTGCATCTAAGTAAAGGTAATTGAAGATCCTGCCACACAGTTGATTGTAACATCAAACCCCACTCCTACTTTTTCAAGATTTCCCTCAGTGAACGGGACGGAGATTGATAGGTACACCATCTTCCTAAATCAGGTATAGAAACGATTGGCTCACACTACAGGATATATCTGAAGCCGACCGGAGTGGCTCCCTCCCGGTCTTCGGTTTGTCCCGGATGTTCTGATTCAAATACTTCGCGATTGGCCAATTTTTTATTCTGATGCTGCAACACCAATCTTGCGGTGACGGCAAGTAAAGCGACTAAGACCCCGACGGCTGCTGTAGCGCTCCCGCCTGCAAGGTATCGAGGTCCTTGGACGGATGGATACCTTAATTCGAATGAAATCACATTAGCGTCCAGTCCGATCATTTTTTTTTTCTTTTGCCATTCCACCAATTATGCTTGGGATGATGAAAAGGGTAATGATGCATACATGTAAGTACCATAAATATTGGCTGTGTTACCAACCATGTTACCGAAGGAAATACAAGCACTCCGTTTAACTAACGGTCGAGGAAAACTATTGGCTATCCAAGCCAAAAGGATCTATAATTTAAATATTGTTAGCCGCATCAACTCTTGTCTATGCTTGTAATTGCAGTGTGTAGAGTGTGTTAATCCCTAGGTCAAGAAGCTCACCTGATAGGCGGGAACAGCACCTAATGGTAACAGAAACAAGGCAAAGTAACGACCAGCCGTATTGAGAGTAGCTACTACCACAATATTTCCCACGACGGATACCATTATCAAGCATATGATATGAATACTCCGATCGGTGAATCGCCCCGACGTATACGTTACAAGTAGAGAGATTACCAGGGTAACTACCCAGACGGGGACGGTAAGTAGAAGCGTCTGAATGTTGCTGTACCCTAATGTCTCCACTATAGTAGGGAAGAAGTATTGAAATGTTTGGGAAAGTAACGATGCATGTTGCAATAGCGTGAATAAGTATAACCGTGGATCTCTCAATGCCATCTTCACTCCTTCTTTAATAGAGGAGGCATTGGCTTCATCGGCTTCACCAGCTTCTTTTACAAGACGCCATTGCGCATAAGCACGTTCCTCTGGAGTAAGCCAATTTGTCGTCGCAGGATAATTTGGTAAGATAAATGCAGAACAGATGGCACTAAAGATAGTGATGCTACCTTCAATGATGAAGAGCCAGCGCCTGTTGATTTGATTAGACTTATCTATCCACGCATGAATACCTAGGTAGACATCTTACCACCCAGAGATGCCATGTGCACCACTTAGATTCCCGAGAACTCCTGCACCCAGTAAGCCACCAAATGCATTGGCAACTGAATGACCACAATAGAACCAGGCGATTCTAAGAGCTAGCTCGGACCGTGTATACCAGCTTGACATGAGTAATATAGCACCGGGGAAGAATGGCGCTTCCGCTAGAAGTAGGTATGTTAGCTTTCCAACCTCATTGAATAAGATGGACGCTCGTGCTTTCTTCCGTATGGTATGCCTCCTCTTTAATATATTTATCCCCTTTTCCATTGATTGGATGAAGCGTTGATGGGGCTCTACCAAGAGGTAGGGTGGCTAGAGTGGTTCACTTGAAAGCCGAAAAGGAATACTTATACATACCAAAACCAAGAAAAAATCTACATACCACCAAAGAAGTGAACGTATGTGTAGCTGCTTGTGCTGTAGATATCACTCCCCAGATAGTCATGACCACACCAAGATAGATCGAAGGTTGTACTCGAGTTAATAAAAGATTAGAAGGAAGTTGCATAATGATATATCCAACGAACAATATGCTTGTAGCTAAGTTGAAATCTGTTCCAGTCATATTTAGATCTTCTTCTAATGTCCCAAGTCGAGCTTGGGCGAGGTTGCTAATTCTCTAATTAGACATGCCAAGAATACCTGAGGTTTAGGAGATTCAACGCTTTAGACTTACTTTCGATCCAGAAAGTTGAGCATATACATCAATATCAGCATCGGTAGTAGATGGTAATCGATCTTTTTCAAAAGGGTTGCCGTAATTTGGTTATGCGATTCTATACTAGCTGCGGTGAATTGTCTGAACATCGCGATTTGTTCGTCATCGATTCCACGTGCTTTAGCTATATTAGCAATTGCTTCCTTTTGATTTTCTACCTCCTCGTTGGCCACTTTAACACCATCTCCAGTTTGATCAGCCATTGCGCTTATCATTTCGTATAGATCATCAGAGAGAAGATAGCTTTTCCCCTAGTGACTATTTTTCAAAGGATCACTTTCTAACTTCTTTGACTTCTTTAATACGTTCGCATGAGAATTAATGTCACATTTGATATTATCACTACCTAGGTATCTCATTGAATGCTTTCGGCATTTATTAAAAGTTCGGGGTATCTTTCCTCGGTAATGCAGATTATAATATGCAAATCATTCCGGGTCGAGCCGTGATGAGACTCTGCGAGAGGATCGGAGGCGAAGGCGGGGGAGTTGGAGGTAGAAAGATCTGGATTAAATGTTACCCTCAATCACGGCATTATTTCAAGCATTTTGGTTCAATAAAGTTGTAGCTTTTGTTACACTACATCAGGTGGCTTGGGAATGCCCTTCATATCATTGGTTCGAATAAGGTGGGAACCAGTAAGAGGACTCGATTGTATATCGTGTCTAGGTTCATCAGCTGCATGTCATCAAGATCATCACAGGTAGGGGGTAGCTATCGTACACATCACGGGGGGTTGATAAAATTAGTAGGTACTTGCGAAGCCTAGAACTTTCAAGATTTGGATATAACAAATTTATTTATTGAATGGTCTATTTCCGCGTCACGTTAGCATTGGTTAATATAGATCTCACTTTATCTCTAGGGTGTACGGGCATTTGCGATCGCCAGTATGTTTCGATCTTCGGTAGCGCAAGAGCGAAAGACGATCCCCGTATGAAAATCGAGTTCTACGGTCTAATGAAACTATTCTTTTGACGCACCTTACACCAAGGAACATCAATGGCTACGATGTTAAATAATCCTTGAATTGTTTCTAAGGAATTCCTCACTCTTCTTCCTTTTCTCGAGTAATTCTTACCATTCATACTGATTCGGGATCATCCTTACCGCTTCCAATTTGGGACTCATAATACTTGGGCGGGCACTTACCTAGTTATAGAGTCCCTAATGAACGTGCGATTAAGAAGTTATATGATTTTGGACACAATGCTTCCAACGGTAGTTTAACTATCTCTTGCAAGATACGCTCTTGAAAATGGCGTTTTCGTTCAAACTACACTAAAGCACCACCATGGTGACCCAATTGGAATTTGGCTGACGAGGAACCAAGGAGACGAATTGAGAGCTGATTGAGGAGTGAGATCTCTAGTTTTACCTTGGGGGCCAAATTTATAAGGCGTTCTTTTAGCTACACAGGACTATGTGTTCACGTAGACAGAGGCGTCCAATGTTACCAGCCGCACCCATTCGCAATAATACGGAGGTTGGTCCCGCCGTACTTATTGAATTGACCTACTTTTCCCAGGTTATGGTGTATGCAACAATAAAACCATTTCGCAAAATTATGGAAGCCCATCTCCATGAACTAGGATTTCAATAAGAAGCTTTAATAGAGGTATATGCTTCGCGAGAAACTAGGAAAACGATCACTACTCATTCATAGGTAGGTATCTACCTAGGTATTGGAGGCATTGCACTGTTGAATTAGAGGGGCTGAGGGGTAAACCTTAAAATGGAGGTTACACAGCGAGGATTACCTGGTTAGGTAAGTGGACCTAGAATTTCGCCATATCATTGGCTAGGAAGCTATGAGTTCTCACATGTACTTAGGTACCTCGATAGTAAAGTATATAAGATAGCAGCAATGTAGATAGCACAGCTGTTTAAGGGGGAGAATGATCTTTATTCGCTTTTTATTGCTTATCAATGCCGAAATGGTGATGTAGAATTATATAAATATTGGGTGCTGTTTATATATTTTCTTCTATTTCGTTTCTTTATCATCATCTTCAGGTCAAGGTATGGCACGCACTCTTCAATGGGGTACTAGGGAGACGAGAAAATAAATAGACATAAATTGATATTATCATGGACAGTTAGTGCTGCGATGAGTTTGGGGAAGGGGTGATTCGTGATTAATCTTTTGTGGTTGTCGGATGGAATACATAGATACATACCGAGGTAGGTATGTATCGATATGTTAACAGGAGATTTCGAACAGGCAACTATTGAGATAAAGATACCACTTAGGTATGAGGACAAGCTAGATAAGTGAAAATTAAAACATATCTACTTATGTAGGGTAGGTACTTGCCTATGTTATTGGACGGGTAGCCTAGGTGCCTGGTAGGTAGGGGTGATTTGGACCGCAAATCAAACGTATTTATTTATTATTTTTGGTAGTTGCGAGGGTGTGCCTTCCACTTCTAATACTTTATCCAAAAATTTACTTCCGTTGATTCAGGGCAGTTACCTAGGAAGCTACTAATTGTCCTGGTGGATCTCTGGTATAAATACCTGCCAACCATGCACTAAAATTAAAATTCCTTTCTTCTATATCAACAATCACTACAACCAGCCAAACATGGCGAAAGAAGAGTCCTCCGAGTAAGCTAACCCCTTATCTCCAACCATAAAACGATTACCTCCCGAATCCTTTACATTCACGGATACTAATAATTTGCTAGCGCGGAGTGGCAAGGCTCTGCCGCCAAAGATGAGCTCGACGATGTTGATGAACATGTTATTCGTGGCCCACCCAGATATGAGATGCCCAACGAAGTAAGTTGGTCCAACACTGTCCTTTCTATTTCTCTACCCATTGCCTCGAACTATGAGACGTCCCATAGGTATCGCCTCAATACTAATAGGGCCATCACATTAGGACAATCCTCTCATTCAAAAACTCGGGAAGAAACTGAATGACATCCACGAGGATGTCTCCGATTGTGTAACTTCAAACCATAAGGGTATAGACTAGATTGATGCGGCATTGGATGGGATACATAGCGTCCAAGAGACCCAAAGAAGTACTCTCAGGCATCTCGAAGATATCAAGGCCCTCCATAGGCAGCAACATCGACGCCTCAGACAGCTCGAACGATTTAAAGAGAACGACGAATCCGTACGCGATAAGGATCGAGCTTTATTCGAGAAGAACACAAGCAGCCTAAAGGCGGAAAACAACAGACTTGTGGAGGAATTGAGTCAGACCGAAGAGTACTTAAGCGAGGCAAACATGACCAGTAACCTAGGATGGTCCATTATTGGCTTCTTTTCTTTCTTGTATGTATTGAAGAGAGCTATTTTCGGTGTTTAGATAGATGGTCGCCCAGATCGCGTGTAATTGACTGGAGTTTCCAGTTGCTCATATGGAGGAGAATAGTATGGTCATGAAAGCTAAAATACGAGTTGAAACTTGCTTCCCGTACTCCATATTTTATATTATTGATTCAATGTTGAAGACAACTACGGCAACTGCTTTATGTTTAAATTTATTCTGAATAGAAACCACATAAGGGCTATTTAAAAAGTATAAGAATGAGTAAAAAATAAAAAAAACCTTGTTCGTCGAGGCTTAATGCCCATGTAAAATACATGTAGGACTATGTTTGGGATTGTTATATGTGACTTCCCAAGTACCAATGATCCGCAACTCCTTGTGAGCCCCCTCTTGCTTCTATCTCCCTCTGGTAGGATCGTCCTACACATTTTATTGGTTTGGGAGCTTTCTTTTCCCTCGTCATGAAGCGGAGAGAATTATACGCGTAAGGGAACCTGTCAAATCTACCCCCGTCAGCAAACGTTGCAATTTACTGGTAAGTCATGCTCTCGAAGTCCTATAATGCTAAACCCTCTGCGTCACCCATCCTAGCAATACGGTTCCCCATAAAGCTATGCGGCTCGTGGATCAACATGAGTGCATGTCACCATACACCTGGCCTAATAGGCCACACCAGCTGAAGAATTGACAACCAGGCTAGGGAAGGGCGCTCGGGAGACGCGCACCTATTATACACGATTCGATAATCTATTAACCCTAGCCCAGGCACTCCCCAAGACCCCAAACCACACCAGCCACCCGTGAGAAGAAGTGACTGTTGGGCCGCACCAGGCATAATTACCAAGTGACTTGCCAAGACGATGCCGAGAATCCAACCCAAATTCCGCCCCCGCCACGGAAGTGAGGATTAACCCACTTACTCCCTCTCTGATGCCCTTTCCTAAAGTAGGAACGTTTATTGACCCGTCTTGTCTCTAGCATCAGAGATGCCCCCTTATCGGAGAAGGAGAGTTCCCAGGTAGGTATGTTGTAATGAAAACTCGGTGGTGACAAACAGAGGGTTGGAAAGCAAGAAAGACGAAATCGGGGGGACTTACTGTTGAATATAACGGGCCTCAAAGACCTAGGCCATCTTGTGAGTATATTGCTTCTATAATCGGATTCTGATTCTGGCTAAGCGTAGAAGATCGTATAATGTAAGGTCGAATCGATGTAAGTTGTTGGTTTGAAAAAATCTGCTTAAATCTAACCCCGTCAGCAATCATTGAAATCACTGGTAAGACATGCTCTCGAGATTCTATAATGCTAGATCCCTCCTATGCCACTCATCTTAGCAATACGGTGCCCCGTAAAGTACCTGCATTACCATGGTTCATTCGACGTTCGGCACGGCCGCCCCGACGATGTTTCCACTACCGTTTGACACAGAAGGGATACGATGTCAACTACATTGCAGGAACGGCGTGCGGGAGGGCACGCCGTGATTATCTAGCTTAACCTGCAACATAGGCGCTCCCCAAGACCTGATTTGCACCAGCCATTGTGAGTTGATGACTGTCGGGCCGCACCAGGACTAACCCAGTGACTTGCTGGGATGTTGCCGAGAATCCAACCCAATCTACTCCCTCTCTGACACCCCTGCCCCCAAGTAGGGAGGTTTGTTGACCCATCTTGTCTCTAGCGTCAGAGATGCCCCCCAAAGTTGTCACCCGAAGTAGGAAAAGGAGCTCTCACAGATAAAGATAGGTTTTAATGAAAACTCGGTAGTGGCATAAAAGGGTCATAAAGCAAGAAAAACGAAATCGGGGGACTTACTTGAAGGTTAGATAGGTCTAGGTCATATGGTGCGTGGTTAGAAATCGGATACCTTCGCGCGCCTGTGTGATAAATCATATCAACATGGAGGGGCGCGCGGCTTCGTGTCGGTCGGAAGAGGATGGGAAGGAAGGGGATACGAGGTATAATAAAGTGAAGTATCTAGTAACCTAGGCAGATAGCAAGAAGGTGGGTTGAATGTTGAAAGAGGATTTATTGGTGGGAAAAGGTTGAAGGGTGGAAGGAAATGTAAAGAGGAAAGGGAATTTATTTTTGCTTGTATGTCTTTTATGTTTAGAGGGGGGACGTGGGGCAGAAAAATATAAGTAGTGAGGTAGAAACTTTGGAAAACAAAAAAAGATAATTTAGAAGGAAATATTATCAGGAGGGAATGATGTAGAAGGGAAAAGAAATGATATGGGAAGAAAAAAGAGAAAAGATAAACGAGGACCAAGGGTTAGAAGGGGTTTTTGATTAGAAGGAAAAATAATTTGTGCTGTCTGTGTGGAAGGTGGACAGGAAAGCAGAGTCGGAAGGGGAAATAAAAAGAGAATACCTAGGTACCTAGGTATGGGAAGGAGTCATCAATTTGTGCGTTTTGGCTCGAGAAAAATTTCAAAGGAGGAAAAAACGTGCTTCCAGCTACCACTATTGGGTATTCTGTTCTGTAAGATATCAACAAGGCCGCACACTTGAACGTTGGAAGGTACGTAGGCAAAAGGTTAGGTGCCTTTTTCAGTACCTAGGTAGGTACATGTGTAATAATATAGAAACGTGCCTACTAGTACGCCAATATAGAACCTCCTTTAGGTAGTAATTGCTTTTAGGTACCTAGGGTTGATAGGCAACCAGCAACTACCTAGTATCTAGGTGGTCAGAGCCCTGTATCTCTGGTTACCTACCTAGGTACTCTACAACGACTTATAGCAAACTTGGATCACTACCTTAAGCACTCGTTCCGTTGTTGTTCATTCAAAATTCAGAGCATCAACAGCAACGCTCTAGGACCTCAGAAGCGCACTTGAAGTGTATTGTTTCCTCTCCCTTCTTTGATTCCTATTGCCTCAAGTCACCTTAAGCCATGAGTATCTAGGACTCATCATTCTGGCGTGTATATACGAAATCTTCCCGTAAGTAATGTTCGAATGAAATTACCTCCTCCCTCTATTATTTCCACGATACCCCTATCTAAGGGCCCTTGAGTATTTCGCTTGTAGACTTTTTTTTACTAATCGAATCTTCTTCATCTATAGTGGTGATTCCTACTTAGCGGCGACTAAGGAAGTTGTGTACCATTACGACTATCTCTTTCTACCGGCGTCAAAAGATAGTTCAACCTTAAAGATATGGATATCGTGGAAGAAGCTATGGATTTGCTACGACATCTAGTAGATAAAATCGGGCTTATCGAGGCTAGAATTGGAGCGATCGAAGCCAGATTTGTGGAGATGGAGACCGCGACGAAGCAGACTTGCCGGACTGTGAAACGGCTACAGCGCCTCAGAGAAAAGGAGCATCGTGCTACCATAGAGAATCAGGCCTCCATGGAGAAGAAGCGAACCTCTTTGGAGGACATTTTGGCACCTGCAGACGTTGATATTGGCGACATCGATAAAGCGATACGAAGATTGGAAGCGGAGCTTAGGGCTCAGAATCTGGACTTTGTACTCTGGGTTATCATTTTCGTTGCTCTTGGAGTCTCTGTCGTGTTCTACTTGAGATGGATTACGCTATCAACCCGTAGCTAACTCCTCGACTCTCACCCACCAGATACGTACAAGTTAGTCGGAACTTTGATGCGTTAGAAACGTCTGGATGGCCGTAAAATCATGTTTCTGGTTGGAATCATGCTCTATATTGGTACATCTATGTATCAGGGAGTGGATGTGAAGTAGAAAAAGGGGTATGTACCTAGGTACTTAGATACTTGCTTATGCAGATGTATGCAGAATCGTCCCGTGATCTCGCGCCTCCCTCGTTTAAATCGATCTACCCCGCATATTGAATAGTCGCGTCTTTTTACTTAATCTGATAAGATAACTGATAGATAGTCTAGGTACGTACCCAACTGTCGCGTATAACTTAGGATGTCATTCAATGCGATGCCTCCAAACTTCTTACACATATTTCATTCAAGATCCAAATTGATAACTTTGATACATATTCAACGAATCTCGTACAGAATGGCGTCATCATCTCCGAATACTAGTAAACGGAAAGCATTAGAGAAATCAATCTCACCGCCACCTTTAAAACGCAAAGCTCAAAGTACCATATCAAGTTCGTGTGTAACCTATCCACCATCGAAATAATGTCGCCATAGAATTTAGAGACTAATCAAATTGTCATTGGCGTTATAATTGAGTAGAAGGCGCAGTAGCTAGTTTCTTTACCCCGACATCCCAGAAACCGAAAGAACGTACAATCTGGACCGAGCGTGCTCCCGATGATGATACCCCTCCTACTTTACTTGTCGGACGTTACGAACCCGAAAAGATGGAAGAGTCAGATCGTAGAAAAAGGAGGAAAATAGCTGCGTTCGACCTGGTATGTCTCGTTATCGGTTGATTCGCCGAAAAAAGAACGTCTATAGTACTGGAAATTTATGGTTAATAATTTTCAGGATTCGACTCTTATCACTACAGCTTCAGGAAAGAGGTTTGGAGATGATCCGGGGGATTGGAAATGGTGGGATTCCAGTGTACCATCTCGCCTACGAGAATTATATGCGAAGGAGTAAGCATTGCATGCCGCTTTGATATATCATCCCGCCCTCGTTATTACGTACTCTATCTACACAATCTGTCTACGGTCATATCAATAACGCTTACACGTTCTATAGCTATCGCATAATAATCCTTAGCAACCAAGGGGGATTAACAATACACCCAGATCCGAAATCCAAAGGTCCAAAGACCGTCAATAAGAATAAGGTCAACAACTTCAAACAAAAATGCGGGGCCATACTTGCGCAGCTCAACTTGCCTACTACGATATATGCTGCTACGGGTCGAGATATCTTTCGTAAGCCGCGAACCGGTATGTGGATGGAAGTCTGTCAAGACTATGATATCCCCGAAGATGAGATCGATCTTGCCGATAGTATCTTTGTGGGTGATGCTGGTGGCAGGACAGCACAATTGAAAAACACCCAGACAGGTGCGGCAGCGGTCGCTAAGGATTTTAGTTGTTCAGATCGTAATTTCTCACACAACGTCGGGATCCCATATAAGACACCAGAAGAATTCTTCCTCGGTGAACCTCCTCGCGAGTTTGCGAGGGATTTCGACTTGACTTCTTATCCCCTTTCCGAATCAAATGATAATGGCGAGATTTTACTCGAAAAGACGCATAAACAAGACATTATCCTATTTTGTGGTCCACCAGGTGCCGGCAAAAGTACATTTTACTGGAGACATCTAAAACCATTGAATTATGAGCGTGTGAATCAAGACACACTGAAGAGCAGGGCCAAATGTTTCAAAACGGCAGCAGAGCTTCTTGGCGAAGGCAATTCAATAGTCATTGGTAAGTGGTCTGTTGGATGTAACCGCCTCCTAGCTATTACTTCTCACCCATCTATATTTCTGTGCTACTTAGTAATTTGAGAGTTCTATGCTAATAGATGAATAAGACAACACGAATCCCGATGCGGATGGTAGAAAGGAATGGGTAGATTTTGCAAAGAAACATAATGTACCCATCCGTTGTATCTGGTTTAAAGTACCCAAGGCGTTATGCGAGCATAACGATATTGTACGTGCTCTCAATAAGCCAGTAAGTAATGTTCTATTTGTTTAGCCCCTTGACGTAGCCTCGAGTCTTAAGATAGACCACTCAACCTTGAAACATGTCCAAATATCTGAAGCCATTTGACGACTAACCATTATAGATGAACCCGGAAGCACGCGCCGCACTACCCGGTCTTGCCTTTAACGGTTACTTCTCTCGTTTCAAGGAACCAAAAGTTAAGGAAGGATTCGAAGATATTGTCGAGGTCGAATTCAAGTTTCGCGGAACCAAGGAAGAATATGCTATTTGGGGTCGTTACTGGAGCTAAATTTTTATACCCAATACCCCTTTTCTGCTTTATGTCTCACTTAACCAGGTAGCTTAACTAGAGATCTGCCAATGGCGAAAGCGGCAGATACGCGAGCTGGTTGTAGATCTGTGAGAGTGCTTCTGCATAGTAGCAGTGTGCCTAATACATTATAAATACCATCGAACCACATTCATATATCAGCGCAGATTAAATACCTCAATAAGGGATGAATTTACCATGGAAGTCATTCACGTTCATATCTTAGAAAAAGTCAAGTTTATGGATCGATTTTATTGATATGTGTATGTATATGTAGGTATCTAGTAATAACATCATACAGAGTTGAAGAAAACTAGACAGTCTTCCCCTTATTCGATCAAAGGGACGTCCGATCTATCGTAAATTGTAACCTCTCTTCATAAGCTTCTCTTCATTCCTTTGTCCGAATAATCAAACCAAAAGCGCCGAACTCATGCTGAACCTTTTCTGGTGACCAAGCAAAAAATAAGGTCTTTTGACGCTCCGATGCAGGGAATAAATTGCAGTAGAGCCGCCTTCTCACCTCCACGATGAGCCATATTATGTACTAGATCTGTAGTGTATAGGACCATGTCGAGGTGTTTGATTGGGTCGATGTAGTTGATTCATCGACTTGTTTTACCTCCTCTTTCGCCCATGGGGAATTGACGGATAGACTTTCTTATGTCCGACTCTCTCGTATCTTTGTCCAAGTAGCTCATCAACAACCGCCAATCAACTCAAAATCATTATCAGCAGTAAATCATTCGACCTGCCTATTCTCGTCGTTCTACATCGTTATCGAATCCGCGGCACGTTATACGTCACACGTTCATGACACAGGTACAATCACACTCCGTACCCGATGGCGCAATAACGCGCTCAACCGAATAATGCAGCGCCACCTGTTTCGACAGCTTCGATTTCGGCAGCAGTGAGGGGTATACGACGAAATCGCTCGGGAAGTTGGTTACGGTCGAAGTAAACACCCTTAGGAGGTTCGACGGAACCAAGTTGGGAAGCAGAACGAGATCCGACACCGTTGGTAGCACCGATCGTCTTGCGCAGAGGACCGTGTTGTTGAGCGTGATCGCGGTAAGAAGAGAAGGATGCGTGAGAATTTCCGTTACCTCCGAAGTTAGACGGAAGTGCGCCGCTAGGAGAAGCTGGGTGAGGTTGAGGAGTATGGTCTACATGTTCTACATGTGAAATTCCATTGTTAGTAAAAAAAAAAGATTGACCTTCACATGAGGAGAATATGGGAATACCGAGGTTGTTGTCGGTAACAAAATAGAAAGAAAAAAAAAACGTACCAGGAACAGATCGTTTGCCGATGAATCGGATCAAAGGAGTTCTTTCGGCATGAGCAGCCGCTTGTCGCAAAACTCGAGTCGCATACATTGTAATTGAATATGAGTTGAATACGTAAGGCGCGTATTAATTGTATAAAATGAATATGAAAGAGGAATGTAGAGAATTGTTTTAATTCTCTTCTCGGTTTTATAATTAGGTGGTGGTGGTAGTAGTGGTGGTAAGGTAATAAAGCTCGGACTTTGGTTGGGGCAAACACAATGGTTGGTAGTGATAAGCAAGTACTATAGGTACTTGAGTTTAATAGTGAAGAGGTTGATTTTCTCTCTCTCTCTCCCGCGACTAAGATACGAAAGTTATGTGCCTAATACAAATAGTAACAATATTATTAATCAAACAAGAAGTAGTGGCCTAAATCGCACCAAAGTTTAAAAAGAAAAAAAAGAAAGGAGGAAGGCAGTAAATCTTGATATTTCCGTGTTCCAAGGTCGAACTTAAATTGTGGGATAAAGAAGACCGGCGCGAACTTTACCTTACATTAGCACGAAAGCAACTTGCGCCGATGGTGGAATCCACGCCGCCAAATGCCAAATGGGGGAAAATGGGGGAGAACAAGGTACCTACGTAGTAGATGATCAGTGGTTATTTAGAGCCCTTGTAGGTCTTGTAGGCCTAGATAGGAGCAAGGTTGGTACCTAGAACTTACCTGGATAAGTTCAATATGTGCCTACTATCGTACCACTTTTGAAGCTATCGGTATCCACCGATCTTCCTTTGGCCAAGATAATTACTGCGATTTTCGGACTTTTAGTTTTTTTCTTCTTTCTTTTGGTGCCCAAATCCCAATTACCAATGAATTTTCGACTTTCCTTTTTTGTAGTTTCCGTGATCTCTCGGCGAGATCTTTCCATGCATATTACTACTACTTATGCTGCATATCCCACGCGCTCGTGACAAAGGTTTCTATTACGATATAACTAATTTATTTAACTCATTGTAATTTCGAAATAGGTAATTTTGAAATAGGAATATGAATCCATCATGACCCTGATTGAAGTATTAAATTCAATTTATCTCTCATCTGAATATGTGGTATAGAAACGTCACCTAGGTGAGTCGATTCCTACAAGATCAAGATTGTTTGGACCACTTGGATTTGAACAGTTCGCATGCTTGTCTGGGATGGCACAGATCTCATCTATGTATAACCCCTCTGTATATTTTTATCATTATAGGTATTACCTGTATTACCTAGGTCAGATCTGTGACGTAAATAGTGACACGAACAATGGTCTCGATTCTTGGATAATTTTCACTCGATGCTAGCAAAACAACAAAAACGATACCTAGGTAAAGCCCAGTACGCGATGTAAATCCTAACAACGTCCGAAATCTATACTTCATACTGTATGGTGTTGAGCCTCTACATACCTAGGTACTAGGTAGCGTACCATAATACCACGGTCCATATCCATGCAAAGCACATGCATCATCCCACCAATCTTACATGGTTGAGAGCCTCCTGGGGCTGGACTACTAGGCTACTGAAATTCTGGGTAACTCCGGGGCTGCGGGGTTACGCTTTGATGTCTCGGGGGGTTTTCATGAGGTTGGATCGAATGTCAGCAAATGTATTATTCTTTACACTAAGTTGACCAACGAGAGATGTTGTAGAAGTCGAAAATAATAACCCGAAGTAATCCTATTCAACAATATTACATGTATCTTAGGGTTTCACATACATCATACCATCATACGATCTTATATACCATGTAATTTGATTCGAACGGATTACTCGGGGAAAGATGTTACATATTCTACACCCTTTATGAAGTGGTTGACGAAATAGGTGTATCACATCAAAAACTCTCCGGTATGTCCCTAGAACAGACCATTCATCCCATGCCTTGATGTGATGGAATTAGCTTAAGACCGATACGGTTGCCTACCTAGGAATCTAACAGCTCTAGTTGTCTTCCTAGGTGCCTATAATATCGAATCTTGATTGGTGAACCATGCCTAGGTATACCCACGATCAAATTGTGGCAACTAACTCCTTAACGTAGACACATTTTAATTTGTACAAAACCAAGACAACCAATCAATTTAAATCTATACTAGATATCATCTAAAGAAACCCCTTGGAAACCCCTTGGAAACCCCTCATTTTTTTTTATTATTAAGCCTATTATTTGTCTAGCTATTAATCACGCCTTGTTGCTGCCTCCCAAATTCATTTATTGTCTGACGCATTGCGGACTCGGGGTTATTAGCATAGACACGACCACCGTTTCCGTTAATAATATGAGTGATTTCACTTCCGGGCATACCGGTAAGCCAAACAGTTGTCATGTGGTGTAATTTTACTCCACCGACTTCGGGCACTTCAATAGCATTCTCCAGTTTCGTAGGAGAATCACGAAAGTAGGAATAAATACCCAATCCCCAAGCTTCATGAATTGTTACGTTGTCAGCAACTTTATAAGAGGCGAATCCATTAGCCCTTCCGTTCTTACTCATCCAAGATTCTTGATTAGGTGGATCGTATGGAATTTCGGATTGATAGAAATAAAGTCGACCACCATTTCCATTCCATAACGTTTGGTATTCTTGATGGTGTTCATTGAACAATCCATAAATCGTTACGTTGTCGCCATTAACCACTACACCATTCTTCGTAGGGTTAACAGTCCACGCTGCACCATCGCCATGGTCAGCACGCCATAACCATAGCTGGTCACCAATTACATTATGACTATTGATGGCGATTCCGATATCGTTTCTAGTATGACCAGCAGTTCGTACTGTTAGATCATAAAGAAACGTGGGGTTTGATGCATGATCGATTGAACTATTCGGAGGACCGACTTCAACAAGTGAGGGTGAATTAATCTGACTTGCATCAAGTATAAGTCCCGCGATCGTGACACCATCTACGTCAGCCACAGTCAAAACCGATTGGCCACTGATAGGTACAAGTGAAGGCATCCCTAGACCTAGAATGATCGTATCGGCGCGAGAAATACGTAATGCATTGTCAAGTTGGAAGATGCCTGGTGTGAAAAGGATATGTTTCCCAGAGTCTAATGCCGAGTTTATACTAGTCGCAGTCGCAGTAGATGGTGGAGCTATATAGAACTGATCGATGGGAATGGATTTGCCAGATGTCGCACCATTGGTCCAACTGGGTCCTTGTGCATTCGTCTGCAAAGCAGGTACGAATACTTCATATTGGCCTTGGCTTGTAATGTAAAGGTAAGGTTTCTCTCGAATGACTGGAGTCCTATCCACAGTGGTATAAGCAGATGCTGGGAAATTATCTTGACCGGGGGCATTGAAGTCGCCAACAAATACCATATTCCATACAGCATTGGCCCAACTACCATATTTATTGTTGCGGGATAACCATTGCTGCTGTGAACCAGGAAGTACTTGTTGATCAATAATCGAATCAGCCATGAAACCTCCCGAAGCCCATCCTCCAGCTCCAGTACTTGGATCTACCTGGAATAACCAAAGACCACCCGAACTTCGGATATGCATACGTCGTAATGGTGCAGCTTGTGATACAGCTATCGTAGTTGTATTGTTGGTTTCCGCCGAGGCATTGATGGAGAAGTTCTCAAATGCTCTCCAAAAGTTACAGGTCGCATTTCGATTTGGCATCCAATACGCTGGAACATTAACGCCACCTTCAATTAAGACATCATCCGGGTTCTGACCCAATCCTGCTACATGCGTATAGAAGCCAACATCGAAGAGTACATTGTAGGTACCAGGTTTGAAGAGTAAGGCGTATCGTTCAGTTCCAAATTCATTAGCTTCCATTTGTCTAAAAATGGTTGTTGCTTTAGCTTGGATATCAACCATCGGCATTTGAGGATTGAAGATATAAACATTTGGTCCAAAGATAGTGGCGTTAGCTGTTGAAATGGAGTTATTGTTAGTATTGTTGACCATACTTGGTGTTATTGGCCTTGGAAGCCGAGGGGGTGGTGGTCTTGATCGTTCCAAGTCTGGGGATTGAGGAGGTGGCTTTGGAAGTTGAGGAGGAATTGGTTCATTCCAATATTTCTCCGTCACTAGTCTGAGGTTTTCCGTAGAGAACTCTCGAATTCCTCTATTTTCAACCCTCGCTCGAGTTCTTATCGCTTTTTCTACTTGATTCGTTCGCGGATTTAAACCATCATGTTGATATGATTCCTTCTTCACGAGACAACCTTCAATAGCCCACTTTGGTACTGCTTCTTCGTAGATTACTCCCTTCTCCTGTCGCATCATTTCAATTAATTCCGCATTTGTCTTCCCATGCAATTGATTTTGACTGAATAATGTTCTTGCAAATGCGTTAACACTATTTCTGACTGCATCACCGCGACATCGCCATAAAATGCAATTTAATGCCTCTTCAACAGTTGGAACGGCAAAGAATCGTGCATCGAAATGTGCGGTGTTACGTGGAACATCTTCCCCTATAGGCGCAATCGCCATGTCCTTGCTCAACGCGGCCGTCAGGTGTACATTGAATCGCACACTACAATTACTTGCAGCTAGGGATGCCAATTTTTGCAAACGCTCGTTAAAAAGCTGAACACCATCCGGAAACACCAAAGTAATTTCATCGGATTGTGTATATGCGATAGTAGCGCGAGGGAAGTAATCTAGTAAGTCGGAACATGTTGCTACCATAGCATCATGAATTCGCTGATCGAAAGGCCGTTGAAAATGTGATTGCGCCGTGAAACGAGAAAAGTTATGCCCATCTAAACGTAAGACAACGGGGGATGAAGTGGGCAGCGCGAAATCAAATTGTGCTTCATATTGTTTCATGCGACCGGCAAGAGAAGTTTTCTGAATATCAGTATCAGAGGCCATTTTATTCAGTTTGAGGCTCAGAATTGTAGTTGAAAGATACTGTTAGGTACGATTGAAAGCTTTAGGTATAAATCGGTGATGTCAATTTCGCGGTCAGCTTCGGTTTCGGTTCTCTCCGATGGGTTCCACCAAAGTCCGGATCGGTTTTTATACCATCTATTTCGTTTTCAATCCTACGGGAATGACTGGAGAATGATAGGGAATGGAATTTATCGAGTATTTGATTAGATAATTAATTCTAATTTGGGTTTCTTACTATGATAGTTGAAAGATCCACCGATTATCTGAGCAACTAGCTACTTCAACTTTCACCTTTTCATCACACTTACATCCGAAATCGAGAAATCATGGAATCGGGCAAAGGAAAACCGAACCGTAAAAAGACACCACTTAATAATCCAATCGAAGTTGCGACTACAATATGGTTTCAATCCAACGTATATCCACAGCAGCCACAGTTGCATCTGTATGAACTTACCACCCAGATCCCCAGAAGATGGACTGTATATGAGCCGATGGTATTACTTCCGACGGGCTCTTTCGATGGTATTATATGGAAACAGATTTTTCTAAATTTGTCAGATGATCAAGTGGGCGCACTTTGGACTCAAATCTTGGCGGAAATTTCGAAAAGAACTGGAGGGGTAAAGTTAACTCACCTAGCTGTCAATGAAGGAATTCCTGCGACTCATCACTCCGATTTATCGGACGAGCGTACCCAGGGTGATAGCGATATATCAGAGGAGCGAAAGCCCGAGGAGAATATACTACGCAGCCCAACTGGTCTTCGGATGCTTCAAGGGGACTTTGGCTCTGCTTCTATCGATAATACAGCGCCAGACTTCGAGCAAGCTTTCTGGGTATCTACAAGACAGAATGGTGTCTTTCAAACATGGACGCCACGGTGGACTATGTTTAGTCGAGGGAATATCAAAGAAAAAGCGCGACTACTTGATTTTCACGACAATAGAACGATATCATTGGATGATGCATGGGCGATTGATTTATATGCAGGGATTGGTTACTTCACCTTCTCATATGCAAAGTTAGGCATGCGAGTTTTGTGTTGGGAATTGAACCCTTGGAGTGTTGAAGGTTTGCGCAGAGGTGCCAAACGAAATGGATGGTCGGTAAAGGTTGTGAAGGATGAATACGATCTTGCGCTGCCGATGAAAAAGTTAGTGAGTGGTGGAGAGCAAATCATAGTGTTTCTCGAAGACAACAAACATGCCGTGAGAAGGATTAAGGAACTTGAAGATCTAAATATCCTACATGTTAATTGTGGTCTATTACCTAGTAGTGATGCGTCTTGGAAGGACGTTTGGGATATTGCTGCTTCGAACAAAAGCGAAGAGGCATGGCTTCATCTACATGAAAATGTAGGGGTGGCGGATATTGAAAAACGGAAAGAGGAAATCGAACAGTATTTTGAAGGACTGATGCGCGAGGATGGAGGTCATAAAACAGCCCATGTAGAACATACGGAACTGGTCAAGACCTTTGCACCAGGGGTTCGGCATTGCGTATTCGATCTGCATATTAATAAATCTACTAGTATAACATAATACTATACAACACGTATATTCGATATTCCATTTCATAAGTCGTGTATACCTTCATCTGACACATCAACCAACACACGTTACGCCGCCATGCTCACATGCTACACCAACCAATCCAGAACTGTAGGGGTATCGTTATATCGTCATATCAACTCTTAACCACTTCTTCTAAACTTGCTTGGAATATTATCTTCAACAATAGCCATCTTATTAAGTTTCTCAAGTCTTTCTTCTTCGTCCTCTAGCATTTCGTGTTTCTTGAAATGTTCAATATCCTCAGGGTGGGTTAACTCTTCTAGAGGGGTATTCTCGTCATGATATTTCTCCCAATGGTGGATTTCGTACTCGTATTCATCGTCGCCATGGTGTCCGGGACCTACACCTAGATCTGGTAACGTCTTTCCGGAATCGATAAAAGCAACAAATTCGTCACGTGTTACGAATCCGTCACCGTTGGTGTCGAGTAGTCGTAGTAATTCGTGTTCGATTTCGTCGCGACGAGATTGTGGGACGTTCTTGTTGGATTCATCCATTAATCCATATGTGCGTAGTATCTCTTCGGCTTCCCAATGTCCGTCGGCGTCGTAGTCGTGTAGAACGAAGAAGGATGAGGCGTCGAAGTCGCTAATATGATGTTCCTCTACATATAACATTAGTACTAAGGATAGATAACCTCCTGTGTAAGAAAAGAATATCTTACCTGCCATATGTTTTGTCATCCAGTTGGCATTTTCATCAACCATAGGCTTTTGCGCTCCTCCGTGATCTCCATGGCCTAAGACTCGGCAAATGAGACCGGCCGTAACTAGTATGGTATTGCGCATTTTGGTCTAATCTTTCGGGATTGACGGATGTTGTTACGTGGTAAATTTAAGTAAATGCCGAGTCCGAAGACGAAGGCTATAAAAACCTTGGATGGGACGGAAATCACGGAGCGGAAAGTATAAGTCGTTGTTTCGTTTCGATAAGGACAACAAGACAAGGAAAGGAAAGAAGCTAGGCATATGCAAGCTGGGGAAGCTGCATTCTTAGATCTGGACTTCAAGATAAGCTAAAGCGGATGCAGGTGGATAAGGGAAATAACCAGTGATATCATTAATCCCGGTTAAGATCCTGCAGGGAAATTACAGGGGTTAACTCCACTAAGTTTAGCTTATCCGGGTCCTATTTGGGTCATCTTCAGGGGTTACCTTAGTGATCATCTAAGCTCTAAGCTTCTAAGCTTTGTTCATCATTCCTAAATTTCCATTTCTTGAATCAACAATTACGGCAACTACCGAACGAATCGCATCTCTAATTCGCATCACTTGACGATACTCAAGTAAAGCTACTTCTTACGTATAGCCTCGTCGTGTGGATCTTGTTTTGGTCATTGAGGGGCCTACGCAAACATGAGTCGCACGTTGGAACCTACACTTCTATCTTTGTTACCGACTTATTCTAAAGACCTACCGCAACCTCTACTCGAGCTCGCATCCTCGTTACTTACACAATCTCGACATTCCGCCGGAACACTTAAAGCTGAAGAAGAAGTAGCTCGTGCATATGCGTGTGCTCATATCGCTTGCGAACGTCTAAAGATAACCCTCGATCTTCCACCGATTCAACCAAGACCTCCCGTGCCTCCCCGAATCTACAAGAGACTATACACACATCTTGATCATGTATTACCTGCGAATAGTGTAGGAAGATCAGGAAGAGTACGGACCCCTAGCTCGAAGCTACGCGAATCTGGAATATTTGGTAGTGGTCAACGAATTCCATCTCGAGGAACACCCAACAAGGAAGAATCATTAGCCAAGTTTAAATCTCCTGCGACTAAAAGAGATGAGACACCCATAAAATCTACGGGAAAACCTCCACTTCCAGCAAAGAAAAAAGCAGGAGGTAACACAAGCGCATTACCAGCATGGATTCGTCCTACTATCCAATTCATGTGTAAGGAGTTGGATGATGAACGTATCGGGAGGACTGTCTTAGCTGGTATGCAAACCATCGCGACCCCACACGGGAAGCGAACAAAAGATGAATGGGTAAACCAGAATTTAACACCATTACTCGCGGCCGTATATTTTCTCGTTTCATCACAATTATACGTATTAGAGCAAGGAAAAGAATTAGACGATCCGCAATATATACGAATGCGAAAATCAATTCTCAAGGTATTTGCGCGAGCGCAAGAGAATGTCAACGTGACAGGAATGGATGAAGATGAATTATGGATTGGTTGGGCGGACATAAAATCAAAAGATGTTGATGGTGCAGTCAGCAAAGTCGTCGAGAACGAATGGCAGAAAGAGGAATGGTTTGCTGGTATTAAACATATGGTGAAAACGAATGATACCGAGGTTAATGAAAATGTGGAAATGGAGAATGGTGACGAGAGACCTTTTAGCGAGAAACTTCACTTGCAAAGAGGTGATACCATGCTTCAAAGCAAATGGGATATGACGGACCAAAAGAGAGAAGAATATCAAGCTTGGAAGCATGAGATGCTGAGTCGAATTGAGGAGATTGAACGATCTCGTGGATCCGCGATGGAAATAGATGCTCCAGCATGATCGGTCCGAAATAAATTGTGCAGGATTTGTGATCGAGGTCTTCGGGCTGGGTAGTCTGGATGCATTCACGTAGGGGCATCTGGACCGGAGCGACTAGAGCCTATGCGGCATAATTTTGGCCAAACCTGTAGCAAACATACAGGATTGGTAGTTCTCAATTAGGTGCCTATCCGATATCTCGCGGGTGTATGCCAATGAATGCCGGGAACCTATCCGGGTACTTGCTCGCTAGCATGTATAAATACGTTAATAAATCTTCCCCGCGCTCGATCATCCAGGTATACAATTCTTCGATGGACGAACTCTGCAATCACACGATCGGATGCCATTTCATCGTTGTACTGATATTTATTAATATGGTTACACTGTTTTCATATACGAAGCCTAGCTTGCGATCGAAATCAAGCTCCTTTCCTTGTGGCGTCACCATGTCCGATCGTATCCTGAACCGTCCCACCTACCGACCCTTTATCGGTGAATTGACGTCCTACCAAGCCCTCCTTCGAGAATGGCCCTCCTACTTTATGAGCCGTGCTGCCAATAGCTCCTTCAGACTACATAATTGTTACACGTCAGCAAGATAGTCATGATTCATGAAGGAATATTTTACGTACCGAGAACTCGTGCCCAACTGACCCCTGAGAATCAAACGCCGAAACTCTCGTGGCTGAATTCTCATCCTCGCCGGATCGAGGACCGAGATAGTTCTCAGTTGCAGGGAGTTGATCGAATTTGGAGTTTCGCGCCGTATTTCCTGTAATACCACCACTATTCTTCAGGCCGGAGTCATCACTACTCGCTCGTTGTCCGATACTACCGGGATCTCCTCCTCCAGTACCCCTTTTTAATGCACCAGGAACATCAGGTGCATTGTCAGTGGCAGACTTCATTGCACCAAGAATGCTGCTCTCTTTGTTATCGTGGTTCTTGCGACCTGGCATCATAGATTCAAGAAAACCGCCTGTTTTCATCCCATCACGATGACTTTGTAGGCCCTCTTGAGACTCGTCGTAGTCTCGATGTCCTCTCATCATTGTCTCTTCAACACCTCCATGTCTTCCGTCATGTGTGAAGTCACCCAGGTGACCTGAGCCTTGTTGCTGTCTCTTAGCATCTCCTGGTTTCAGGGCTTCTTTGAGAGAACCAAGAAAAGATTTGTCCTGATTTTGATCGGGAATCTAATATTATGAGAGCTGTCAGCAGTGGCTATTAACTTTAACCATACATATCATATTTCTCAGGAGAAAACGTACGTATCCGGCTGCGGTTCCTTTAGGGTCGGGGTCATCCGATGGATCGATATTGTGTTGCGCACTCTTAGCCCCATAGTTGAGGCCTCGAATTGGGTTTCCGCCCGTACCTCCAGTCGACATGGTTATTGTTTAATATGAACAATTTATTATTGAACATATGGAAAAGAAAAACTCGATGAATTGGATCAAAATGCCATTTCTATCAATCGATATATATGCCTCCTCTCAACTGGAGGCGGAGGTGCTCCTATCACGTCATAGTGATGCGCCCAATACCACTGAGATATCATCATATCACCGTTAACGATCGAAGGCCCTAAAATGATGTAAAACAATTCACAAGGCTCCATATTTGCTCGGCGAGGAGAAAGTATATTTATGAGAATGATCAACGTTTGATCGAGATTCCGTACCCAATAGGATGAGAGTAGCACTCGAACCCCGAAGGAACATTCCGGCCAGCCCTACGCGATTCTCCAACCCCATACTCTAGCTAATAATTCGGAATTAGAGCTTAGGTGTAATCATATACTGACCCCTGAAGATCAACGCGATGTTAAGACGAGATATGATTGGTCCACCATACCTCTAGCATCACCGAATACGATACCACGCATTGGCAAAGATATTCACCACTTCTACCACCCATCATTTATAAGGTTATTGGCTTGTTTGGAAGCACCATTTAATCAGTCAAGATAGACCTCTTCACTATATGATTGGTCTGGCGTGGTCTTCCACCCTGACCTGCAGAGCGTCCACCCTATTCCACCCTATTCACAGCGCTGCCTGGAATATGTACACCTCAAGTATCCTGCCTAAAGTCTGACCCGTTGGCTTCGGGCGAGCCCGTGCTTGGGCACAAGAGGTCGTGAATTCCCATCTCTCGGGTTTAGTATGTCAAACCCAAATCATCCAATTGAAGAACGACGTTTTTATCTTTTCTGAGCTCGAAAACTTTACAACCATGAACGCAAACCAGCAGGTACTTGATAATGACTTGGGCAACAATGCCTCCAAGAACGCCCCAAATGACGGACCCGCTATCGATTGGACCTCTAGCAGCCAGCACCATACCACACATGCGCCAGCAGCTGCATGCCCTTCGCTTCCACAGCTAAGTGGAGGAGGGTAGGTTTTTTTTTTTTTACAAAATTTGCTTACCCGTGAGACGAAATTAGGGTATTGGGCTCTCTTACTGTTTGTGTCCAATGCCATTGCGCATTTCCGAACAACGCGCAGCTGAACAAGCACGCCAAGGACACTTCCCACAAATCATATGAATGTACCTGCGGCGCCAGGTTTGGCCGATCTGATGCCCTTGTCCGACACATCAATGCGAAATCCGGTGGTGCATCTAAGTACACATGCGAGTACTGCGGCCCCCGTAAGGGCTTCTACCGCCCTGACCACCTAAATCAGCATATGAGGCTTTGTCACGCCGCCAACGCCGAAGACCAGCTGCTTGTCCGGAATGCTGGTGCTAATTATTCTGATGCCGGCGATCTCTCTATTGCTACCGGTTCCGTTGCTGTTGCCGGTGTTGGAGACCAGCTACTCGGGCAACTGACTGGAATTGATCAATCTAACGTTATCACTTCTGCTGTCCATGTCGGTGCACTTAATAACGACCGGGACTACGCTCAGTGGAATCAGGTTCCCTCCGTTCCATGGACCGTCCCAGAGACCTTTCAGGGGGAACCCATCGGCTACGTTCCAGAGAACAACTTTCTCGATCCCCAGAATATGATGGTTTTTCCCATGGCCTATGGCTATGATACTAAGCCCCAATTTCCGAACACCATGCCAGTTGGGTATGAAGCCCTTCCGGATGATATGCTTGTCGAATTTGGCCAGATTTCGGACGTTGTGCCTTTGGACGATGGACAGCTTCTTATTGACGTGGAGTTGCTGAACAACGGCCAGTTCGATGGGCATGCTGGTCCTTCCCAAACCCATGGACAGGATGGCTCTGCCCAGTTCTAGATTCGAAGTATTCTGGTACTATGCTGGCGAACAAGCCTTTGATTGTTAGCTGAGACTAGTGGAAGGCGGCTATATGTATGGGTTTATTATGGAGTGGGTTGATTTACTTAGACGATCACGTTCTTTTGGTTACGAGATAGGTTGGAATATGATACCAACGTCCATTCTTTGCTTCTAGAGACCCTAATCTACGTGAACATCAATTATCCAGACCTTCTCCCTTTCCCCTTGACTAGAGGAGCTCCTAATGTTAGGTTATAGTATACTATATCGGTATCTGTCCGCAAGCCTAGATCTCATTTATCAACGTGGAGTTCCGATCAAGTGAATTCCGGCGTCGGCCTGGCTCACCACAAGTGATCATAGAATGAAAAACCATATGCACTGACTTAACGGAATAGCACAGGGCTGAGTCTGCGACTAGTCAGAGCTAGTGACGTCCATGGTCGCACGAATACAGCCTAGTATACTAAAATAGCCTTCGTACGACATGGAATGTAGAAACTGTATTAATCCTCTCCAATCCCCTACCTATGATACAAGGAACCGCAATACACTTTGGTCATAGACCAACCCAAATCACCATCAAACGCCGAGGGGCTAGACTCCTCCACCAAGACATCAAATCGATCTTGTGAAAGCAAGCCAAGCATGACCCTTTTCTGTAATATACTCCCCACGATTAAACAGCACTGTAACCTCCACGACTTCCGCTTCCTTGTACTGTGTTAAGTACTCTCCTAGTCCAATCCTTAAGTAGGTAGGGAATATCGCGAATGGTGTCGCCGTGTGGGATAAGATCCCAACCTCGAGCTCCGTATCGGTTATAGTTGAGCCAAGAACCAAAGATGAGGTATGCCGCGGTGCCAAGGAAGACGCTGCGTATTATGATTAGTATGTGACATGGCTAAGCATTTGATCTCCATAGAACAAGCACTTACAGAATAACGAGCCAAGTGAAAAATCCCCAGTGTGGACTTGGCTTTTCATCGGGGCCGTCATCAGATCCATTATCATCTCTCTTCTCGCAAGCATATTTGGATAACCAGGTTAAACGTAGCACATCTACTTCTGGGTCCTCTTCTGAAGGTGCGTAGCTTCTAAATATCAAGCTAGGATCATTCTTAATACCTAGTTGAACCTCCTTAGGTGTCTCGCCATCGTCGCCGTCATTGCCGTCATTGCCGTCACCTCCATCGTCTCCGTTATCCCCGTCATCATCGGCTCGGAATAGTAAAGGGTTCGTGGCTCGAGCCATAAGGGGATCATCACTGGATTCGTATTTATCATCCGTGGGATCGTACTCGCCTTCGGTTCCATTTCGATCTTTATCGCAGAGGAATTCTATAATAGCTTTCTGGTCTCGTTTATGGCCGCTATCTGTTCGATCGATGCCACCCTTCAATACGACGAGTAATCCTTGTTTACCCGTATCCGAGTTGTCAAGTCGCGTTATTTCGGAATCTAAAGGATGACCTCCGTGATTCTCTAGATCACCGGCGATGGGAATAGCTTTTTCGAAGGTATCACCTAAACGTTTGATGGCGCAAACTGTACACGCGACAGTGATGAGTATGGTTACCTAGTTCAGAAAAGGGGTACTAATTTGCGAGACGAGAATAATGACATACCTCGAGAGCCGTTAGGACACTGTTCATCCTTCTTTACGTCACCTTTCTTCTTAAGAGGGCGACAAATATCGACGGTATAGGTTGTATTGTGTGAAGTTTCGCCTATGATGCGACTTGTTACGACAGAGTGTGGACCACCCAACTTCTCGAGATTAAATGGTTGGCCTTTAGCAACAACATTATTGCACCTGAACATCGCATCTGTAGGTAAGGGAGCGAGGAGAAGAGAAAGTAGTAGTGCAGCATCTGCTGTCGATATTGTTGAGAATTTCATGTTGACGGAGAAGGATTCGATTTGGTTCGCTGACGCGATCGGGTTCGTCGGGAGTAAATGAATATGGAAGTCGGGTGTCGCGGATGAAAATCGCAGGTTTTACTCCAGAAAGTAGGCAGGCAGGTTTTTAGAAAGTGAAATGGAACGACGAGGTATTCGAAGCTTGGTTGAATAGTTGGGTAGTGATTAATGAATGAATGAATGGACTGAATAGAATGGTGTTGAAATCTCGAAGCCTTCAAGAACCTGACAAATAAGAATGCATACGGTTATAACCAAAAGGGAAAAGTGATTGACAACAGGACAAGAATGAAGGGTTAGTTGTCAATCTAACCTAACATCAGATGAAGAAGTCTCGAAAGTAAAAAGAGGCAAGAAGATGAAAAGGTAACTAGGCTTGTGACGATATCACAACTCATGTGCCTCGATGATGATTGATAAACTAAAGATGCAAGTTAGTGTGTACTTGGCTTAAATTGAAGCTTTCACATTCTACCTAGGTACCTAGGTAGGCCGCTAAATCGTCATAGTTTACAGGGATCCAAGTACCGATGATTATGTAATTAAACCTTATGTAATCCTTGTCATACTCTAAACGTTGTACCTCGGTACCTTAAATGTGTTACACGAGTAGACACACACATACTTTGGTACCTTTCTTATACAACATTCACATAGATACCTAGGTAAAAACGACGATAGTAAAATAAACGCATTTCGGTAAATAATTATGTAATATACATAAAGCAGACTGATGATAATATAATTCACATTCGAGTAAACAAGTACTCAAGAATGTGAATAAGGTCAGTCAGCTATATTGAAAGGCAACGCACAATATCTCTCATTCCCCTTTGAAGGATGATTTCCCACTCGTTACGTGTATGCTTTGATACCCTCGACGCCATAATAAATCAGCGAAATGGGTATAATGGAAAAGAAATAAAACTCGAACCACCCAGTTCAATCAAAGGGAACACACCATCATAATGGTATGGATTCAGAGACCTCATACGCCGGATTCCTTAACACCGTCATATCAAGTCCTAACGAGGAACAATAGAATTCTCAACTCTCAGCTCCCGTACCATGATCCCTCCATTGGTCCATTCATGGAAGGGTTCCATTTCTCCTAATTGAAGAAACCCCTATTGCCGAAGACTAGATATGATACGTCTTCAGCACCTCATGAAAAAATTAACTCCCCTGAAAGCTGTTTTTACATGCCCTGTTGCATCATCCCGTTCATCCCGTTCATGCCATTTTGCATCCCTTGTTGCATTCCATTCGGCATACCATTAGGCATACCATTTTGCATACCCCCTTGCATATTTTGCGTCATCTGTCGTCGTTGCAAAATCTCTCGATGTACTGATTCTTGTGCTTTCTTCAAACAGGTCTGTTTAAACTGCTCGTGTGTCTCGTGCGGTATATTTGGTACACCACCATATCGATCGGCAAGTTGAGCAATATGTTGACGGTAAAAATTCGTTTGCCTCTGTCGTACTTGCGCTGCTAACGCGTTAGATGGATTCCCTGGATGTTGACCCTGTTGTTGCTGTTGCATTTGCAGTTGCATCTGTTGTTGCATAGCAGCTATCTGAGCTGGGTTCATACTGTTGTTGGTATTTTGGAAATTTTGATGACCCATTTGTTGCTGCTGATTAGGCATCTGTCCTTGCATCTGCTGCTGCTGTTGCATATTGTTGAGCTGTTGCTGATATCGTTGTGCCATCTGCTGTTGCTGAGCAGGGCTCATCATTCCAGGGTTTTGCATATTCATCATTTGTTGACGCATGAAATGCTGTTGTAGCATCTGGTTTGGCATTTGTCCATTTTGTCCGTTCATCATATTGGCATTCTGTAAAGCAAGCTGCTGTTGCTGTTGGGCAATTCTTTGACGTTGCTGCTGTGCGATCTGCGCAGCCAAGAGCTGGCTTTGCATATTAGGTTGGTTCATAGCCTGATTGCCCATCATCATTGGATGATTCATATGGGAGTTTTGAGCAATCATATTTGGTGGAGGACTGGCTTGACTCATCCTAGGCGTAGCCATAGGACGGTTGATTGGAGTACCGTGTTGCATCTGCGGTGTTGCACTCGGCATACGAGGCGTATTCGACGGATGACTCTGTTGACTACCTCTTGCAGACATACTAACTGTCATGGGTACGGCCATACCATGATTCTGCACTACAGAGCCTGACCTTGGAGGACTTGCTCCCATACCAGAATTTGTCTGTTGCATAGGTGCATTTCCAACCATAGGACTTGACATATTCTGTGGTGTATTTTGTCGAACAACAGGTGATGAAACGGGTGCTTGCGAAACTTGTTGTGGGAATCTGTGAGGAGCTTGAGCAGCCATGGTCATTCCGCTCTGAGCTGGATGACCATGCGAAGATGGTGGCATTTGGTTCATCTGTGCGTTCTGTGGGGATTGAGCAGCTTGCGCTTGGGCCTGTGCCTGTGCCTGTGCCTGTGCCTGTGCCTGAGCTTGAGCCTGTTGTTGTTGAGCTAATGCGCGACGCTGAGCTTCCTGCTGTTGTTGCTGTTGCTGCTGCTGTCGGAGTTGAGCTTGGCGTTGTGCTTCTTCGCGACGAACCTTCTCTTGTTCGGCTTGCTGTCGTGCGGCCTGTTCTTGCTTTTGAGCTTGTAACTTACGCTCGGCTTCAGCTTGTTGAATCTTCTCCCGTTCTTTCTTGGCCGCATGCTCTCTCTTAATATCCGCAAGCACCTTGAACCGTTCGAATCGAGGTTCAAATGCAGTGGTGCCAGATTGTCCATTACCATCGCCGCTATCCGTACTAGCTTGTGCGCCACCAGTATTGGTAGAACGACGCTCGTCGAAAGTAAGCATATATTTCTCTTGCTCCGCGGCCAATGCTTCGTCGGCAGCTCTTTCGGCGACGGTACGTTTTCGGGTTTTCGGTTTCGGTGGTAGTTCGGAATGTGCAGAATCGGACATCTTTTCTAGAAGCGCGATAGCCTCTTCCTTGTTCTTTGCGACCTTCAGATTTAACGGGGCGGCAGTCGCGAGTAGAATCTGTGCCTCCGCGGCATATATGTTGGCTCCATCTAATTCCATTTTCTCTAATTTTTGTTTCTTAGCTGGAGGTGGCATATTGGCCGTTGTCGGAGTAGGAGGTATAGCAGACGCTGGTGTAGGAGGAATGCCATTAGCATCGCCAAACTTTGCATCCCCAGCACCACCCGGTGTAGATGCCTTGATCATTAAATCCGCATGTAAGCTTTGTGGGGTTGGATGAAGAACAACTGTGAAGACCTTGGCTTTCGGAGGTATCTTGCTTTTCTGACCCTCACCTGGAGCAGGTGGTGCAGGCATATTCTCTTTGTCAACAGCATCATTTCCAGTAGGCTTCTCGTCCGTTCCTGATAATCCATTTTCGACGCTTTCCTTAGGAAAAGGTACATATGGGGAGGGAGTAATATAGGGATTATAATTATGAATCGAGGATGGTTTTTCGGAACTAGACTTGGATGTCGGACGCGCAACATCTTTCAATTGCGCAGGTGTCTTATGATCGTGTAATTGTACAATAAGACAACCTTCATAAAAAATTACACCAGCATCGTTCAAATCAGGCAATATATCGTGAGGTATCGTTCGAGTTCTGACATGATCGAGGAATAATTTCATCGGTGATTTATATGGAAAAATACTATCTTGTTGGTCGAATCGGAAGTGGGTGGGATGAAGATGTACGATGAGAGATGGAGGCTGTCCGGCGTATTTCTTTAGAATATAAGAATCCGTAACCACTATTTTCACGTTAGCATATTGCGCAACAGATGACAACAAGTTGGATTGCGCACCATCTGGACGCGGCTCGAATGATTGGTGAATAGTCGTATCAGGTGCTAATGTAGCTGATCGTAGAGAATTATTGTTTCTTTGGTTACGCCCCGGACCAGCATTAGATGTGTCGCGTCGTGATCGGGAAATACTAGGTCGATGTGCATTGCCATTAACACCATTAGTGGTTGAATTCGCCGATTGTTGTTGTTGCTGTTGTTTAGCTACAGCAGGTGGAGGACGTTTAGCCGACATATTTGGAGAAGGAGATGATTGTGATGAAGATACGCCATTTGTTTGAAGATTCGGAGGTGGCGGACGTTTAATCTTAGGAGTAGGAGGAAGAGGGACGGCGGTAGCGACGACGGGAGCCATGGCTTCAAATTCAGGGCTCTGCGCACTAATAAGCGACTAGGCGACGCTCAATAGATTGCGACTAGAGACTGAATATATCGCCAAAGTTCCCGTTTGGTGTGAACATGGATCGCGAATGTCTTGTGCTTTGTTGGAGGTTATAGTATCGGAATTACACCAAGTAATAGGCGCGTATTAATTGAATGGGTAAATTATAAGAAACCCTTTTATATTGTAGTACCGAGACACATTGAGAATGTATCTGGATTGGATACGCGACGATGTAAAGACGATGAAATTGGTGGAAGAGATTGTTGGACGAAGAAATAAAGATGATTAAATGATGAAATGAATGTATGTAGTTGATAATCTTTGTGTGGGGTCAATTAGTTCGACGGAAAGAGTATTAACTTCAAGTTTAGCATAAACTCCGCTAAATTCAAGTTCAGCCTCATCAGCCGCTTAACACATAGTATGCATAATTCCATTTTAGCACATGGCAAACATAAGCTATGTACAAGTTTTATGCTTCATGCCACGATATCTATACATAAATGTCGAGGTACATATGTACTTAGAGATCAATGTACAGAAGAACGACGCTGTCCGTAGAAAAGCAGGAGGTATCTAGAGCATAGTAATGATTTGATAGGTACCCTCGAGACAACGATGATATGATGATATGATAAAGTACTAAACCATCGATATTTCATGTTATATACACTCATCTCTTTATTACCACATTCCAACCCAAGGGTAAATCATATATCTGCCGTTATCAAACAACATAACCTAACATCCAAACTTATTTCAATAAAAGAAACGTGAAAAGACCACCAGTTCATACGTGCTACTCATTTCACCATTCCCAAGGAGGATTCTTCAAGATATCACTCCTTACCTTGAATCCTACGAGCCCAATCATCGCCAACCCTTAAACTATCAACTACCACAACACCTCTTCCGCGTCCAACACGTTCTTCTCGTTGCCACCAAAGATCTTCTTTCTTTTTCTTCTCTGGCTTCTCAGCTTCTGATTCGCTATCGGCAAGTCCACCGTGACCACCATCAGCTCCAACCACAAGAATTACATCGTACTTAAGCCATGTTTGTAGTTGAGTGACAACATTTCCATCATCACCAGCAAGTGATTCTTGAAGATAAATGATCTCAGGTTGCAAATGACGGAGTATATGAACATGACCGTTAGGCGAAGTGAATGGAAGAACCATAGTCTCCTTTTCTACCAAACCTATCGCCTGCGAGTATACAGCGTTGAAAGGTGTATTAGCCGTGTTAGAGTTCAGCCTAGATTCGAGTCAGCATTCTTAATAACGGGCCAGCAACGAAGCGGTTTGACATACAATGGACTCTTAGATTCCTCTCCTGGAGTCTGGGGTTGTTCGTTCCCGATATTTGAAAAAGATGAGCTCAAAGAAGCTGGAGGTAGGTTGTTAGACGATGCTTCAAGAGCAGAATCTTTAAGTCCAGGAGCATAAATCAAAATAAATAATTTGATTTTGGAAAAATCGGTGTTTCGAGGTATATGCGAAAGAACAGACTGCGACCGAGTAAGTCAGTATAATTAGCTACCGGGGTAATTAGATGTTATGGGTTCGTACGGCATGTTCGTGAAACCCTTCCGAATCGAATTCATCCATGTTCGTATCGGCCGAAACAACAATCGCGACAGTCTTTCGTCGTTTATTGGAATCTTTAGGTTGAGAGGACGGGGACTTTTCTTTTCGAGCTTCGGCTTCTTCCGACCATGTTTCATGGTCAGCATAAGCATTCTTATCATCTTCTCGAATAGCAGCTAGCGCACTACCAACGGCTGCACCAACTCCTGCCATGCCTGCTGCCACTGTCTTACTCGCGTTGGAGAGGAACTGTTGCGGACTAGGAGTACGTCGCAAAGCACCAGATACTTGCGATCCCCATCCCGCGGAGACGCCGGTTGCTTCTGGGTGTATATCGCCAACACCATAGCTTACATCCTCGGTTCGATAGGAAGGATTACCGTCAGCTCCCGGCGGCCGCGAATCTCTACCGGTCGCGCCGTAAGGTGGGTTTTCGCCATAATCGGCATTTTCATAATCGAGATGTTCGGTAGGTTCGGGATCGCTTTCTTCTTCGTTCTCGCGACTTCGTTGACTCCAAGCCCAAGCGGCGACACCAACCGTCGCAACTGTAATAGTAACGACGAGGGGAACCCAGTGGCTCCAAACGCCCCTTCGGCGAGATCTCGTAGAATCGTACGACGACGACATTTATTCAAGTAGGATCATCGCAAGTCGCAAGCTGTGCCTAGTAAAGGCGTCGCACGAGGGCGGTGGAGTCGGACAGTGCTATGTTAATGCAAATCACGACTGCAAGCAATCCGGCCGCGATCGAAAGAATTTTGGTAAGGGTTACGTAGGTAGATAACTCGATAGATAGACAGATAGATAGGTACCTAAGGTAGCAAGCGATAGGGAAAATAGGAACGAAAGTTGTTACAATCGTGGAAAATAGCGGGCTGGGAAAGTGGTAGAAAGTGGTAACCGGCTAACCAAATCAGAATGAACGGGGCTGGGCTACGTGTAAAAGCTCCGTACCGAGCAATATAACGTATGTACCTAGCAATAATAATAATAAAAAAGTACCCAGGTAGGTGCGGTCAACAATTCTAAGCCAAAGGTTAAACAAAACTGTCCGATTACGAATGGGAAGTTGTTGTACGGAGCAAAGTAGTGAGGTGGCTGGGTAGCTACTGTGCTACTTTCCAAGGTTCTCCGCCGAGGTGCCGAACCCCTGCAAGAACAATTGGCGGACCTAGGTTAAGGTTAGTTTGATGTTTTTATTGGTTGGAGGGGAAACACCACACCGAGAAATTCTAAAGGGGGTTTCCGTAACTTTTATTTGATGTTCACCGTTAAGACTCCACTCTTTTTATCGATAATCATTTTGTATGTCTTCCCGCTGAAATTCAATATCGCAGCCTCTACTATGACTCAATCTTCTCAATCAACGAAACGATTAATATATATCTCACCAAGTACATCGTCTCTTTAAATCAAATTAAATAACACTGAGTTATTTTTATTATTCTCCGATTGTGGGATTCTACAAATATAAATATTGAATTAAATAACTAACATTCTCACAGAACACATCTCATTAACCCCTCCATCAAAGCTTCGACCTAAGAACGGAACCCTTCAAGATGCCCCACGCGGTATCCTTACCCGCGACAGGCCTGCAAGCCTTGATTTTGTGTGGTCCTGGATCTTCATTTCCGACTTTCACATCAAATCCAGATGAGAATCCTAAGGCTTTATTACCTATTGCGAATAGACCGATGGTTTGGTATCCCATCGATTTTTGTTATCGTACAGGGATCACAAGTAAGTACTTATCGTCCTCTCGTCGTCATCGCCATCGATGACAATATCTCGGTCTCTATGAGTGATCATACAAGCTTCTGTCATGGATCATGATTATCTTGAACCGTCCAGTCACGATCATGACAAGTTGCACACTGCAGATGTACCTATGCTAACCTATCCTAGACATCACTCTCATCTGCCCTCCTTCGGCTGCTGATGCCATCACCACAGCGCTTAACACAAATCCTTTCCTTACTGGTCTACCTCATCCTCGTCCAGATCTTGTAGCGCCACATGGTCTAGACCAGAATACGGGTACCGCAGAGATATTGCGATTACCCGAAATTCGAGAGCTCGTCACATCCGACTTCATAGTTCTACCATGCGATCTAGTCTGTGAATTGGGAGGTGATAAACTCTTACAAGCATGGATAGTTAAGGCCGCCAGTCTACCAGATCTCTTAGGCGATGGCGAACCTCCATATGGCAACGGCGGTCTAGGAGTATGGTACGAGACAAAAACGGAGACTCCTATCAAGGGTGAAGAAACCGATTTCATCATAACTGCGCCAATGTCGAAACCAGCAGTGCCTACATCCAAAGACTCGCTCCTGTCACATCTTTCCTACCTAACTTACTCTATGCCAAAAGATTCGCTTAATGATCTTGTAGATCAAAAGAGCAGTTTCCCCATACGACATGGTTTATTGCGCAGTCATCCCAAGTTAAGAATGTTGACGACACATCGAGATGCGCATATCTACATCTTACCAAAATGGATTCTAGACTTCGTTCAGGAAAACGAGCGTTTAGAAACAATTGGAGAAGACGTTATTGGCTGGTGGGCGAAGGCGAATTGGGAGACGGGTCTTTTCGAGAAGTTAGGTATGAAAAAGGTCATTGAAGGTCGCAAAGAAGAATCAGAAGCAGAAAAGTCGACACGCGGTGGTATCACTCAACCGAATGACAGCCCTCTACAATCACCATTCACCACACGAGAACCTTATGAAACCTCACCTCCTGGGGGATTTCAAAAGAGAAGAGATGACAGACTATTAATCAAACCAAAGGAGACTACCGTACCACCTATTTTAGCATACATTCATCCCAATCGTACGGATGCTCCTTTACTACGTCGTGTAGACACAGCCCAGCTTCTACTTTCTATATCATTACAATTAGCAAAGCTTCCTTCGGTTGAGGAGTCTGGCATCGAGACGGCATCTCCATTTGCTCATTCCAAGAAGGTTGCATATCCCGAAGGTGTTAAGCCACGAACCACTATCACGAGACAAGATTGTTTAATTGCCGATAATGTCATGGTGGAAGAGAAGACCTCAATAAAAGAAAGTGTCATTGGAGCCAACTGCCAGATTAAGGAGGGCGCAAAGTTATTCCAATGTCTCTTGATGGATGGCGTGGTAGTTGGCAAAGGTTGTAAATTGACTCGTTGCATCCTAGGAAAAAGGAGCGAGGTCGGAGAAGGATCGACACTCACGGACTGTGAAGTACAGGAAAACTTGTTGGTAGAACCAAGAAGTAAGTTTAATCCATCTCAACCCAACGACCCTAATTCCCATTCAGCCCCCATGATATCACGAAGCGGTGTGATGTATGTACTAACAACGCCACAGCCGAGGACAAAGACAGCAAACTTATGAGCTCATCCGGACTCGAAGCCAGTGAGCAAGAAATGCAAGACGCATTAGAAGATTTTGATGAGGGTGACGGAGATAATACCATGATAGGTTAAGTTGCCCTTTTGTGGGTAAATTAAGAAACACCCTACTATCCAGGTCGTCGGTATCAGTACAACCAAAATTCCTCTCTAGCAACGATTAGATCTCTAGCTCAGGGTCATCCATTCAAAGCTAAATGCTTTCATAGCCACGATCAGAATAGAGAGAAAATGGAGGGGAATGAACATGTTAGTCTATATCTAGATGTAGCTGCAGGTACCTACATAACGACACATGTACATGTTATGCGAATGAATTGGAACGAGCTATCTCCTGTAAAGTTTTTAATATGGATGTTCACATGTCTATTCAAAATGTGATCTATCACATCCATCACTATTCTTACTTTTTTCCCTTTCTCCCAGAGGATTCCCGTTCTCCAATTCAGAAAATTAATATTGATCCTCGCGATATAGAACTTTTTCTAATGCCTTCTAAGTCCCATAAAAATAAGGCTTCCTTGAATCCCTACATAAATGAACGCGTTTCAATTTTCGAGGCTACATTAACATGCAGTTAGGTATGGTTAAATGCTACCCTCCCCTGAGGCTAGATGGGCTATAAGCGACTATTATGAGGGGTTATTTAATCCACGATGCCTAGGTGCTTTCGGCACAACGCCCATCGAAATGCAAGTTAGTCCGAGAGAATAATACCTCAACGGATCTCAGCCCAATATGTATTCCACATGTATCTTTTAGTCATGCTGTGAAACATTATGTCAGGATACCAGCTACGATACTCATCTTAGTTTTGTTTCCGACTTTTGGGTGGTTCCAATGGTACGTGCGTACTTCTACTTCTAGGCGCTTAAACCCTCTATACATGCGAACAGGGATCCCGTTGCGAAAGTTCATACCAATTGATTGGTGGATGAACAGGATCAAAGCTTAGCCATGAGCTGTGTTGTACAAGTCAAAGGGGATCTGCATTACTACTCCTAAGTAGTCTCGGATTTACACAAGATCTTGCTCTCGTACGACAGGGAACTGCAGGGAACTCCATGTGGTAATGATATGGACCCTGACAACGCCTTTGGAATAACTGTAACGTTTACTTGGGCCTGAAAAGTTCAACTCAGGATTTACGAACCGAGATGCCAGTACGAACAAAGAATGATAGTTGAGGGGAAATCGTGCCTAGGTACGTATCTTTCCTTTTCTAGTATTGGATCATACTCACTTTAGCCACCGCATCCAGTTATCGAGACTACCAAAAAGAAAAATCGGGCTTGCTAACACGATGGAAATAGAAATGACTATCGATCCCGAATAAGCCACCGAACGCCTTTCGGATACGGCCTTTAAATGCTTGAGAGTTATGATAAATCATTCCGGAACAGTGGACTACCGTAGATGTCTGCAGCCACATGGGAAAATAAGTATTTATAGTGCAAGATCTAGCAGGCATACTAGCAATGATCTCCGAGATCCCGCATCAAGAAACCCGAGGCAATCGTCGGCGAAAAACACCAAAAACATCAGTGGCTGCCTGAGGAATAACGCTACGGGTATAGATCTTGTGACGAACCTATGCCACAGAGAGGTATAGTCGTTGCTGGATTGGCTAATCCGGGGTGTCTTGATTTGAAGGTAACAGTATCAATAGTAGGTCAAGTGATCAAATAGGTTCTGTTCGTCAGAGAGGCTTGGAGTCCTCTCACTATACTCGAAAGAATAGTCTTAGATTGATAACTAAAGAGCTATGGAAAGAGCGACTGGATACATAGGGAATCTCTGGTAGTTTATATAGTTTAATATCCTCCTCTTTTATCCCTTTCTGCTCTGACTTGCTCTGTCCTGCTCTGTCCTGCTCTGTTCTGTTCTGTTCTGTTCTGTTACCCTACAAGAGCAGAAATTCCCCACCCGGGGTTTTGCCGTGATTGGCCCTTCTCCGTTCATTGTAATGCAAGGGTTGGTTTGTGACAGATCTTCGTCTGGTTCAATCCTAGCGTATGGCATGAAACTCCGAATTTTCTGTTAAAGAGTCAAAATGCAAGCCAAAATGTATCAAGCCGGAGCGAAGGCGTCTGGGTACTTTCAATGCAATGATTGCTACCAACCTAGGTAGGTACGTGCGAATAAATATTAGCCCACTACATACTCCCCCAAAATACCCAAGTACCCGATGATTTGGATAGAATACTCGACACTCCGAGCTCCTAAACCAGTATTATGAGAGGATTAAAACGTAAATGTAGGCAGAGGTGTGAGTAAACCATTTATCTTCGGTGATATCCTCATATGTCAGAATGGTTGTACTAGGTATATATATTAGGTATATAACCACTCGGCGAGCTCGCGAATCATTTTCGGTGTAGAGGGGCTTGGTTCTCTAGCAGTTGCGTCTACAAACGTAGCATTGCAGAAGTTGATAATTGATTTATCTCAAAAATTGTTACCCGACAGCCTGAATACTTATTGAAATTGATAAATTCGACCTTACAAGAACCTCCACGTTTTCAACAAATAGAGATGCCGTCCAATGAGTTACTCAGGTACAAAGCGCATTGCCGCTATTCGGTGGATCGAGCCGGTCCGTGCTATGCCACCCATCTTCAGCTTTCGAACCTTTCAAATGCAGGTTACCTCATGAAGAATTATGCGGATTGCGTAATACATGCAGTCGATAGTCTCCTCCACGATAAGTAAGCTTAATTCAGACGTAGAATCTGCATGGGACTCGTCACTTGAGTTAATCAAAATTTTAACCAATGATTTCTCTATCAATTGTCTTCTCCTAGGTATTTCTCATCGCTGTGGAACTAATTTTGCACGTTCGCATAGTGGAGAACAGAGCTACCTCGCAGCAACGTAATGTTCACGATAAGGTCTTGTCCATTCAGGAAGTCATGTTCATAAAGAAGGGAATGGGGAAGAATTTGACAAGTATCTATCAATCGAATAGCCCTAGAGAGTCTCATAACTCGACAAGATGGTAATTAACGCCACATAGGGGTAAAAATAACCAGATGTGACCCCTCTGCCTCCCCCTTTTCACGATAAGAATCGACTTGCCCCCTAAACCCCACCAATCTAAATAGTTCCTATGTAGGTACCTCAGGCAGGTAACTAGGTATATTAATATCACTTCATCAAACGAGGGCAGATTACTCACTCACTAAAGGTCGTATCATCTTCTATCTTCTACATTGCATGTAGGACAAATTTCAGCGACGTACGTTTCCTCCGGCAAGTAGCCTCCTTTGTGTGGATCTGGCTCATTCGAATCGGAATGCCCACATGTCTCTATATCTCCCGGTTTACAAACAACCTCCTCTATGGATTTGACGTGATTTTCCGGGCAGCCGTACAGCTTTTTTATTCTTCGACACATTGTAGTTTGATACTAAGGATTTTGTCGGCTTTTTGTTTTGTAGAAGTTATCGGAGGATGAAAGTGATGGAATCTACGGAATAAAACTTAACTTTGAACGACATCTCAACACCTTTTATAATCCTATGAAACGTCGAATACTCTTCTTCTAATACCAAGATGATGAACACATAGTTGCATGTTCATCTTGTAATATCTCACTTTTTGCCAACTAGATGACTGCATCTCATTACATCTCGGGGCTTACAAGTTCTTATTGACCTTGTCTACCTATGAATCGAGATGCATATACACTATTAGAAGCATACGACCGTATCAGGATTGGTAAGTTTATGCACGATACATCTTACAGAAATAAACAGTTCGTACAAACTATGACTATAATTGGTTTGAATAATCTGGGGTCGTTCCCGAGAAATTTGATTATGGAGAGTACTTAACTAAGTAATTTTAATAAAATCTTAGACTTCGTAGTCCTTCTACTTTGCCGGCTAGATATTTAGGTAGGATGGGTGCGGCTACGTTCTTCCACCTCTATTATTCATAAGACCATTACTAACTACCTAGATAGATCGTGTCGCCCTTGATACGAAAGTGCCATTGGACTAAACAGAAGAGTATTACCTAACGACACTACATATTAACCTGCGCGTATAAGAAGCCTTTTTGCGTGCGATCCGTTTATTCTTGTTAAGAGTCCAGACTGCTTACCTCCACATTAGTTAACACGCCTAAGGAAAATAGTATCCGATTCTTGCAGACCTAGTGAGACGAAGTACTGTTCATTCAGGTACACTGAGCATAATGAAACGTTTCGTAAAATTAATCATCTTCGTTGATTCTCGAATATGTATGTCGTCTTTCTGGCAACTCTCTAGAGTATCACTTTAGTGTACCTAGGTAAGGTTGCGCCATCGCTACCATACCCGTTAAGCCTCCATCGCCTTATGTCCTGACCTCCTGAAAACCATGTAGACGACAGTCTCATGGGCTTCTATCATTACCTGCCTATATAGGTATCTATGCTTATGTGATGCTCTTCAGATTATGGTTAAGGTGTATACCTATTTTAATGCTAAGTTAATGCGCACTTTAACATCCCATGGTTATAGAGATAGAGATGAATTTGAACTCATACAAGGCAATCAACCCCCCAATAGGTGACGTGCTAATATCCTATTGCCCTTTAATATGAAATAGCACGTTACGTTGCTATTCAAACATCCACATGGTTCATTGACCTCATTAGAAAATATCTCATGTTAAGTGGCGTTGACAAATACCTAGGGTTAATAATAACCAATGCGGTATAGAATGTTGAAGTTCCTTGTCTTTCTGTCGATCCAACAGTAGTTCTAACTTCTGTACTACATTAAATCCTCGTGTCCTAAGTGCGGAGGCTTCATTGTCATTGAGATTCGGGCCCGGGTGTAATGCTAAATGCGGAAACATGTGGATTAGGCGACGTTATCAATCTCTGGACCGAGGGTATCGGCGATTAAAATGTTAAGGCTATCAACCTATAATTAGCTGTCTATGTGGCAGTAATGTTTGCTTAGTTTAATGCTCGAACGGAGATGTACTTGAAACGGAAATGGAAAACCGGGTTGGTTATACATACGAGTAACAGTTGTCGGATAAAGAAACCAGGTATTCGGTCCCGATAACCAACATTTGGGCATGGATTTGGAGCTTGTTTGGAGATTGATTGTCAAAGAGCCGCGCGGCCGCGCCTACAATAGCGAATGAATTACCATCCTTAATATCCAAATATCCAGATATGTATAGCTAACTTGTAGGAAAAAAACGTATGTTCGTATAAACTCCAAACACACTTGATAGTAGGTGATAATACTCTAGTGACTTATAAGATAAAACAGGGGGTGGTGTTGAATTTGACAACGATCACGATCTAGGGAGAAAAAATAATACTGTATGCTCAATTACAAACGGGAAAATACCTAAAATAGGCTAGGTCTGCTACAACAGACTGATACCACCGAGAAAGTTTGGTGTAAGTGTATGTGTTCGAGAGATAGAAACAAAGAAAATCAAGACGATGTCTAAGCCTCTGCCATCTACAGTTATGAGGGGTCCGGTAGGTAGGTAGTGTCGCAGAAGCCACACGAGTTACTGTTGGACAAGGAATTCCCCAGGGTATGATACTACCAAGGTACCTAGGTATTCGCTGGGGATAGGAATTAGAAATCTGACATGTCGCAGGTTCTACGGTAGCGTACCGTGCCCAGCTACGCCGCCTAGCACGTAACTTATCCTATTTGGGTACCCCTGGAAATCAATTGCTGTAAAGCATCCCAACCTGTCAAAGAAACGTCCAGTCACAAGAATTATTACAAATAATTTTAATTATGCCGAGGTAGAACATAAAATGTGCTTTATGTTGGCGAGCTATTTTATTTTGCTTATGGAAATATGAAAATATTAATGGCTGAACCGTTGGCATTGGCATTTTTATTCTCATCTGTTATTCACAAATTGTACCTAACTTAGTCGTGATGGTAAGCAATTAGGTATTCATAGGGTTACAGCCGATTCTATCAAACCTAGCCGACCCGAACAACTTCTCGGCTCGGTAAGTATGAAAGTATCGATAGGTTTCGGCTTCTCAGTCATGTCGTCAGCATTGGCGTTTCCACGGTTCCTTCTTTTTAAGACACCTATTAGAATGATACATGGCTTACGCCCCATAAGTCACTGTTACAGTGATCACTTTCTGAATAACCTTGTCAGGTAGTTCTGGGATGAACTCTTGAAATGTTCCCAACATCTTCTTTTCTTTCATTCTTTCATTCTATTCCTTCCAATAAATATAATAGATCTAATCAGTTAAGTCATCTAGAATATCGGTAAATTTTATGATCAAGGATCCCTCCTCGGCATCTCGATTTACCTTAGGTAGCGATGTATGTAGATCAGTGGAGATCTTCCGGAGTTACGATCTCTAGGCTTAACTTCAAATCCTACCTATGTTAAGGTACCCACCTAGATAATTGGAGTATAGACTAAAATTGAATACAACACGCGGATATCGGATATTCTACACTGCCTAGTGATATCTACTTTTCTAGTCTCTTGGGCAACATGTAGATCGCATGAAAAAGTCTAAGAATATCAAGGTATCGAATTCGCTCAATAAAGCAAATGATTATTATGTACTCCCTTGATGGTTAAATGAGTTGGATAGACAGGAGTACCCTTAAAATCCCATGAATCAATCCCATTCTGAGCTTCAGATAACCATCCCCTTCTTATGTGGCTGACTACAGGAACGTTAGCGTACCTGATTTACCCTGTGGTTATGTGCATATATGTACCCCATGTCTCGAGGATGTTTGGGAAAATCTGTTCAAGGACGCCTACTATTGTTTGTTGGGTTATCATAGATTTTTTTGCATCCAATGGGAAATGGCATTCTTTGAGACATCCATCGAGGGCGAACCTGTTCCTGTTATGAGCCGAACCACGTTTGCCCCTGCGTTAATACCCCTTGCTCTTCTGCCGAGAAGGGTTCATAGGGCAAAGCTTCAGGGCGGACGCCACAGCTCAATTGGCCATCTGTAGGAACTTCGAATCGGCGAGACTCACCACTTAGAGTTCCAAAGCACACCCACACAGAATGGAAAAGACACGATTTTCAGGGCTGTCAGGAACCAAAGCTAAACGATTAGTTCATTCAGGAACAGGGTGCGCCAAGATCCCTTCGTTGACCTAAGCAGAAGCAGTATATCCGATCGCTTTCTACTTTAGTATTTACCTAGGTAAGTACTAGTGTAGTGGTCTTTCGCGGACTGTTGCTATCTGGGCGTGTATGCTCACTTACTTACCTACCTGGGTACTTGGAACATATCATACAATGACCAAGTCTTTCGCGTCTACCTAGGTAACTATGGCGACGGACGGATGGGTAATTAGCAAACTCTTCAACTATTATGATTTTTGACATCATCTGCGCCGGCTCCACGGCTTTCTCCCCACGGGTCGTCCGTTTCTTTGCATCTATGCTTGCTGATCAATAAGTTCGACAGCAATATGCCTTAAGGTACCTTCATTACTTAGGTACGGTAGACATGCCTTTTAACCAATGTTTAATGTCTATTGTTCAATGGTCGTAGGCTTGTCAGAGACGCCATGTCTCTGAATCGACCGTGTCTTACGAATGACGAACCGAAGTTGAATGGCATAATGCGGGGCGGTTAGGCATACTTCATTCCTAGGTCTCATTCCATATGGTAAAGATGGCTCTACACTAGAGAAAGTTGGTGGATAGATTGGCGAAGCTCTCTAACACGCTTGTCTTTCAAACATCGTTGCGTTGTCGTACGTGCCATTTTAAGCTATGTATGCTCATGCGAGATTGATAACGCCTCTGACTATTCCAAAAAAGGGTCAGTTGACCGCTTTGGTGCTTGCTACACTGCCGTCTTTTTTATGTTTGTTGCGCTTTTGTTTTCTAATTTTACTTCGCGAGGGGCCCAGCTGAGCACCCAAGATCCAGCCAGGAGTGGCCGGCATCTCATGCGTGTTGGTTGCTCATTACAAGGATTCAACGACCCGAATTCCCGGGCCCTAATGTAATGCTCGAAGTTGTCAACCCAACTAAGGAGGGGGGGGTCTTGCGACAAAATGCAAGCAATGGGAAATAAAATGGAGCCCATCTTCAAGTTGATGGTAGTGGCTTGAAGACAACTACGTACTATATGTCTATCTTTCCCCCAATGTACCGTGCGCTTTCTAGATAGACGCCTCTCTGCCACTACGCGTTTCTCATTCCTGTCCACACTCCATCGTTACCTGCCATCCCATACCCTGGCGGGGAGTTGTCTAGTATATTGGCCGAGCTATCCTAACTAAGTATTTGCTTTGCGACCTAGCGTCTAGCTAAAGGGATATCTCTCTCTAATTGGAACAATACTTAACCTTTGTCACCCCTATATCTATTTATCTATCCCCTCATTCCTATCCGTGAAATTCTTCTCTTCCCATTACATCCACCATCGAGTTTAAGTGCCGGTTGTGAATTCTTACTACTGGACATTAACGAACTCCCTTTGGATCCCGAGCTTCCTCACATCCCCACGAATCTCTCTCTCCTTCAGATACTCACTCGATAATGGACATGCACATGGACTTGAAAGTTGGCTTTGGTGAAGATTTTGCTCTCGGAAATCAGGGTCTACCTTGTGCTTCATCGACTGGTAGCTTTTCTTCGGCATCGACTTCTGGTTCTATACCCGAACCATTCACACCAACATCTGGTCGATCGACTCCTGGACTTCGTTCTATCTCGATGGAGCACGAACAAATTACTTATCCTCCACCTGGAGGCTATGAATTAACTCCGCCATCCTCGGCTTTTGGCGGTTATTTCCCATCCGAAGCTAAAGCCGATTTTCATCGATACATGGATTATAATAGTGCCTCGCCGAGTCCAAGCCGAAAGTCCAGTATGCAATCCCAAGCTGTGGACTATGAATATGCTCCGATGGTCCCTACCACATTTCCTTCCTTGTCAGCTCAGAATCACCCTCTTGAACCGGCTCATCATCAAACTATGGGACATTACTCCTTTGCGGATTATATCCCATCACCACAATATCCAGTCTCTACGCCTGGTTATCATATGAACAGTGCTCCCGCTTGCGATACATCAGCAATGTGGGAATGGACGAGAGAAAGTCCTGTATCATTCTTCGGAAGAGGACATCCCTCCGCATCTCCTTCTCCTTCCCATGCTCTCTCTTCTCGCGATCGAAATGGCTTGACACCTCCCTACCTTGCTAGTCATGGAAAGAGACGAGTCAACGTGGATAAAGTGCAGCAAAAGAGTTCAGCACCTCACAGGGCCCAACAACGTTCTGGAGTTCGAATCGAAAGAATCGCCGCTGCTACTTTCAAATGTAACTACCCGGATTGCCAAAAGGGTCCATTCAAGAGACAGGAACACTTGAAAAGACATAAGAACACGTAAGAGACCGAATTCATATGCTAATCCCAACCATAACTCATAAGCCAAATAGTAAGCATGCAGAAAACCCGATTTCTATTATTACATCTTGCCCATTCTGCGGTAAGCCATTCAACCGCAAGGACAATTACCGCCAACACTTGAAACTTCACACTTTAAAGAATCGACCAACTCGTCGTACCGACTACTTTCCCGAAGCTCAATCATTACTAGATGAAGAAATCAACAAGACCAAGCAAAGGAGTCAACTCAAAAAGAAAGGCGACTCCCTCAAGGATGAGGACGACTTCTAGAAATTTGAAAACTACTATTCATTCGATTCCCACCCGGCAACACGGGATATCTCGACAACTTAGTCACGACATTGGCGAGTAGGCTTCAAGATCACATCAATATTTCTTTTGGTTTTGGTTGGATCGGGAAAAAATAAGGGTATGGCGTTTACATAGGGAGTTTTGGTCTTTGGGGATTGTCTCTTTTTTTTTTTATGTTCTATTTATTTACTCGCATTATCAGAGGCGTCTTGGAATAAGTATAGCGGGCAACCGGGCCTTGGGAATCAACATTGATATCATCAATTTCCTTTTTTTATTTCATTTTCTTGTAAACGCATTCGACAGATTGCGACGCTATAAGCACAGAATTTGGCTTCTATATTGGACTGGCTGGTTTACGGGACATACATTTTGTATAGTATTAGTTTTTAACATCTTTTACGAGAAGTGAAAAAGGAAGTAGCATGGAATATCACTTTTGACTCGTGTATTCTACCATTTCCCTCCATGATTCTTCCGTCTCTTAAATTGGCCACTACGGTCACTTAATTTTTTCTCACAAGAGACATTATTACGAAATAAATACTTTACGAAATCCGAGACCATATCCAAACCCCACGTAATCTAATTAATTCTAAGTAAATTGGTAGGTATCATGTCTTACTTCGAATAGTTAGTTGTTGTCTGATATATCTGGCCGAGACAGTAAACGGTCGACTTTATGTAAGTACCTAGGTAAACTTATGATTTCTAGGTATTCCTTGGATATATATAAGGATTATTCTATCATGGACATCTTTTGAATTGAACATAAGAAAGTTTTAACGATTATTAGGATGTCTTCTAGCCATAAGGTTGATAGATCGTACTACCTATTCGTTTGATTCACCAAGAAAACCCTCACGATGTTTATTTTACACTATCTAACTACCTAGGTAGGTACCTACTAGACCCTATGTGGATACCTATTAGATAATTTAGACCTAGGTAGGCATTATATACGGTACATGGTGGTTTGTTGGTGGGGATACATGATACCTATTTTGTCCCCTATTTTGACCCTCCCATGTTAGGCATCTCAACTAAAACCATAGGTCTCGTCAAAATTTGAATCACGACGAAACATGTGACAATTTTATAATGCGCAGGATAACAACCATGATTATCGATTATGCGGAATAGCTGCATGTCATTGATTCGCGTAGATGGTGAATCACACCCAGCGCTTGGACATATGTACGATTGGCCACGAGGGTATGTTATGTTACCGCCACCAACTGCATAATAATGAAGGTGCCCATAGGATATATTTAAGGGTATGGTAGCACCACACCGAAGTTGTTACGAAAATCCAACCAACACATACGTACCTACTTCTATATTTCTTTGTTGTACAATTCATCGTAGTTAGTAGCGACTTATCGTAACCATTAAACGAAGCGCCAAAGTATTTCATATCTGTTTCACGAGACCGGAATATACTTACACAGACGATTCACATAAATCCAAATGAAGAAGGACTTGACGAATAGACGAAAGAAGAAAAGAGCTCGTACTTCGGGGTCTTCCGTGGAGAGAAAATATAGCGGACATTAGCGCCATCCTAAGTAAAACAACGGAAATGAACTCCTCCCGAGAAGGGTGGGCGGAAAATGTTGGTCATAGCCCGATCATTTGATGATTGCTGTGCAGTTGAAAAGCAGGGACTCTATCCGTCTTCTGATATTGCAGCCTCCTAGAGGAACGATATGCTAAAAGTATGAAAGAATACATACCTCTTAGGTACCTACCGAAAAAAGAGGTGTGGGTGGAAGAAAAATTTGAAGACTAGGGCATATCCGAGCTTGGGTATTGTTAGAGCCGACACCTATGATAGGAGAGACCACGTTGCTTTGCAGCGAACACTACTCTACTAGTGAATAATCATAAAAATAATCTATATTGCGTCGAAGGTGCAGCCAACAGCGGGCATACGAGTCAGTTTTTGTCCTTGTGTCTCCGAGGCAATGCTCGGAATACAAAAGTGAAGAGGCAGTGAAATAAACAAAGACTAGGTCCGCTGCGCTTGGCATTGCACTTGATGGCCCAAAGCTCTGGAACAGCCCCGTTCTGGTAATCCCATAGGGCTTTGGGCGTTCTGGGATTTATGAGCTTCATTACCTAGTAATACCACATGGTGATAGATCAAGGGTCATAACAAGTCTATGATACCCATGGATATCCAACTTCCAAGGTTGAAAGAATTGGAACAAAGATTATCATCATGCTACCATGGATATAACAGCCATGGCATCTCATGAGCTCGTAAGTTACGAGCTTTACCTACCTAATATTATTGTCTATACTTGCGTAGGTACCTGGGTAGATCTCCATAACTACAACTTTCCAATTTGGATTCTATTTCCGCTACTGCCATTCTCCGAACAAATGGAGTCGTAAGCTCCGGACAGGTAATAACTTACTCATGATATAAACTCCGAGTGTACTTGTTGATTGTGATGGAAATATTATAACCGATGCACAAAGTTGATGCTCCGCTGCCCAACCATCCTATCTTAAAGCAAACTTTCTCGTACGGGTACTAGTTCGGCACCGAAGATACGATGTCATTCGAATAATTTTAGAGTTGCGGTGACGTTCTATTCATGTCTACAACTTAGTTGATTCGTCAGTGGCACTGTTCGGACCAGGGGAGAGTGTTGGCTTTCCGTAAGTATCTCTTAGGCAGCCTCAAATTTGGTATCTCCCCCCTTTTGATTGCCACCGGGAGTCGCACTAGAGACTTGTACGACAATGACTAGTAATAGCGTCCTTTTTTGCTTCCCAACTACGGCGTTAACAAAGACCAATCGCATACCCCGACATGATTCTTATGTCCGAGCACCAGACTAATTTCGAAATGCATATCCAAATCTATACAATACGATGATGAGCATAGCCAGGCTAGGGAACCCGACGCCTACCGTATGTTACACGAATTAGCCCAACCCAACAAGTTCCGAAATACAACAAGGATAAAGAGAAAAGGAGAGAGACGTATCACTCATTGGCGCACTGATATGCTCTCATGATCTTGCGGTATGGTCTATGTACTTAAAATATGGAAACTACCGAAGCTACCCCAAGTCCATGGTTATTTGACCTTATTCTTAACAGGCATATACCATGTTTAGAATATCTCTTTGACACAATGGTAACAGATTCTGCCAAGAAGATAACGACGACGTTTGGACGTTGCCACTCGATGTCACAAGTCGGTCTGACACCGCTAATATTCATTAAGGCTACTTAGCCTCTTGCTTAACATTCTCAAATGCCTGGATTAGTTCTGAGCCCGCCTGGGTAAGAGGAGGGGGTGTGTATGGATAATACTTCTGTATCGTTTAGCGCGGTATGATCGTTTCCAACAGATAAACAACTCCCAAATTTGAAGTGACAAGTCTTGACAACCATGGTAAGACCCCTTTGATGTCTCCACTATGGTTATAGACGATACAACCGTTATAGCTTCTTCAGGTTGTGTTCCCAACGAAAGAAAAGCAAGCCAATGATCATGAGGTTTTGAATTTACTTGTACCGGTAGATTCTTCGTTCATGAGGGCGCAGTTCTATCCTTGAATCGTTAATCAGTGTTTGGTTTAGAGCCAAAGCCAAGAGTTGATAGGAGTCTAGGTTTACTTGATTGATCATAGAGATATTTTCTCCTGAAACCAACAACGACCTAAAACTGTCGTTGTGAAGGCTGTCTAGGATATTTGAGCTCTAAGAATAGTATGGTAGGATAGCATGGGGCTCGAGTCGGGTTGGCTAGACCTTCACGTTTTGTTAGGATGAAAATATTCATATGAATATATGGGTATCGTAACGGGAAAGACAAGATCGTTCTGGTTTAGTATCGTGAAGTCATTACATACCTAAGATTGGGACACATAGACTATATTTTGTTCATTTCATTCCACAATTGTTGTCGGTGGCTTAGAGCCCGACGGACCGAAACATGAGTACGAAAACACGGTAATCGATATCGAGACACATACAGAAGACAGAGACGAGACAAACTAACTTGCCTGAATATTAAGAAAGTGAGGTATTTAAAACGTTGACATAATCGACGTTAAGTACCTCGTTGTGGCGTGTTGCACTAAAACGCCTCCCCCAAGATGTCTCGGCTTTTGGTAATGGAGACGATAGTGAGACTGAATCACCTAGATGATCGTGAGGATATGTACTATTATTGATAATAGTAATCGATTTCCGTCCCATTTACTTGCCGAAGAGAATCAAAAATAAAAACCGTTGACGAGAAACCGGATCGAACTAAATTCTAAGGTGAAGATCATATATGGTGTCTCATAAAAGTTGCAAAGATGCACCTCACGATATTTCTATGGTTGCTGCGCCTACCTCATGAATATGAAGGTTTCTGAAGCCACTGCAGCTGAAGAAATAATGAATGAGTGGTCGATCATATTACCATTGCTATTATGTAAACCGATAAAGGGTTTTTAGGGGATCAAGGGATATTTTGCCAACGATACCTTACCTTGGTACTCGTGTGTCTGATTTAAATAGGCAGAGTGTTTCTACTCTTGCCAAGTCCTAGACAACCTTCAAACTGACACGGATCTGCCAGCTAGTCCATTATCACGACAGAAACAGAGACAGATCTACTATAGGAGGATATAGTAGGTTACCTCCGTAATTCCATACCATTCCTGTTACTTCATTGACTCTTACAATTTCGGTCAAATCCGTTATTCATTGCTTATAACACTTTTCTTACCTAGGTATACATAAATGGGTAAGTGATATTGTTGTCCATCCTCACGTCTCCAGCTGGCTGCGTCGATATTGGGCGAGTGAATAATAAGTAGAGTGGTGTACTCTGTAGTATCTAGGACAGTATTCCAAGGTTAATATTCACTATCTAATTACCAATATTCAGAATCATACAATTTTGATGAGACATTCTCTAGGAATATCGCCGGCTTCTTTATCGTGAGGGTTCAAAGCTCGTTAGACTCGACGTAAAATAGGAGAAATAAATAATAATATTGATTGAGTAAATTAAGCTCTGCTAGTGCCGGCGGGCCGATAAAATGATGTCCGTGTCACGAAACGCATTGACCACCTTCATTGCCGATGTAAAGGTTGTACTTACCCGATTGATACAAGTACTGAAGTGTGAGTACCCACTTAAGAGGGGTTTATCTTATCGGGATGTTTTGTATTAACCTGTCGACTCATACTTTTTGAACGAGGGGCATAACATTAAATTATGTGACTCTTCATGCCTTATCTTTAATAATTCAATCAACAATATCCAATCTTCTACTCAACCCACTCATAACTAAAAACAGACTCGATATCATTGCTACTACCTAAGGGGAACCCGCGATCATGGCGGACCTAGTAGAAAGTACTGCTAAGCTCCAACTTGACGAAGAGACGGGAGAGATGGTATCCAAGGCCGAGTTGAAGAAGCGACAGAAAAAACGCGAAAAAGCCAAGGCGAAAGAGGCCGCAAGAAGCGAAGTGAAGAACGAAGAGAAATCCAAACCTGCCCCGAAACCGAAAGCGACGACCGATGAACCAGTAATTGATCCCAATAATATGTTTAAGACGGGCTTTCTAGATGAAGTATTCAAGATTCGACCTATGAAACCCGTCTTCACCCGTTTCCCCCCTGAGCCGAACGGTTTCCTTCATATAGGACACGCGAAAGCTATCGCAGTCAACTTCGGATTTGCTAGATACCACGGAGGCGAATGTTATCTTCGGTAGGCATATCGAATACGCGACACGATGCGACGACGCTAACCTCGACCGATAGCTACGATGATACAAATCCCGAAGCTGAAGAACAGGTATACTTCGATGCTATACTCGAGATGGTAGAGTGGCTTGGCTTTAAACCTTACAAGATCACCTATTCTTCCGATAACTTCCAAAAGCTATATGATCTCGCCGAAAAGTTGATAGGACTCGAGAAGGCATATGTTTGCCATTGTAGCGATACTGAAATCAAACTTCAACGAGGAGGCGAGAAAGGTACCGCCGGTCCACGATATCGATGCAAACATGCTGAACAATCGGCCGAGGAGAATCTCCAGGAATTCAGGGATATGAGAGATGGGAAATATAAACCTCAGGAAGCTTTCCTTAGGATGAAGCAAGGTTAGTCTACTGCTGTCTAGAGATCACGCGACCGCTTGAATATGCTGACTTCTTCTTAGAGTAAGTCGACTCTTAAGAGATAGTACTATCGTATACAACGATTGACAGAACCTAGCATCACGGATGGCAATCCACAAATGTGGGATCTCGCGGCTTACAGAGTCCTTGATGTGAGTATCGCCTTATTGATATTTATTGGTTTATTGGTTTAAGGGATTGTCAATATCATGGCCCTGTAGACCATCCCTTGTTACCTATCGCATCTACTAACTCTTGACTTTAGAAACCACATTATCGTACCGGCGACAAGTGGAAGATTTATCCAACGTACGATTTCACACACTGTCTTTGCGACTCATTTGAGGGCATCGTAAGTACCGATAGGTGTGGGAGCTCATCTGTTTCGGGTCGCTGATCCCTACCTTAGACGCATTCTCTATGCACAACAGAATTCGGTATGCAATCTGACTGCTATCCCCCTACCTTCGCATCATAGTATTAGCTGCGATTTTCCTATGTAATACCACCGCTGACCGTTTATGTAAAGTTCAAAGTCGAGTCAGCTACGAATGGCTAAACAATACACTCGGTGTTTACGAGCCGATGCAACGGTACGTTAACGCATGCCTGGGAGGAGGCCCTGATATAACGAACATATATCGAGCCAAACAATTAATACGTATGTTTAGGGAATATGGACGGTTATCGATCACTGGCACAATCCTTTCCAAGCGAAAAATCCTAAAACTTGTGGAAGAGAAGATTGTACGAGGATGGAATGACCCCCGCCTTTATACGTTGATCGGAATTAAGCGTAGAGGTGTTCCGCCCGGTGCTATCCTAGAATTCGTCAATGAGCTTGGTGTAACAACAGCCAATTCTGTGATTGAGATCAAACGATTCGACCAGGCTATCCGTAAATACCTAGAACGAACAGTCCCGCGATTAATGCTTATCCTGGACCCCATCCCTGTGGTCATTGAAGATGGCGAGGAACTTGACGGCCAAGCTCTCACACTTCCATTTAGTCCAAAGGATCCTAAGATGGGCTCACATGACGTAAAATTCACCAAGACCGTTTACATTGATCGTTCAGACTTTAGGGAAGAAGCAGATCCATCATTCTTCCGCTTGGCTCCTGGAAAGGTAAACGTCTATTATAATCAGCATGCATTATATTATTACTGACTTTCGGGTTAGACCGTTGGACTCCTTCAAGTTCCCTATCCCATCAAAGCAGTATCGTTCACCAAAGATGAGTCAACCGGTAAGGTAACCGAAATACGAGCTGTGTTTGATAAGGAAACGAAAAAGCCGAAGGCATACATCCAATGGGTGTCGACAGAGGCAGCTGGTACTCGAAAGGCGGAGGTTCGAATTTACAACTCATTATTCAAGTCCGACAATCCCAATGATGCTCCAGGAGGTTTCTTAAATGATGTCAATCCTGAGAGCGAGGTCATCTATCCAAACGCGTTAGTCGAATCTGGATTTGACGAGGTCAAGAGAAGAGCACCATGGCCAGAAGCTGCAGGTGAGAGTGAGCTTGGAAAAGGAGGACCCGAGAGTGTTCGTTTCCAAGCAATGCGAATCGCCTATTTCGCGCTAGACTCAGATTCCACAGATGATCACATCATTCTAAACAGAATAGTGGCACTAAAGGAAGATGCAGGAAAAAGTTGAGATGTTTAAGATTGAATTGGTTGAAGCCAGGAGGAATACTTCAGTTTCTAGTCCGAGCTGGAAAGATGTGAATATCGTTCGATAGCTTGCTATGTTCAATAGCTACTCGCTCCTAGATGCCAACATGGATCTAGATTTCGCTACCATATTTTGATAATAGGTAGATTGAAGGAAATTATAGAATATATTCCTCCGACAAATCACCAAAGCAGACACACTAATAGAAATTGCGAGATGTTAAGGTAAGGAATACGATATATTTTGTGTGATGCCAATTATCTAGGTACATTGAAGTGCTAAGTTGTCCGGCGTAAGGCGTTAAATCGCCTAATACTCAGGGGGGACTTCCCTTGGAATAGGATAGGTACAATGACGCTGTGCAGGTGCCTATAATTGACTAATAGTACGCCTATCAAGTCATTGTGGCAGTGCTGAAGAATGACGAACACGCCCATGACAAGCAATCCGCCACCTTCATTAACTCATCATTCATAAAAACTACAACCAACTTAATCGAATTGATCATCAAGTAAATATTCATTGCTATGCGTCCTATCATTCGATCCGAATGGTTATAATGGAGATACTACCGTCATATGAAGAAGCAATCACAGGTCCGGATTGGTTATCCTTGGTAGCTGCCTATATCCCAGTGATTGATTGGCTACGATGCTGTCTTGTGAATCGCCGGTTTTATCGTCAATTCGCGCCGCGTCTTTGGAAAGATCCTTTGGTAACAGTTAGACAGTTAGGGCTACATCCGAATGATGGTGAGTATTTAAATACTGAATAAGCCCTGAATCATCTCCTCTGTAACCTACACCAATCCTCTGTTATCCACCCGTTTGTCTAGGTACTGGATAGCTTCTACTAGCATATGATCTGCATACTAAATGGAAGACATAGATTTATCTTGGTACCGTCGCTTCATAAATAAACATATCAAAACCACAAGACTGGAAACGAGGTCTTACGTGCGTTCATTAGACTTCCGAAGTTTCGCGATACGTGCATCCGGGCTCTACTCTTCGGAAGCAAGTGAACGTGCAATATCGGAAAGCTTCAAGAACCTACCCCAAATATTTCCTGGCCTGATATGTTTGCTCGTGGACGGTCATCCGGAATTGAACCCGGAGTCTTTAGCTACGGCTTCCAATGCGACAGGATCCTTACAATTGCTTGATCTAGCTCGCTGTCGCCATGAACTTACATCGAAGCTCTTCAGTTCTCAATTATTTAGGGATCTAGCCTACTTAGATATATCGTTCATTCCCGGCTCGGTCAAGACTGCAATTCAATCATCTTTGAACCCCAACTCATTGCCGGAACTTCGAATATTGAAAGTTGCGGGTCGAGAGATGGATAATCTGACGGCCAGTCTGTTACTTCGGACTTTCGGCCATCAATTATGGAGTCTTGATCTTAGTTACAATAAACTAGGAGACGAGATTTTAGATGATATTGTAGAACACTCTGTTTCTCTTTTCACATTCCATACTGAGGCACATTTCGAAAAGGAGGGGAAATTGGCCTTACCGAAGAATGTTGGTAACCTGAAACATGGACTTTTCGAGTTCATCGAGGAGTCTGGGGATAGCTATCGCAATCATAACTTGGAGAAATATCTCGCAGACTCGCCATTCTACTCTCGAGAAGTGGATCGGCCCGAACTACAGGAATGGCAAGCTGTTCGTCCTGATGGACTTGCCCCTATGAGGCGCGACGATGCCAATACAGTTAAGAAGTCGCTCCTTGACGGTACGACCTATATTTCAAATTTCAGAGACCAGCCAAGGTTGGGGCATGGTGGTATCACACATCTATACTTGAACGGAAATCGGTTCACTGTCTCCGGCATCGAAAGATTGGTTAGAACATCTCGAGGACGACTTGAACATTTAGAGTGTGGTTCTTGTCTCTGCACCCCAACTCGTTTCCCGATAAACCTCGACTTAAAAGGTATAAGGATTGTCGGATTGCCTGGCTCTGCGCCCTTATTTCGAGCCGTAATATCATCCGCAATTCGGTCTCTTCGAGTTCATCATTCTCTTGTGACACAGGTCCCGTCCGTTTCCATAGATGGACTTCCTTCGGTATCTGCCAAACGATTTGCAGAGGGGACAATATTCAGGAATATCCGCCGTGTCTATCCATTAGCCTTGGGACCTGATACCAATCCACGGCTTACATCGTTAACATTGACGAATATCCCGGCTCGTTCGACAGGTCCAGTCATCGAACAACTCACCTCGTTCTTAGATCTTGCATCTGCGCAACAGAATGCTATCAGAGAAGCTAGAGTAATATCTAGTGGTCGTGGTTCCTCGGTTCTGAGTGGTCTTCGACGTATCCGGCTTGAGCTAGAACCCGAATTTTCGGAGGATGTCGATATCATCTCGACAAGCAGCGTCGTCGATTTCGACAAGCTTCTTGATCCTGCTGAAGATGGCTTTGGTCATGACACATCGAGTTTCTTCGATAACGACGATGGATCTTTCGGGATTACGTCAAGAGGTACTACCGCTAAAACTCAAACAACACATAATACTCCATCAGCTAATGTCGAAGAATATATACGATGGGCCTCGGGACGTTTGAAATCATATCCCTATTCAAATACAGATTCGGAATATATAACCCATTACGTCGATGCGGCTCAATCGTGGACTGGAAACGTCTACTCCATCCCGGTTTGGATTGGCCCAGGTACTATTGGACCACATGCTGCAGTTAATGAATATATGTGGAACGTACAAGATCCAAATCTTTGTGCTGACGTTGGTCCCGCAACGCCGAATCACGTCGCTGCTGGGGTACCATCTATGTCGTACATATTTTATGCAGCTTGGGAAGCTATGATACTTCCTAGGAAAAACGCGATCCGAGAAGCAGCGAAAAGCTCTACTAGATTCAAAGATGTAGCCGCGGCGATCAAAGAATATCGTCTTCGAACGAGGGGTACATCCAATCATTGGGATGGGAAGCTTGAGTTAGTACGGACGGGTTGATACCTTGCTATCAAGTGAATTGTTTATTTGAACGAGCGAAGGAGCGAGAGCCAAAGTATTCTTTTGGCGTTGATATTGTGGTAGAAGTTGGTAGACTATCGAAGCATCATGACTTGCAATTTCTTCTAGAGTCAACCTAATGTGGCCAATTTCACTACACGAACCTTGCGACGTAGTTTATGATGAGCAAGCTGTATTTTGCTATATGACTCAATGAGTCTGATCGGTATAACGTTTCCCCTTCACATCGCCACGACTGAGAGAGTGCGCAGTCCCTAACCGCTTATTTCCACGCGACATCATCTTTTGCGATAGTAAATAGTAATATCTGCGAGTCGAATTAAGTCATGCTAGGCGAAGTCACAAATATTACGAGCTCGAAAACTGAGTCCTTGGGATTCTCGATATGCTGACCGAAGTAAGAAGAATAAGGAATTGGAATTGGAGGAGTAATATTGGTTATCTCACGGCGATAAATCAAGCATCGCGCCGTGTAACCTCGCGCCAATAAACACCCTTAAAAGCAAGGCCTAACCCCGAAGATCCAAAGGTCATAGGGACAAATACGCAAGTGGCCTTGGCTTACTTATGTAATGCGGTTTAATGGTGATGGGATTGAGTCAGATAAAGTCCTTATGATCCGAGTCATTTCTTGTCTTGATCTTGACTATCGGGGCCGTATGCTTCGTGTCATAAATTTTTGTAGTTTCGCGTAAGAAATAAGTATATTATAAAAGCCGAGATATTTCGCGATGTATACAGAATTCAATGCTTTAAAAGATAAGAACAGATGAAAGAATGTATCTATTAAAAGTTTAAATGAGGGTGGGATGAGGATTTGGTCAGCCACATACGGTTAAATAGAATTCTAACATGTGGTTCTTTGATTTGTTCTTAGTGGTTGAAACGGTTGAAACTCTATCAAACCCCCCCTAAGCGGTGAGGCTTGTTACCATACTTTAGGTACCATATGTAAACTTCTATAAGTGGCTAGGCGGACTTACCGGCGAATCAATACCCGAAAAAGTTCTATTCTTGCCCCTAAGAAACCCTCTCTAAGCGCTTCAATTGGTCCATTCTACTTTTTTTTCTCTCCTAGCAATCCACTTTTTCCGCCATCTTCCGACCAAATTGTTAATCTTTTTTTTTTCCAGCTGGCGCCGAAACAAGAACAGCTTCTTCCTACCTACACTATCCCTTCCACATTTTCTAAAAAGCCTCAAGGCCGTACGGCATCGTAATTTGAGCCTCCTTTCGTGAACGACATACATTTTTTGTCGTCACTTTTTTATCATCTCCTCTCAATCCCATACATATTTTCTCTTTTTAATTCCACCTCCATCCTCCAATAGTCACAATGTCTGCACCCGCAGAAAAGGCCGATGCCCTTGCGCGACAAGCTGCTGCCAATGCTCCAGGCCAGCTTAGCGGTCTTGCTCTTTACTCCAGATTCGCCCTTGCCGGTGCTGTCTGCTGTTCCGTTACTCACGGTTCCCTTACTCCTGTTGATGTGTAGGTTTTCCAATTCCTCGTCATTCGTCTTTGCGCATTCAAACTGGATATGTGTTCTGTATGGATCGTTATCTGGGGTTGTGAAATTTGCGCTGGATATCGGACATCACCATATTTGAAAGATATTAACTAACCCATATTTTATAGCGTCAAAACAAGAATCCAACTCGACCCTGTCACCTACAACCGTGGTCTCATCGGTGGTTTCCGTCAAGTTATCGCCAAAGAAGGTGCCGGTGCTCTTCTCACCGGTGTCGGCCCCACATTTGCTGGATATTTCCTTCAGGGAGCTTTCAAGTTTGGTGGATATGAATTCTTCAAACAACAATCTATCAATATCTTAGGTATCGAAAATGCCTCGAACTACCGTACCGGTGTTTATCTCGTCTCGTCCGCTTTCGCCGAGTTTTTCGCCGACATTGCCCTATGCCCTCTCGAGGCTACTCGTATCCGTCTCGTTTCCGAGCCTACCTACGCTAGCGGTCTAGTGAGCGGTTTCAGCAAGATGCTATCGCAAGAAGGTGTTGGTGCTTTCTACGCTGGTTTCGGACCTATCCTGTTCAAGCAGTAAGTATCATTCATGCTCATTCGATTTTTAATTATAATCCAGAGTAATATTAACTGTATGTAGGGTTCCTTACACCATGGCCAAGTTCGTGGTCTACGAGAAGGTCGCCGAGGCCGTCTACCGAAAATACCCAAAGGACAAGATGTCCAACGGCCTACAAACCACCGTTAACTTGGGATCCGGTTTGATCGCTGGTTTCGCCGCTGCTATTGTTTCCCAACCCGCCGACACCATGTTGTCCAAGATCAACAAGACCAAGGGTCTCCCTGGTGAGGGTACTACCAGCCGTCTTATCAAGATCGCCAAGGAGCTTGGTTTCCGTGGTTCATACGCCGGTATTGGCGCCCGTCTCTTCATGGTTGGAACATTGACTGCTGGTCAGTTCGCGATCTACGGTAAGTTATTATATCTCTTCTACAATATCCATGTCTTTTCAATATTTCAAGGCGCTAACGTTAAAATAGGTGACATCAAGAAGGCTCTAGGAGCATCCGGTGGTGTAGAAATCAGCAAATAAAGGAATTTTCTTACCTAGGATGGACGAAGGATGTAATGATGAATATAATGGACGACACCCCCTTAGTACATGGTGTGTTCTCGGGGCGGCATCAGTCGTTTAGAATACGGCCTAGCAGCTTGACATGAGCTTCCTACAAAAGCTGCTTTTCCTTTTCCTTTTTGCATTTAGACAAGGCGGTACTGGACTGGAATTGCAGGCTTCTCTCAAATGTGACAAATAAGGAGGTTTTGGAGGGTTCTCCTTAAACTCCAGGATCTGAGATGCCATAAGATGCATAGAAAAATAGATGAAAAGCATCTAGAAGCAAAAGACAACACTTCCTGATGGAGGTTGTATAATAGACTAGTTCATATTCTTCAAGTCTTCATCCCGTATACCTAGGTATATCTGCGTGAAATTTGTGATGCATTAATCCATAGTATTATCACCCATTGATACATATAATCCTGTAAATGAATAAACCTCGACCCCTCTACGTCATTATGTACCTTGTAAATTACAATCCCAATGCCTCGGTTCCTTCGCTTATCTCCGCATCTATTCATGTCAACCTTGGTCCAACAAGAGTGTAAGGGGTCACCTATGGCCAGCTGGACAAATGCACTAACATCGGGAGGTGAAGAAGATGTAATTCTCACCATTCCAAAGTTCGATTTATTTGCTATTTGCTAGTTAAACCAACGAATCTCTACCATGTCCGACACCGCAAAACAAAGAATCCAAGCTCTGGGTAACCAGATTGCCTCATCGAGTTCGACCTCCTTTTTCGAAGGAATCCCCACGATCAAGAAGGTTGCTGGGAAATCCGCAGGTCCTCGTGTTCAAGGCAAGGTTGTTATCATCACAGGAGCAAATTCATTACTAGGGATTGGGCGTGCGAGCGCGCATCAGTTCGCTGAGAATGGCGCGAAAGCTGTATACATTTGCGATTTCGACGATACCCACCTAGCCACACATAAACGCGAAATCGAGTCCTTATATCCCGGTGTCGATGTGTACACGCAAGAATTCGATGCCGCTGACGAGTCCGCCGTTAAAGCTGTCGTCGATCATGCCCTTGAAACGTACGGCCGATTAGATGTATTCTTTGCCAACGCCGGCATCGTCGGACCCTACGCGCAATTCACAGACATAGGCAAGGACGAGTTTATGAAGGTCTTTGATACAAATGTAGCTAGTGTATTCTTGGCTGCGAAATACGCGGCACCTGCGATGCAACGAACATCGACCGAGAAACCTACACCGTCGGGTAGTATAGTGGCTACGGCATCGGTAGCCGGGTTACGGTCTAATGCGGGGACAACACCGTATGCCGCTTCTAAGGCAGCTGTTATATCGTTAGCACAATCGTTGGCGTATCAGTTGACTGGAACGGGAATACGCGTTAATGCGATATGCCCGGGTCTCATAGAGACGGGAATGACAGCGACGACATTTGCTGCGGCGCGAGCTCATGGTACGGAAAAGAAGATTGGACAATTGAACCCTCTTAGGAGAGGTGGCCTTGCTGATGAGATTGCGCGTGTGGCGTTATTCTTGGGCAGTGATGAGGCAAGCTATGTCAATGGACAGGCTTGGGCGGTTGATGGTGGACTTAGTGCTGGTCATCCTTTTGTGCCTGGAAAAATGGCTTGAGGATAGAATGGTTCCAAGGTCATAATACGTGTATTCGTAGCAGGTAGCCAGCGAACTATGGAATGTTTTATTCAAGCTTTACTACCTCGTAAAGTTAACCTTGCTGTTATGCCTTACTGCCCTGGCTACATCGAGAGGCTCATCAGCAACACACAGGATCACCTCCAAGTTTTAGACCCCTTCCCTATCTAGTACAGCTATTTGGTGACGGGATGAAAGACGGCGGAGTATATGATCCTAACGCAGCAAGTACGCGCAAGCAATACGGGGCAAGTACGCAGTTGCCTCCTAAGCGCCTTCCATTTAGAAAGAAAATTGCCGTATGTATCGAGCTATCATTGTATCACGTATCTAATTATTTCCAATGCTCCTACCCTTATAACTCCCACTAGGTATCTTGGGAGGCAGTTACGTAGCAAACGCGCTCAATCCGTCTCACAGCTTTTAAACTTCTCGTCTACATCAATTGATCAACCTCACTTTACTTCAATTTCAACACACCGAAATCCGACGAATGAGTCGATTCCCAGGTTACACCTTTCACGATGAAGCTTACCATCACCTTATCCGTTGTAATCTCTCTCGTAGCTACCTCTTTGGTGTCCGCGGCAATTGACACCCGTCGGGACAATATCACACCCATCAATTCCACCATTTCGTCCACTTCTAATGCTCACAACGACACTCTTACCAAGGACTTCCGTATCCTATGCGATCCTAACACCTTAGGTCTAGTCAACTCCGACCAGCGACCGAATATCTACTATCTTCGAGGTGAATGTGGTGGTATCTATAATGATATGGGTAGAAAGCGCTGCTCATTTCTCGACCTCGGCATGTAAGTTACACTCCATGGTATACATGGATACCTCGCATGACAGAGATGTGAAGGATTTAACTGAATGATGTTGATTGTAGGTGTTACATCAATGATGGAGGTAATATAAAACCTCAAAGACTTGGTGGCTTTCTCGACTCTTGCCACAGCTGTACACTCTACGCAAGCAGTGGCAGCAATATGTTAGCTTGTACTTGCGCCAAAGATCCACGTCTGGGTGGAGGAATACAAGAAGCCGCAATTCAGCTAGGTATTATCATTTGAAGACTCCAAAATGGTTCAGTGCTGAAACTAACTCGTTTTTGATGAGAGACAACCTTATATATGTCAAGAATGGCTTTCTAAGCTGTTATGGGTACACCAACTTCGAGTGTCCAAGAGTCGGTGTACCATTTTAAGCCCTCGATAGCCAACGCCACAGCGAAATGTACGAATAAACTAACGGCCTTTATCTAAAGCGGGCTTAAGGTATCGTGGCCATTATGAGTGGTTAGTATTTGAATTGCGGTTATGGGACGGATAGCTTCAAAATGCAAGATTTGTCCCAACGGATTCTAGCCGAGACATTCGCTATCTCGTACTGCTCATCTGAATCTAGCTGGAAATAAATTAAAAGCCCCATTCCCGCGGGATGCTTCAAAATGCACATTGGAGTCCACAGGAGGGCGCCGATCTCAAGCATTGATTCGTGATAATAATTACCTGTTTATGGTGCCATGTAGAACACCTCTGGCAGCAAACTCGAAATATGCATGCATCCCGATCGGATAAGGCCCATTCCTACGGATCGTTTGCCGCTATCCCGGAGCTTCCGTGATATGTTGATAAAACGACTTTCCTTCGGAGACCGTCGTCTTGTGTTCGGCGTCCATGGCTAACGTGTATAGAACGGCCCTCCGAACATCCGATAGGGCTGCACTCCTTACATTCTTTTCTTCGCCACCGAATACACAAACTAGTATCGGTACAGATACTGTTTGGGGAGGTTATTGATTCGGGGCAATTCGAGGCGAGTACAAGCTGAAGGGCCGAAATATCCCATGGTACTTAAGTTAGTGCAGGGGACGTCTTGAAGATCCGTTGCTCCGATCGTCACTATTCCCGGTCTCGCGGCTTGTGCTATCCCGACTTTGGCACAGTCCGTTTCTTTGCTTTCTGGACAAGAAAACCTCATTATGAGACACAGTATGCCATGCAAGTCATGGCATAGCTTTGCATGTCTCGGGAGCACGTAGATATTCAACCCTGCGAAGCAGAACGGAACATACCAGGCGTCGCGACCGGGAATACAAAGATCAATATAAATTGATGAATAAGCGGCTTCGTGTCGTCGTATCGTTTAATCGCATATCCTAGGGCTCTTGTGTTGGTTTAGAATTTGCTTTTTTTTATCAATTCATGACACATTTCATTTAGATATCATTGCTATGATATCCTTAAGGTGCAACATTTCTTCTGGGCGTTCACTCCCAAGAGTGTCTCTCCTAGTTATCGCGACACTCAACATCATGTTGGATCATACCTCACTTAGCCGAATTACACAAGTGGACGGGTAGCGTCCGTCAAGGGCGAGAAAAGTTACGAAAGACCTTGCTTACTAAAGTATCTGACAATACTGAACTACAGTCGGATATTGAAGCAAACTCAAGGTGCAAGACATGAGTCCTTTTCACGCCACCATTCAATCATCAATCTGCACCTGGATATGTAGGTAGGTATCACATCACTACCACGTGAGATCTCATTTCCATGAGGCGTCACCTTCCCCACTGGACCCGAACAATGCAGGTCAAAGCTAGATGATATCGTCCTTGATGCATCCCTTCCTCCGCATCTTTAGCGGGGATTCATCAGTTTCATCGGGTCTCTCTCCACCTTCAGCACCCCTTAACATAGCTTCAATGTGGACCAAGCTTCCATCTCCCTTCGTGATCGACGGGATCATTCTGTGGGGTCACCATGCTAGTCGGGACGGCCGACTTACGTGCATATATGCATAGGTGTAGTTTTCCCCCGAAGGCACGACGTACGACGTATGAAGCATGAAGCCTCAATCACCAAGCACCATCGGATTGGTGGAACCCTTTACGGGTATCAAGTTTGTTCTTTTCTGTATATACCCTCACAGATGTTCCCTTTGACCCAACTAATTCTTACAGACCAATCCTGAATACCGAGCATGTCACGGAATTGCTCTAAAGCTAAACAAAGTAAACGATATGATCTCGGGAGGCGAGAGGCGGATGTTACATTTCTTTCGGATCCATGTTAACATCTCCTATCAAAAATCTCGGTCATAATAGTCGCAAGTGTCGTTAGCCTCGCTGCAAAGGATCATTTTCGTCGATCGTTCAAAAAAATGAAATCGAAGTTTCAGGGATAAATAGGTGGATTGGGTTGTACGGCGTGAGACACGGCAGGATTATGAACCAATAAGAAATTGGCGACTACATAAAGGATCGGCTCAGGCCGTTACTATGACGAATACTTTTCCATTATACCTTCAACTCAATTAAGCCCGAGATATGGTGGTGTTACATACTTAGGTAGGGTACTATACCACGAAGAGACTCGGGCCTCGGGCTAATTGCGGCCTCTCCACACTCCGCAAAGCCTCTAGGAAGTGAAAGCTTCACCCCACATCTAAACTCAAACCCCAGGTTTCCAAGGTTTCTTAGCCTCCTTAGCTGCTTAGCTTGGTTGGATTAGGAATGCGAGTGGAATGCGACATGAGGGAAGGAGGGATGATACATACATATGTATGTATGTAAGTTCTAACAAGTAGAGCAGGTACAATCAAATGTAATGTACGGACAGCTACATATATACTTAAGCTACCCGACATGTACTTAAGGTTATGTGGCACAGTCATTCAGCCGTGACCACCAACTCGCGTACCTACCCAGATCAATGATTGATGAAAAAGAAAGTTGAAAAAAAAAAAAAGGGAAACCTGGACCAAGCAATCGAACCCATTAATTTCCTAAATTAATAAATACCAGGGTTGTATCCTTCCTTCACTTTCGTTTACATATAAACTCAAGGTTCTCGGCTCTAGTCACACCATTTATTTCAAAGTAAGGAATACTACATATGTATCTCTCCCTTTCCTACAGTGACACCGGAACTAAATAAAACCTTGAACCCTTCTTCACCTTAGGTAATTGGCAAGATGGGTTTTAAGGAGTTCCTAAAGAGGCGGTCACTTAGGGCCAAAGATGACAAGCGCACTCGAGCAGCCGAACTTACTCTTAGAGAATCCTTATATCCTATTTGTCTCGTCACGGTTCTCTTTTTCCTCTGGGGATTTAGTTATGGTACGTAACATCAAACACCAACATCCTAGGCTTTGGTTGTATACGACAGCGACCGACTAACTTCGCCAAGGCTTGCTCGACACGTTAAACAAGCACTTTCAAAACACGCTTAATATCACTAAATCACGATCCTCTGGTCTTCAAGCCGCATACTTCGGGTACGTTTGCTTCATTTACGCCTAGTGGTACGTGTGTATCCTGTTGCTAATTACCTTTGTGTAGGGCATATCCTCTTGCTTCCCTCGGTCATGCCAATTGGATCTTACGCCATTATGGTTATCGAGCCACTTTCATATGGGGTCTTTGTCTTTATGGTATGTAGCTCTTTGCTCTAAATTAGTTGAGTATAGAATCGAAGCGATTAACTAGGGATATCATAGGTATCGGTGCGCTAATTGCTTGGCCATGCATTCTTGCGAAATCGTTCGCTGGATTTTGTATGGCCATCTTTGTCATTGGTAATGGCCTGGGCTCTCTGGAAACAGCAGCTAACCCGTACATCACCGGTAAGTCGTCAACGTTGAATGACACTTGGACATTGGACCGCTTCTAACAAAGAAAACAAGTTTGTGGTCCACCTCGATATGCAGAAATCCGTATCAACATTTCTCAAGCCTTCAATGGTATAGGCACCGTTGTAGCGCCTGTATTGGGTTCCTACGTTTTCTTCGCATTCGACGACGCGACAGCCCTTCGTAACGTACAATGGGTTTACCTAGCGATTGCGATCTTCGTTTTTATACTCGCATTCGTCTTCTTCCTTTCCGTTATTCCCGAAATTACCGATGCCGATATGGCCTTCCAGGCGACTGAGACGCACGCTAATGCCGACGACAAGCCGTTCTGGAAACAATATCGCCTCTTCCATGCTGCTTTCGCCCAATTTTGTTATACCGGTGCTCAAATTGCGATCGCTAGTTATTTCATCAACTATGTTCGCGACACACAATCCAAGGCCGACGATTCTACTGCTTCGCGTCTTCTCGCCGGCGCTCAGGGCGGTTTCGCTTTAGGTCGTTTTATCGGTTCGTTCGTTATGAAATACGTACGTCCTCGTAAAGTGTTCTTGGTATTCTTAACGTGTTGTATCATCTTCATCGCACCATCCATCACACAACGTGGCTGGACGGGTATGTCGATGTTATACGTGACACTTTTCTTCGAATCCATTTGTTTCCCGACTATTGTCGCACTCGGTATGCGCGGACTTGGCCGTCACACGAAGAGAGGCTCTGGTTGGATTGTAGCAGGTGTTATGGGTGGCGCTTGTGTTCCCCCATTGACGGGTGTTGCCGCCGATGCCCACCAAACCGCTTTGGCCATGGTCGTACCATTGTGCTTTTTCGTCGCGGCCCTCTCTTATGCCGGTGCTGTCAACTTTATACCCGCCTATCGCGATCCTGCCGATGCGTTTTCGACTACCGAAGTGGGACTTAGGGGTCACCACACGGGTGTCGACGAAGAAGGCGGTGAAGTCGGCGTGGTTAGTGCAATTGGCGACGAGAAAGCCGCCCAAGCTGAGGTTGAATCGAAGTAAATTGTTTGTTATCTAGTCGAGATGTTTAATGGATGTCATATACCCCTAAGAGCTATTGTGTATGGAATTGAGGAAGGATTAGTTACAATCACCGTTTTGCTCTTTACGAGATTTCGCTAGATACGTGAACCTTCTACATCGGATCTACGAGTTATCATTTCATACATGCATTCGAATTCAGTACTCAAGTATTGACCTGATAAAACAAAGCCCAGCTTGAATGAGCGTAGGTATCAACAAGAAACCCCTATATACGCCTTGCTATGACCGCCTCCTGAAGTATGTAACCCAAATCATTTTCTCCCGCTGTTGATTTAGCCAATACAACTCTGCGAAAGCGTCTTGAAGCCAGAAATGAAATCGCCACAGAATGTGCCCTTCACTGTGTTACCCTTCCGAGAACCAATATACATCAATTGTTTATCCCCTGACTACTCTGGCGCCGAACTAATAGATGAACTCTTCGTATGCAACCTCGCAGCAGTTTGTCCAGTATGATCCGAAGCTCCGTAATATCCGTGCAATTCATCGAACTCGTGTAATGGACCTAAGGGCATAGTGCTCGCACCGTTATCCCCTTGAACCCCGCGTGTCGTGTTATTACTAGATGGGTCGCTCGTCCGTCGAATATGACCTTTGGGGGCTCTGGTGGTGCTATTAGATCGCCGTCTCGCATCCTCATCGGCATCTGGAGTGCCAAGTTCTGATACGCCATGGGCGCTGCCGATGCTGCCGTCAAGTTCGCTCACATTGCTCCATTGCCGGGTGTGGGTATGGGGGTATGATCCTTGAGAATCGACGCTGGGTCGTTGCGCGAAGGGTACATTATCATGGCGAGGACCATAAGAGTCCATGCTTGATTGACGGCCGTCTGATGCATCAGAGCCCGGTAATTGGGCGATGCTGGTAGGTCCTCCTTGTGGTGTTGACGAGGCATTGGTACCGTACATGTTTGGCGTTTCGGAACGAGAACGTCCTCCGACAGTAGGAGAGTCGGAGCGCGTCCGGTAATGCATATGACGAGCTCGCAAGACAGATTCTGCATCCATTCCGTCAACTTCCGATACTGAGGGTTGTCCGAAACCTGATTTTTGCGAACGCGGTTGGCCGCTGGACGATTCTTTTCTAGATTGAGCGATGGCTTGAGCAGCTTTTTCAGCTCGCTTGAGTCGCCAGATTATTACCACAGCGACGATAATTATAATAACAAGTATAGCGACTGCACCTCCAATTATACCGCCAAGCTGTGACTGGCTGAGATTGCCATCACCGCCGCCGCCACCGCCGCTATTGGTACTACCGCTATTACTGCTATCAGTACCAACAGCAGGTAGCTTAGAAACTGTACTAGGAATCAATTTCGCTACACCCTGGGTGGCAGCAGATGAATCGGATGCATCAGGTCCAGGTGTTATGACCGTCGTACTCGTAACTATCGTCGTGATCGTATCTCCCTTTGAATTGGTAGTCGTTACTGTACCGCTAACTTGAAACGTTTCCGGGTTGGTTGAGTAACAAGTTGAGATTCCGCACGCCATGCCATTCGGACAACAACCATAAGGACTAGCTGTACAAGCGAAATATGATGGTGAACACGATGTCGCTTTTGATGCACCGGCCGGTGCTTCGCATCTTTCTCTGCCACAGATGAAGCCTACCGGACAACAATTTCCTACAAGATAAGGTCAACACACATGCATCCATTGAGGTTTAAGTGCAGTTGAGACTTGGTATCAACTTACCTGGACCAGCAGTTAATGGACAATCATAATATCCTTCTGTCCCACATCCCGATGTTGGTCCTGCTGTCGTAGCATAACAAGATGACTCGGCGCAAGAATAACCTGTCGGACAACATCCTCCGTTGGCAGAAGCCGGACAAAGTGACCACCCTGTTTGTTGACAAGAAGCATCTCGTTTCGGGTGGCGAATAAAATCATTCTTATCTATTTGATGGACCTGGTACTCGTCGGTTTGGATCGCTATCGTCCTGGGAACCAAGATTGCCAATACCATAAACCCAACACAACTCGAACAACTCCAAACCCTCCCCATGGTGGCTACCTAGGTATTTTCCGATTTGATGTTCTGGGGCGTTTGAAATCCAGAATATCGGGTATTCTGGTGCGCGAGAGAAACTGCCTATTCGAGAATATCGACACCCGTGCCCTCGTATCGTTGCACCCTCAAAACGTTACCATATAGATACCTAAGTAGGTACCTTGGTAGGTAAGTAATTACGCCTTTTTTCTTACTTCTCAACTGATGCGACGAAATTAACTGTCCTTACTAATAACTTGAGATCTTAATGAAATCACTAAGAATCGCAACTATAATTGAAGATTAATAAGACAAGCATAAGAAGAGAAAAATTGAGGCTGCAGGTACTGCGACAACGCTGGTAGAAAAAGAACCGATGACGGTAAGCACTACTCAGACGATGTATTACAACTTCACACCTCAAAAACGATATTTCCCCAAGGCTGAGATCGAGATGGTCCCATCACATTGCGGTCACAAACACGCAAAGCGCAAGAAACCAACAAGAGGATGGATCGACACGATAGATCTTTGGGACGAACAGGGATTAAGAAGTATGGACATATCAAGATGGGATTGTTTTGAGGAGATCAATACATTTTCACTTGTTTCTTGGGTGCTGACTCGCACCAAAGGACGACCAAAAGACGGGAGGGGTTATCCAATAGTTGATGAACCTCAGCAGCCACGGATAACGTAGAGCGGGCTTTCGAGTTGGGTGGCGCCATTCAGCTTTTACGAGTGTGTATCGTAGGTGTAACGTCAGCTGTTCTAAGCTGCATTGGTTGGACCCAAGAAGAACATATCCCGGGCTGCAAGAATTCAAAGGGTCAGCTTGGGTGAAATATGATTGGGTTAAGCATCCAACCCGAAGAAGAAAAGAGAGAGGGATGCCCGCTCTTTTCTGTTGGTACCACCCTTCTATTTTCTAAGGATTTCATACGTTGCAAGCGTCTATCCGTACTACCCAATACTATAGATAATCAACTCTCACCGACATCACTCACGTACTACCGGCCTAGATATATAGTCTTGGATAGGTTGAAGAGGACAGCCTACCTCATACCCGCATGTGCGTATGTACGATTTGATTCATGTGCGGGGGCCGATGAACTACAACGCGGATAGAACCATTCCGATTCATTGATGCCTTCTTACTAGCGTTTATGGTGAAGACATGCATGTGTAGTCTTAGATAGGGTCTTAGATGCCGACCGTGACTCGAAAGTGTGTAGACCCGTCCGTCCTAATGTAGGGCTGAGTTGTCGGCAAGGGGAGCCTTCTGAAAGTCGGGAAAACACCAACAGCCAACCGTCTTGCCTGCCTAGGTACCTAGCAAACCAACCAACCAATATCTTAGCTTCGTATTCAGGTACAAATTTAGTGAGTGAAGGAACGTAGGCATCAAGAATAGACAGCACATGATTGAATAGATATTTAGGCCTATTGCCACTAATCGACCCAGCTCATCTTTTAGTTAATCGAACCCGACAGTTAGGGACCAAGCCAGCCATTAGCCTACCAGAGCCATTTATACCCAATTAGGAAGTTGATTTCACATCCTTACGTTTGATGCGGGACTGGTGTCCGAGGATTTTCATGCTAAACAAATGCAAAAATCGAGACATTTAATAGGAGTCTTCTTTTTACTAATACCTAGGTACTTCAGGTAGGCATTAACAGTCAGGCTGGCTGAAGATAGACAATGCGACGGCATATTCCGATCAAGTCGACGAGGGGCCTTGAACCAACTAAACTTGTCGATCTTGTGATGACAATAGTAGCTGGGTCTACAACTAGCCAGCTGCTAAAATGGGCAAATGTTACCCAACCAGCCAAAAGTCCATACGAGCCTACCTGAACTAGGACTAATGGTGATTATACCTATGAGCAGTATGAGGAGAAATTCAATTCCAGTTGGGCTTCAATTCTAACTAATAGCATGTTGCGACTTTCAAAAACCTCCACGAATCACGGTACTTGTTAAGATAGGTAGCGTCTCTTGAAGCTTAGTGAAGCTTAAGAACCTTGGAGGCTTGAGAAGACCAACAATGAATAATCCTACCAACCTCATCGATTCTTTCTATCTAGACTATTATTAATCGTCTCGACAGGAAAGGATACTATTTATAATCTATCTTGTGATCTTAGATATCATATATTGCTCTGTAAAGTAACACCCACCTATAACAAGACCAAAATTACGGAGATATATGTCGGTATGACAAGGGCGTTTATTTAATTCTGGATAATAAGTGAGGCTCAATACCTACCTCCGCTGATTTTAGGCTTGACCTTGATTTTCTAATCTCTTTTCTTCCTAGTTAGGAAGATTATGTAACTGACAAGTCCGTAAATTCATCTCCAACCAGCATGAAGCGAAGGATTATTTTAATATGTACCTACAGTAACCGCCGACGCCCGTTGTCCCCTAGCGTTGTAACCCCGCAACTTGATTTAGTTGATCGTCACTTTTTCTCCACATTCAAGTTGGTGGTTCGTAAGGAGTTCCCAACTTGGCTTGCTTGGATCTTGTATCGATTATTGGTACTGCAATCATCTTAGGGCTTTCTAGTAGTTCTAGACTTGAAGGTTTCATTTCTGAAGTTCGTAGGAACGTCAATAATTAGATGTATTCGTTTTTGTTACCCTCGGAACCTATCTCCGGCCATCGTCCTTCTTGACTAGGTTGGGGGGTCCGTTACCTTGGCTGCTAGGCTATGACCTACATTTTTTTTCTCCACACCGTCACGATGATGGCCGAAAGCTGAGACTACCTAGGTTGATTATTTGTACTATTCTACTCTGTTCTTTTGATTCTTCACCCCTTTTCTTTGGGTTGTTAGGAGTCTAATTAATATCTCAATATTCTTCATCGCTATCATACTATTCCTCCTCCACTGCCCTCCTAATTGTCTAGTATTTCTATACCTTCCTATTGAAATTCTAGACGAAATAGAGACGCCTTGGTCATCTTGATCTAAGCAGTGACCTCTAATTTGAGGGGTAACAAATCTACGCGGAAGTATATCATAACGACCAAAAAGATCGATATGTAACCCTGAAGAAATGTTGGTATTTTTCGTTCTTGGTTAGCAAAATGTTGCTATATACCAAATTCGCGCCTCCAAAGGTGCCTAAGAGAAGATCTCGAGCAGGTTAGTACGGGTGTCGCCGCTCTTTTCCGTGTACTAAATTCCTCTCTTTTCTTGAATATGTAGCTGATATGTAAGTTTGAATTGATATAGGCTGCACTTTTTGGTATGTTAAGTCCAACTCATAGATTACAGGCGATTTGGTGACGAAGACATTGAATCTCTAATACGACCTCAGCAAAGAAAAGGTGCGATATACCTCGTATTGAACTAGTATCTCGTAATTGCGATTTGAGAAGTCCGTGCTGACCCCACCCTACTTTGAACAGAAGAAGAAATGCGACGAGAAACGACCACGATGTGCGCGATGCGCCGAAAAAGACCTCGAATGCACATATGAAGCAGTAAAACCACGTCAGAGGAGAAGAAGAGATGGGTTACAATCTGGATACGTCCAAAATCATGGGGAAGATCCAATGATAGATCGTGATCAATGGCGAGAAGATACGGTGGACGATATTTCCGAATCTGACTGCTTCAGCCCGATAGACTCCAAGTTTAATGGCATGTCGCCTATTACCTTCTCGACCGAGAGCGATAATGCGATTTCTCCTCTCGATTCAGTCTCGACCGTTTACGAATATAGTGTTGCAGACAATAGGAACCAAATAAGGGACTTGGTACGAAAGAATTCGAATTCGAGTATCAGTGTGGTATCCCAGGCGCGATCTTTACAACCAGATCTTGCGATGATTGCGCCGTGTCCAGTCGGTTCTCCAACACTTGAATTCGTCTTACCGGTGTTCTCCGAATTTTCGGATCGTCCCAATCGGCGAGCTTTAGTCGATCATTTCTGCAATGTACTATCACATTTAATTGTTTTTCGGGAAGAATCCGGCAATCCATTTCAGCAATTGGTGTTACCACTATCTCATAAGAGCTCACCGATCATGAACGCTATATACGCATTAGCAAGTGCACACCTAGAATATCGAGGCATTGAGACACCAGAGAGGTCTCTTTATTTCCACAACAAGGCCATACAAGGACTGGCCAGGTTAATCGAGCAAGAGGGGAGAGTGGACAGGATAGAACTTTTAGCAGCTATCATGCTGTTGGTGTATTATGAAGTAGTGAGTGTTGGTAATGATATAATATGTTTGTGGACCTTTTACTAATATACTTCGCAGCTTGTTCAACGTGGACGAACAAGTATAGTGGATGGTCACCTTAAGGGGGCTCTGACTATAATGTCGTCATCTCAAGAAGAGTCTACTCCAGCCAGTCTCTTCTTAGAACGTGTACGCTACAGCTCATGTGGATACTATAAGCTGCGGGTCTTGCTGACAGAACATAGGCATTTCGATTTTACGATGTCATCACTGCATTGTCCTTAGGATCGGCTCCCCTATCAACAGCTCCGGCCGCCGGATGTCTTGTCCCATTCCCTCCATTGGACGCCCCTGCGTCGTCCCCTCTTAGCAATGTAGATACGTTGCTTGGAATGGCTACTACTTTATGGCCTATCATGCATCGATTATCGAATCTTCTCTCCCTTAAAAATGATATCGAAAGAGCCGCTCGAGAGAATCAAACGTCAAAAAGCGCCGTCCTTCGGATGGAATTCGAGACTACTTCACAAGCTATTGAGACTACACTCGAACAATGGGAGCCATGCCTTCCACCGAATGTTGTAGTTCAGGAGGAGGATGTTCTAAGAAGCTCCAACGGAGAAGATATACCCGAACAGCAGTGGCTCCAGTCTGTTCTGCATAACGCCCTAGCATATCGTCATAGTGCTTTCGTCTATCTATATCGCACAATCTACGGGTACCCAGTACGTCGCGAAGTGGTACAAAAACATGCTCATGCGGCACTTGTTCATTGTGTCAAAACGGTCACGCATAGAGGACCTATGGGAGCATTGTTATGGCCTCTGTTTGTAGCCGCATGTGAGGCCGTAAGCGCGGAAGATCGGACACTCGCTCAAGAAGCATTTATCGGAATTGATCAGCGTCAAGGAATGACCAACATTGGACAAGCTTGGAAGATCATCCAAGAAGTTTGGAAAAGGTTAGATGATGCGAGCGACGATTCTCCGGAGGTTCGAGAAACGGATCTGTGGAGAAAGATTAGTACCGAAATGGGCGTCAATATTGTCTTTGGTTGAAAGCCGATTAAGCCAAGTCAAGATTGAATCTCGGTAGTACTGCAAGGTATTCAATTCATCCTCGTTGATATGATGGATTACTAGCCGCAGGATTCTATCGTATTGTCGGTGGCGATTTATTATTCTATGCTATCACATCGGTAGCATTAGTTCGTGAAGTGAAAATCCCGCCTTACGCGTGGATACTACTGGGGAAATGGTTGGGAAACAAATGATACCCTCCGTTTGTGTACGAAGGGACCCTCACGGCGGCAGGCGATGAGGTCCCGCAACGCATAGGATAAGCCCGTTTGGTTGTTAAAACGTGGTTGGATGCAGGTAATTCCACGGGGTTGTGTAACCAACTAGCCCTGATCGGAGGTGTGAGAGATGATACTCTGACATCTCAATGCCTCCAAGATGATACGAATATATAACGCCGACTTTTTGGAAAGAAGAAAAAACGCGAAAACGATACTCCAGGGGGGTCGCTATAAACAATTTGGCGACGGTCTACGAATTTTTAGGCTATTTATTTTCTGTACGGACTTCCCCCGTTTAAGAAAACATATCCGAGCGTTCAAACGCTATGCCGTCGGTTTGCGCGAAACAATATGCTGGTAGGATTATTATTATTATTATTACCATTATTCATACTACGGGAAGAGGGGGAATAAGAAAGGAGGTGAGGTTCCATCTCATGATAACCCCCTATTCGGATACTAGTTTCCTGCAATATGTCTGTCTGCATTCTTCGCATATTCTTGGGATTTGCGTGGCCCAATACATGTTTGCGAGCTCTTTTTTTACTGTGGCGCCACCATATCCCAGTGGTTGGCCAATCCATTCGACCCATGACAATTCCTGACATCAAGGGAGATGATTGATTTGTAAATGGGAAATTCCGAATTGCGCACAAAAATGCCATGCCAGTTTTAGGTAGCAGTGGTAGCATCCTTCAGGCTTCTACCGATCTGCCGTGTGATGGATTGGGAGGCTTATGCATTAGAAAAAATCAATCGGAGGGGAGGTCAGCGAACCTGTCAGTACATATGTATGTATGGTCGGCGGTAGATAATGTTACTACTTGGTATAACCAGACGGCAAAGAAAACGCTATAATATTCCTCAGATAGAATACGGAATTCTACCCGGGTATCTTTGATGTTACCCAACCAAGCTAACTACCTGGGTAGATAACTACAGAGCTACGTACTCGGATAGTTACCTGAGTATATCGCTAGGGGGTTTGCTGAAAACTATTGGAAGAAGCAATAGAAGATGTGTGCATAGACTTAATATTATTATAAGGTATTGGATGTGATTACTTAAGTAGGTAGCGAAGGTCTGATTCCATCTATTTAGGACATAGCTTAGTAGGTATATATTAAGTACCTTGGTACGGAATACATACTCTGTCTTATCTTATATACCCAGGAATATAAAAGGATTTTATTCTTTTATTTGATGGTGCTGGTAAGACGAAAAAACGTCGCCAATTTTTTCTACTTGGCATAGTAATACATCGTACGTACATACATATTCTTTAGGGTGGCGTATTTTCATGTTGGCTGCATCTTGGTATCCGATGAACGGCCCTCTCATCTGAAGATTTTGGAGGGGCGGCTTTTTTTTTTTTCTTCTTTCTCCTTCACTCACTCCATCCCTCCTTTCATCGACAACATACAACCCTGGATCAATCATACATTGAAATCTCCCCAGTCTGGGGAAGTACATACCTAAATAGATTTTTACGTAGCTTTTCGTGTTGTAGTTGTGCAATAAGATGAATGTTCTCCATAACTAATACAACAAGGGGAGGTCGTGCCGTTCCGTCTAGTAACCCTTTTCTCAACCCCCCTTTTTTCCTCATCACGGACCACGTTGTATCTGTCAAACCCCGCGGTCCCGCAAAGTGTTGAAAGTCGATCACCACCACCATTATCACGCTTCGCTTCCCATCCTACCATCTAAATTACCCTCGAGCTTTCTTCCCCCCCAACCTACCTAGGTATCGATACTAGGGACGTACGTAACCTTGGATATTTTCCGCATTTCCATCGTATTGGCTCGAATCTAACCCTGAAAGTCTCGGCGTTCTTATTATTAGCGATACCCAAGTGCTCGATACTATCTTATAGGTACCTACATTAGGTACTTGTTAGATTGACTTACAACACGCGACTCCCTGTCACCTCACCTTACCTTACCGTATCATTATTAACCCAGTCCTGTCTAGTCCATCTATACCTACATGCTAGCTTCAGAATTAGTCTAGCTTTCTACCTTCTTTTTGACCTTCTAAAGCAACACACCGTTCGCAATTTACGCAATTTACTTGATTATTCCCGGCAGACCCGACCAACATATCACATTATTCGCCCCTCTTTTTAGCTGTAGTACATCATCGTACTGAAACTTATAATTGGTTTTATTATGCTCGGGAAAGCAATGACTTCATCAAGAAGCTTGCTACCGTGAGTTGTACATATACACTTATCCGTTTAGAAGAAATGCGTCTCGAGTTGGCAATTCGAAGCCCCTCGCTCCACATTCACATCCACATCCACAGCCTAGACCGCGAAGTGATATCGATTTCATCTTAGCTATTACGCGCACGTCCATCCTTGTCGCATTTAGCTGTGAGGCACAACGGCGTCAACTGACTAAGAAAAGGAAAACCCGACAATCACCACCACCACTAAACACCACTAAACCCGATTACGTTTGGTTTCGTCCCTCTATTCTACGTTTAACAGGACCGGTCCGTCGTGATCTATTTTCCATCCGACCCAAAACCTGCAGCGAAAGGGTTTCCTACATACGTTTTTTTATCCTACACTACATCACGCTAGTTTTCCCTAACTTAGGGGACCACCTAAGTTAGCGAACTTCGTTTGGTCTCTTCCTTTCGCTACCTCGCTACGTCGTACGTACGGCGACTGCCCGCCACCTAGAATGGTCTATTGAAAGGCGAAGGGAAAAATATACCCCACCGTTGCCTGTATGTGTGCGCGTGTGTAAGACAGGAGACAATCATCCACAAAAAATCATAAGAGCCAAAAGTTCAAGTTCGAATGGGGACGTAGAAACGAACCGTTGGTCCAAAAGTCCAGCCTTTGAGTTGTTCTGCGATAATAGATTGTTTTTCTAAAACTCTCTAGCAAGACGCTCATACCGAGGTATCAAGGTCAAGGGCTTTGTTGTCGTTATTGTTATTTATTGCTACTATTATTGTTCTTGTTACTTGTTATTCCTATTGCCGTCATCGTCGTCATTGCTATCAATCAACTCTTCGCCAAGCAAATATGGTAACTCTCATCAACAGCAATGGGCCCGATCCGCTACCAACGCCCAAACAGATACGTTTCGTCAATAATCAAGGTCAACCACCTACTAAGAGAAGAAGGATAAACGCTGCGTAAGTATCGTTAAATTCCTTTGTTTGATGTGAAGGACCTGGGGGTCTGAAAAAAAAAAAAAAAAAAAAAAAAGTGATTACACCTGGGGTAATTGACGACTCTTTTCCTTTCCTTCTCCTTGCGTCTTTTTTGTCGCAATCCTCATAGGAATCCCACAGACCCACCAGTTCAATCTCAATTTTACAAATGACGACATCGCGAATTTCTTAGCTGACACAAGTCTCTCTTCTTGCTAGATGTCTTACTTGCCGTCGACGAAAAACGAGGTGTGCGGGCGAACATCCTACATGTTCTACGTGTACAAAGAACGGACACGTATGTTTAGGTTATTCCGATGGCCTCGAGAAGAGCAGCAAGAAAGAACCCGGTCGAGCGATAGACGGTACTCAATTCGACCCCGACGAGGACGAATACGTAGACGATGAACTCGATGTCGATCGCAAACAATGGAAGAACAACAATAAAAATGGGATTAAGCAATTCGAACCCTCCGACGACTCCCCCAAATCCTCTCGTCTCATGTCCGAATCTACTCAAGATGCCGCGAAGTCGGATGATATACAATTGAAGTCGGAAAGTGTAGACTGGGAAGAACCTAGTTCACAACCGACTCCGCGACCCGAGCCCTTGCGTCGACCGCCGAATCCTCGAAATCCCTCATTCTCGACCGAAGGTGGGCATAGTGAGACCGCTCACTCCCCCGTACAATATCATAATGAGAGCCATCGGGTTCCGTATTTTCGATACTTTGGCCCTACTGCTATAGTACCGGGTTTCAAACAGATGGTAGTAAAGGTTCGAGATCGAAGGCGAAGTTCTATATCAGCGACATCGCCCAGCGGCGCCAGTTCTGTGTTCTCCGGCCTTATGAATGGCATACAACCAGATGTCGAGATCGGCCCATTAGAAGATATGCCCGTATACGACCCTAACGATGCGAATGATGTGCCCCCTTTAATCCTTCACCTTGTCGATACGTTTTTCCTACACCTTGGAAGTAATTATCCTTTCTTGCGACGCGATAAGTTCCCTAAACTAGTTCAAGAAAAGCGAGTAGAACCGATATTGGTGGATGCCGTGTGCGCTTTAGCAGCTCGATTCTCTGAACATGCTCTATTTCGAAAATGGAACGACGGTAAACTAGCGAAATCAGAATATGGCTATATCTATGCTCAACGAGCCAAGGCGGCAACTGTCGATACCTTCCCATGCCCATCCGTCGCTGCTGTCCAGGCCTGTCTATTAATGGCCTATGATGGTTTCGGTGCCGATCAGGATAGCGCTTTATGGATGTACCTTGGAATAGCGATTCGCATGGCAGTGGACTTGGGTCTGTCCAAAGAAGATGGTGTACGATATCAAGGCGAGAGAGACACATGGGCTTCACGTAACTATAATAGAAAGGCGAGCGACGGTTTCATTCAACCACCCCAGCCAGTTACGGATGGGAACGCCACCCTCACTCCAGAAGAGCAAAAGGAAGTCGAACAAGAACGAATAGACACATTCTGGGCTGTTTTCTTCTTGGATCGCGCCATTTCCTCTGGTACTGGTCGACCAGTCACTCTGAAAGACGATGATTTCGAGTTGGAATTGCCGAGATCTGCTGTTGACCTCAGTACTGGATGGCCTGATCCGTTAGCATCATTGTTACGTATCATCCATCTTTACGGTCGAGTTTCAGACGTCCTCAACAATATCACACATGCCCAAGATCTCACCCAAGAAAAGCTGAACAAGCTTTCCCAGATGGAGACCGAACTTACGAGACTTCACCAAAGAACGGATGCGCGCCTCCGATTCGATGCTAACAATTTCCAAGCGCATGTGAAGAATGGCCAAGGCACAACCTTCATATTATTACATTTTTGGTTCCATGCGTTGATCATCGTTCTACATCAACCCACGTTATTGACAAGAGAGGGGACGATTAGCCGAGCGCACCAATTAAAGCCACACAGTCGAGAACTTTCTATGTCCAGCGCAAAGACGATAGCCGATATACTTGCATTTGCTGAGTTGGTCGATCCGAAATGTTTCATAGGCAATCCCTTTACTTCGCAACCCATCTACATCGCAGCGTGTGCGTTTTTGAAGGAGTCAAAATCAAGTCCGTCGCAACCAGTCTCAAGAGACACCACACCTCCCCCTGAATCAGCAGGTCGAGCGATAAAGAGTGGTTCGGCCGTATTAGACCCAGGCCCAGCATCTAGACACCTTTTACTAGCATCCGCGGCGAATCAGAATTACCAGGCATGTTACAAAGCTCTGAAGCAAATGCATGCGTATTGGGGAGGTGTCCGATATATCCTTACTGCCTTGGACCAAAAGCTAGATGGGCAATGGGATTGCGAAACATTTACAATCGAAGAATATGAGAGTGCTAGGCGATACCGTCAAACCAATGCCGTCAATAGGTTCACGAGAAATCTCGAATTTCCAGCATCTCCAGTCCCTGACAATGGACCTCCGTTAGCTTGGTCGTTGACAGGAACGACGAATTCGCCGAACTCTAGTCTAACACTACTCTTTCAGAACCCCGTCAATCATGGAGGCGTTATGACATCTCAAGTTGGCCCGGGGACGGCTGCTACTTCGAATGCACCAACCTCAGCACCTACGCCGCCCGGGAACATGATTTACGATCCTATACGCCAGAGCCTACCCGAAACCACCTCGTCCATTTATCATTCCGCATACCCCCAACCGAACACCTCAGCCCTTCGACATTCTATTAGTCGTCCTCGTAGGGTATCGAGTGGCCAGGGCAAGTCTTCATATCTAAGATATGAAAACTTGTCTTCTGCGGACGATATCAATAAACCGCCTTCAACACAAGTAGGAGGCATGAGCGTACCACCGACATCATACACACCATCATCGCAGTCAACGTTTGAGCCACAATCTGGTTCGGGTGCAACCGGCAGTTACGCGACAAATGGCTCACCAGCTAGCAGCACACAGAGCCAAAATGCATCATCTGATAGTGGAGGCGCACCGTCAAGCTTCCCACAAAGCGGACTAGCGACAAGTGGATATTCTTACCTGGGCCCTGGCGCTGGATCGAACCTACACCTGCTGACATACGACAACGAGACGGACATCGGACAGCATTTGACAAGCTTCGAGAGTACTGAAATGCTTAGCTGGTTCGGCGAATATTTCCCTGGTGATAGCACGTGGCTTTTCCCGGGAGACTCTTCTATGTCCTGACAACGACTGTAATGTGGAGGTCACGTACATTAAGGGGTTGAGTTGATAAAAAGAGACGAGCAGTGAGGGGACGAGATTAAGAGGAAGAAAACCTGGGGGGGCTGTAAGATATCTCCCACGACAATACACCGCCATCTACCCAGTAATCGACCACCTACCGACCTATCTATGGCCTATCTATCTACATATCTACCTACCTTACCTACCAAACTTCATTTATTCGCCCATTCCTCGATACGGGCATTCCCACAGCCTTTATGTCTTACCATTATATCCAATACGTTATTCCAGATATACATATGTTGACACGGTTATTCATCGAGACACGATATGAATTAACTTGTATGAGGCAAGGCGAATAGGAGGGAGGCATTTTGTTTCGGGATACCATGGTCTTTACTTACCTATCTATTTTGTTAGATCATTACGTTTCTGTCATGGGGTATTTTTGTCTGAAAGCACGGATTTCCTTGTGCTGATTATGAGCTCCACGGCTTTGGGATATACATACGTTTTTGGAGTTGAAATATGGTTCCTAACGAAGGCAACGGAGAATAAGACCCGAAATTGAATTCACTTGGAATGTGGATCAGGGAGTCAGTTATGATAACTTTGGTAGGGATATATCATGACCTTGGATACAAAGGGGATTAAATGAAATGTACTGGGGGGAGGCAAAATAGGGACGGAATGAATGAAGAGGCTCTATCGCGATGTATCTATTGCACTCAAAAGCAGTCTAACGCAATATAAAGAGATCATGACCGTACCTTCACGAGAACCAACTTAATCTTTTGAAATACCCGACCGAATAAATGGCACGGTGCTTCGTATGGATAAGACAGCTGTGAAGATCCTCAGCCTCATGTGGATGTCTCCGCCGCTTTGCATCAGCTACCCCTGACTAGATGACATCAACGAACGGTATTGATACACAACCCTTGACGTAATGATGCTAGGGTAGCAAACTCAATATGTCATTAAATAGAGCTTGATCCGAACCTCTTATCATGTCTTATTTTCATCTTCATCCATTCTCTACAGCTAGTCGAACTACATCGCGATCGACTATCATATTCACGACACACCATAGGAACTACTCCAACAAGACAACGAGACAAGATGGCACCATCCAAGACGCCCGGCCAGAACGACGCTGCTAGCGAGACCTTTAAGAAGAAGCAAGCTCAGGGTATTTGCAACCTACCCTCCCAGATCCGAGGCCGATCAGTAACCGCATATACCTAGTACCAACAGCTAACAATTACAAACCAGCCCAAGGCCTAGGCGCCCCTAATGCCGCAGCCCATAAAGAAGGCCATGCGCCCGGCGAGGCACCAATAGCGTCCGATTCGGGTATCACCGACGTTGGTATCGAAGGTGGCACCACCAACGTCCCAGGAGAGAAGGGCATTAGTGGTCCACGTGTACGGGACGAGTTAGATCACCAGGGGAACTCGATGGTTTAAATCTATTCGGCTTCCATTACTCGATGCGATATGGGCGCGACCGAAATAGTAAAATGAAATAAAGCGAATAAATATACCAATGCGATAAAAATAATTGCGGTGAATTGACATCTTCAGTAGTACACAAATGCAAGTGTTGGCAGTCGTTCACAATTCGAGAGGCTACAATAATCGGTAACCCAACAGTTTGACAGCGACTTTTTAGATACACCAAGGTCTTGGCCAAAATCTTTTCAGCCATATCAGGGGCAAAATATACACAACTTTCTGAACCTCCAGGAAGTAAGCTCTTAGTTCTCTTCCAGGATAGCTTTACTAAAGCCTTATGTTATATCCCCTCTCAAAATCGCCTCCTAACAAAAGCTACATCTTGAGAATTGACCAGAGTATCAAATGTTAGGCCAAATCGGCTGTTTGCACTCTCCCTGTTTCTCGACCCAAGCCTGGATCCGTTCGATATTCCATCCGCTGGTCCACTTTTCTTGCTCATCATCTGTCTTCGCAGTTGGCTTACCTAGCATGAAAGACTTGTTGTAGGTGCATGCACCATTGTGGTAAGAGAATTGGAAGCAATTGCTGACACTGTCGCATAGCTTGCGGCAGTGTTCGAACGACTTATGGGCGTCTAATTCGACGGCTACGACACGGAATCGTTGATACGGCTTCTTGGCGCGATCCTTTTGCTGCTGTGTGTATCGCTCGCCGTGATCTAGATCAAGGTATAGCACGTCCTCGCTGAGGTTGTCCCAGTCGTCACGCCTCACTGCTAGCTTTAGGGCGACGAACTCGTAGTAGACATCCTTGAATCGCAGGGCGAGATCGAATGCAGTATTGGACTCATAGAAGCTCTTTTCGAACTGCTAAAACGAGGAGATCTCTTCTGAATCCATATGATGCATAGTAACAAGCGGATGACACCATTGACGAGATCCGTAGGGGATAGTATGGGGCTTTTCACCATTTATAGTTGGCCACTGAAAATTGTGAGCTTATTAGTCAATAAAGAATCGCGACTTCAATGTCTAACTTACGGACTGAGAAACATGGGCGCCACTTATCTCCTTCAACGCCAAACCCATTACATAGTCACCGCAGCACGATTCCTTGGCCTTCATATCATACTGATTAGCGATACCAAAGCGATCTTTCGCAAGGCCCTGCATTGTTGCTTGCGAAAGGATGTATCCACTTCCACCATGAGCGAAGCCGAAATCATTTATGAGGGTCATGCTACCGAGGTAATATTTCTTGGTGAACGGGTCTTTCAATGTACCCAACCATTGAACTAGATTGCCCCAAAGTACATACGTATCAGCGTCGATAAAGAGATACCAGTCATAGTTAGGACGGAGTTGGTATGTCTTCTCTGCAATGTGGACATTCTTGTACTTGTCTAAATTCCATCCCTCAGGCTTCCCATCGCGCTTCTTTTCACTACTACAGGCTTGCTGGTCGACAACGCAAGCCTGCTGCCTGCGGTAGAGGTCGAAATCCGGGTTTCCTTTCTTGGCCTCGGAAAGCACATTATCCAGGCTATCGCGGATATGATAACCAGCAATGTCTTGTTCCATGTCGGAAAACAGGAGGAAGTCGGGTAGACATCGCAAGACAGTGAGAAGTTGAGTAGGGATCTTGGAGTATGACTCAGTGGCACCAGTCTTGACAACAGTGAGGATGTTGGAAGTGGCTGGGAAGGAAGTGCATGATGAATCGTAAGGCCTCGCTCGAGGTTTTTTCAAGTCCTCGTACTCAACACCTTTGAAGGGGTCAGAGACGTTGGCATGTGTGATGCAAGGGTGTTGATGGGACGGTGTCACTAGCGAAGAGGTATGAAATGACCAATCATTAAGGTGTCTAGAGGTGATGAAGAAAGTAGCGAAACAGATAACTGCCAATGCGAATTTTCCGTAGAAGTATCGTAGAATTGTCATGGTGGGTAGATTCAGGTCATGTTTTTACCTAGAGACGATGCCTCCCTCGGGGGTGGGGTGAACACGGAGTGGATGAACGAATGAAGCTGCTAGGTTTGGCGGTGTTTGGAAATGTTTATGTATGGATTGAAAGAAAAATAAAAATAAAATAAAATAAAATAAAAAAATAATGAAAGACGACGTGGAATTAAACCAGGGTGTTTAAAGTTCCGGAGAGTGAAAAAGAAGAAGTCACGACGAACAAGTATTTGGGTGTCTGGGAAGGTTCGCCTGGTGTTCTTACCTCGATTTAACATGATCGCCCGGAGTACCTAGGTACGTACATATATACATGCAAGACATGTAATGCACCTACTATCGAATCATGTATATTTATATGTGCTTGACGATGGAAATGGAACAGATCATTAATCGTGTATTATCTTCCTAGCATAGCAGTTCCCTTGCTATTGTTTTGTTAGTCGAATCCATCCCGCCCAGCCCCTCTAAATAGCTATTTGGGTACCTAGGTAGGTTACGGCCGTCTAGATATAGGTGCCTAGAGTGCTCGGGGCCGCTAGAGTAATGGGGAATTTTTCAATTGAATTCTATCTAATTAGCTAAAATAACCTCTACAGGGTATAATTGTATCCCCTGTTAGCACTAAAGAGATAACGACGCGACATATAACACCGCTCTTCCCGGGCAAGTATTTATGACTATGATTTTTAATATTATATATTCTATGATGGCTATTCACTCTCTTTCTGCTAGGAACTTCTTCCATAGGACCGTATGTGTTCAGTCATCCTATTGTGTTGTATACACCACAGTCGGCCTTAGATCATGACCTGGCTTATAGCATTGCTAGCTGCTCCCCTCCTACTAGCAGCAGCATTTGTACTAGATACGACCATACGCCTGCTACGTAACTATGCGGCGGCTCGAGCTATCGGAGTTCCTATACGGTTTATTCCTATCAGTCCTCTCAACCCATTTTGGACTCTTATAGATAGAAAGGTTCTACCATTTCTTCGTCGTCTTTCCTTTGGTGATAATAGCTTCACCAAGGGGAGAACATAGAAGATGCACGGGAAAGAGTTGTTGATTTGATCAAAGCAGATTCGGGTGCTGTGCTTCTGCTTCAAATGTTGCATCCTGAACGGGCTCCTATGGTTTGGAAGAGGCGATAAGAAACTTGGGCAAGCTTCTGTATAAAAATTTTACCTTGCTACTAGGTACTCTCCCCTTGGTTGGAGACAAAATGAATGGGCAAAAGCACATACTCTATGAAATTAAATCCCTATTGAGTAGTGTAAGTCGTACAAGCCACCCTTTACAACGTGGGGTTTAACCCACTAAGGTGCTTAGATACATTCTTAGGCCAATGCCCATTGGCCTGGGTACCTGGGCACTAGGTATTGAACCAAGGTAAGTAAGCTAGCGAAGCTATCGTAAGGTGGGCGCAGATGAATATCCTCCAATTTTCACGTCCCAATTGTAAAAGAATACAACAGCAATTCACAGCTGCTTCTCGCTATCGAATTCTCGCGAAAGAATAAATGTACATACAAGCACATAAAACGTATAAAAATATGATTAGATTTATGTAAATATGTTGTGCAATACACACATGAGTTGCACCTGACAAGTGACCTCCATCACTTCGGGTGCCCGCACTTTGTACTACACTACCCACCTTATCTCTTCCCCATCCTCGTCCCTCCTTATTTCACCTATTTCACAATGTACACACATCCCAACTTTCCGACTTATTTGCACTTCATCGCAGGAATCATTCATCCCAAGGTAAAAACTTCTTCTCTTTACTCTAGATTATTTGCTTCAATATAAAGCAATGTTCTTCGACTCATTCGGGCGTTTGGCATTCTCACCTAACTTTCTATAATATATGATGCTACCAAATACCTCAGCAACTTAATCGCCAGCCTTTCACTTTATTATATCGTCATATCTCATCCTGCAGACAAGACTTCCCGGTTTCTTTGACAACCAATTAAAATACATATTGCTGTTTCTGTCCAAACAAAGTCGCATTTGGGCTCCTGCAGCTGTCCGCCATCAACTGATGCCTATACCCACCTCTTCAACTCTCCTCAGTTCTGGGTCACCGGTCCTCCCTCTTTACACCATCTGGCTCATACCCTTATCTGAACACAGATAGGTTTCATGAAATCCATCTATGTTTAAATCCATTCCCCCTCTTCGACAGCACACCTTTCCGCGTATTCCGCTCTAATTCAACATGGACGGGTCGGATGTCTTTATGACTGATCTTCCACATGGTCTTACAGAAGCCGGACTCCGAACTCAATTAGATCCCATCATCACTCGAAAATTGAAGATAACGGATTGGACTTGTAGGAAGACCCGCGGGAAAAATTTCGGTATCGTCACTTTCCTCTATCGACAGGACGGCGAAAAATTCCTGCAGACTCATGGGGAGATCACCATTAGGAGCAATGGCAGGGCACGAACACGGCCTCAATTGACCTTGCTAGGTAACGGTGTCAGATGTAGAAAAAGCAAGAATGATCCAGATCCATTTCTGCTCAAGTGCATTCAAAAGACAGTCGAGGACCGAAGACTAGAGGAAGAACAACAGACTTCTACGGATGATAGGAAGATCATCTTCGAAGTCCGTGGCCTTTCTTGTGGCCATTATGAATATCCTGATGGCATCTTCACCTACACCGCAGATATGCAGTGGAATTCTAAAGGCACGGCCAAATTTGCCAGGGACACCATTATCATGACGTTCGATGGCTTCCCTATTGGTTCCACTAGGGTCGAAATTCCGTATCGTACTATCCACGAAGTAATTGTAGATGGGCAGCCGACGTCCCTGACATTGACGCTCTGGGAAGCTCCTAGGTTCTTTCAAACCACTGGCACTGGGAGCTCGATGGCTCAAGATCTTGGTTCTCTTATGAGTGGATTAAGTGTTTCTCCATCGGTTGTAGGTGCGAGCAAAGTCACGAGAGTCCGATTGAGTCAGCTACCACACTCGAGTGGAAAGCATGGAGAGATTCTAGGGCAGTCTCTTGTTTATCGCATTGATGTATCACCAACCAACTTCAACACCAAATATCATCAACTGAAAGCGAAAGAGAAACTTACTGTTTCGCTCCACGGCTTCCCTAACTTCTTGTTGGGCCGAACCTATATGACTGATGGGAGAAGGACCTTACGAGAGCTACTTAACGATTGTAACTCTACCTCTATTGTCCCTTTCGACGTCCTTTTCCAATTCCAAGCCCTTGCTCAGAATGGCTACTTGCTACCCCAAACGGTTGAAGTCTTACTCAGGCGCCTTTGTCGAGTAGTCCGGGCGGAGTCTTCGAATGGCAAGACTAACGGATCGAATGGAGCCAATGGAGTCAATGGGACCAAGAAGAACCCGTTCCCCTTCTCTGCAGATGCAGTCAAGAAGCTCTTCTCTCAGATAGGATTCCCGGGTCCTGATATTGAAGCGAGAGACTTCAGCCCGGATGACATTTGGTCCTACCTCGAAGCTAATGAGAAGGAAGTCCGTATGGGTATTGCTAAAGACTTGATATCTGAGAGAGCACGCGAAAACCTCGTGATGGTCTACAAAGTACAGGTCACGCCCACTCGAACAACCCTTCTGGGACCCGAGTCCGAGGCGAAGAATCGAATCCTTAGAAAATTCCCCCATCATACCGGGCATTTCGCCCGTGTTCAATTCTGCGAAGAGGACGGCCAAGATCTGTTCTTCAATGCTAAGGTATCGCTTGACAAAATCTGGGATCGATTTAAGGCTGTACTTCTACAAGGAATCCAAATCGCTGGTCGGAGATACAAGTTCTTGGGATTCTCTCACTCTTCTCTTCGAGCTCACTGCGTATGGTTCATGGCTCCGTTCATCGACCATAACTCGAGTATGCAGACCTACTTCTCTGTGATTGCTGATCTTGGAAAATTTGACAAGATATTCTCTCCATCAAGATGTGCTGCTCGTATTGGCCAGGCGTTTTCCGAGACACCATTCTCCATCGACCTAAAAGAAATAGGAGCTGAAGTTGAATACATCAATGACGTCAAGTCCAAAGACGGGAGCCGAGTTTTTAGCGATGGTGTGGGAACACTCTCGAGACAGTTAATGGAAGCAATCCACTCTTTCCTGCCGCAGAACCGTGAGACTACAACCTGCTTTCAGATAAGATGGGGTGGTGCAAAGGGGATGATTGCTTTGGATGATACCCTAGACGGGATGGTCATGCGTATTAGACCGGAAAGTATGGTCAAATTCGAAAGCGATGATATACGATACCTGGAAATTTGCGATATGGGAAATAAACCCATTCCGCTTGTCCTTAATCGCCAGATGATCAAAATTTTAGAAGATATGGGCGTTGCAGCTGATTGGTTCTTCCGCGTACAGAATCGAGAAATCAAGAGATTGCGTGCGATCACTGCTTCTGTTCACAACACCATGGCATTTCTCAAAAGACAGAAAGTTGCCGAGCAAATCAACTTCTCCAAGCTCCTTCGTCGCCTTGATAAGTTAGGGATCGACTATAAGCAAGATCCATTTCTGTGCTCAGTGGTGGAAACCGTCGTCTTAAGGGAAGTGCGTCTCTTAAAGCACAAAGCTCGAATCCCAGTCGAGAAAGGTGTCACCTTGTTCGGCATCATGGACGAGTTTGGGTTTTTGGAAGAGGATGAAATCTACTTCACGTTCGACAAAAAGAAGCTAAAGCTTCACGGAAAGTACGACGAAGATGAAATATATGACCAATTGGTTATTATAACAAGATCTCCTGCTCTTCATCCTGGTGATATTCAGATCCGACGGGCAGTGAGACCTCCGCCAGACCACCCCCTTCGTTCACTATCCAACTGTGTTGTGTTCAGCCAAAAGGGACAAAGAGACCTTCCAAGCGAACTCAGCGGCGGGGATCTCGATGGTGATATTTACAATATCATATGGGATTTAGACGCAGTTGATTCGGCAACACGGGAGTTCCCACCGGCTGACTATCCTCGAGTCAGTCCCAAGAATATTGGCCGTCCGGTTAAACTGGATGATATGACAGAGTTCTTTGTTGAGTTCATGGCTACTGATCAGTAAGTGCCTTGTATCTATCATTCGGTATTATAGAGATTTTGCTGACGGCGCCATCATAGATTAGGTGTGATCGCTACAAAGCATATAATCCTTGCTGATAGAAAAGACGCTGGGTCTGTCGACGATGAATGTAAGCTCCTTGCCGAGATGCATTCTACTGGTGTCGATTATAGCAAGTCTGGTATTCCGATGGATCTCAATAAACTGAGAGGTCTCACGACAACGCACCTTCGTCCAGATTTGTAAGTAAACCACGAAAGCACGAATCCTTTATTTTATTTTGCCCTAGCAACTCCCCCCCCCCCCCGAAACAGATATAAATATGTTAACCTTTGAGGCTTGGTTGAATGTACTAACTTTGCTATAGCTTAGCACCGGCCCCTCCGGCGAATCTCTTAGACCATAACGAGATCGCCTTTGAAAGTTTGAAAGCACCTTTACCCGACGATGAGGACGAGGAGAGTGGCCCAAATCACAGATACTACAAATCGATTAAGATTCTTGGCCAGCTATACCAAGCCATTGACGAGAAGAAGATATGGCGAAATGATATTCATCGAAATGTACACCGCTATGGAGAGTCTGTGTGGGATCAAGTGTTAGAATATATCGGGGAGAAATATTGGGAACTAGGAGGGCCTGGTTGGAAATCAGCCCTTGAGGAAGCTGATAACATTCGACAAGCGTAAGTTGCTCTTGGGCCACCAAATTACGTAGCATTGGTATTTCTGACTGTAGAACATAGCTATGACGACGCGATTTGGAGCGCGACAATGGACTATTCCGACAACTTCACCAAAGGCCTTTCGGAACTTGAAGTGTTCACCGGATGTATCTTCAACAAATCCGGTATTCAAACTCGACGGCAACGAGACAGGTCAGTCCGTCTTAAGGATGAATTCAACCGAATCGCAAAATGGGTTGAGACCTTGATCCGAAAGAAGGGGGTAAAGCCGCGAGACGATGACGATGATGATAGCGATTCTGAAGATCGAAATGACCCTGACCCGTCCAATCGTACATCGAATGGTGCATCCCTTAACTCCAGCATTTCAGGGCTCGAGTTAAGTATTGCCTGTCTCCAAGCTAGTATCACCAAGTCAACTGAGTATGCCAGAGGCAGTGGGAAGTTTCAAAGTTTCAAAGTCATCGCTGCGCAATGTGCATTGAGTGAACTAGAGATTGCCCTCATGCAGAAAGAATATGCTGCAGGTGCGGCTTTCGCTTCGATTTACACGCGTATATGATGTTACGGTGACGGTATTTAGCTGATGATTTCCCCTCGAATCGATATCTACCTGGCTTCCAGGTGAACGATGTCATAGGGGGGATATGTACTAAGGCGTTTCCGAAATATCATCAGAGACGTGGTCAGATATACGTTTATGACATATTTTCATGATGTGTTGCTTCTCATGGTATTTTTACGGATGTGGAGATCGGGTCTCGATCCTGGAGCGTTGACTTCTTCTATTTCGGTCACTTGAGAACTAGTCTGTACCTGAGGTATAAGTGGCTTTGACACGACTTTATGAATGAATATGAATTTATAATGCATTAGCTCGAATATAACGTGATGGATGTATTTAAAGACGCGCAGGGTTTCCAATGGTTTAGATACATCGCTTTGGATCACCTACCTATCCATTCCCAACAACGATGGGAACGTTTTCGACAACGCCGCTTTACTTAGACAGGGAGTGGATGCGAAATGGTTCGTTGATAGAATCGAGGAACTCTCAAATAGTTCCAACTCGATTGAACTCGACTGAGTTGTCGGTTGATCTATCTCAACTACCTAAATACCTCATGATGTTCTTATGGAACAGAGAGGGCCAGGGAGAGAATAACGTATGTACAACACCCAGCATGGTAGCTCACGCTCAGCTATTAAGCCACAAAGATAGATAGATGGCCAACCTCTTTGGCTCATCTCATCCCATCATGCACCTTTGAAACCTCCCATTCCTTTGCTTTCCGTTTCCTTAACCTTCCTTCCCATTTCCCAAGATGGCCTAAATGCGTCGAGCTTTGCTGCTACTATGCTTGTTTATATGTAAGTAGGTACCTAGAGTAGACTGGTAAGTAAGTATTTATCCTCTAAGCTTTCCCCTGATCCCTTTCCTTATCCTGGTCCTTGTTGTCTTTCTCCTTATTATTACTACTGCTCCTGTTTTCCCGACTGTCTCTTTCCTTGTCATGTCTATCTCTTCCCGCTGGCGTCGGACTACTGGCCCGAGTTGGCATGTAGAAGTCGTAGCGATCGGGAAAGAGGATGATATTAGCTAGTCGTACTACCTCAGCTTGTGCCTGTGTGCTACTAGCACTGCTACTTCGACTATCCCGACTACTACTCCGACTCGGTGCATCGACGTCCATATCATCCACTCCCTTCGTTACTTTCTTCTCTTTCGAAGATGAGCTTGAAGATGCAGACTTATGGGTGTATTCGCTTAGACTCCACGGCGCCAATCCCATAGCTTGTAACCCCTCTGCACCGCCGACCTCGCGGATGTCCTTCTCACCTAGCCGACCCGTATGTGGCGCTTCGCTGCCGAGCCCAGTACCTGTCGAGTCGAAATCAGGTCCTGGGTGTCCGCGTAGGAAGGCCTTACGTTGTCGCGCTAGGAATAGCGCATTAGTCTGCGTCAGCGGTGCCGCTGGTGTGTATACCAGCATCGAAGTCAATTCAACATTAGGCGCTGCTGCGGGACCATTGCCGCTAGAGGTCGAAGATGAAGTCTGTGGCCTACTAGCAGTGCGGTAGTTGGTATTAGAGAATTGATATGCTTGGTCTGGGTGCCAGACTATGTAGTCGCCGGCCTGTAGTGTGGGCGGCGTTACCAGACTCTTGTCGAGATGTAGATGCGGATGCCACGCCGCTGTTACACGTTGCGCGTGGCCCGGCACTGCTCCATGTATTATTGTCGACTGTTCCTTTTCCAGTGCCCAATTCGACGCGTCTAGATATGCATCCCACGCCTCAGGGCTAGCTCCCTGTGGCGGCGGTCCTTCTTTAGGCGCAAAGAACGGCCTTAATAGGAAGTATGCAGTCGACAGTTTCGGCGAAGGCAGTAACCTGATCATACCTGGTTCTACCACCGTCAGTGCTAAGATGCCTTGGAATAATCGCATCATGGAACACGCGCCAGCACCATTATATAGGTCGGATGTCGCGTTGATGCGACCAGCCGGATCCCACGCGTCATATGATTCCCAATCACCCTTAAATATGGCATCGTAAAGTCCACCCCGACCGTATCCGTCTTGCTCCCAACGCTCTAGACTACCATTATCAACCTGCGCGATCTGCGCTGACGATGTAGCGGCCGCTGCAGCAATTAGGCTGTCTTCATGCGTTGGTGCAAGTGCACCGTTCACGGTTAAATGCCCATTAGACATGGCTTCAATTCGGATACGGTCGGCATAAGTAATAGGGAAACGCGTAGCGAGACGATCGTCATTGTTGGTATTCCATAGCGACATGGCAAATCGCTGCGCTTGCAAGACATGCGGATGCGCGCGCGACCGTACCTGTGCAGGCGTCCAAAAGAAATCGAAACAAGTCGGATCTTGCGCGGGAGGTGGCTTGTACTCGTGTTTCGTCTCGAGATACTTCTTGGTTTCTTCAACCCATGAGCTTGCATCGGCCGAGGGAACAACACCGCGTATCACGCCAATTCCATAGCGCTTCAATTTCTCTCCGAAAGATGTAACTTTATCGGTATTCTCGATGTCGGTATAATCGATCGAAGGAATTAGTCCGGATCCGTGCTTTTCGATATGCTTGACTTCGTCGCGCAATGCAACCAACAGTCGACCCCACGATGCTTCGAGCGCGGCTTCATGACCGGCGACAAGGCGCTTTTTCAAACTACCAAATCGCGTGGGAAGTGGCACGGGCTGTGTGCCGTAAAAAGACAATACTGGGGGCTCCATACTCTTCGTAAACGTCCTCTGCCTACTTTTTGAATTTCTACCTTCTTTGTGATCACCGTTTCTCGTCCTTTTTATCCCTATTACTCCAATTTGTGGTGTAGAAATGGAGGTTGTCGTCGCTGTCGTCGGTATTGTTGTCGTGGTTGTTGTCGAGGAGCTAGATATCGGTATTCCTTTGGATATTGTGGAGGAAGAGGAGGTTGAGGAGGAGGTTGTTGTGGGTTTCGTCGCCGCCATTGTCACAGCACTAACAGAAGTCGTGGTAGTAGTGTTAGCAGTATTGGTAGTAGTAGTAGGTCCGCTACCACCAACTGTTGTGGCTGTCACAGCGCCAGCGGCCGTTGCGGTAGCAGCAGCGGCAGCCATTGCGCGCTCGAACGGTGAGGGGAGTGCAGCGGCTGTGCGCTGTACCACATCTACGTTGGACATCCTCAGCCTTTTCCCTTTTCCCTTGTGCGTACCCCGTGTCTTGTGATCTCTTCAGTGCGCTGTGACTCGGCCATTCAGATTCCGTCTTCTCTCTTTTCGCCCACCTGGGCACCGCGGGGTCAAGCAGGGACTAAATAGGTATGGCAGAGCTTTTTCGAGCTACCAGGTTTCGTAAGAAACGTCCTAGGTTCTGGGGGCAGATGGGGGTAAGATAGAACAAGACAGATACAAGGGACATAACACCCATGTCTCGTTGCCCCTCGCCTCTTTTCCCACATCTTCCCCCCATTCATCCAGGGGTCTTCTCCCATGCGGCAGGCCGGGCCGAACAGGTATGGCTGCGGCGCACCATTTTAGATTGACGAGTCGGCTCGTAGCTCCGTGGGCCAGCATGGGCCAACGTGGATCTAGCCCCTAAGGGACCCCAGGAAAACCACTGGACCGAGCTCCATAAAAGAAGAGCGAATCTTTCGCTTGACGGTCCGCCTCACTTGAAGCAAATGTCTACTACACTACCTAAGTAAGCTGATAAGTCGATCAGAAGCTGACAGTTGGGTGAATCAACCTGGCGAACCGACAAGGTCCAAATAGATTGCCCCTAGGGTCCTCCCTGGTCATTCTCTGGTAAAAAAGAAACACAAAAAGCTGGGGAATTCTTTTTTTCCTACCTTCATCTAGAACCACTCCGAGTCTCCGAAGCCACTACAGTACAAAGTACTAAAGCGCATGTACATACTTATTGTACATTCTCTCCCGATTTTACATATTCCGCTCACAGTAGCCGGGCCCTCCCCTATCAACGAACTGTCATTGGTCGGGAATTTACAACGTGGAAATTTCCCGTCGAATCTCATCCGGTTCATCTACTTTGCATGATCCATCCAAGATGAGCTTTTCCTACTGAGCGACGCCCCGAAGCGGTCCATTAAGGAAAGAGAATCGCGACTTACCAAGACGGGACAGCTTTCATCCATTTTCATCCTCCACTTCCCTCTATAGGATGTATTTCACCCCTATAATTTTCTTTGGCTTTAAATAACGAGAAACATTCTCGCGAGCTCGTAACAGAATTCTACCGGACCACGTGCCGTTCGCCTCCAAGACGTTGCTATACTTTACCCCGAAGCATACCTTGTTATGTTTCCTTCACGGTAGTAGACCTTGTAAGAAAAAACCACAAACAAATAAAAGGATAGGACTATTTTGCCGGACGAGAGGCTCGACGTGGCTAGTACTCCATACATGCCCTAGTATGCTATGCCGCTCCAGGTATGTAACTTACAACACTAGCCCCCAGCGTCTAGGTAACCCAGCCGCATGTCCCGACTCCGACGTACACTAAAGAGGCTCTGGTTCCCGGTTTTTTCAAACTGTTACCGAATATGGCAATCATATCGTAGGAAACGCTACGGGTAGTATGCCGCAGCAAAAAGAACAGCGGCGTAAAACGATGCCAATGCCTTTTTTACAAGGGCTTCCGACCTACTGGGTCCCGGGTAACGTTACGGGATTTACACTGCCTCCTCCGTGTGTACATACATAAACACTACCTATGACTGCATCTTAGTGTTTTATAATCCGAATACGCAGTTGTCACTTTTTGCGATCGTATCGCATCGTGCCGTGCTTATGATGGATCAAGAGATCATCACGGTCGTCGTAGGCCTTTGGTCGTTTACAGTTAAGTACGATGTGAGCGCAACATTCTGGAATCTATTATGGGACATCGGATTGATGTGCAGAGATTCTCAGGGTCTTCGGCTCTTGATCCCTAGAAAATAAAAGTTCGGCGACCAATTAAGTAAGGATTTCAGTTAAGTTGCAAGATTGACAAGTGTAAGCTAACATTCTTCCCGATGTGTAAAACACTGCATTATTGATTTACATCTCATTACAAATAATCATGAAAACCAGCGCATATTCAAATATAACGTCGTTCAATATACTGCTGATCGATATGATACTGATCCAAACAGTGAAACCTCGGGGATAGGCAATACCGTAAGTACACCCGTGTAAGTCAAAACATCCAGGTAATTCAAAACGTCACGACCACGATCACGATCACATTCAAAATAAAACCCAGTCATCCCGCAGAGCCTTACGCACATCCCGAGAAAATACCACTATGTACCTAGGTATGTACTGCATGTATATTGCGGACGCGGAAGTGTTGCTCGCAGGCGGCTCCAACCTCGCCGTCCACGCTACTAAGACCGGGAGCCTGGATATCATCCCACGGGAACCCCGCGGATGACAACAAAAAGGAAATGAATACGTAGATAGGTATGATAGGTACTTCGAAAGAATCGAAATGGCGTTATTGATGATAAAATGAACCGCGTGGGGGCCTTGTATCAGCTCACTTCCCGCTACCTACCTGGTAACATAGGACGGCAGGCTCCAATTTACCAAATGTCCCGTACATGTAGGTTAAAACAGCGCAACCCTAACGGATGCCGGGAACGCTTTCAAACAGATCTTTAATATAAAACAAAGCACTGTAGCGTTCTGACAAGCGGGATCAGCTTTTCTGGAGCTTGCGTCATCTCGAGGCTTTTCCTCATGTAGTAATGGGGTTCCCCAAAATCGCCTCCTTCCGTCGTCCCGGCGGCATAGCGTACGCAATCTTCGCCAAGGTGGGGGTCACGTCGCCGATGCTATCCTATATTTTCGGAATCCGCTTCCTCTTTTCGCACGTGATCGACGATAATTTCTTGTTCCATATAGTTCTGGAAGTATTTAGTTTATTACGATAGTTTGATGAATCATGGGTTAGTAATGTCGTTTGTGGAAGGGTGAGATTTATTAGTCCTCATAGATTAAGGGGTTGGAAGAAGAGCATGTGAAGCTTCGCTAATAACCTTAAGGATGGTATCGGTATAGCTGATGAGATGGTCTCAGCCTCATAAACCTACCTAATGCTTTCCAGGGAGGTGCTATCGGTATCACGCTGCTGGGTGACCTTGAGTGAAGAGATCTCTCTGCTATTCTAGGTATTATTAATTCCCTATAGAATCATTACAAAGCCTTTTCATGGCTTGCATGGGGTGGTACAGAATAACACGGGAAACTGTTAGATCATCTGCCGACTTCTAGGCTGTTTCGACTTGAAATATGTTACATTGGGCTTCAATAGGGATGCTCGAGGGCGTGTTGTCATCAGACCCCTGATCTATGATGACTCTTCAAGTCTACCTAGGTAGGACCCGACTAGAAGATTTTGGGGATAAGTCAAGAGATTGTTCTAGGCACGCGAGCAACGAGCATTGTGTTTCCCAAAGATCGTGTCCCGTTGAAAGACATAAGCCGGGACACTGCAAAGCATACAGCGCATATGCATACCGGTAGGCTACCTCCTCCTTGAAATTGAGTCACCACGGTACTGGATACTTTCCAAGAGGTCTTTCGTAGTCTAGGAGCTTGAGATATCAATTGTAATATAGTTCCCGTCTTGTCGTCGATTTTAGCGAAGATATCGAATGTTTTCATCTCGCCTGACCCCGAACAAATCCCTACTAAGATGCCGCTGCCCCGTGCTGCTTAAGGATCCCTACCTTGGTCTGAATTGATGCAGCTCTAAAAGCAAAAATATGGGAAATCAGGATCCAGCTTCTGCGTAATGACGCTGGGCGAAAGCCACTTAATCTCGTAGGATTTTTCATCAAATTTGGTGTACCTACGCAGCTACACAGGTCCTTGAGACACCTAATGCTACCTGTAGCGACCTATCGAGGTACGCAATCTATCCACTACGAGAACTTGAATCATCTTCACTTAGGTAGGTTTTCAGGTAACAGCACAGCTGATGTAGATCTCTAGCTATGCCCTAATGCACTCATAGATTCCCCCAGAAACCTCGACTCAACCATCATAGAACCTCCTCTACCGCCTCCCAGAACCCCTGTGGGTTTTCACACATAGGCAAATGGCCTGCGAGCGGGACAACGGCCAACTTCGCGCCACTCTCCCCTAGCGAGTCCTTAAACCCGTTCATAGCCTTAACCAAAGCACCTTTTCCATCACCCTCACCCACAACGAGTAACGCGGGGACCCGACACCCCTTCATCTCGCCCTTCATATCGTAATCCCACAGCGCCTGGCATCCGTATCGAAACCCCTCAATATCGTTAGTGGACACCATGCTTTCCATCCAAGCACGCCTCTCAGGCGACGTTGAGGGATGGAACCATCGATTTACAGTTTGACCTGCTAGATTCACGATACCAGGTTTACCATCATCAAGAGGCGTCTCAGCGACAGTAATACGTTCTTTCCAAGCACCCGTATTCGCAGCGCTGGAAGCAGCATTGAAATCGCATGCGATGAACTTATTCAGCTTCTCCGGGTACTTAAGAGCGAACCGTAGAGTTGTGGCGCCGCCCATAGATACACCGATTAGCGTATCAAGTTTGGGGGTGCGTAGCGCTGTTAACAGGGCACTTAGGTCGTCCGCTAGGATATCTAGAGTGGCCGGTGTAGGAGGGTGGGGGATTGCATGACGCCCCCGAAAGTCATAGCGTAGAATGCGGTACTGTGGCCTCTGCGTCTTTAGAATTTCGACGAAGGGATCCCACATGTGTAGTGATGTTAATAGCGAGTTACAGAAGGCGATGGTAGGGGCCTTAGGGTCTGGATTACCCTCGAGCCTGTAGGGGATCACTAGGCCATCAGGTGCTGTAATAGAGGAGCTAACCGCGGGGGTGGCGTCCGTGGGGTCTTCTGGCTTCAGTGCACGGTTCGATGGTTCGAGTCGAGATAGGTTATGTAAGTCGCGCGGTGCTGGTCCGAAAACATAAAAGAGGGAGTACAACCGCTGTGAAGTGAGCGTAGCATGCTTCGCTTGAATTTCATCCCATCCAGGAGTACGAGCCGCAGCATCATCCGCTACATCTCCGAGTTCGTTCTCCTTCGCAAAGTCATGCAGTGCGATGAGACGTGCCGTTGAGTTGGTTTCCACACTGGATGTCAAGAGGATCCGTGATCGCAACCAGCCCGATACCCTAGACAACATATCGGTTTGTTTCTCACCCCATCTGAGAGTCTCGGCCACTGCATCTGCCGTGTCATTGAGTTGGAGTTCCACCGTAAGTAAGACTACACCTTCGGCCTCGTCATCTGTGAGCTGTTCAATTGGAATAAAGAGCGGAGACTGCTTGGCGGTTACTAGATCCCAAAAATATCTTTTGACATCTACCTGACCAATGGTTTGGGCTTCGTGAGGTGACCGGTTTGCTCGTAGGGATAAGTAGGTGTCAGTGTTCAAGAGAGGCATAGACGTCACGTCATAGACAGCGAGGAATTCCGGCTCCTTTCCGTCTATTGCGCGATACCGAAGCCCGTTCGAAAAGATCTGAGGTAACCGAAGTCTTGTTGGACCATGTTCATTATTGTACCATTCATGAAACTGTTCTATCTGCAGCCCTGGTTTGGGCTGCATGGTCACGTACAGCATCCCGGGATAGTTCGCCATGATTTCTGTCTCTGTTAGCTTAGGTACCTCGGTATGCGCTGAATCCCCTTATGATGGATATATCCCACCAATAGTAGCGCTAGATGCAACAACTAGCTATGATAAACTTGCCAGAATATCAGAAGACGTTAAAAAAAATATTTTCAATTACTTTTTCAACACTTTCGATCACAATTCTCACCCAAATGGTAGCAATGAGTCGTTCAACAATAAATCATGAACTGTTCTAGAAGTTTGCCAAGTATCTGTGCGCATAGTGACAAATTGCCACCTTCGGCAGAGCCTCAGTAATTGAATCTAAATATACGGCAATAGCATCGGCAAATATAGTAGCGAAGTGGAGGTGGAGGACACGATTCTGGAACATCGTGGTCCCGAATCTAACACTGGGCATTTTGAAGTCTATACTATCATGATTTTTTTAATTAATTCGCTCTGGAATCAAGACGATGTGTTTGACGACATAATTCGGAGTAGATTCGCTTTTAGTTGACATTTTCTCATGTTCAAATCGTGTAACATGAGCATAGTAGGTAGTATACGTTAATTGTCAGCGTTAATAATCCAAAGAGAAAACTTCTTGTCGGTAGTCTAATTTAACGATAGCGACAATCCTAGATTTGATATTACTTGGATGTCGATGACTTGAATGGGGTATTATGTGTTGTGCGGCCGTTCTATGCTGGGTAATTCTAGATTCATACTTTGGCTCGTTCGATTGCGTAGAAAGGGTAGTTGACGAGAAAAATCGAATTTTTCTACGATGGGGGAGAGACGCAGCCTGGATATTTAGACCTGAGCGATCAGCAAATCGATAAGATCTTATCAACGGAAGGATTTATAAATCTGAGTATGATCTTGATGTAGTCAGCCCCTAAATAACTTCCGACGTGTTTGAATGGTATTGCCAGTTTCAATAGGAATGTCAGTCTTCAGAGCCTTTCATTGGTTGATTATCCCTGGTTCTTCCAAATTCGGTTAAGAACTCTACCCATTGTTAGGGGATAAATGTGGTGATATGGCACGGAAAACCTTCCGAATAGGGACGACTTCGCCCCGTAATAACGACTTCAACTCAGGTGAGTGTCAACGAAACTCGGATCCGCGATTTCGCGCGTCTGTCCTTTCCTGGGCTGCTGTCCGACTCTTTAAAAGGGTTATGGCGCCTACCATGCTTGATGGTGGTGCCTTTTTGGGCGACTGGATTGGACTTCGAATGGGACTCAAACGACGATGCAAGCGAAAGCCGTCGCAGCAACCGACTTGAATCGTCAACCCTCTTTACCTGAATGTGCAGAGAATGATGTCAACACACAGAGTTCTACGGTCGACAGTCCAAACTTCCAAAAGGACTACAGGTTTTGGGCCATCATCATAGCGTTATGTACCGTGTCCCTGCTTTCAGCGGCCGAGAATACTGTCGTTGTCACATCTCTTCCTACCATTGTCGAAAAGCTTGGAGTGGGTAAGAATTATGTCTGGATCACCAATGTGTTCTTCTTAACTAGGTATGTGGCCCTCTTGTAGATAGGATAGCCCGGTTATGGGTAACTAACTTGAGTGATAAATCAGTGCGGCCGTACAGCCTCTGTGCGGACAGCTATCCAATCTTTTCGGGCGGAGATATCTTACCTTATCCATTGTAGCAATCTATGTCATTGGTAGCGGAATATGTGGTGGCGCTAGAAACCCAGCCATGTTGATCGCTGGTAGGGCTGTTCAGGGGGTCGGATCTGGAGGTAAGTTAGCTTTTTTTTATTTATTCGCCCACTCAAGTAAAACCTTAGCTGATATCTGTTAGGGATTAATATGATTATTGATGTCATCATATCCGACCTTGTTCCTTTGCGACAGCGCGGTAATTACGTTGCCATCATCTTAGCCGTATATGGTATCGGAACGACGTTAGGGCCATGGCTTGGTGGTGCCATCGTCGAAAATACATCTTGGAGATGGGTTTTTTATATCAACTTGCCGATCGGGGCCGTCGCATTCATACTCCTTTTTCTGTTCCTGCGTGTCAAATGGAACAAGTCTACCACGGCCTACGAGAGATTTCGCCGACTTGATTATATCGGAAACGGGATCTTAATCGCATCCACAGTATCAATTCTGATCGCTTTCACTTGGGCGGATGTGATATATCCTTGGGGTTCGTGGCATATTCTTGTGCCTCTGCTAGTTGGTGTTAGCGGCATGGTGTTGTTCTTGGTATTCGAAGGATCGCCATTCGTCATCGAACCAGTCATGCCTCTCCGAATGTTTAACAATCGCACCGCCATCATCGTATACGTTATTACATTCCTAAATTCTGTCCAGAATTACTGGTCATTCTTTTTTGTCCCAATTTACTTCCAGGCCGTCCAATTATCTTCACCAGCGCAGTCCGGAGTCCAACTATTAGTGTTTAGTCTCGTAGGGATTCCTGGTGCAGCCCCCGCGTTAGTGGTCCTCTCTAAATGGGGTCGGTACAAACCTCTTCACATTCTAGGATCCGCCCTATTCACTCTCGGTATTGGCCTTTTTAGTATCATGAATCAGAACACAAGTACGGCTGGGTGGGTTTGGATTAACATCGCGGCTGCGCTAGGAACTAGCATACTAACCAATACGTTACTATCTCCTTTCCAAGCATCGCTCAAAGAGGAAGATCAAGCTGCTGCAACGGCTAGTTGGAACTTCGTTCGTAGTTTTGGTAACATATGGGGTGTGGCAATCTCTGCTGCCATATTTAACAGCTTTACCGCGTCTTATTCGTGGATGGTTGATGATACCAGAGCTAGAGCCTCGCTGACATCCGGTAATTCATACTCGAGTGCAACGAAAGCCTTTGTGGAATCGTTCGAAGAACCCATACGACAACAGATTCGAACGGTCTTCACCTTGTCTCTTCAGAAGGTATTTCTGATAGGTGTCCCATTTTCGGGATTCATCTTCCTATTAACACTTCTTGAGAAGGAGATAAAATTGAGGACGGAGCTGAAAACGGAATTCGGCCTTGAGGAACGGGAGTCGGATAACAGCACAGCCTAGTTGATATGTACCTGTGAGCCAATCTGAGAAGTAAGCACCTATGTATTTAGGTAGTTAGAATAGAGTGATAGGCTGAGATTATCTGATCTGATCTATCAACTCGTATAGATAAATTGGCATCGATGAAGAATACCAAGGTACAAAGGGATGTGAAACTAGAAGCCACAAGACGTACGCGTACAAATAAATACATAGAAATATACATGTATAGTAAGCAATACAAGTAATGTACTATGATGTCAAGTAGAGAAGTTAAAAGTAAAAGGGTAATAATAAAGGGGTCGTGAGTTCCACTTGGATCAAGATATTCGATTCGATTGCGCCAATATTGTTACCTGCGTTCGCTAGATTAGGCAGCAGAATAGGGAAGGGGTCCCTGTAAGAAATGGTGGCTTAGCACGTTTAAGCGGGCATGGTGGGCATAGCGGGAACTAATAGGGCGATCGGGATATCCTCTAACCTTCTATCCCCTCTATCCTCTCTGCCTCTATCCACCGTTATACCGTTGGTTCGGTCCAACTTAAACCTTCTTAACTCTTTACTCTAATTAAGAATTAAGCTTGTTGCGTCAACTTACATAATATCTTTTTTCTCCTTTCCTCTTTTAATTCTTTGAAGCCAAGAGATAATCATCACTGTTTTATCTTTTATAGTAATGCATCAAGTTGGCCACCTGCAACTTTCGTATAATCATTTTAGATAATCCCAATCACAATACTTGGGCACCTATAAGTTAGGTGACTAAACAACTAATGTTGCGTACGAGATGGCGACAAACTCACATGCACGATCAAGTTTGCGGCGTACAGCTTGTGACCGGTATAATTCCCTATTATTTTTTTCTTTTTTTTTTCCTATTTAACCCATAATTAATAGCCTATAAAATAGGTGTCGACATTCAAAATTGAAATGTTACCGTGATGAAAATCGTCAAGAATGTGCTCGTTGTCTACGACTGGAGTTACGCTGCGAAGTTGCACCAGCTAAACCTCCAGGACGACCTCGAAAAACAGTCTCGACACCTACAACAAGCGAATCAATAAATCATGCCGGTGTTGCATCTCCCCAATTCCTAAGAAATGAGAGTCAAAGCCCTTCTGATGTTCGAGTTGACCCATTGCTGGATCAAAACATGGAGAATTCGTCTCCAGTGTTGGATGATTCTCAGCGGGGGAGCACCTTATTCCACCAGACACCAATGCCGTCACACATGAGCGTAAATGGCTTCAGTTTAACGACAATGGCGCAATTTCCTGATGTTCGGATCCCCGAATGGTACGAAACAACATGTTTCGACTCTGGACCATCTCCCGGGAGAGACCCCTTAGATGTGCACAATCTCTTCACGGTGAAGTTGGATAGACACGAATGTCTCAAGGAGCTTTCCCAATTGAATGTGGATCTTCATGTTCAATGGGAGGCTATACAGGAGTTGGCGCGAAGCGGGAGGATAGACTTTGCTACCTTCTGTAATCACCCACCTCCTTCAACTGGTGATGGGGTTTCCCTGGCTGAGAAATTGCTTATTATGTCTCAGAGATACCAACAGGCTATAACGAACCTCAACTGGGTCGTCAAGAACGAGCCTAAACCGTTACATCCAACGAGCCCCGTCGTAATCGACGACGATTTTGTACTCGACCCTTTACTCCATATTGATCAAGCTATGCAATCCTCGTCGAGTGGAGGAGAAGGAAGCAGCCAAAATACCCCCGGGGATAGGGTAACCACACAAAATGGCCTACTCGAAACACCATTTGCCTGCGCACTCGTGAGCTGCTACGTGCAAATCGTCAGCCTATGGGAGATCATGTTTGTCCACGTACAGAAGAGAATCGATGGCGCTGATAACAGCCAAGTTCATGTTTCCGATCCCGATAAGGGGATTCGAATGGGTTCATTCTTCATATTCGGTGGTAGATTACAGTCCATGTTTTACTGCCAAGCTGTTCTCTACTTCCTTGATAATATCGATCGAGGCCTAGGCATCCTTCCGGAACAGAGAAAACCTGGTGCATCGGGTCTTTTATCCCATCCTCAACATTTTAATCTGCTTCAAAAGGAATTGGGTGGCCAGATCAAGGAGGGAGAACCTGAACGTCTTCGCGTGTTGAAGGACTTAGTTGAGAAAACTAGGCTATTCTCATTGCATGATGTGGGGTGGTAGATACCGCGAATTCGTTGCTGGTCACCGACGACGCGTGTCGTTAAATGCGGCGTCAAGACATTGAGCCGCGGAAGCGACGAAGTCGAGACACATCGACCGCTAGGGGCTATTCGCGCGTCAAATTAACTAAACAATATGATGGAACCTATTCGTTACGTAACGAGAGTCCTCATAGTTTTCGTGGCCGACGTTGCGATTGCATTCCTTAGCACGGGATGTTCCCAAAAGTCGGTTAGAGTTCCTCGTCGCGGACCGCTTTATGAGATACCACCAACAAAATATCGCAACCCGGAAATCTTGCAAATAGATCTTCAAAATCCATGTGGGGATATTTTCTTAATCATCCAGCCGAGCCTCCCACCGGTGAACGACATGGCATGATTCCACCTTCTATACCTTGGGAGCTTGGGATGTTACCATTCGGCTAATGCTCTACCGATCTCATCGCTCGAAGGGAACACTAACCAAGCCCGACATCCCATGATTCAAAACACACGGGACGATATAATTACGATTCTCAATTGAAGATTATCGACAGTATTTCGGCGCTCGTTTCCAAATCACAGAACCAAGTGGGAACGAAGTATGGGCATTTTGATGTAATTTTTACAGAGAGCACGGGGGATTTGGGTAGATCAATTCCCTTCAATTCTTTTCAGTGGAATGACCTCCCACCGCGGACTGGATCCACATCATTTCCCAACTTCTATATGTACACTATTAAGACCGGGAAACAAAACGATCGCGATGCGATATTGGCCGGAGGACTAAAGGGCAACAAGAGGTTCTTGTGTAAGGAAGGTCTAGGAATTAGGAGTTAAGGGACAGGGCCAAGGATAGGCTCAGGAAACAGACTACTAGATCTACATCAGGGCACGCCGAATGTTCTCTGATCACGTTCTATAGGTATCAGTTTATCGCATAACAATTCGCATATGACCAAGAAATATGTGTAATCATCCCGAATCATCCCCATCAATCATAAGACAATTATATCATGAATAGCAAAGCCCGAGGGGTGAGTTGATTGTGATCCTATAGCAAAGTATCTGGCAAACCTAGCGACAAGCCACAATTCTCGACATTAAAACCATCCATTGTAGGAATTAAAATAATCGATACTTCATGATTTCTTCATTACTCATAAGTTATGCTTTGTGAATACCCTCATTCCTCGCGACCTCTTTCGCGACCAATAACGCCTGCAGCAAGTTTGGGGTATCAACGCCTGTAATTGGCAAAGTAGAAGGGAATAAAAGACCATCCTTGGAACTCATCATTACCCTCCTGGGAATTTTGTTTGATCCGGAATCCTGAAGCAAAGGGAAAGGACCGACAACATAACTGGCTTCAGCCACGGTACGTAGTCGATATTCAGTGGGGTACCTCGAGCGTGAATTCGAACTTTGACTTGCCACCGTCACCGAAAACGACCGGAAGTCCATTGTATGTCTTCGTGTCGGGCCCGGATGTGTTAGAGATAGAGAGTTTCTTGAAATCCTTAGTAATACTAGAAATTCGGCTTCTCTGCTTCTTAATGTTGGCTCGTGTGGTCTTGACATCTTGACGCTTAGCAGGGACTAATTCCTCGGCATCCCATTCACAAGTCAACACCTTGAACTTGACGCTTTCCGGATTCGCTGATCCCTTGGAGCGCTTCTTGCAATACGTGACGTAGTTTTCACTGACCCATGATAAGGTACGGAAAACATGCGTGTTGACCTTGCAAAGTTGAGGGTCAACTTCGTAGTAAGTACGACCTCCTTCGCCGCTAGCAAAGCGTTCTCCCTTGTCCCGATATTCTTCCTATGATATTAATCTCCGCTAATGCGTGAATCAGTCATAATAAACGTACCTTTCATTGCGTGAATGCATGAAGTAGGAAAAGATTTGTCGCGTTGCTTGCGGACCGCTAGGCAATCCATAAAATAGAAAGTCTCAAGGTTCTTGAATAAGGCGGCAAACTCGTAGGCATGTCTCGGGCGGGTATTGTCGTGGTTTCGGTGGAAATGAAGGTTATGGATAATACCACATGTGCGACAGACTCGGCAATCATCATCCCACTTAGTGCTATAACGAACTGCGACCCGTCGTATCTTAGCAAGTTGCTCCAGATCCAAATTCTCAGCCCAATATCCCAACGATCGAGACCATGTTGCACCCGGATAGTCGAAGCATACGATATCGGAGGATTTCTCTAGTAAAACCAAACGGCCGTTGTCGAGGGTTAAGTTTCCCGGACGAGCAATTAGGCCTTCGACTAGTTTCTTCGCTTCGTTGCAAACCAGGGATAATTGCGTGAATGTCTTATTCATTGTCAGGTAATATGATTTGTCGGCTGCTGGAAACGGGAAGACAGGTTTGAGAACGCTTGTGAAATTCGGTCGTTTAACCTCCTTTCCGGTCTGGGATGTTGGGACACGAGATGTGGTACCACCACTATCGCCATCGTTATCCTCAGATGCAGCATCCGAGTCGTACATGATAGAATCTTCGTTGTGCTCAAATTTGAGGAAGTGGATGCCTGGAGTATAGATGATATCCTCCCAAATTTGATGGCGGATATCAAACGGGAAGTCCGGAAAGCATGTGAAGCGTTGAAGGCTTGGCGGGATGACCAAACGGATAGGAGACGACATACTGACGAGTCTGTCGAATTGTGGCAAATGAATTAGAGGGATAAACTGCTAATATGTTACGAATGATTCTCGGTGGTAGATAACGAGCGGTGATGACGAAAGGTGGCGTCCAGTAACGATAATGTAGACCACCACTAACGTAACCTTAAAGGGGTTGCCTTGTTTCTTTTCGCAGGAAGGGAAGGGTGCCTATTTTTCAGTAGGCAGATTCTAGATATTTCATATCCAGACCAATGGCATTTAGGTGGGCGACGACAGTTTGCAGTTTATTTATCAAGATCCCGTAGCTTGACTTAAAAAGGTTGATATTCACAAAATAGGATAGGACAGATGATAGAACTACGTATTGTGTTTTGTGGGAAGGTAGCTGTCAGGATAGAAGAATACGACAGGAACTAAGGGTATGTAAGGTGCAGATGATGATGATGATGATGATGAATTTGGAGAAGTTGGAATTTAAAAGGAGGTAAGAAATTAGAATTTAAATTTTAAAGAAGGGGAAAAAGGGAAGAAGGGAAAGTGAAGTTTGAAGTTGAAATGGTGTGATGTTGAGGCAGGGCGAAGAAGGAGCCTTCGTTGGGTGCTCAGGTGCTCGAGCCGGGTAAGTACCATACCGTTCACCGCGGTACTTAATACCATAGTACTTGGGCAGGTGTGTGGCAGCATTCACATACCTATATTTTATGCATATACACTACATGACGATGTACATCTAGTTATTATGTACACGTGCTTATTCCACCAGCTACTGCACCTATGTAGTTTAATTATTACAGGTCAGAATACACCTAACCTTATATGAGGCTGAAATTAGGTTAGGTACAGGTACCCGGAAACGTAGAAAAGGCGTTAAACATCACCTAAGACAGCCCTGAGTCGTAGGCTAGATTAACGGTCTTTTCAGGGGAACCCCGCAGCCTGCATTTTGATTTCGTTGTCGGTCATGGTGGGGTAAAGTAGCTCCAACGTCATAAGTGTTCGGTCTACTACATAGGTACCCCCTAGGTATGCACCTAATTCGGTATAGTTCCGAACCAGCAGTGGTGTTAATTCGCCATTTTAGGCGTCTTAGCGGGGTATTGTGCTGTGTTGGTCTGCTACGTTGGCCTAAAAACATGGCCTGTAAATATTACAACAGCTACAACTACAACTGAATCGGTATGGATTGGGCTCGACGATTTAAATACCCAACTGTGACCTGTTCATAACCCCTTCAAACAATCATCACCGCATATGATCCATATCGCCGAGTTCGCATTGATTCAATTGACCGACAGAGAGACACATATCTTATACACGTTCACATGTTTTAAGATATTTCTACGTAAAGATTAGTTCTGTATGAATAACTGGTTTATTATTCGAATCTTCTCCAACTTGACTTAATGAAGGATCACTCAGATGACAACGAGAGAAATACTCAGTCGGGCCTCGATACAAATATTCCCCTCCCACCTAAACTAAATATCAACTAAAATCAACTCATGAAAATTATACTACGACTGCCTCACTTTCAAATGTCCCCTTATAAGCGTCGTCACTGGCGCCAGCTTTCTCCAAGGAAGCCTTACTAACACCGTCGGCCTCTGAAAGCCAGACACCCGTCCATTCCCCTTTGCAGACGACGCTAAACGGCCTGCCACGTAGCTTCTCCAGTGGTACGATAGGTTGCCTGAGTTCCAGCTCCTGTTCCCTCGTTTGACCCGCTCCGATCGTGACCAAGGATTCCGGCCCCGGCGGCATCTTTCGCCTGATTTGAATCTTCGGCATATGTACAGCTTCCTCGTTGTCGCTTCCTGTGGGTACAAAAGACACGAGGCCTAGCTGTAAAGCCAGCGGATCCAACGGCGAGTTCCAAGTTAGGATCGTCACGGGGCTAGAGTTGGCATTGGTGACAGCGATGGCTAGCTTCGGCGGAGAAGTCGAGCTGACTTGGCGGATTGATACCGTGAGTTTGGAGATGACGTCGGTAGAGTCTGTCATTTTGATGGTAGTGATCGACTTGGGAGAATTGATATCAGATGTACCGGTATATCGGTATAAGAGGAATAAGACGGTAAGAAGAAGTAAAGATAAAATACTTCGACTTCGGCCGAATCGTCGTGTTCCCATAGATGTCTGTTGGTTTGGATACCTACCAGGGTAGATAGATATTCGTAGGTGTTGAAAAAGCACCGAAAGTAAGCGGCGTTATAATCTCCTCTGCCCGAGCGTAGGTAGGTGTAAGACCCGAAACCGTTGGTGCTAATAGCGCTACTACTCACTGAAGGATAGCGGAATGATGCCTATCTTTGGGGCGGCTTTTGAAGTGCACGGTGGTTTTATAACATCGGTATAGCGCAAATACTTCAAGAATTCGTTTTATCGCAGGCATACATCTTAAGAACTGATTTATCACGGCGACAGCTTCGAAATACTTGGGGAATACGTCACTATCATGGCCTAGGAAGCCAACTTCTAGATTAGGAGTCCTTCGTCCGATACTTACAAATGCGACGACCCCCAATTCCACTGGAGTCGATGGGTAAATTCGACGCCAAGATGTCTCATCGAGTTTGTCGAAAAAGGCAGGTCTCCTAACAATTCTATGAGCTTGATTGGTTCCAAGTCAAGAGTCATAAGGTGTACTACGCGTCTACTCTCAGTTAAAAAACAGGGCGATTGAGGGCGACTGCTTGGGAAAATAACATAGAATGATCATTAATATGTATTGATATATCGTCAATCTATATGTAGTCCAAACGACTCTGAACAAGAATAAGGGGAGTAGGTGCCCATCTAGGCCCTCAACCACCTCGTTTCTAAATATTCAACTCTTAATCTCTCTACTTATATGCAGCCCACCGTCTCTTCAAGTCTTAACACCTCTTTCCATATACAGATGCTCACCTCAATCTATATAACACAACGCTGCTTAATCAAACACATCCGTAGCATATCGGGTATTCCGTAGGCCCTCCCACCACTTAGAAGCCTGTTCCTCCGTCACCTCTCTACCCTTAGTCAATTCCACCTCCTTAACCAGGTCCACAACCGCCGCCTTAACACCCTCGCCAACAGCTCGCGAGCCGCAGACATACAACTTAGCGCCTTCACTCCAGAGTTTCGTGACTTCATCTCCAGCTGCTCGGAGTGCATCTTGCACGTATTTGTTTCCATTGGAGGCTTCTGGTTTCCGGCTGTATGCGCGTCGTACCGATATAGCGCCTGCTTTCTCCCATTCCGCTAGCTCTTCCGCGTATAGATCATCGCGACCCGGTTCACGGCTTCCGATGAATAGTAAGGCAGGTGCGAGCTTACGTCCAGCGGCCACCATGGCAGCACGCTCTTGTATAAAGCCACGGAAAGGAGCAAGACCTGTACCTGCTGCGACGCAGATGACAGGAACGTTCTCGATATCCTGTGGTAGGTGGAAGGCGGCGTGGGATGGGCGGACGGAGACGTGTAACTTGTCGCCGGGCGCGAGAGAGGCCAAATAAGATGATGCAACACCGACGTGTACACCTTGGCCAGACTTGGAGGGCGCCTCAAGTACTGAGAAAGTCAAAGTGACGTGCAAAGGGTTCCATAGTGGTGACGAGGAAATAGAACTATATTTCGTTAGTTTATTTTGTTCCAAAATTTGATCGTCGGTTTCCAGATGAGATTTGGGTTACGTACTATTGTCGCACACGCATAGGAGGAAGCATCGCCAAGAAAGCGCCCAAAGGTAGGTCTACAGAGACATGCTTCTCCAATAGATCTAACACTGAAAGTCGCTTAGATGCGACCTCTTCGTAGGCTTCGTTGGCGTATTTCCTCAATGCCTCCTTCTCGTCAGCATCCATTGCTGCTTCAACCAAAGTACCAATGTTCTACAATAACCGTTAGCTAGTTCTTCAAGCTGGGGTGTCGGATCATGATTAGTTAACTTACCCTCTTGGTAGCGGGTTGGGACAATTCAACATAAGCGCTGAAGACGCTATGGGCAGGTAGTGATGTGTTGGTTGGAAGCGAAGTCATTCCATCACTGCCGATGGTGATATGCGCATCCCATGGAAGATGGAACCTACGCATAGCCCGCTCCACGATCTGTTTAGGATTAATTGGCAAAATTGCGAGGTAATCACCTGCTCGGTAGCTTTCGTCACTTGGGAGCACAATTTCGATGTGTTTCTTGACAGGTTCTCCTTCAACTGTTAATGTTCGGCTCTCGACCACCAAACCTTCCATAACGTCCTGTCGTAAGGTAGATGTGCGGGGATTCGTGACCGAAACCCTAAGGCCAACAGCTTGGGATGGGTCCGTCGCATCACTTGAAGTTCCATACTTCTTTTTGAGCGATGGCCAGAACACTTCATCTTCCCATGTCTCAAAGTCGGCAAAAGCGTCGCCCTTTCCGACGTCGGTAAGACCAATATCCGCAACTCGAGTAGCGCCAGCCTCAGTCAGCTTGGTATCCACCAACTTAGGTATCCTGTGGAAGGTCTGAGCCCAATCGTGATGACCAACACCGAAAACAGTGTAGTGCACGCCTTCAAGAGCGGTCTTGTCTTCTATGCTCTCGATCCACGAGACAAAGTGAGCAGCATTATCTGGTGGTTGTCCTTCGTACGACGCAGTAACAATGACCACTGGTTCCCCCTTGGGAAGGTTTCCATTTGCAGTATCCAGGAAGTCGACCTTCGATACCTTGTAACCGTGACGTAACGCATCACTAGCTACTCTCTGAGCAAGAGATTCGCAAGTACCACTGTTACTTCCGTACAAAATCGTGATTGGTTTCCCACTAGCGTTACCATTCGTAGCGGAATCTTTCAAAGACAAGCCATTTAGGGCTTCTGTTGGTGGTTCCTTGCCTGCTAGGCGGTGTTCAAGTTGGCTAGGGGTCATTCCGTCGCGGAGTGTTGCTCTCATTCGGAAACCCTTAGGCTTGATAGTTAATGTTTGCTTCAGAGCTAAACTGTATGATGGGTCGTCAAAGATGAAGTTGAAGTTTTGCAGTAGCATAGCAATGGCTAAGGTCGCTTCTTGCCAAGCAAATGGTCGGCCGATACACTTTTTGATATCATGTCAGTAATAGTTCGGTCAGTGATGATGTAAGCGACGATATACGTACTGCTCGGAGTCCATTGCCGAAAGGCTTCCATGCGTTCTTGGGAAGCTTATTGAATGGTTCATCCAACATTCGTTCTGGCTTGAATTCTTGTGCATCGTCACCATAAACGGCCGGATCTTGGTGCATTTTCACGAAGAGCATTGATGCAGTCTCGCCCTTATGTATTAGGTACTTTCCTCCTAGGAGAGTATCTTCTTTGGCCGTTACACCGATTTGGGAAATCGGCGAATGGAATCGTAGGGTTTCGCGCATTAACTAGGATTGTGTAAGTGGACTTCAAGACGTGGTGTTTGCTATCAAAATGGACATGACTTACTCCCACGATATACGGTAGCTTGGACATATGGTCCACAGTAATAGGACCCTTTCCAATGACTGTATCAACCTCCTGTTGAGCCTTGCGGTAGACGTCAGGATTTTTTAATAGTTCATAGAAGACGAATGAAAGTAATCCGGAAGTAGTTTCATGTCCCGCTACCAAGAAAGTAATAAGGTTGTCGGTGATACTCGAATCACTCATGTGTTGACCAGTCTTCGGGTCTACACCGTTTAACATCGCGTTGAGAAGATCTTTCCGGTCAGATGGGTTTCGTTTACGTTCTTGCAGAACTTCATCAGATGTATCTCGTAGGACATTGATGTCCTTCCAATATTTGGCGTCCTCATTTCGGTAGAACCAAGAAGGCATCGTCCTGTTGGGCCTATTGCCTGATTCGGTAAGGAAATCACCCATAGCAGCGATGAATGGGTGTAACTCCGATGTGTAGTAGCTATTAAAACGGTAGCCCATAGAGCATAAAGCGAGAGTGTCAAGTGCTAGACGGGTGAAATCTTCTGAAACTTCAATCGGATTTCGAGGTCCATAACGAGCCCACTTCATAGCAAGTTGCGTAGCAATCTCATGCATCTCTTCAAACATGCCTCGGATCGAGATAGGTCCAAAAGCGGGCATTAGAACTGACAGGTGTTAGTATTCACAGTGTTTGGCATTGTGGTTTCGATTCACGAACCTCGATGGGCAATACCCCAGTTAGGTTCTTCCAACCGAGCCTAAAGTCTTCGTCAACACGTCTCGAGCTCTGCTTGAGTCTATCATGTAGGCTTACAGTGAATAAACCATCATGAACACCGTTTCGAATTTCATGAAGAGCTGCTTTTGGGATCTTGACGAACTTTTTCTCATCACACAGTTCGTCTACAAGACGGTGACTCGTAACGAAAACTATAGTTCGACCAGGAAGACGAAGTCGATATATTTCGCCTGTGAGGGGCGTCAGTAACACTCAGGCTAGGAGTTACTCTCTCCGAGGGAAGGCTTACCATATCTATCAGCAAGAGAGGCAAAAGCACGTATGGGGAGTTCTCGATCAAGTTCGGTAAGATGACCGATAAAGGGTAGAGCGGGAGGCTCTGGAATAGGTACTTCTCCTTCCATCGTTGTCTCTGTAGGGCTCAGGGAATTTAGAATTGAAGGCCACTCGATGGGCATGTTGAATCAAGGTATATCCCGCCTCCGAGCCAGCAGCTCCGGAGACTCGACTATATATATGATTCTGTATAGGTATAGTGTGTGTTGGTTTGGATATATCCGACTTAGCCCCCGGTAGGATTCAAACAACTCCGAATTCCGCCTGTTGTACTAGGTTATCGGCCGAATTGTGTAATTGTAAGAGGGGCAATAAAGGTATAAAGTCGGGTTAAGCACTGGATATAAATTTGTTTGTCCGGGTATCCTATCCTGATCGAGTTTGCTCAGCTTGTACGAGGGAGGACAGCAGGAATAATGACGAGATGACCGATAAAAAAAAAGTCATCCACGGAATTGTTCCGGGGTGCGCGACTTGACGAGAAAATTGGGAACCCCGAACGAGTACTTGAACCGAGGCTTGCTTTCTGGTCTGGGCAACGTTAGCCGTTCGTACTAAATCCCTTTGGTATGTTTATGGTAAGTTATCTAGACCCGGGGCCGAAACGGAAACGTCAACAGTCCACAGGGTCCCCGATTTTGACTTCATAGGTAGGTCATTCCCGTTTGATTATGCGAGTCGGTTGCCAAGTCGTCTGTAACTTCTACATATATACCTAACATGTAGGGTATAAATATAGTGTAGCTAATTCTTGTGTTATAAGTGAATGGGTCCATCTTAGCCTGCTTAGCCGCTTAACTTCCTTTCAACTTCTTATCCCTTAGTCCTATAGTAGGTACAACATCGTACTATTAAGGACCCAGGACCCAATGACCCTGCCTTGTCTGCACAACTGCCTGTACACTACGGTAGACGGTGCCACCGTATGCCGGATACTATTGTTGCATTGCATTGCGCGCTAGTATAATCTCATATACTAAGTACTATGTATGCTTACATATCATACATGTAGCGAATAGGATATACTAGACATACAAAACAATTGTGGCGATGCATTTCGTAACGTGGTTCATCCAAAGAAACATTACGTGATGAAAGAGTTTAGGAGTCGCCGACACGCCGACGGAGATGAAGAATTGACCCGTTTTGCCAATACGTACTACCGCGGCCGTTATGCTCAACAGGTTTTTAAAGTAGGGCGCCAGGTCAACGGGATAGACGTTTTGTATTACGTGGGTACCTGCGAGCTAACGTCATTTTGCAGATTTGCTTAGGAAGGTAAGCTTCAGCTACTTTTAAATAGCTTTCGGGTACGACAACTCTATCTAAGTGCCAACCTTAGTAGGTTGTTTCGAATTGTATCATACGTCCTAATCCATATAGGTTTCCGTCCACTAAAAGTTGTTAGTTTATTAAAGGGCTGAAGTTAGGAGCTTGTCCTATGGATCTTTAAGTTGAGCCCACGCCTAACACTTGCAGGTACCTGCACAGAAGTACCTATAAATCTACCTAGGTACCTAGGTATACTTAATTTTATCATCCTCAATGTCAAATGGATGCGCTCTTTTTAACAAACATTTAAGATACCATAATATATCATGCCATCTCGGAAATACATACGTTATAAGCAAACTTTAAAGCCAATCCCGAAAGATCCAATTCAAATCCCAGAAAACCGAAACCGAGATACATACACCGTATCTATCGCCTTATTTTCTGTACTGCCGAATTAAGCTTAACCATTGGCGGGTCACCTCCTTAATATGGACCATTACCGAAAGCGGATTCTTGCCGAGGTATCTCCACATTTTCTCTTCGTTCATCTTTAGAATTCCGTCGATACCTGGGTACTTACAGATTACATCCAAAAACAATTCATTCAGCGATGATCCTCCAGCTCTCTCATGCCTACGGTAACTGCCCTGCCTCCCATAAAACAAAGAAAGGAATCAAGTCACAGAGAAACATTGTCGCATTTCAGGCGTATTTAATACGCAATAACCTTTCATCTTAGTGTTGGGCACACATGTCAGTCTTGTATAGCAGTCCATGTTTGCCTGACTCGAATGACGATCGCGAGTGAACCAATTGGGAATATTCGTTTCTAAGCTATGGCTTCTCGAATCTCACCCATGCAGCCACGCTTTAGGAGGTAGGCATCTAATACTTAGCGTGATGGCTTAGCTTTTAGTATACACGGTAATGTCGGCGTGCCAGCACCTCCGTCTTATAGGGATATACCGTCCGGCGGAGAAATTTATTATCCCGGTCTCCTATTAAATGACGGAAATCTATACTTAGTTGACGATGCTTGATAATATTCGGCGATATAGTCCCTGTGATCTACACATCCGCCCGATCGCTATCGGATTGATGTCGAAACTGCAAAAAAAAAATCTGGAACTCGGTACGAAACCGAGAGCGGCATGTACGTGCTGTCACATTACGCGGCTATGGAATGCCGCACGAGCGCGAGCCCCAACCCCGCAGGTTCGATACGCAGCAATGTGACTCTTCTCATGCGCTGTCAGCATGCATCCTGATGAAGAATATGCAAGAATGGGCGGAATTTACCATTAGTCCCAACTACATCTGACTCTGTCGTGGATCTGACTTTGAGATTATCATTTACGGGCGCATGATTCTACAACATGCGATAGCCTTACTAACATAGGTATTCAGGTCGAAAACACATCCGCGACTGGCTCCTTTTCATACGGCTACGATGAGTTATCTATTTGATACATAGGATTTAAACGGAATTCCAGATATGATGCTATTCTATTCACTGTTTCTTTGTTTGCAGTTCACGGACCGCTGTTTTTGGTAAGGTACTAGTTGCCAGGTAAGTGTATGGAATGTATATGAGACAACATCAAAATTTCAACCTCGAGACGACAAAGGAATAGTCTAATGGTCGTCGCAAGTAATAAATTAACTTGTTTTAACGCCAAAGAAAATGCAGACCCAAAGCTTTCTAGTAGAATGGGTGTTCCCAGAAGAAAGGCCATTTTTACCCTCTTCTTCGTGTATTGAACAGTTCAAGCTTTGTTAGTACACGTTTACCCGGATAAACAAATTCGCTTTGGGGAAGACGACTTCATACTATAACAACAGCAGGAATATCTACCTCATTGGGAGGAGGATGGAGTCCGAAGATTCTCTTGAGACCTGGACTCAGGCGCCAATACCAACACCAACATTACGACGTGCCCGCGCTCGGGACCATGAAAATGGATTCGTTTCCCAACCACGCCCGAGTGCTCGACGTCAGAGGGCCCATTCACCAATACCTTCTAGAATTCCAAATATTCACATAAGCGACCGGCTACTTTTCCTAGTAGGTTTATTCTTCGCTTTGCTTGGGATATTACTTATATGGGGGGATGCCGACGAGTCCAGAGTCGAATATAGGCATCCAGGGCAAAGGAGAGCCATCGGAGCTACAAAACCGGTAAAGCCACCTCGCGAAACAAACTTCCTTGAGGTTGTGGATCTATTTTGTCGGGGGTCGCAAGTGATTTTGCTGGATAAAGCTGGATTAGATACCTGGTTTGTCGACACAGATATCAATAGCGCGGTTATCGTCACTATGTTAAACGGTGTACCCCTCAACCTTGAAGCGGATAAGAACGGCGATGTTGTTCGAATATCAAAGCTTGAGGCGGCAATTGGAAATCGAGAGTCGAGCCTCTTGATGGCCAAGGATGCGTTCAAGAAATTCCTTGACATTCGCGAAATATTAATACACGACGTAATCAGTGACCATATGTTATGGACTCAATTCGGGTACGAGCCATCCCTGAAGCGCATTTTTTCATACGCAAGAGACCTGGACAATTCGCCACCCATTACTACTATTAATCGTCCTCAGCCGTCTATTGACGACCCAGATTCGAAGAACAGGACGTTTGGTAAGGGAGAGCCTAGCCTTGCGGAAATGTTGAGAGAATTTGCGGGGGAGATCGCGCAGAGTCATTACCGTGTATGGACGCGGGATTATAGGGTTAGACGTATAAAACAATATCTAGCCGCGACACGAAGGCACTTTGGAGATGTGCGACGTTACGAAGCTCAGGTCATAAAAGGCTTAAAGGAGAAATCGTCAAGAAGCTACCTATGGAATCCCAAGCAACATGGAGATGTTATGTGGCAGTTCACAAGAAAACTAATCAAGTTAGAACAAGCGTACGAGGAAACGACGGAGAATCTTAAGGAGATTGTTCGTCGGGTGAATAAACTAGACGTTAAATACGTTGCGGAGAATAGGACGTATGAAGAAGCACTTGTGATTTGGAGGCAGAGTCTTAGGAATCTCATGCAAAACTGGGGTGCACTTCTGATCAACTCTCCCCAGGGCGTGCTATACCTTCTAAGAAAACAAGAAGTTGGGTCGGGATTGACTGATGAAGTATCTTGGGAAAAGTGGAAGCAACGGAATTGTGGTGGAACATCTTGTTACGACGTTGCGGGGCTAGGCAACTGGTTTAAGGGGTTAATTGGGATGAGTGAAAAGCCTACAGCAGGGCGTGCCCATGACGAATCGGAATTTAGTAGGATTCTCGGCTATAACAAGAAACCTCTTGTATGGCGAGCTGCGTATGAGAAGGCATGTTGTCAGGATGGAGAGATTGCTCGGTTTCTTAAGCATGGGCCGTCCTCATCTAAAACGGTGGTATGAAGTGAGCATTAATCGGGAAGTACACATACTACCTTAGGATAATAAGGATTAGAGCGAGATAGGATATAATTGACGAGGCCATCATTCCGGTTTGTCTAGCCTCAGTTTGGCCAAGTAAAGAAAGCAGTCTATTGATAATCCATACAATCTAGTTTCATATCAGACCTCTATTTCCCCGCAAGTGCAGACAGAACATCCTCGATAGGTAAACCCCAGCTTCCTTCTCTCAATCACCGCGTCCATGGTAAGCTGTCTCCTCACTCGGGGGCCAATTCTAAGTTCGTCCCTTCTTATTCTTGTTCTTCGACGCGCCATTCTTAGATCCGTTGCTCGTATTGCGGGTATCATTCCCATTCGTGTAATCTTTGGTGGCATCCTCATCCCATACTTCCAACTGTATTGAGGCTTCGCGTAGGTCGTCAACGTCATCAAACATAGAGAGGCGTTCCGTTCTCTGGGTTCGCCATAGTCGGGCCACAACGATTAGACTAGAACCTTTGGGGCATAATGCGGCTTCGAAGTCAGTTGGTCTTGCGCAGTCTGGTGAAATAGCTATGTAGCATGACGGTCGGGATGCAGACGATGAGGACCCGGCCTGTTGGTCTGGTGGAGACCGCTTCTGTCTTCCTGCACTGTAGTCCACTACTGGGAAAGTAATGTGACGTACCGACTTTGGGTATACGTAGACATCTGGGTAATCCATAGATGCTGGGCGGGGGTACAGAGAATCGGATGCTGTCGGGGGTGTACTAGGTTGCTTTTGTTTCTTCTGTGGCTCTGGGTCGACCTTATTATTATCACCAATAGGATCTATCACTCGTCTCAGTATCGGTCGCTTGGGGAGAATAATGTCGGCTGCTTCGTCTTCGGAATTACCTGGGGAGTATGGGTATGGTAAGTCTGATGATAGGGAAAATCTTCTCTTTAGTCTGCATTCTTGGCAATCACATCGGATTGGATGAAGAATAGGAGGGGAGTAAAACGAAGGAGATCGTAACTGCTTTCCGGATATATCGTCAGGCATGGTGAATCCAGTGCTTGTTCGGTGTTTCTGACGAGATTGATGGGACTGGTAATGACCTCGGATGAAGCACATATTTATAGGCTTCTGCAAATTGACCCTTCTGCCTAGGTGCCTTATCAACTGGGTGATCCCCTGGTCTATATAAACTAGACTTGCAGATATCTAGGCTGCTCCTTTGTAGGTAGAGTCTCAGGCATGAAAGTGCAAGGATAAGAAGGTTTGTTGATGGCTTTGCCGCATGATGATACTAGCCACAACAGCGAACTTCTTAGAGGGTATGAAGCTCTTAGTTACACAAAGACATATAGCACGTATCCATTCCATAGGAGCAAAAACATACCAAGGAAAGTGATCTGATCATGTTGTCCTAAGCACGGACAAGCCTGGTACATGAGCCCCTTTTTGCGCCTATTAAAGATATAATGGTTATTTATTTCCTTAATTCATTCATTTTCAGTATGAATATCAACCTGAAATGACTTCTACCCTTAGATAGGCAAGTTAGGTATTATTGAGAAAAGGGGTAAAATAGGGGGGATGCTTACCTAAGTAAATGTACCTAGGTAGCACAGATTACGTGACTCGATAGACAATTAGGAAATCACAGCTCCACTGAGCCTAAGGAACGTGGCCAGAACTCGATAAAGAATCGATAAGGGGAAAATTATTATGTAATATGAGCTGAAGACGGGTTGGGCGGAAGAACCCTGTCCCCTAATTTTTTCGTTTTCAATCGGGGGTCCATGCAAATCGCCGCGATTCGATTCAATTGCGACAGTTTTTAGTTCTCTTGGATTTTCCATACCTACTCCGAGTCCCTCTCAACAATAACCAAATCATTCTCGACGAACAAGTATTCACATCCCTCCATTAAGGGAAATCGATTCTTCTTTCTTCGTCTTCGGTTTTTGTCTCTTGTGGTTATTCCATACCGATCGTCAAAATGGCTGGCCTAAGTCCCCAAGTGTATGTCGTGTCAAGTTTTGTTTCGCACGTGTGCGCTTTCAAGATGATAACTAACGAAGCTTCACAACAGAACCAACATCATCATCATTCTTGGAATGATGCAGGTGTCTAAGCGAATCCCTTTCGACGATCCTAATGTCCTCAACATCGTTCGCGGGCTATACATCGCTAGTAACGTAATCATCGCCGGCATTTACCTATATGTCCAATTACAGATCAACAAGAAGAAGGGTAAGCTATTTTCCATTTTCAACTCGCGCTTTATGCGATCAGCGACAGAAATCCTAATTAGATATGTCATACAGACCTTACTACCCTCAAGTATGTCGAGCCGGCACCGATGGGATCCAGCGAAGAGGGGAAGCTCGTAACAACCACCGTTCACGCGTACGATTCTCAACAGATCAAGAACTCATTCCGATCACAACTTATGGGAGTTGCGATGATGGGATTCATGCATCTATACATGAAGTACACCAACCCTCTTTTGATCCAGTCTATCATTCCCCTCAAGGGTGCTCTCGAAGCCAACTTAGTCAAGATCCACCTCTTTGGTCAGCCGGCAAGCGGAGATCTCAAGCGTCCCTTCAAGCAACCTGCTGGACTTATGGGTGGTCTTCAGAGCGGCCCCGCGCAAAGCGATAAGAAGGCTGTGGAAGCTGCTGAACGCGCCGGCCGTGGTGGTGTTAAGGACGAGTAAATGCGTTTGCAGGAAACTTGTTCATTTTCGTAATACCAGGGGTCTTAACACCCCAATTTTGGCTCTGGTTTCTGGTTGATATAGATACATCCTCTCTCCATGAGTAGACGAATAGCATGATGAATTAATATGCTCTTCATAATTCATAATAATATGCCTTCAGAACGTGCGATGCATAATTACCATTCCGGCGCTATTTGTGAAGTGGTTAAATTTCAGCAGGTACTACAGTGCTATCTAGGTACTTGTTCTAGGCAGTAAAGACCCTGAAGTGGCGTAATTGTCGGGCACTCGCCGTTTTCAATGTCCGACGTCACCGATGATTACCAAAGAATTGTATCTTGTACATCTTTTTAGAATGACACAATCCTAAAACTTACAACATTCTTTCTTTTTAACCATCTACCAAGCATTCACACATTATCTATTTCCATATCGCAATGGAGCGTCCTTCGACGCCGCCACAGACTCGAAATGCGAACCCTTCTAATCCCATAGTCTCTCCTCCCACTCCCGACGTAACCAGGCGCATTGTAAGTCAAGCCCCGCCAACAATCTACACATCTCGTCGCTACAATCGCATTTTCGGTTCTAATGAATTCTATATGAGTAGGAAGAAAACCGCCTCAAAGCCAAAGCACTTCGCGAACAACACGAATCCGCCGCCCGCGCATCAGGCGCACCCTCCCTCCCACGCACATCCTCCGGCTTCATCGCCACCGACGACGTCCACGTCCCCAATACACGCAAGCGCGCCTACGATGCCATATCCGGCGGTGGCCGAGTCCGCGATACCCCTTCTACAAGTCGCGATGGCCGCGCAAACAACGCCTCTCCGGCTAAGGACGGTGCCGACAAGGCAAAGACAGACAAAGATGATGGGTCTATTAGACCGGCGAGAAAGTTCACCAAGTTCGTCGATTATGACTTGGGTAAGATGACGGATACGAAGGGTGGTTTTCTGAGCGCAGAAGATGATCCTTGGAATAAGGCTATGTCGGGGTCGATTGCAACAGGGAATGGAGGCGCTGCTGGACCAGCCGAAGGGCCGGAGGAACAGAGACCGAAGGGGATGACGGTGCAAGAGTGGGAGAGGTTACAATTACTAAAGAAACTACGACGACAGAAGGCAGGACCATTCGAGCCCGGTTTGAGCTCGCTGCAAGACAAGAACGAGCGGAAGAAATGTGCGGAATGTAAAAGTCTTGAGATTGATTTCGTATGGGAGGAAGTATTCGGATGCGCTGTGTGCAACGCTTGCAAGGAGAAATATCCCGAGAAATACAGTCTTCTAACCAAGACAGAGTGCAGGGAGGATTACCTTCTCACAGAGCCGGAGTTAAGAGACGAAGAGCTATTGCCGCATTTATCAAGACCCAACCCGCATAAGTCACATTGGCACGACATGATGTTATTCTTACGATACCAGGTTGAGGAGTATGCATTCAGCAAAAAGAAGTGGGGGTCTGCTGAGGCGTTAGATGCTGAATTCGAACGCCGCGAAGCCGATAAGAAAAAGAGGAAAGAGGCTAAGTTTAAGGAGAAGCTACTAGATCTGAAGAAGAGGACAAGAACAGATGCGTATCGAAGGCAGAGAGGAAAACTTGGAATAGGTGGCAATGGAGGAAGCAGTGCTGCACCAGGCAAGAAAGCTAAGTTTGGCGATGCAATATCCACTGGTGGCAAGCATGCTCATGAATGGGGACGAGTCATTGAGAACGAAGATGGCGCGACGGTGAAGACTTGTACAACATGTGGCATGGAAGTTGAGGAGATGGAGTTTTAGACACAATAATGATACCCAGCCGCATAGGCGAATAACAGAATTGGCATCGTTCATAAAAGGCAATACACCGACCATGCGGAATATTCTTGTCGCATCACACAAGAAACCATATAGCGTAGCCAAACACTTTTAGTAAATTATAAGTCGCAGGCTTGCTACAGAGATTTGCGATTTTCGGCTAAGTGCCTTATTTCGGACTCAACGCATCATAGAAGCGCATGTATACTTGGACATCACGATATAATCTGCAATGGCTTTTTGAGAGTTAAAGCCGAAATGTCAAGACTTTCCCGAGGTGATATATCATATCCAAATCGTCATTATGCATAGCACGGCAGATAGTATTAGTGTCTCGTGGATTCGCTAGAACGGACGGTCGATTGAGATCGGAATAAAGGAAAGACGAAGTGAGAATTATAGAGGTCAACATAAGGATACCTAGGTATTACCGTGGTACAAATTTATCACCGAGGGCGATCGCGGTTCTAGAAAGCCACCCAAAATCTGCTGCAAGAAGGCTTACCGCACCGCCCACCTACGCACTCACACCATTATTCTTCGCGTTCTCGCAGCTTTTAGCACCGTGGACGATTCCGTGGAAGCCATGGCATCAATTCTAAAATAAGCAAAGGCATACCTAGATACAGAATAGGATTCGTGGGAACCAAGGACTCTTCGCCGCAATATTTGGATCCTGAAGGCATATGTATTTCGGGTTTATGAATGAGTGCGCCTTTGACCGAAGATATATTCATAAGCCGGCCTATAGAGAGGGACCGACAAAAAACTCTTCACATAACCACTCACGTAACTATCTAACAGGAACACATACCTGGGCGGGTATACTGACCTATCGCAGGGTTATCATTGGGTAATATCGCGCGAGCATTAACTAGGATGGGTGAAGAACTTACCCCAGACCAGGTCCCCAGTCCCCTGGGACCATACTAGGTAGCCTACAGCTCGGACTTTTCGGCTTCAACCCTCGCCGTGCCCTTGCGAATCCCAATACGCTATATGCAGCCAGAGGTCGATGTAACAGATTAAAACCATCCGATTCAAGTCAGCTTCGGTCTCGGCTCCCTGTTACCTGTATCGAGCCCGAATAAACTGTGACCCTCCGAAAAATCGGAACCCTCTGTAGGTTACCATCCTCGCGCTTTCGCTCTATGACTCTATTTGATCCAAGAGTCACCAGAAAATGTCGGTGGAGACATACACAAGGCTTGAGAGGGGTCCTCTGTACGAGATGATGTTTATATTAATATTTAGCATTCGCTGTTTTCAATGCAAAATGTATATACTCGTTTCTAACAATCTAGAACACAATTGAATGCGATATCTATTCATCTCGACAGTTCAAAATTGCCAATTGTAAATATGGAGTCGTTTAACGACTTTCAGAGTCTAGGGAACTACGAGCTTCTCGCCATTGGTGTAGGAGTAATTCTCCTAGGAGTAAGGGTTCCTTCACTTTGATAAAGAATTGCCAATTGATGCTGATGTATTTTATAGTATGCCTTCACCGTCCTACGAAAACCAATTTCGAAAGTACCGGGTCCTTCGTACACGAAATTTACAGATGTATACCTGAAATATATTGATATGTCAGGAAGACGACCAGAATACGTCCACGCTCTCCACGAGAAATATGGTATGTCAACCATCCTCAATTTTCAGAGTCGTGCATTTCTGAGAGCAATTATGCTAACTATGGTTTGATAAATTAGGCCCCGTCGTCCGTATCAGCCCGGGGCATGTCAGTGTTATGGACCCCGCCGCCACACAACAGATGTATTCAGTCAAGAAGGAGTTTCGCAAGTCAACATGGTACCAGGATTTCGTACCAGGACCTTCTAGTGTTTTTAGTACGGTCGATGTCGACTATCACCGACGACATCGAAGACTTCTCGCGTCAGAAATTTCTGAGTCTGGATTAGTTATTCACAGGCCGGTAGTTGACTCTAAAGTTCGCCTATTTACAGAACGTATCGCAGAGGAGATGGAGGAACGCGGCGTTTCGGTACGTGGGCCTATCGAATAGGAAACCCATTAAAATGACACTTGCTAACGAATTTTAAAGGACATATATCGCTGGGCTTTGTATATGGCCACTGATGTAATTGGCGAGCTTAGTTTTGGCTCTTCGTTCCGTATGCTAGAAACCAAGGAGGTACACATCATTTTTCACCCTCGCCTACCAACCTATAAGCTTACTAACGGCCACCGCATAGGAAAACCAATATATTATTGACTTGAAATCAGTCTCTTTCGCCGGAGGACTTCGAGCAACATTCCCTACTCTTATGAAGGTTACCAAGTACATCCCAATCCCGGTCTTAAGTCTGGGCATGGCTGTTAGAGGGCGTCTTTTCGAATACGGAGCCCAATCATTGGAGCGACACCGTAAACTAGTAGAGGAGCAGGGAGACGATGCGAAACCCACCCTTTTATCCAAGTTATACCGAGCCCGAGAGAAGGGCGACGAAACCCTACCATTCACCGAGCTTCGCATGGATGCCATGTCATACATCACAGCTGGTAGCGATACCACGACGAACACCCTCACGTATCTCATCTGGAGAGTATGCAAGAACCCCGACGTCAAAGCAAAACTCGTGGCCGAACTACAGACACTCCCCGCGGACTTCGGAGACCAGGATTTAAAGGGTCTACCGTATTTAGACATGGTCATTCAGGAAACGTTGCGTCTTCATAGCGCTGTCCCGTCAGGTTTACCTCGTGTTGTACCTGCGGAGGGCGCTACGCTTTGTGGTCACTTTATTCCAGGTGGTTACACGGTATCAGCACAGGCCTATAGCATGCACAAGAACCCCGCTGTATACCCTGACCCGACGAAATATGATCCATCAAGGTGGGAGAAGCCAACGAAGGCGATGAAGGATTCGTTCGTACCATTCGGAGGTGGTAGCAGAAGTAAGTCATCATTACCTATAAAAGTTCCTTTTCTTTTTTCTTGTAGGTATATTTGATTTCTAACTATTCCACGTTTAGTATGCATTGGACTTCATTTAGCCAAGATGGAACTGCGCCTTGCGACCGCCCGATTCTTTACCCGATTCCCGAACTCTACGGTCTCTACTTTAGATGGGTTCACGGATAAAGATATGGAGCCTTGGTCGTTTTTCCTGATGTCGCCAAAGAATAACCGCTGCTTGATCAATGCTCATTAGGGCATAGAGTGTTCAACCCTTTAGCGGATGGAAATAAACTGGAGGTTGCTCTGCTACAAAGCCTACGAGGCTGGCTGCATACCCACCTAGGCAGGTGTATGACTGTAGGGCGTGAAGGCTATTAATCATGTAGATTGCATATTCTAGAGGAGTTGGGTTTTATCGGCATACAGGGAGTTGGTTACTTTGAAATAAGAAGGTTGCCGTTATGATGCTTTATGTTGGGTAAGCAGGCAATAACAGCAAGTTTATCTCTAAGAGGTCTGGATCAATAAAAGTTGCCATTCGTACATATGTGGCAGTGCCTTTAGTGAGCCCACTTGTGTTGTCAGGCTCTCTAGGTACCTAGATAGGCTGTCATCAGAAGTCACACCGCCTACATGTAGTACCTACTAGAATCTATGCGGGGCGTAGGGCGTTCCATTATACCTATACTAATATTGTCATAAACACGTTCTTGACTGCTTACCTACCTCCCATATTTCACGCCACCAAATATCTAGGTAGACATCAATCATGGATATCTCCAGATATGCAGTAGGGCCAGAATCTTATGATAAATTATCTACCTACCAAATATCGCAATTTTTCGAACGACATAAGCGTGCGAAAAGGAATGGCTTCAACAGCCATGCTGCTGATATTTTAGCTAGTACCGTCTCCCCTACACCAATGCAAGGTGGGAGCAGCTATACTGTGAAAGCTGACTCTAACCGAGTGCATAAGGTGGTCCAGTTCCGATATGAAAAGTTGGATATGAAGGCGATAGAACAAGCGAGACAATCATATCCAGACTTTATTCCTGTATGCGAATCACACAGCGTATACGGTGACGTCTTCGTGTATGTGTGGAATCTTGTTCCCGGTCCGGCTTTTTGTCGAGTTCGGCGTCAATTTCTAGCCCCCGGAATGGAACAACAATTGCGTAGGACCGTGCAAGACTTCGCCAAGTAAGTCGACCAACAATCTAGCCAGTTGCTAATCACGTCACTGACCAGAAACCCACAGATTCTTCGCTTCAGCTTGGATTAATAGGCCAATTGTTGAGAAACCTCTTGATTTATTTGAGGAGTACTCCGATATCATTGACCAGCTTTATCAGCGCCTGCCCATACGATTCCAGCCGAAATTAGACGAGATTCGTCGTGGACTCCCACTCTTATTTCGGCCCAGCTATCCCGTAGTTATCCAACATGATGACCTCCTAGAAAACAACATCCACGTGGATGAAGCTTCTGGTCACATTACAGGAATTGTCGATTGGGCCAGTCCCATAGTTGCTCCATTTGGTGTCTCCCTTGGTGGTCTTGAGACTATACTTGGAGTTCAAACCTCGGCGAAGTGGCACTTTCATCCTAATCATATGGAACTCCGTAAACATTTTTGGAATACCCTGTATGAGGAAATTGGTCAGGTATCGGAAGATGATCGATGTTCTATTGAAATCGCGAGATTGTTTGGATTATTCCGAACTTATGGTTTCGACGATAAGTTGGGGATTATCAATCTCGAAGCATTTTGCGTCTCGAAATCAGAATCGGAGTCTATTTAAGTGTCATATTTCCCATGAAGATGAGCTTGATTGACCAATTAAAACTACATGATTATAATGAAGATTTTATTTGAGGCCGAGCGCAAGTCTGGCCCCTTTCTATTTTGAAGAAATCGTAGGGCTGAACAAAAGTTCCCATCCCTCTCAACAAGGCATATCGGCCATTATAAGAAGTCCGGCAACTTCGGATCTCGTACCTAACTCTCGTCTTCTAAGCGACGATATACCATCAACTTAAATATGATTGGTAATACGAATTCATTATATACCATATTGACAGCAATGTTGGCGGAAGAACCCATACAAATGTTGGCGGTAAGAAATTACCGTGCCACCAAGAAGCATCACCCTTTGTCCATGTTACCACACAAGTTCCACTCGCCTCGATAAATTCGCTCCAAATCGAGTATAATTTATATCTAATATTCCTTGCCTGTTGGTTAATTTTTCGCTATAGATAGGTCCATAATGTGAATATCCCTTGCAACTCCATTACAAGCCCAGGTACAATACCAGCCTAGCTCCACTTGACTAAATCCTTCGTTCCGTGGAGCTGGGATATTCACCTTAGCTCCAATCATAGCCAACGCAATATTAAAGAAACCCAATGCGCTCCCGTTCTATATTTCATCTTTGATAGATCTTTCTATAACTTCATGAAGTTGTGGTTTAATAATCTCAACTATGGAGGTCAAGGGCACCTATTTCATCGTGCTCCCCATAGTGGGGGCCATTATTGTAGATTTCTTCTTTCGCTTATATCGTCGGCGGCAACGCTTCAGAGACTTGGTAAATATGGACTTCTCGCGCGAAAATTATATCGAAATATGGGAGCTAACATGAGGCGTAGCCAAAACCTCCTCACAGCTTCCTATGGGGTCATCTCAAACTCATGGGCGAGATTGCGGGACAGTTACCGCCAAACTGTCACCCACAATCGTACATCACCGCCATTGCTCAGAAATATGACCTAAAGGGTATTTGGTACCTTGACTTATGGCCGATAGCAGATCCACAGGTTATTTTGACAGAACCGGAACTTATGGACTCGGTACAGGTGACGCGCGTGTTTAACCAGCATCGTATCTCACAGGAACTCATGTCGGGGATCATTGGTGATAACGTTGTTTCGACTGTCAATGGCCCGGTATGGAAAAAGTTACACAATTCTATGGCCCCGGCATTGCTCCCATCCCACGTCAGAACGCTCACTGGTGTTATGGCCGACGAGACACTTATCTTCCGCGAGAGGTTAAAAAAACTTGCCAGCACCGGCGAAGTGTTTTCTTTGGAGGATGAGCTTGCGAAACTGTTATTTGATATCGTGGGAAAGGTCGTTTTCAATTTACGTCTTCACGCTCAAACCAAGGGAAGCCCGTATCATGAGGACCTGGTGGAGATCATCAAATTGGTTAATGAACAATTGTCGATGAACCCGTTCATCAAATTGAAGGTGGCTTTTAAGAAGCGAGCTGTTAGGCAGCGAGTTGACGCTGCAGTTACCGAAAAAGTCCTAGAGCGTTTAGCGGCCTTAAGAAGCGAGAACATCGTACCGTCACGAAAGGATCCTCTTAGCATTGTCGACTTGATGCTTCGTGAAACAGTTCTACAAGATGGATCCCGCAAAGGTACGAAAGCCATGGAACTTCCTAAGGAGGAGTTGGACTTATTGGTAACGAAGTATGTTTTCGCCCGCTTGTCCAAACATGGGAATGTTGTGTTAACATGAAGCCAATAGTGTCAAAGGCTTTCTGCTTGGTGGAACTGGCACTACTGTTGATAGTCTATGCGTAAGGACCCTTCGGAATCTTAGTGTAATCTTGTCCTTACTGATTGTTTTGAAGTTTACCTACATGCTCCTATCGAAACATCCCGAAATTGTCCAGAAAATGCGAGAGGAACACGATGCTATTTTTGGTAAAAACCTAGCGACAACTCTAGAAACTCTTAAGGAATCCCCAATCAAACTCAATGAACTCGAGTACACGACAGCAGTGATCAAAGAGGGTATGAGGTTATTCCCCGTTGGGTTTGGGGTCAAAGAAGCACCAGCAGGGTAAGCAACTCTTAAATTCCTGATCGGTAACTCTAGCAATGCTAATGAATCCTTAATTGCAGCGCGAAAGTATCTTACCAAGGCCGCGAATATCCTGTTGATGGTGGCTTGGTAATTGTACCTTGCTGGCACACAATGCACCACGACGCTCGATACTTCCCCGAACCCGGTACATTCCGTCCTGAGCGATTCCTAGGCGATGGTGTCCCCCGCGGTTGGTTCCGAAGCTTCTCTCGTGGTCCCCGAGGATGTCTAGGCCAAGACTTAGCCATGGAGGACATGCGTGTGATACTGCTTTTGACTATACGGGATTTTAATTTTGAATGCGCTGGGCTTAAGCCCAACCCAAAGCCCAAAGCGACTTATACCGACCTTGATACAGTTTTTGGTGACGCCGCATTCCCAATGCTAGCGATGGAGGCCAAGCCAAGGGATGGTATGATGATGACGATTAAAGAGAGTGGATTTAGTTCATGAAATCATTTGATGGTTGAGATAAAACACGAGTACTTACTTGAAAGCATGTAGGAAAAAGAAGAGGTTATTCACACATCTCGGTGATTTGGTACATATTCAATCTGCTGGTCAGCAAAATTTAGGCAGAACCCGTAAAATCACTCGTAACTCGCTTTTTGCTGTATAAATGTATGTTAGATTTATATAGGATGGAATGAGAACCTAACAGCCTCTGAATGGCAATAAATGCCGTCTAAATGTTATCAGACCCAAAACGGACCGATAGTTGTCTGATTCTCGTCCATAATAACTCCTCGTAACGACCGTAAGAACAAACGGGTATCATCCCCAACCACAATCCCATGCACGTTATTATGTCCAAAGAGAGGTACGGACCATTATAAAAGACAACCAAACAACGCCAGGTTCATTCTAATTCCCCAAAATCGATATGCTCGTCCCTCCCTGAGCTTCCACCCAAAATGCAGGGTATCAGTGATTGTAGAGAAGTAAAGGTGGAAAAAGAGGAAACGAGAGCTGGAATAGAGCACCCGCCGTGTACCCGGGCAGGCATCTATTCCATATATTTATTCCCCAATGCTTGGTTAAACCCGTTCTACAGGTTTCACCGGGGACAATCCCGCAATGCTATCGGCATCTTCATCTCCACGGTGTCTAATGGAAGCACCAAAGAAACCACTGGTGCCGCCTTCAGTTGTCGCGGCTGGAGCCGGAGTCGTAATCGTCGGACCAGGACCTCCTAGTTCCCAGCTACCAACACGCTCATGTCTAGCACCTGTCTTCGCAATTGAGACATCATGATCTGAGGCCATCTTCTCGGCTCCCTTGAATCCACCTAAGCTGCTGCGACGTCTTGCGGCGTCTAGAGGATCTCTGCGTTGAACGCGTATTCCGCCAAAGACGAATGCGGTAGTACCCACGAGCGCGAGAACTGCGATGGTCGTTACGGCTCCGATAACACCGGAAACCGCTGGAGATAGGGATGCATTGCTGCTCTCCCCACTGTTTGACAAGCCGCCCGAGCTTCCAGAGCTGTGACCTAGCGAGTTGCAAAATAAGGTGACAGAAGAACAAAGATCGCACCAAGTGGAGACATCCTGGATGGAAAACCTGGCAATATAAACCGTAAAGTCTTCCCAACGGATACGCGACTCCGAATTATCACGCCCAAACAGCGGATACTCGACCAACGGTTGAGAGGAGTCGGTGCCATTACGGAAGAGGAAACGCACCCACAATTCATCCTCATGAGGGTACGAGGTGACATTGTCGATGCTAAAGAGCTCGAACACCATAGCCGAGCCGGGCCCTGGGATCTGTTGGAAAAATCCGTTGGTATCCGACAGGTTTGAGAGCGCAAAGAAGGCTAGGAATGGCTCAAAAGACCCAAACATGAGCGACATCTTATTAATAGTACCAGCCGACGCAATGTGTGACGACAGTTGTGCCACCACCTTCGCTGCAAGTGTACGCCCTGAGATGGCGCGAATCATGTCGCCTTCTTGCAATCCTGACGCTGTTAGATTGGCGTTCAGGTCCACTTGTTGGTTGCTCGCTAGGTTGCGCAAAATCGCTAAACGGTCTGCATTAAGGGAATCGCGCACAGAGTCGTCGTGATCATACGCGTATTGGGCATAATCGTATAGATCATAAGCGTAATCGAAGTTCAACATCGAATTCGCTAATGTATTCGGAAATACCTCTGCCCATGTTGTCTCATAGAATGGAAGGGTCGCATTATACATCTCTTGAGCAATCTCGCTGCTCCTGAAATCACCACTCGACGACCAATACTCGGTACATATCGACTGTCCCTCGATCCTAGCGGCTTGTTAAGGATAGGTTAAAGTCGCCATGAATCTGTATTACTCACCAGACAGAATTTGAATCGGTGGTTGGAACAGTCCGAATATTCGGGTATTGATAACCATCTAAAGGAAAATCCACCTTGGTGCCATTGGCCAATGTAGAGGCATTGTTACCACCATTATTGTAAGCGAATGTTTGTGTAACTGGTGGGTAGAGGCCTTGTAAAAAGGCTAGAGCACCTCCGACAACATAATCTTGTGTAGTGCTGTAGATGTCGAGTTGACTGTTGTCTAGAGCTTGCCGTTCTATACCAGAGATCGGTGAGTTTGTCGTTATAGCATTGTCTTCATCCGATAAACTCGAATTAGATAAATATCGAGCTCTGAAGAGCGATCCTTGGAAGTAAAGCTGTTGCGCACCCAGCGGGGTCAAGGTAGGCTGTAATTCGCCTTGTAGCGGTGTACGTTCACCATATAGGACATACGCGAATGAAGACCAGACGGTTTCATTGGCGGATTGGGCTAAGGCCTCACTCAAAAGCGAGAGGGCAATAGTCAACGTCTTTACTGAACGTGAAGCCATTCCGTAAGCTGAAAAGGGATATCATTCCCTTCCCGTATGATTTACGCGACTCACAAAAAGAACCTAACAATCCAAACAAGAATACCGACGGCGAAAGTATGGAAGAGGAATTGTGAGAGCTCTCGAGCTCGACAGGAGGACAAAGGAGGGGTAATAGGGAAGAACAAAGATAAGTAGATCGACCTACCTTCAAGCCTTACTTACCTCTGGCGTAAACGTGCATGTATACCTCTTCCTTACCCAGGTAAACACTTATCTATACAGCATCCGATGACACCAGATAACGTGCTTGTGTGTTCAAGGGTCCGTCATGCCATCCCGCTAGATAGTACCGGCGCCGGAGTGTAAGCTGATGGTTAGCCATCTCACCCCTACCTATATAGAAAGCGGCGGGGAGCTTGTGAACTCTCTCCCTCCGGAATAGAATGGCGGGGTAGCTAGAAAGCACGCAAGATAAGAGTATCGCAGGGAAGCTTGGCAAAGCTCTTTTTGGACTTTCTGGGGCTGGCCAAGCTGGGATGAGCTATCACCAGACAAACTGCTACCCCTGTCGATTCACCCGAGATAGTGATCTATCACAAGCTCACCAACAGACTCACAGTAGCGATCCACCCTCCGCACGTCTAGCATGTTCTGTTGTTGAAGTGGCTGCATGGGTGTACCCGCGACATCCAGTACTATTCATCTTTTTCGGATGTGTCTTAGTTCTTATAAAGACTGAGCTCGGATCGGATTTAGGAGGTACGATGTATAAAGCTCTGTTCCCTTTCTGGTATGTGCGTTTGGAATACCACTTTTAAGTCCGCTCCTGTTTGTTTGGCCCACAAGATTCCGTCCAAGACAACACGGGTACGTTCAACCTTTTATATGGAATTGAATGCAAAGAGCGGACGACAGCGGACATTCATTCATATACTCCTTTTGCTTACCGAAATCCATCGGTTTAGTAATCGTCCTTGTCTATGGATTTTTAGCTCGGGGAATTTGGCTTAAACCTGCATGAGCTGTAATGGTATCAAAATTACTATGTGGAGAGACCTGACGCCATCAATGAGTATCGTGCTACAACCATGATCCTTATTATTTTGCTATTAAGTATAATCGCCCGAACATCATCTAATGCCCACCAGTAAAACTAAGAGGACTCATTCTATAAACTTCGGGCACTAGCAAGGTCGATGATTCATCACAACCTTCTATCTTACTCGAAGTACCATGCTTGCAATCTCTATGGCTCGTCTCGAATACCGAGATGCAACTGATGAGACGGTGCATAAGCTAAAACCAATCCTGAGCTCTCCTGTCGATCTGGGGTGACAACCCTCAAATTACGTCGCGATTAGTACACAGCCTCGGCGACAAGGTGAATGTACGATCACGTGGGCGGCATTTCTGTCAAACATTCTATCTTCATGTTGAAAAATGCGGGGATTTGTCATCGTAAACCGGTGAGCGGACAAGATGCCCGCTCGATGCAGATGGAGATATCTCATGTTAACTCAGCATAAACGCCGGATGCTACCTATGTACATTACTCCCTGATATCAGATCTGACCGCCATAGATCGCATCGCGTATAAAAGGCCCAGCTTGCCTGTATAATACAAGACGTACGAAGACAGTTTATTTCACCATTCAACACTAGAGTGCATTATTTACCTAGGTGTATCTTTCTTCGTTACCTCGATTGTTCGAACGATGGCGAAAGGCTCCATTCTGGTAACCGGCGCCAACGGTGGCCTAGGCTCGGCCGTCGTTGAACGAATTGTTCGCGATCCGTCTTTGGCACAGGATTATCATGGTCTTTACACAGTACGCAAGGTTGAGACTGCTGACGATGCCAAGGCAGCACTGAGAGGCGCCAGCAAAGCAAAACACCAATACGACCTTGTTCCTCTAGACCTATCAAGTCTTGATAGCACGCGCAAGGCAGCTGCAGACATCAATGAGAAGATAGCTAGTGGCAAAGTACCACCTATTCGAGCTCTCGTTTTAGCAGCAGCATACCAAGAGCACACCACGCATAACTTCACCAATGACGGTTTTGACATGACTTTCCAAGCTAGTTACCTTTCCCACTTCCTCTTGACTCTGTTATTACTCCAGAGTATGGACAAGGAGAAGGGCCGAATAGTCGTGATAGGTAGCTGGACACATGAGTAAGCAATTACGATCTATATCCTAAACATAGGAATATTGAATCTGCGTGTCAGAGTTCCTGACCAATCTGTCACTAGTACTACCGATGCAAGGAACAATATAGGTCCTTATGGCGATATGTATGTGCCTAAGGAGTTCCACCAGATCTTCACCGACCCCGAGGGTAACACTGAGCCGATTGCCAAGGGGAAATGGGGAGCTCGGGAAGGTCGCACAGATAATCCTTGGTCTGGCATGAGGCGGTATGGAGCTTCGAAATTGTGCGAAGTTATGATGATGTAAGTTACCTACCTCCTTGCCTACATATCTGCTTAGGGTAGGTAGGTAGTCAAAATAATTCCAAGACTGACAGTTCCTAGGCGCGAACTTGCCCGGCGGTTCCCTTCTGATCCTACGCTCTCGCACGTCTCAGCTCTAGGCGTTGATCCAGCAGCGATGATCAGTGGTTTGACGCGGCGTAGCAACTGGCTTCTACGCGTTCTCATGCTTAAACTCATAGGGAATCTGCTAGCGCCCTTATTGACATGGCTATCACCGAATGGTGACCTGCGCACGACCTGGAAATCCGCCGGTGACGTTATTCGCGCGTCTTTCGCCGTAGATGCGGATGCACATGGAACTCTCGGAGAACGGCCTAATGGACTCTATCTGAACGGTACGGCCGTCGCGGACATTGGTCCCGAGGCCAAGGACGAAGCAAAATGCCGCCGACTATGGCGTGATAGTCTCGAATACGCGGGCGTCAAAGAAGGTGATACTATACTGGCAGACTGGAAATGAGATGATGATTAGTGATTATTTGGAATATCTGGCTCCTCTGCCCGGTTCCTCCTATGTGTATATAGGTCATTAATTGGGACAAGATTAAAGCGGCTCGGGTGGTCAGGTGGTTTAGTTATATTCATCTCTACTGATCATATGCAAATATGTAGGTTGTATAATGAATATATAACTTACGAATGTCGGCAGCGGATGGAGCTTCAGATCTGCCGAGTATTAAGTGAGTGCCGCCAGGTCGGTATCGAGATAGCTTACAGCTGCCGGAAACTAGGTCGATCGTTCAGGCAGGTTACATACTAAGGTAAATGGTTCTGTAGGGACCGTCGCAATCCGGGACGCACGAAATGCATCACTTTCGCTAGGCGGGGACCAACAACAGGTTTACCGTAACTATAGATTGCTGAGATTGGAGAGAAATGCGGTCATATGCAGCCTTGCCGTGCCATTATGAGAACGTTACATATGTGGGGTTATATATTGCGGCTATATTGAGTACTTACGTCCGTTAAACTGTTTTCTAAGCACCTGTTTGGTTGTTTACTAAGTCTACCCGCTCTTCCGACTAACGGAAGCGCGTAACTAGATCCGTTACGATTCTGTGCGAGAACCAGGGACGATGCTCGTATTGTCCATGGTTCACTAACCCCTAATTCCGGTGTCATAGATGGTTAGGCTGAGTGTCAATAATCCTTTCACGCTTTAACCCCCGGAAGTAGCAAAAATCTAGTAATGGGTTTCAGAACTTTTCCTATTTTGCTATTTACCCGCATTCGAAATTTTATGGTGATCTACCAACATAAAGAAGAGGCTAACGTGAATATAATATTGCGGTTAAAATCGTGGCGCGTGACCGACGACGCAGATCTTGGGGAAGTATGCAATGTAGCCCGTCCTATACCGACTAGGTAGGTAGGACCAGCGTCGTCTCATATATACACCTACTTGGTGAGAGCTGGGCTCTGATGAGAAGCTCATTGGTCTGGACCTGCCGTATGGGGTATCTAGAACAACCGCGTGCAGGTCTGATTCGACACTTTGCATGCTTAGTAGTTGTTTCGACAGATCTTGTTCTAATTGACGGGATTTCTCAAATATCCTCGGAATTATCATAAATCCCCCGTATAGGATTCAGGCCGGAGCTTTCAGCAATGTGATCGTCGGGATACGACTATGATCGGGCGGATGGAAGACCGTATCTTTCTGAGCTGTAAGTTTTCTCTTCGGAGGCGACGGGTTACCTGGCCTACGATCTCTCGACAATGGCGCTCCTTAGGTTGCTCCTCCTAGGCTTGTTGCCATTCTTATGTCTCGCGATCACGATACCGGATCCCTCATGGCCTCCTCGAACGGGGCTGAGAAGTAGACCTTCCAGCGGAGACGTCGATTCCGACGGCGGAAGACACATAAGAGCTAAGCTCCAATCTCGGAAAGTCAATAACGTAACTGGTGGTACCGTATCCACCTATGCGACGTCTCAAATATCAGGCCGGTCGCCACGGGAACCATTGGCGAGGTATGGAGCTGGAATAGTATACATGTTGGAGCGTATGTCTCGCGCCCCTCATAATAATGATACAATGACTGATAGCGTAACGTAGTTGATATCGGAACCCCCGGACAGACCGTCTCGGCCATCCTCGATACCGGATCATACACGCTGCTCGTGGATCCAGACTGTAAGCAAGCGGCCGACCCGCAGGCTTGCCAAACGTATGGATACTATGATACAGCGCAGTCATCTACTGCTAAGAACCTGAATGGATGGTTCTCTGGCCAGTTCGGGACTGGTTACATGGAAGGACAGTGGTATAGTGATACTGCTTATGTCGGACTAGACAGTATGTATAAGTCCTTTTCCCACCAAATCAAATTGAAGCTCTAACACGTGGTAGACCTACCACTACCTGGGTTGAGAGTTGGCGTTAGCAAGTTCAGCCAGTATATATGGGCTGGTGTGTTGGGTGTCGCATATGGTAAAGCATGGAATACTGCATACCAGACTTTACTGGACCTTCTTGTCGCACAAGGTTATATCGCCGTGCCGATATTTAGCTTAGGGGTAGGTTATCAAGGCGGAGGAAGCCCAAGTAAGTTGCCATACGCCTGATTACCGAGGCTTCAAGTGATCTGATTATGTTTAGGCGATATTATCTTTGGTGGAGTTGATAGGAAGAAATTTCGCGGTTATCTTGAGCCTCTCGAGATTTACCCATATCCAGACCAGCAGCTGAAGCGCTACAGCCAAGTTGGGTATGATTTATTCACCCCATCTCAACGCATAACACAACAGGTCGACGCATGCTAATTCAAAAAAGCTATCGTGTCAATTTGACATCATTGGCGGTTACTCCTCCAGGCCAAAACGAAACGAAATTGACGGATAGCGATTTCGAGCGAAACGTATTGATTGATTCTGGGTCTACCTATACCTATCTCGATGCGCAAATGGTTGCCGTCATAGCGCAAGCATTAAATGCATTTCAAGATGAAAATGGTGTCTATCGCGTGCCATGCGAGAGTCGGAACCTAGATGGTTCTGTGAATTTCGGGTTCAACTTCTATAACATCGTCATCCGAGTCAATTATGCTGACTTTATCGTCGATTTCGACAATTGGTGTGCTCTTGGAGTCCAGCCTACGGATAGTAAAGATGAGTCCTGGGTACTAGGAACTAGTTTCATCAGAGCTGCGTACCGTAAGTGCCACCTCAGCATGTTTCCATTTTAAAAGCGCATAGCTAACAATCGTATGTAGTTGTGTTTGATCAGCAGAGCGACGCGGTGTGGATTGCACAGTACTTGCCATGTGGTGATGATGGGATCACAGATCTAACAAAAGATGCTGGTAGACAGCTTTGGTTAGAAGTTACAGGCCTATGCTAAAGAATAGAGGATGGAAAGCCGCCTAGGTATGGGGGGATTCCATAACTGAGACCAATGAATGGTCGCCCTACCTGGGGCATAAGTTAACACCGTTGTCGCGGTGTACGGTGGCCTGAACGAGGCCTAAAATTATAGAAGTATACGCCTAATTATGTATGAACATATTAGCCAGAAATAAAACTAGTCGTTACGCTGGCGGTCCGTGAATCCGATGATTTCGATTTCTAAATGATATGTACGATAGCAAGATCCATTCACTACTTCTTAATTATACATCTGGTCCCCTAATATCCTCACTTAGGGGGCCTTGTCTCGTCCAAATATTCATCTGTGAGGATCAAGTTAGTTTTCAACAAGATCCGGGGACTTTGGGGGGCTTGAAATAGAAGGCTTTGGGTGCGCCGTTACCGTATTCTAGCGGTTCGGCGATTTTTTGAGCAAACATGGAGCACCGTAACTAGCACTTTTTAGGGATATCTAGAAGCCACTCACCCCTATCTTAGACCCATTAGTGACCGGAAGTCCGGCATGTAGCGTCCGCTGATCGCCTGTGCCGTCCTCGTGTAGGTTCTGCCAGAAAACTGCATTCCCAACAATAGGCCTGAACGTAACACCATTCTCCCAGGGCTCGTCGCAGTCAACATATTCGCACCAACGATTATTATGTGGTGCAGACACCACTGGGAAATTGGTGCCACCACTAGTAAGATCATCGCTGGCATCGATATACGCAAAGAATGAGCTCAGTCGGTTTCCGCCAAGTTCAGCAGTTGCAGGCGCTGTACTCGTGTACCAATCTGTATGAAAGGTGTATCGCTCACCCCGCCCGTACTTGACGAGTTGTAATGGCTCAAGGTGTGTCCGCGGTATGTCGAAGCCTTGGAATAATAACGCTCGCTCTTCGATACATCGTACTATAGCATCGCGCGGTACATTGGTCGATTGCGAGGTTCGCGTCCGTCGTAGTCCTTGGACACCGGATTCATCGGCGACGGCTGAGTGCGAAAATGTATCCTTGCTACCGAAATTGTCAATCATGGCCTAGATCTTGGCGAGCAGCCAACACCAAGAAATGGGTTCATATTACTTACGTTGCTTCCTTTAGGTGAGCTCGCTCTTCTGGCGTAATGAAATTCGCTAGATATATAACCAATGGCGATTTGGATACTATATGGCTTTTATAGGCGGGATGTTGACAAGTATAATCATTTGAAGTTATCGGTTTCTGCGCACCATCGCTGTGATGATGGCTATGTGCACTGGCCGACCCAGCAGCGAGTGCTAACAGTAATGCTGACTTTAGGGAGCTCATCATAGACTTAGTAACGCGATAAAATCAAATAGCGGATTCAGGTTAGCAAGGGAAAAGATGAAGATGAAGTTACGTATTTCATCTTCGACGGGAATATTCAGGAGAAGACCCCTCTATCCTAATATTCATACCTACGCCATGGTCAGGAGAACATGCAAGATTGAAACGTCAATTGTTTGTGTAAAAAGGAGCTTCCCCTGTTCAGCGTCGCAATGAACTCCCGTATGAGCTCTTTAGTGGAGGGCTTTAGCGCAGATCCAGGGTGACGGAACCGTGCATCGTCAGATCTACCCCCCTGATCTACAGGGTAGTTTGGCTGTACACAATTGCTTGGTATTTGACCCCGCGAGCTCCTTTTTCAGCTTCAATCAAGAACAATTATGATGTTGTCGTAAAGAGAATATGATGAATATTAGAAGTTTACAGTTACTACTATCCCTATTAGTAGGCTCTACAGTAGTAGCCTGGGAACATATCGATGAAGATGCATTTCGTCGAGCTATAGCAGGTCATAACTATGCTCTAGTTGCGTGTAAGTACAGTACCGCCCGTCCCCCGCCCGCTAAAGACGCCTAAGACTAATATTCCAGCGTGGAAATAGTTATAGAACCCTCAACGTGAGCCACTACCAGTACATTTCATATCGATCACTGATTAACACGTCTTACCTACAGCGCTGCCAGCCAAGCTTTAGAGCCAGAATGGACGTCTGCGTTAGAAAAAGAGAAGAAAGGTCTAATAAGCATTGATTGCTCTTCGGCGCCTAGTTTATGTCGCGAATTCGATGTCATCTCATGCCCAGCGCTACGCTTTTTTGACGGGCATGGCAACACAGCGCCATATAGGGGGCCTAGGAGGACCTCTTCGTAAGTCAGCCGCTCACTAAAGAAGACCAACACTTACTCTTTTACCAGAATTCTCGCATATCTAAAGAGGGCAATTCGTCCAATTATCACTAGCCTAGACTCAGATGCCAAGATTTCGGCCTTCCAGTCAAGCGATGATTATACCGCTATCGCTCAAATCAATCCGCAGGACTCTCATGTCAAGACTGCATACGAGACACTCGCGTCACAATACCGCGACCGGGTATCCTTCGGTTTAGTGGAGGTGACCGACATACCAACAGCTGTCGGGTGCTACAACAACTGCGACAGCTTACAATTCACTATTTCAGACTTCACGAGTATTGATGCCTTGCCTAAACTCATCGAAAATTGTCTGGAGCCCGTTATTGGGGAATTCACCCGGGCGAGTGAAGTCAAGTATCTTCAGGTAAGCCAACCATAAAGCATCAACCAAAGCTCGCCCTTTTTCTAATTCCCCAGGTACAATTAAACCCCATCTATCTCGCCCGCTAACGATATTCTGTAATAGTCTGGAAAGTCGCTAGTCTTCTACTTTACCACATCACCCAAGGATCGCGATGCTTACGTAGACACCATGCGATCAGTAGCAAAGATGTACAAGGAGTACCTAAGCTTTGTAACAGTGGACGCGAACGAGTATGGCGATCTTACGGCACCATTAGGCCTAGCACCTGCCACTTTACCCAGGCTTTCCGTCCAGAACCCTATGTTCGGGCAGGTATTTCCCTACCCACGAAGTCGCAAGATCACGCCCGAAGCTGTGGGTGGTTTCTTAATGGATATTGTGCAAGGCAAACAGAAGCCTTGGGATGGTACGTTTACTGCGGATGAAGCGGGTGGTCACGCACGAGATGAATTGTGAATGAGGATGTCAGACTAGCACAGCGAATGAAGCGATAGGATAACCAAAATGATGATATTGTATTTCATTTCGTATATTTGATATTCCAATGATTCAGATTCCCTCAAGCCTCGAACGAAAGACCCGAAGACTATATGAAGACAGACCTTCGGCCGCTCTCAGGCCCAATCTCTAAGGTAAACCCAAGAAAAGCTCCAAAAGCTTAGGATAATTAGGCGTACTAATGATATCGTGTCAGCTCTCATCTCTAACAATCGCACAGGGTTATTTAGAGGAATACTCACCCCATTCCTGTCACAGGATCCCACCCTTCAATTGCTGGGAATCCAGTGTTCTTACACGCCCTATTATCGCCCGTGACGATGTCGTTAAAGACTTCGGGGTGAGAGTACTACGACGACGTTAGCCAACCACATCCCAAACACCGCATAATTATCTCGTGAAACAGCAAAAACTCACCAGAACCTGATGCACAAATCCAACCGGCTTCTTCCCTGCCGCCAACCTCTCCTCATTAATCAGCGTAATAACCGATCCCCAAAGCGGCGCACTCGCCGACGTCCCTCCAATCCTCAACAATTCACCACCACTCGAAATCACAAAGTGGTCACCATTTGCGGAAACATCGGGATACGCCCTGCCTAACTTATTATACCTCCCAATACCCTTGCGCGCATTACTATAATTGCCACCACCACCCTCGTATCCCTCAAACGTCAAGTTTGCCGCGGCGAGATATTTAGCGACAGCGTCCTTCTGGTAGTCAGGTGCCTCATAAATATTCGAAAACCCGCCGCCGGACCGGAAGCGATCAGTAGCCTCCTCTGGGTCGACGCCGGGAGTTTTATTCGTCTGGAGGACAGTCGATCCAACTGTTAGGATATAAGGGCACGAAGCGAGGAATTGCGGGTTAAACACGTCACGCTCAGGGCCGAGACAACCCGATGGTGCGCCAGGCGAGGGGAAACCACCGACGCCGTCGTCGCCGGATGATATAACGACTGTGGTGCCTTGTAGACCTAGCTTCATAATCTCGGCGCATTGACGTTGTTGGTATGATTCGGGGAGGTCGACTTCGGCGCCACTATATGAGATGCTGATTACGTTTGTCGGTTTGTATACACCACACATGAGTTCACCGCTGTAGCCGCCTCGGTCGTGCGGGTTGGGGTATTCGGGGTCGCGACACTCGGGGCGCTTGCAATTGCCGGTTTCGTTGAAGGCTTCGAATGTGCAGTAACTGCCGTCGATAGCGTTCCAGAGGTCTGATTATGTTAGTTGGTGGATGATTATATAAGTGACATAAGATTCTAGGGGAAGTTTTGGTCCTACTGTTGAAGAATCCGGTATATGCAGCTGGATCGGACGAGTAGACATTCTGATACCATTCATCATCAACCTGATAAAGCGCAGGCTCTTGTGGCCAAATCAAACCATATGCCATTTGGAAGTCGAGGTTCGCCTCTGAGCCGGCCAACCTAAGACTTGTAGTAGCTCCTTGTCCGCCATCAACGGAGAACAATTCGGGGTGGGTTCCATTGGGAATTTCGCTATTATCTGTTAGCCAAATTTCTCTATCCAACAAATACAGGCCAAGGTACCCTGTGAAGCTCCAGAAAAACTTGTCAAGATCGTATTGAGTGTAGTGTTGTCCAAGGGATTGGAATATGCCCATTTTGTTATCCGGGTGCTTTTTGGTTCCTTTCGGGATGTTGTACAGCGCTGCACTCGGTGTTAGCTTACTAGACAGCCACTTAGAGCATAAGTAAATATTTACCCCTGATACAATCCGGAGTAGTATATTGGTCACATCCACCCGGCAGAGTGTAGTTACCGCTCGCAACATCGGAAGGCTTGGCTCTACTAAGTCCTCTACTCCTCTCGCTCATGAGATTCGCGACATCGCTCTCGGAGATCTTTTCGCCAAAGCGGGGAAGCGTTCCTATTTTCGCGTCTCTTCGTCTCTTCATTGGAGGTCCTTGTGTGTCGCCGTAACCCATCAACTTAATACCAGGGGTAATATAATCGATATGTTCCTTAATGTGCTTCGGGACGTGATATCTTTCTCCTTATTAGCGCTTATTTGCATCCCATGGATATCGTACTCACTCGTCACAAGCAATGTTCTTAACTCCGATGTCTACGTGTTCCCAAACGTGGTAGTCCGTCATTAGGAGGTCTTCCACGTGCTTGACAGGAGCATCAAATTGCACCCACTACCAAGGACTTGGTTAAATTATTTCTAGCCCAATACAACCTGCTGATAATTGCGAAGCTCACTTGTTTATTAATTGATTGCGAGATATTCTTCGAAGGAATGCCCGCTTCAACAAGCCAATCCTTGATAGCCTTGAAGCTATCTTCCAGCGGCTCGAAGAATTTAATGATCTCTTCTGCGGAGAGGTGTTTTCCATAGTTCTTCGAATCTGGGTTCGAGCTTTAGAATGATATTAGCCACGTCTTGATCATATATCGGAGTATGAGGGTTGGCGCACATTTCCATCAAAAGGTCGTGTCCCGATTGAAGATTCCGTTGCTTCAAGCCTATGCGAACAGGTATTTTGGCATCAGGCACTGCCCTAGCCATCTTCGTCCAAGACCTCGCTTGTATCTCTGTTCTCTTCTCATGTTGAATGTGAGTATCTGGGATACTACGTCTCAATCGAGTAGACTCCACACCGTGGAAAGGAGGTGCAGCGAAAACTTCCACCGCGACCAAGCCCACCAGGGCAACAAAACTAAGTAACTTCATGTCGACGGCCTCTTGAAGAAAAGAAGGAGATCCCGCGTTCGCAAAACCACGCGACCTTTGAAAGACGTCTAACAGATATTATATCAGCACCATCGCAGCAGCTAAGCTCCGTTCCGCTTCTAGCGATGGCGCAGATACCACAGTGAGCTTCATGCCGAAGGGTCTTTGGGGGATTGCTCTAGCCAAGGCTGGAAATATACAAATTCCCACTCTTACTGGGTTCGGGTAAATGTATCTGTGAGCCAATTAGTAGGACCTTGGTTTTCCTCATAATCAATGTGTGCTTGACAGTTATCAGCAGGGGTCCAATTAATGTAGTGATATTGGGGTATTTGGGGATTTATTGATCGTCATCTCGTGAGCTCAAATGAAAGACCACCGAGGTAGAAAGACGAACACTTGAGTATATTTTTTCTTCAGCTACTTATAGGTGTAGCTATGCCTAATGAAATCCGTATTGTAACTTTCTCAATCCGATCATGAGACCTATCCCAAGTGAGCGATTTTCGGTACCGTATAGAGCTTTCATATCCGAGCGACCGTCAGTAAGTGAGCGATACCTTGACGGGCAGTGAAGCTAGGAACAGGAAAGGAGGGGAAATGCGAGGTTTTGATTAGATATTACATGGTTTGGAGACAATCTACTTTAGATAGAAGATCATGGGGATTGATTAACCTAACCGCGATCTACCGGACCGCATCGTATTAACCGGTACTCACAAGAGTGGTGTAGGTGCCGTGGCGGATAACCCCTCTCACAGACGATGTTTGTCAGGTCAGCCCGCATTCTCCACGGTTCTTGCAAGCGTGTAAGATATCTATCCCCAGATCCTACCCAAATAATCAGGGTCTCCGGGTTCGATATAAGGTAAAATGAATTGCCAATGCTTAACCTTGAGTAGAAGCCGTTTAATGATCGCTAACGAGTATATGCATAGTCCCAATGACTTCCGATGTAACCATGTGTAGCTCTTCGGTTCATGGCGTGCGGCTGAGCGTTCCGTATTGACCTTAAGACTATCCAGAATAAAAGTGCTCATTCAAGAGCGCTGATTTAGTCGTGATTCCGAGCATTTATTCAAAAGAAATATCATGTGCCTTCCCAATCAAAAACTCGCTCAGAGCATCACGTTCTACGTCGTCGAAGGTCGTAGGCGACTCAAAGGACCAATATTCTAGGTCATGTGGAGCAGTTTCCTGCTGTCCGCTTATTGTGCCATATATATGAGCCTCTTCCAAGTTCATCGTCCTGACTATAGGGAAGAGTTTGCTCCAAGATGTTTTTTTAAAGTCGATATCTCGCAGATATAACTTTCTAAGGCTGTTCCTGTGTCTCCCTAACACTGACATCAACTCCTGGCGTTTGCAGGTAATATTTCCCAAGGTAAGACTTTCAAGATGATTCCATCTGTGCCCTAGTGGCAAGATGTCAGTTAATTCGGCGGGGTATAAAGTGGCATCCGAATCCGGATCCGTACTCTCAAAGCTCCAGTTGAACACGATGTAGAGCGTCTTAAGTTGGGTTAACGACCTGATGAACGAACGAAGTAATCCCGTTCCCATCAAATCTCTACAGCGACGAGCCGCAGTACCAACGATTAAATGTTCCGAGCTGTTCTGGTCCTCATTCACTATGCCTGTGTCGATACAAAGTTCCAAGCATGTAAGATTGGAATAAAAAGGAATTAGTTCCGAAGATAATGAGAAGTATTCCCATGAAACCGTGCCGGCAGTCAACTTCTTCAGGTTAGTCTTACCCCACGAGAGGGCGCTGAGGAGAGATTTAAGCTGTCGGGTTCCAGTAGGTTGTAATTGATCGGTAGGCTTGACGAGACAGTCCTCGTATGGATTTTTCTTGTTGTTTTCCTAGAACCAAAAATCCGTCGACATAGTAACTTCGCGGAGGCAGACGAAACGAGGAATAGCTTCTCTTAATATTGCGAAATCTTGGCGTTGGCGAAGCATTTTATCCTCTTCCGCCGCAATACGTTTATATTTTTCGTAACGTCGTCGGAGCTGATCAATATCTAGACGTGCTTCGGCCGGTCCGGTTCGGTTGGTAGCATAATAATTGCGAAATTCGTTGAATGTTTTTTGAGGTTGTCCTATTGTATGCCCGATGTAAACTAGAGAGTGGACATTTCTTGATGCGATACTATGCAGCGAAATATATCGAAGCATATCGAGGTCATCTGGATGAAGACAGAAGACGATTTCACGAAATGCGTAACAAGCACCAATGTCAGCGAGAGCTTTACAAGATAAACGGGCTCTAATTAGATCTTCTATCTCGAGGAATGAGCATATAATGAAGAGTATCTCGGGGATCATAATTTTCGATGGAAGAACGGATGGTGGTTGATTCGACTCCATTTTCGTGTCCGTTAAGAGTAGGCTATGCTTTGTTGAAGAATATTCCACGATTGAGTAAATAGAAGATAAGTTGGTTTGGTACCTAGTATGTCGATTGAATGATGGAGATGTAATGGTAAGTGGCGTCGGTTAGGCGTACGACAGCAGTATATTCTAGGCGTTGTACGCTATACGGGTGGCGGTTGCAGTAGGGGTTATTAGTGATGTTAGGTAACTGCACCTACCTGCCTAGGTACCTATAAGATGACATCGTAGCCAGCATGCAAGTGAGTTCCTTCAACGCCCCAAGAACATCAGGGCAGGTGATAACCTCGGATATTTTATTTTATTTCATTTCTTTATCAGCCAGTTCCTGGTTACCTAGGTAGATAGCTTACTTTAATATCTTAGGCAAGTACTCACATACCTTATCCCATGAGCTCACATCCTTCCCTTATTACACCAACCACTGCACCTGTCTGGATAGCTTCACTTCCACCTGCAGAAACTCTGTGTTCTATCTCAGCCAGACCATCAAGCCACCTTATCATAACTTCAGGCTTGACCTCCATCTTCATTATCTCTTCCGACAGGGCAGTAATAATATCTGCCAATGCAAGGCCATTTGCTACCTTCAATGTATTAATGGTCGAGAGACATGTGGTTACGTCGCTAGTAGCAAGCAATGTACAAGCAATCTTCGTAATCGCATCGGGAGGAGGTGCTGCTATGCAATTGTAGATAGTTTCGGTTGTGATGTTTTCTCTGACAATGTCCTTATCGGGGATCTTCGGTGCGTCTTTGGGTTGCATCGGGGTACCTAATTGTGTGAGGACAAAAACTTGGGATTGAAACCATTGGAATAAGACTTACTGGATGCGTAACAAGCCTGAAGCACATTCAGAGCTCGTCGCATATCACCTTTGCTCAGCTTGACTAGAGCATCCGTAGCTTCACCCGAGATCTTGATTCCCTCATCCAGAATGACTTTGTCTACTAGAACTCGAATATCACCCTCCTTCAGCGGACTAAACCTAAAACGCGTACATCGAGACAGAAGTGCAGGTGATAACTTGTGTGTGTAATTGGCGATAATACAGAATCGTGTGTTCGCCGTGTACTTCTCCATAATTCGTCGCAGAGCCATCTGTGCTGTGTTTGTCATAGCATCAGCCTCGTCAAGAATGATGAGCTTGTAGCTTGCGATTCCACCAGGACGTGATGCACCGCCCATAGTGAAGATCTGCTTTGTCGATGCAAACGTCTTTATTTGTTCTCGCACAACATCAATACCTCGATCGTCCGAAGCATTTAATTCCAAGACCATTTGGCGCATGTTATCCGCTCCGTAAATTCGTCTCGCAAGTGCTAGAATAGTAGAGGTTTTACCCGTTCCTGGAGGGCCGTAGAGGAGGAGATGTGGTAATCGGTTCGTATCGACGAATTTGTTGATAGTAGCTAGGATATCTTGGTGGCCCGAAACATCAGATAGAGATACAGGTCGGTATTTCTCAACCCTAACAAACACTTAGCACACAGCAAATTATACGAAGGCCATTCACAGGAAGCCTACCATGGTAAAGAGTCTTCGGCCTCTACAGGTAGGTTAGCAGCACTACGCTTGCCTTTTGCCGTGTTATCAGAAGAGAATGTGATATCATTTGATGGTGCAGGACCATCAACGTCCATCTCATCTTCAAAATCCGACATATTGAACTTCGGATCCTAGTATTGGGGTTATTGCAACTCGCCGTGAATATCGTGAATCCGCTGAATCGTTGTTGATGGAGAAGTCGGCGCAATTGACAACTGGTAAGCTGCTGAAAGCTTTGGTAATCTTCTTGAAGGCTATAAAACCGGCGTCGGTCAAAAAAGACATGCGACTCTGTTGTTTGGCTCGATTAATATGTGATGATGTAAAATGTTGGAAATTGGAAGACGCGTAAATTGAAAGTTGAACGCGTCGATACCTAGAAGGTACCTATCTAGGTACTAACTAATAGCGGGGTTAGGGTTCACGCTGTCGCTGAGCCAATCATAATGTGGTGCAAGCTAGCTAATCGCCGCCCAATTGCCCCCTATAAACTTCCTAAACTTCCCACCTTCAATTTCACATCATTTCATCGTCCTCCTTCTTCAAATATCCACCAGAACTATTCATTTCGCAAGCAACAGGTTTGATATGAACAATATGAAATCTATTCCAGAATTATTCTAAATCTATTTCAATTTAGAAACACGATATCCAAACGAAAAAACGTTCTTCATAGTCGAAGCCCATAACCACTTACTCAAATTTCGCTCAGATATTTCCCATCACCAATTCAATATCAATCATATTGGTATCAATAAAGAGTGGTATCGTATATCGTAATCGTATGCGACATACTAGATCGCAATGTAAAATCTTAATAACAGATGTAGTCATCAATGCCATGCCATGCCCACAACATTAATACCCAGACAGATATCATGTATTAATTAATCATCCAACAGAAACGACTTCTCAGCTTCGATCATTGCCCGCAATTCTCGGTCCAATTTTTCCTCTTCATCTTTATCCTCTTTATCTTCATTATCCATCTCGGAACCAGATGTCTCCCCACTAGCTGGAACCCATTCTCCATCAGATGAGGCAGATGCGGAGGAAGATTGACACGATAGCGAGGAACAACTATCCGAGTCACTATCTGATGAGTTGTCATGAACCTCCAACTCACCTGCTTCGGTGGAATTCCGAACGGTTAATCTCCTCTTGCTCTTCGGGCTCTTCCGGTGCGAAAGCCTAGATTCGCATCTCGGTTCGGACGTCTGTTCCTGGGTATCGCGAGATATCTTGGCCCCAACTTCTTTCAAGAATTCATACAATGTATCTGAATCCATATTCACTATATCGACACCAGGTGAAGTAACCGCTTCTATCGTCGCCGACTCAGCTCCAGTGAACTGCTTATCCTTCTGCTTAGAGCCTGTCTTTTGCTTTTTCTTCTCTGCTATCTCCTCGGCCCACCATATTCGTACTTCCTCTTTTTGATCGGCATCATCCCAGATGCTGAATGCCTCGCGAAGTGGGCTAGTTGGGCTCTTAGATTCTTCATTTTCATCCGCGGTTTGCCTTAATTCCAATGCCTCGTTCAACGGCAACTCATCATCAGGATTCGACCGTGTGCTCGTGACAGCAGTCGGAGGTGGAGGTGGAGGCATGGTCAACGTAGGAGTAACCACCGGATGTTCCAACCTCTGCCGCGCCCGAAGCGCATCCGCCGTCTGCAGTCTATACCGCTCATGATGACATTCCGAAGGGAAATCACAATCGTACTCACAATTGTGTCTCCCATTCGCGAAAGCTCGATTGCGTGCCAAGGCACCCGCATCCTGCCCTCGTACTCTCCGTCGCCATTCTCCCCAATCAGCCCAACCCTGATAATCAAATTCGGAGACGCACATCGGCGCGTTACGACGGCGTTTTTTGCCCTTTTGAGGAGGTGCGGAGGCGCAATATACGTGCGAGCAGTTGAGACACCGGCGCGTGCAGGCGAGTCGGTAGACTATCATGCAAGAATGGCACCTCCATAGCCAAGGGTACGGGTCGCGAGGCGGAAGTGGTGGTGTAGGCATACTCTGCGGCGAAGCTGGTAAGATATTCCGAAGATGTAAGCGGGGAGGTGGTGTTACAGGAAAAGAAGCTGGCCTCGCGCCTGGTGTTGATGGAGATGTAGAAGTTGGAGATACAGGGCGTTGCCTTGAAAATAAGCAAAGGCTCGACAAGCGTCTGGGACGGCAAGGCATGTCTTGTTCTGGTATTGATGTTGTTACGGTGTTTCGGTTTCTGATGACTACGTTGCAGGAAAAACAATATCGAAACTCTGATTAAAGAGGGTATATCCGAATCCTTAATGACTCGAGAAACTAGCTCGATGTTTGTCGCGATACAAACACAAGCTGTTAGCAATACCTATAGGGTATGTGTTAAGGGAAATTAGGAGATTGAGGTTATATCGTTTTGATGCTGAATGCGGTTGTTTAAATTGTCTCGTAAGGAGTGTCGGCGAAAGAATTATTCGATTGTATAGGGAATACACAAATAATAAAGAGAGACTTAAAGAAAAAAGAAATTGACTGAAATAGGAAAGAAGTTGTTTAGGAGACTTGTATGTCCAGCCGAATCTCTCACGGAGACTGGGCCGTCAAGATGTCACTAACACTTATACAGGCTGTTTCTACTTTGTCTAAGTCACTTAGACAAAGCGGCGGCTCGATATATGACCTGTCCCCCCCCCCCCTACCCTTACCCACGAATTGCGGTGTAAGTACGTCCGAAAACTACGTCCGTACGACCATTCCACATACCTTTGTCACGATACCGTCCTTCCCATTCACTATTTTGGTAAAGGTGCGCATGACAGCAATGAGGTGATAGCCCGGAGCCTCCTCCGTGGCATGTCGACAAAGGCGGGAACGGCCAAGCGGACAAGGCAAGTTGGTCGCTTAATAGTAGTAAAGCAACGATGACTAAGGGACAAAGCAGGAAAGAGGGATATATTATATGGAGAGGCTTTGCTTGTCGAATAATGGGAAACACAAAGGCTCAAATGTTGAGTGGTATTAATATGTCGGCGAATAGAGGTGCGAGTACGAGTAACAATCTAGGTTGAAACTGTCGGCAGCGTGACTGGCGAGATAGAGACCCATGTGCTCTATTAATTCTATATTCAGGTGTCGAAAATACCTAATAATAGCACCCATAATGTGGGTATTCATCGTGTTTCATAACAATAAACCCTCACCTCTATGATGAGATGGTGATGATCTATATATCTTCCATGTTGCTCATTCATATGTTGAACATTGTGCGCCCAATGAATGGTCTTCTAGTCGCGTGGAAGAGATCCAGCATAAAGGGGTTTCATCGAGGTTTGTGCGTTAGGAAAGAAGACTAGTCTTTATGGGTGTCTCTTGGTTTCGCTATTGAGGCGTGATCATACAATTCAACAATTAAACCAGAGTACCGGTAAGTGTAGACAAGGCTATTGTAAAAATACTTTTACTATTTATAACGGGATACATTGACTCCTGTAACTGAGAATCCACAAAGAGATTACGACCTTTCCTAAAATACATATAATTCCCATCGTCAACAAACCTACGTAAAGCTAACCATATGATATCTCTACCTACGTGAAGTCGAAGAGTGAGGCTAGTTACTCAAGCTTATTCTAGTGTCCAAAAGGGGGGGAGAATCCCTCAAGAAACATACAAGATCACCGATGAAGGGGACCTAGTATCTCAAACTATGCTGTCCCTGTAATTCCCTCGCAGAGATAGGGAGATCACCAATCGTGAAGGACCAATGCTGACCAGTAACACATCAAGCGATATGAAGTGTACCTCCTGCTGCCGAGCCGACATGTCTTCCTCAAGCAACTTAATGTGACACCACCCTAAGTTGACATGAGTTGCTTCCCACACATACTTTGAGGTACACCTCAGAAATACATGGCATTATAACCTCGTACCGCATGTTCGAAGTTCGTAGTTATCATACTCACATAAAAGTGATAATAATTCACGGGCAGCGGCTAGTCCTCAGTACAGTTGAAAGCTGCAGAAGGAAAAGGAAAGATATGCAGGATGCAAAACTAGCAGTACAGTGGAGCAAACTGAGAAAGCTTGATACAAGCTTCCTGATATCGAAAATCATCTCACGTAAAACTATCATATTAAGGAGAAAATCGGAGCGATGTAATATTATTTGTTGCCTCTAACAAGGCCGTAAAAAGCTTGCGAGATAGCTAACGCCTCAACTCTCCAGGTAGGAATAACCTAAGCTATTCCTGCCCGGATGCTTCCTTTCTCTGCACCACATCTGGCAGCACCTTTTCCCGTCTGTCTCAGACCCCGAGAGACGTGTTAACGTTCCAGATAAACTCAAGAGCCAGCAGACTTAAACTCGACCGTAATCCATAATTAGGAGCCCGGAAAATTCGTCATATCAACCATCCTAGGTCATGAGACCTGCGCTGCCCATCCCCAGACAGAAAAAACTCGTTCCACGTAACAAGAACACCGAGAAACGAAAAAGCGTAAAGACGACGAGAACGATTCGAATACAGAGGTTGGCAAGTAGTTTATGCCTCGATTGCCTTGTTCTTCTTCTTCTGTTCAACCTTGAGTAACAACGCACGGTTGATGTGGGGTAAGACACCGCCAAATGCGATGGTTGCACGAATTAGGGTGTCCAGTTCTTCGTCACCACGGATAGCGAGTTGGAGATGGCGAGGGGTGATACGCTTGACCTTGAGATCCTTGGCGGCATTCTAGGCAGAAAGTTAGTGTTTATTACACAAAGAAAAAAGCATATGGGCAGACACGTAGGCAGGCAGGCAATGGTGGCAAAGTAACACAAGGCAGACAAAGAGAGGGAATGACTCACTCCTGCAAGTTCGAGTACTTCAGCAGTTAGATACTCTAGGACAGCAGTAACGTAGACAGCAGCCTTGGCACCGACGCGCATCTTGTTTTGAGTGTTTTGCTTCAAGAAACGCTTGACACGACCACAAGGGAACTATAGATAATTATCATGTTAGTAAGATTCCGCGACGACACAGAAGAATAGGTATTTTGAAAATAAATTCAAGAGGCATGGTTGCATGAAATGTTAGGTCGATGTTGCACGAAGTTGACATGAAGAAGATCGTTATCGCATCGCAATTCATCGCGTATTTCGTAATATTCGTAGATAAGCATAAGACGGACATAAAAGTCCAATGAGCAAGGTGGGGGAATTATAAAATTTTGCGCAGTAGAATATTTCGACGTTGGAATCGGAAATCGCGATAATTGTCGAGGTTGTTCGGTGGTACGTGTCGTGAAAAAAAAGGTGCGCGTCATTCTGCGAGTCGAGGGGTAGGACGATGATATCGACGAGATTCGCAAAAATTCGAATACGACGATATTTCGATAAATCGTGCAAAAAGTTTCATGGCAACGCATTTTTAAATGCAAGTAAAAAGAATCTTACCTGAAGTCCGGCGCGAGCAGAATGGCTTTGCTGCTTCTTGGGTGCCTCAGCAGCAGAGGTCTTTCCACCAGAGCTCTTCCCTCCGGCTGATTTGCCTTTTCCGCCAGCCATTGTATGTATTTATGCGCGCGAAGTTGATATTTTTATCTGTATTGATAATTCGGCTAATCGTTACAGGCGACGAAGTAAAGTTGTTGTCGTTTCGGAACGTAAAAATAGGATTGCGCGCGTCGAGGATGTTTGTCGGTGAAAATTGTTTTTTTCGTTGTTTGTGTTTTGATTTATTTCAACGTTCGGGTTCGGGGGAAGAGATGCGTCTGAAAATCAAGAGGCGGCGCGGTACAGTTGGGGAAAGCGGGCTGGCTGGTTAGGTTTTAGTTGTGATGGGGGGGCGGGAAGCTTGTATGTAGGTAGGCTGGGTACCTATTGCTTTCCAATTCTAGGCTTCCCGGGTTGCTGCTGCTGTTTCTTGCTTGCCTAAAGTTGGTTTGGGTGTGTTTTTTGGTGCGAGTCAATAGGGTGACCTTGCTGTATTACAGTTGGTTAGGCTTGCAAACTTTGAAAGTTTTGTACCACTAAGGACTTCCAGGGTTGGCGTTACAGGCACCAAATCCTGCTTTCCAGAAGACTCGGAAGACCTGGAAGGAAGAATCACCCCGCCTAGGCGTTAAAAACCTATGCGACGCTAAACTATATCAGGTTAGATAAGGCTTGTCATTCCTTATTTTTCGGTAAATCTCCGGGGTTTAGGAGTCAGGCCGCTTGCTCTGAGGAGAAACAACTGTCTCGATGAAGCGATTGAAGACTATGATATCACGGACATGCTGCATTAGTCCAAGCCAAAACCGAAGAAGAAAAAACAATAGAGACAATATTTATTGACTTACAAGCATCATTTTGGCAGAAATACACTCGAGGACGGTTAGATGTTTGACTACCATAGTAGCAAAATATCCGCCGTAGAGCGGCGAGTTAGTCGCAGGATGGCAGCATCATGCTTAACAAAGAGCAACGGCAACATACATGCCGCATCTCCAGCAATTCTGGTGCCATCTAGACACTTGAAATTCAGTCATATCATTTGATTTATGGATTTTGACCATAGACAAATGATATGTTGAAGAGATGTTGAAGTATGATGTTATGCAAAAGGGTGGACTTTGGATAGAATTTAGAGATTAACTGTGGTCGGTGCAGGTTGGCGGGTTTGGCTTGGTCGCTTCGAAATGCAAGATCGACGCCAATCTGGAATGGGAACCGGACTGCCGAAACGTCTGTGGCTTACATGCAGCTGCAGACACAGCCACAGCCACATGGGTCTATCGAGTATATTCTTAAACTAAAACTACAGGCGCACCTTGCCGGGATTACTGTTCTATCGCGCTGATGACGTAACGTCTCAGGGGTAATGGACTGCATTTTCCTTGTCAAGACTCGAAGCATTTACAATTATCTGGAATACTTCTATTGAAAGATGATTTGGGAACTAAATCCTGGGAACCCAGAGAAACCTATAATTGAATTTTTAGGGGGAAAATACCTCGTGTTGACCAGATATGATTGAGTGATGCCGTCGTTAAGAATTCCGACTTAGGTATGGACGGGGATGCTTGATCTAGGAGTAACAATAAGGAGTCATTGATTAATTGAATTTGTTATTTGAATACATAGGTACATTTAATTGACGTGAACTAGGAAGTTCTCGTAAAATATGGCGGTGGTCGGGCGGGGGGTGATTCATGGTGCGTTGATGTTGAGATACGTTGTGAAGGGGAAGGGGAAGGGCGAGGGAAATAAGAATAAAAGCGACAGAATATCTTCACGATATCAATTAACCAATGTTTGAAATAGTTCATTGAACAAACTTGCTGGCAACTTATTAAGTACCTGGGTACTTAGGTAGATACTCAAAGGGCAAGGGGTAAGGGGCATGCTTTAGACTAGATTCATATGCTATACCTTGTTATACACATATCTATCATAGATATCTGAGTGATAGTAGCTAAAGCACCAATAAGCACGTGAGATTTCCTAGTATGCATGTGCACAATGGCATAATACCGGGTCTAAAACAGTGCCGAAGAAATTCCTACGGCAACCGACCAGTAGTTTATAGTCGTCGATAAGTTCTCTACCATCAATTAATAGATCAAAGGGTGTGCCCTGGTGGCGACTTGGTGGTCTCACTGGTACTCCTGACTATATATATCGGCGCTAAAGACGCTAATTGGATAGTGTTTCTTGGAGATGGACAGGCCAGTACACCAAGTAGGAGAGTTCGATTCCTCCAACGCTCAACACATTTTTTTTGTCTTTTTTTTTCTCGCCCGCCCTCTTACCATTTGCTTCTTACTATTCAAAGTATTTATTATATGATTCCTTCACGATGCCTTTATGACTGAGGCCCCCCTCCCCTTTCACTCCACCAATAAATATCGTCGTACACCAACACAGACCTAAACATGGGTTCGCACCTGCAATTCTCGTCAACGTCACGATAAACACTTTTGTCATTGCCCCATTGCATATTAATTGTAATTATTAGCCACCAATATATATTTCCCAACACTTAACATCATTATTTCATTCGTAAAACCTCCCACACACCAGTACCCTGACTGACGTCGCCTAGTAAGCTCGTCGCACCCACGTACAATTCGAATACGTCAAGATCATTTAATTTCACAAGTTACATTTTACACTCACCAATTCATTGCATCAAAGTTTGCTGCTTCCCTATCAAGAATGATCATCTCTTGTGTTTCCCCAATGCAACCAAAAGCCTCCTTCATCGTCAGACAATAATACACCCTCATACAAATTCGTGCTATGTATGGAGAACACCAATGCGACCATAGATGAACATGAATACGTAATCTCCAATTACACGAACCAGATATATAATCTAGGATGGGATCAAGCGTGCCACTTGCTTCCTCTACCTGGCTATACATCTGGCAGAGATCGCCGAAAAGTCTCTGAATACATATCCACCTCCCATTCTTCATTCTCGAACTCGAACAAACTACCATAATGATACCAAGCAAGCCACTCTTCGCATTCGCGCTATCCCTTTTCTCAAGGATCACACCCACCCACGCCCTCTGCCGCTCTCCTCCCCCTTCGCAAGACGCCAACAACATCGCCACCTCGGCCGATGGTCTTATATGGATAATTCTTCCAGACAATGCAAACACAACGCTTCACTATAAGCAAGTAAACATCCGCCCGCTCCCCAGTATCCCAGGAGGAGGCTTTCTAGCCATAGACGAGACATCGCGCATCCTCATCACCAGTTTCCGGAACGGCACTCTCTACGGCAATACCCAAAACGACAATGCGCTTATACCGGACTTGAAAGCATACCTAAACCTGGTGGCTAATGGTACTGCCAGTCGAAACAAAATCGAAAAATACGAAATCATCTTCTCGAACACTACTCAGGGGGAGTGGGTTGAGCTGCACACTACCGATGTAGACATGGGTACCAATATAAATACGTGGTGGATCGATCACCGCGACTTCGCCGCTGCCAAAGTGATCGGGCTCACGGTATGTTTTATGGGTGGTTCCGGCTCCAAGAAGTGGTATCAATTGTTCTTCATGGTGAGTTGGACAGGGGAAAGTTGGGACGTGGCTGGGTGTGATGATGTCGCGGTGCAGAAGACGCTGATTCCCGGGTTCGGGAAGAGGGATGGTGAAGGATGTTAGGACTGGTGGTGTGTGGTTTGGGGATATCTTGAGGGAATATTAGTAATGGGAGAGGCCTGGGATGATGATAGGGGAAATTGCTTGTCTGAGTCTGTCTGGGGCTGAGGGGCTGGGTGTAGCTACCTCTACGACGTTCTTTGGGGGTGTTGACCTTTAGAAGGAATAGTTAAGACATCGTTTCCGATAAGCAGAAGCTATGAATGCGTTTGGGTTATGGATTGGACTCTGGAATAAGTTCGCCTGCTTAGACGAGTAATCAACCTGACGGATTAGGTAAGATACATTGTTACCGGCTCACCGGAAACGTTCACGATAGTCTAGAAGCGCGCAGTATTCGCAAACCGCATACCCCAGTAGGTTAAGTACAATACCAATAGGCATAATGCTTGAAGCGTCGTGTTACAATTTGCGGATGCAAGATGCCTATTTAGATCCTGCGAGGTCTTTTCGCACGCGGAGAAAGCTCCGATTGTGATTCATCAGGTAGGACAGTTGAGGGACGATGAACGAGAAGCAAACATATAATGTTCTTTCATCAATTCGTCCGACTGAATTCGGCTTGACAAATATCTTAAAGTGTTACCAACTATTGGATCGTTAATTCTAGGAAATTATTTGCATCTTGTGCTCGGTCGTACGTTGTTTGTCGGGTTTTTGTGTCTCGCAACTTCATGAATTAATAGATTCGACTTTCGATATCATATTAACTCTCCAGGAACACTGTTTATATGTGTTTGTTCGTCCGATTCGAAATGTTCATACAATTTTTGGTTTCTGTATTCCAGAACCACCTATCGACCATAGTACTGGAACATATATCCATGTTATCACTGATGCTTGGAAATATTTGGAGTCGGAAGGAGAATTAATACTAGTAGACAGGTACGTTTATATTACGTAGGGTGTTTGCAAAAGGCCATCTTCTCTTCTCTGGATACTTTTCTTCGTGTATCCGGGCTCGACTGGGATCAATATGGTCAATTTCGAGAGGTTGAAAGTGTCGAGTAATGCTAATTCGCATCAATTCGCCTGATTAGGTATTCAGCATATCAGTCAAATAATGCATTGTGACATATTATGACGTCCTGGAGCAAGCTAGCGTCGACGCATTTACAAAGGCTATGCATATTCTGGTAGCCTTCCAAAGATGCTTGCCAGGTACCTAGATAATTGCGACATAGGAGTCACCCAAAGGCTCAACACTAACCATTCTAGTATAATGTATTCTGAGGACCCAATATTTGTGTCAGCTGCAAGTAACCTGTGCCGTTCTTGAAGATGGCTTGAGCGTCTTCAGCTTTCTCGAGAAACACCCTGTCACAACGGAGAGAGCTGGCGAGTGGTGAGACAGACGGGAAAGGAGCTAGAACACCTCTAGTTATCTTCAGACATGCCACGGCTACCTGCATTGCGCCACGCTTGTTGCCCCTTGCGTCCCTGCCTAAACGTTGCTCGAACAACAAGTATCTAGGCATGGGAAACGAGATGAGAGCACATGCTGACTCTAATAGCATATAGATTTCTGTCAACTGTTGAGTAACATCTTGACGAAATAATATTATAGTCAGAGGTTCTAGACCATGATTAAAATCTCCCAATGTAGATAATGATACAGTACTTGTTAGCCTTCATACTTATTCTACTCTAGCCGAATAATCATGTCATTTCCCGAGGGGAGTAGTTTCGGTTGCGAGGACATCGATGTTGATATTGCTGGTCTGGTTCGGATGAGAAAAAAAGGGGGTCTCGGCTTGACGGATCACTCACCAACCGGGAACATCACCGGTAGTCTAAGATATGAGTAAGAGCCGATATATTGGCCTTGGCAGAAACCTTTGGAAAGTCGTTTGCGTTTCGCTCCTTACGGGAGAACCTAGTCCGGCTGGAGAAATGACCCTATACTCAGGCCAGACAGCGTAGCAAAGCTAAAAAATTCCTTCCAACTGTGACGGTTTTGTTTTGAATGATTAAGTGAGCTTATGCGGCCCATTTCTTCGCCTCACATTAGAAGAACCCCGTCAGATACGAGAGAGGAAAAGAGTAAAAACACGGGAAGTTGCCGATTGGATGACTAGCTTGACGTTACTCTCATAATGCCAGCTCCCGAGACAAAAAGCTTAGTGTCTCTTCCTCCTCCACCGAGACCAGGAAATAGACTCCCAGAAATTTGGTGACATCTTGACCATGCCTTGACCATGCACGACCCTTGCTGGTTGCTGTTGTATTGGTAACCGGGGTTGTTGTTGTCTAAACTGTGTTTACGCCGTCACCTAAACATCCAGGGTTTCAACATTTGGGATGTTCCACTTATCGACTTGCCTAGGGGCTTGTCTATTTGTAGGTACGGCATTCAGCTTTGTCAGAAGTTATCCATACGAACACAAAACACGGTCACATATCGATGGCGAAGAGGGAGAGGTAACTATCGATCGATTTTGTAAAAGAATCCATAGCGGCAGTGAGTTTGTCAGGTCTGTGAGTTTCGAACTCGATGAGAACCATCTCCATACGAATTTTGGATCGGGTGGCTAATCGCTGTCGCCTCCAAAGTCTTTGCGAGAGTGTCCCCTTTTTTGTTTACTTCGGGTACCAATAATCCTGGTTAGACTACCAAGGTAATGTTCCGTAGGACAAACGGAACTGGGACGGAGAAGTTGATTGATCTGTTGGAGCCGGGCATGGGTATGTTCTTAACGGCTAACCTTCCTTGTAGTCGCGGCAACCGGGAACTCATCAGAGGAGAACGAGGTTGTAATTAGCTAACCAACGGCGCTCATGGAGTTGAACGTCATTGATGTGACATTAAATAAGAAAGCAAGGGACAAAATGGTAATGATGGGTAAGAAAAGAAATGACGCAGACCTGGTAAAAGGAGATAACCTACGTAATTGATGAGCTATTGTAATGGAGGAAGATGAGTTCCAGAATATGCCAAGATTCTAGGTTCCATGGAGGGTTGCCTCGATTTTCTCGAAACAGACGCAGAACTGTCTCTGATTTGCTGGCGATGGTGAACGATCATTTCGAATCCTTAGGGGTTCGACGGGGGGAGGTTTGGGCCACCTTGCGATCCGATCTTCGAACGGGACCCTTGGAACTGGGAGTGGTAGACGCACAGACGGTTGGCAGGCTGAAAGATTGATAGGCTGAGGGAACCTGTTTTGAAAAACTCGTGACTTTGAGAAAAGATGCCGATTCCGTAAAGACAGGGATGTTGGAGTCTGAAGAACTAGTAATTTTCTTCTTATTATTGTCATTTTTGTCAATTATTATTCTTGGTTATAAGAATAGAGTCTGTCGTTTATATCTTTGGACGACCTCGAAGCAAGGAAGAAAAGAAACTAGACGATGCGGCTCGGCAAAAGCCAAGGTTGGGCATTGTTTCTAGCATAAGGTTGGACCGAAATGACGGTCCTCTCTCATTAACGAGACGCGGGGAGAGGACTGTTCCATTGTACCATTGTAGGATTTGCAGATTAAAGAACTTGCAGAATGGTGACATCCGCTGCATGTTGCGCTTCGCGCGTTGGCTAGGTACCTAGATCAGCGGGTCTGCCATGCAAGAATGCTCGTGATCTACATGAAATGAGTGCATTAGGCACATTTTATCACCAGATACATCACCGTAGGGGAAGTGAGATTCATCATTTGTCGGGACTGACAAATATTCCCAAGGTTGAATTTGTGGCGCGCTGATCGGATCCGATTGGTGATTTTCTGGAATTATTCTATTATTTGTAGAGTAAAGAGATTTGGCGTATCTTTTTAGTAGAAGACTTGCCGGCAAGACCGGGACTTTGGGGGTGATAAAATAGGGGGCTTGAGATGGATTGGCATCCTAGAAGAACTGGCTGAGTGGGAGCACGTAAGTCAAGATAATCAATAATGATAGTGTTAGTAATAGAAAAAAAAAAAAGGTGACGTAAAGTACTGGAGAGCTTTGGATAGATCGCGAAATCTATCCAGTTAATCTATAGTTAGAGGGAATGGTTGGTCTATCTCCAGGATTGTTTCCAGATGATAGATGAGAGAGGAGATGGATATGAGCGCGGCACGCGGTTCGAATAAAGAAGTAGATTTGTGGGTGAATCTGAATTCGTTCGGTACCCTTGTTGAATGAGGGCTATCGAATTCGTTCGTTGATTCATTGTTCACCTGGGCCATCCTTTTGGGGGGGTGTCAGTATGATCAAGACGCTATGCATGCATGTTTCACCTGTATAATCGACTCTGTATGGCCAATGTAGAGTCCCAACTACGACTCGCAGCAGAATGCTCCACAGGCAAACCCCCCTTTTCAACCAACAGGGTTATGAGCTTTGTCTCCGGTGATGTATGTGTGGTGTATGCGACGGCGTGCTTCGTACATACCTAGGTGCCTATGCGCCGGGCCAAGACGATGAGAGGCGTATGTACATACATTCTGTACGTTGGGTACCTAGGTAGGCAAGTATTCCGTCCCATAGATCTTCATGGCCGCATTAGAAGCGGGCAAGAATCACATACTTGACTTGGCTGCAGAAAAACAAACCTCCGGGTTGATTTATATCCAGAATACTAGTACCGTATTTAAAATTCCTATTCAGTTGTATTTTGTATGTTGTATGGTATCTTTGAATAGATCACTTGGCGTCGCGTTGAAAAGTGGACTGGTTGAAATAAAAGAGGGTGTGCTGAAGATGTTCACGAGGCTTCTAATCGCTGTGGCTTGTGGCCTTTGTCTCGTGATGAAGTTCTATCATAATGATAGTAATAGAGAGACATATAGACATGGGCAGCCTAATAAGAAAGGATAATCATGTTGATAGGAGATATCGGTAGATAGTCGCTCAGCTGAGAAGGTTGGCCTCGTTGCATAAGTAGGTATGGTTGGTGATAGGTAGACTGGAATGCGTATAAGTTTGTTGTATCCATGAATTGCGCACAACACAATAATGATTAACACAATAATAATAGTGCATGTATAAGAGACATTTCGTTGATGGGAGATTGAAAGTGTCTGGGCATTTCAGCTCGTGGATCGGAATATGACTATCTTGGTCCTTGTTAGAAATAAGTTGATTTAAATCAGTTAGATGTCGACAGATTCTAACATTTTTATTTGTAGTCAGATTAATTGAGGGTGATGACGATGCTCGATGATGAAGATGATGATTACCTTTTGTTGGGGTACATATGTATCTTTTCTGTCGCTGTTGCCCTGTGTATTATGACACATTGTTATGACGACCGCCTAGCCTTTCCTACCTAGGTAAATTACAGTAAAAAGCCGCTTTGCGATGCACTGTGTAGAATGACAAGGTTAAGAGGCTTAGGGCTGGCCTATGCACCTTGAGAAATGGACCAATTGATGCTCCGAGTACAGTGTGAATTTTAATTTAACTTTGATGTATGTACGAACTATGAACTACGCCATCTATGTACCCAGCTGTCTAGGTAGGCCCGAACTACGCTATTCGCAAAACTATCTCGACTCCAGTTTCCCCCTTCCCCCCTAAAGCCCCCTAAAGCCCCCTAAAACTCCTTGGAAGCTCCTGCTGTTAAGGCCTCCAAAACTAGTGTCAATAGAAGTTTGGACATTGCGTTGCTCCATTTTGATATTAGAATTGTTATTAGAATAATTAACTACTGCACCAATGAACTTTCTTTAAGCTTCTCTTGAATTTGTTTTTTTTTTTCTATTGCCTTAGTCTATTTCGCTCCAATTCCCCGTCAACCTATCCACGATCCACCTATCCAATTAGCCCCCTTCTCCCCTTCTCCCTGGGAGCTTTTTTATCAAGTGCCAAGTTTCCATACCTACTCTATTAGAAAAATTCTAGCTCGACATATTTTTCGTCTTTTTCGAAATATTACAATACTACCTACTTAATAACATATCACATTTTCAATTCGATGGTCCTCGTCTTTCATTGAGGCATATTGCCATCCATAATCGCTCTTCCATCTTTGCATCTTCGTATCCAGTCCCTCTCTTCCCTCCTTACCAACACGCCCACCTGGGTACCGACGCTATAGCTACATATCCACCGGCCTCCTCCGAACTTGTGCTTGATTGGATTTAAACCTGAACCTATTAGGTATCATTATCTCCTTGCTTTTATGCTTGGAACTTCTGATTGGTTTCTTCCCCGTCTTCGTCTTGTATCTTTCATTCATCCCACTGTACTTGCGCCGAGATCTCTTAACAACAGATCCAAAGGTACATAAGTACGGGAAGAAGATTAAAAGTGAGGCACATAACCGGCACCGGATACCGTTAACTTACCTACATAGACCTACATATTACGTTTCAGTAGGGGGAAGTACCTAACTTATACCTGTCTATACCCGCCTATACCTAGCACCAGGGGTCCCCCTCTAAACAATTAGAGTGGTGGACAATCCCGCAGTTTGGTGCTTTTCCGCCTACCCATCGACCACTTTTTTTTTTATTCCTACCCGTCCTGATAACTCAACTCAGCCTACGCTCAGCCTGACAAGAAAAAGGCAACCTGATTATTCTGTTCTGGCCGACTATCTCACCAATCCAATCTTATCAGTTGTCCATTTGCGCCGAGACTTCTCTTCAACTAGCTGTCCTAGGATCTTGAGAGGTTCTCCCCCAGTTGATGACCCATCATCGCATTTTTACGTACCATCGTACCCTTGCTCGACTTGCCTACCCCCTACAGCCTACATAGTACTTACATAGTACCTGGGAAAGCCGGTTTATTGGACCTAATCGATTTCGCGCGTCGCGTACGAACACAGCCTCTATTTCTTATCCTCCCCCCCCCTTACTAGCCGCCCCGAAGGACTCCTCAGTTCAGCAGGCATACCCGAATTTATTATAATTATTTATCATTATTATTTTTTATATTTTTAAAACATTTACCTCCGACGAAAGCTGTGTGGAGCGACGCAATCAGAGTTTAAGAAAGTTCTGTCAACGTCCCGACGTTCAGGTTAGCCCTTCGTTTATTTTTGGCGGAAGGGGAGGAGGAAAAAATTCAAAATAATAAAAAAATAAAAAATAAAAAAAAAGCGAAAGGAAAAGAAAATCCTAACTTACCTAGGTTGGGGGGTCCCTGCGGTCGAGCCCGCAATTCTTCGCCGCCTTTTTTTTCAGTCTGCCCTCGCTGCAGGCCATTTTTTTTCTCCACCGCAATCACTCCAGGACAGGTCCAAGTCCCCTTTCTAGAGGTTTAGGACCTATCATATATACCTTGGAAAGATTTGGCGACTCAGTACACGAGCATCAACTTTTCGGTACTTGAGCTCCGTCACCCGTCACGGCGTGCTACCCGACTTAATCTCTTCGGCTTCCTGCATTTTTACTGCACAGCCAAAAATCCTGCCTGACATTTCCAACCAACCAGCCATAGCCCTCGCCCTCGTTGTCCCATCGACCGACTCCTACCTATCTTTTTCCCCCGACCTTGCTTTCTGCAAAGGACCGCGATTCTTTCCGACGACGCTTCGTTCTCTAGCCTATTTTCCCGCAGAGACGAAAGGCGAATAGGAGTCTCTGGCTCTGGTACTTATACCATCTACACATCATTTCGGGCATTTCGCCGACTTATATACACGTAACAAGGGAGCCGCAGTCTGCTGGCTCCCCACAGCAGCTGCATCAGCCCTCATCTCTATTGTGGCAACAATGAATCAACAGCAGCAGCAACAACAACACGACATGTATTACGACTATCCGACAGCGGCAAACCGGTCGCCGGGGTCGACGAGACAGGGTTATGCTACCGTTGGCTTGCCTTCTGGCTTAGGGGGTAACCGATCCGGACAGAGACAACTCGAGTCTATCGGCCAGCATATGGGATCTCCCTCTTTATACGGACATGATGATCGGGTCGGTGGCGCTCAAGGCTATGAGTCTTTGTCTAGATTTGACCGCGTCGCACCAAGTGGAATGCAGTCAGGTTACATGTTGGAGAATAGTCAAACGTGGGGCTATAATGGCGGAGTAGCCACCATGAACGGTCCCATGAATGGGAATGGTAGGTTGGCGGTGAGAGCTGTAAATCGACGAGCCGCTTTACCTACTGTAAGTATTTTTTCCGTTTCGTATTCCGATAGAAGAGGGTTGCTAACGTGACGTGTGTTTAAGACTTGGACTGATCAATCTGGGCTTGGCGTACATTCGATGCCTCAACTATACGATCCGAATATGTCGATGAATGGAAATGATCATGATTTATCGAGCGCAGATTCTAGAGGAATGATGGGAACACCAGGAGCATCTGACGCTGAACAGCTTATTCCGACAGCTATTGTTATCAAGAATATCCAGTTCCAATGCCGGAAGGAAATCCTTCAAGGTCTAATGGCATCCATGAATCTTCCACAACCCTATGCTTTTAACTATCATTTCGACAAAGGCGTGTTTAGAGGACTCGCTTTCGCTAACTTCTCGACCGCCGAGGATACTGCTATTGTCATTTCCAAGATGAATGGCTTGGAGGTCATGGGCCGAAAGTTGCGCGTTGAATACAAGAAGATGTTACCGCAAGATGAGCGTGATCGAATCGATCGAGAGAAACGTGAGAAGCGAGGTCAACTGGAAGAACAGCATCGGGCACCGCTTCCTATGCACCAACAGAGTGCTTTACAAGCTCTCGGCGTCAGCGTCAACAAGCAACCCAGCAATTCGCCTCTACGTAAGTTCTCTAACCTCTAATCTATCTGCAATATTCTTGCTAACTTCATAGGTGATGTTGATCTGAACGACCCGGCTACCCTCGAATTCTACACGCAGCTCACCTTATTCAAGAACGATCCATCCCGCGAAGCCCACATTTTCTCTCCCGACGTCACTCCTGAGCAGCGTCGACAGATACATATCCTCGCTCATAATATGGGTTTGGAGCACAGGTCCGTCGGCGAAGCTGATCGAAGACAGATACAGATTATGAAGCGCCCGCAAAACTCGCCTCCTATCCACACTCAGAGCCAACTACCTAATGTCTCTTGGGAAGATCACCGACGTGGTCTTAGCCGCGCCGCGACCTACGACTTTACAGAGTCTCGGATTGGATCTAGTGCCTACCACGCACTCGGACGGCAGGGTCCAACCCTGGAACTCCCTGGCAGTCCCGACAACGGAATACCAAACAACCTGAGAGCTGCCAAAAGCTTCGCAGATTTGCGCACCCACAGTCCTAGTCCTGCGCCCTCCGGCTCGAGCTATGCCGGTCTTGGAAATGGCCTTGGGGCCCGTTATGGTGATTTCTCCCAAACCTCGTTGACCACGCCGCCCAATTTAACCCCGACGTCAGGTCAAAACGCCGCATCGAGCACCGAAGCTTTGCTAGCGAACAACATGAGTTCTATGAGCTTAGGGTTTGAGTCGAACGCTTCTCACATGCGCGCCAGAGAGACACCGGGTGCTATCGGAAGTCAGAGACCTGGAGCAAATGGAGCGGCGAATCGTAACGCCCCAGACAGACAGCCGCGCGGCCCTGAATGGGGTGAAGCCAGTCAGGGTTTTGCTGGGCGTAGTCGGGGCCATATGCAACGAGGCAGTGGTTAGTATCAATTTTGACTTCGAAGTGTATCTTACCGTTAGTTTTGTTCGTACTAACCCTAGTTGCGCACAGATTCATCAGATGCAGGCCGTAGCTCCGGCACTGCTCGTTTCCATTGATCTAACCGGGTCCGATGCGATGTAGAGAGGCGAGCAACGTAAGGAGGAGCGACATCTCGTCAACCATAGGATCCGAACACGCCCCGAACAGCTTCTCATAGATGAATGATTCGGATTCGATATCTGAATTCGGCAGAAGTACACGGCGGTCATAATATCCTGGGGCCTTTTCTTCGTTGCCCCCTTTTCCAACGCCACCCCCTAACGACTGTTAGATCTCCGTCATCACAAGCATATCACAACGAGAGACGATTTATGACATAGATTTATTCCCTTCATTGACCTGACGCCAAGGTTTAGCCTGTCGCAGCACGATTATCGCATTTCGATCGAACTTTTCGACATGCATTATTGCCATTTTTATCTCTGATTCATTTCGCTGATTTCATCCGATAATACTGTTGTAATATGAGATTTGATTTATTTTGGAATATTTGTTTTATTCAACTTCCATCTACGTTTCTCCGGCCGTCCTGGATTGGGAATAACTACACATCACTGGAGTTTGCGATGGTGAAAGGTTGCAGTGTTGCATGGAAACAAAAAAATTTAAGGGGAACAATGATGTACATCGTTCCAGTTTTACAATACCCTCTTCACGATGATCGACAATGAAACCATCTCTGGATACACCATACAGCAATTTTATGGGCGACCATTCACGGCATCACGACTCTCAAACTCCTATACCCTCCGAGGTATCTTTGAAGGTCTTGACGACTTCCGAAGGGGGGTTGTCAAGCCTGGAGGACCTCTTTACGATGGTTACGCTGTTACGACGCATATGCACATCACTAGATGGCAACGCGATGCTGGCTAGCCTTGCCGACTTAGACAATCTACCCTATTAATCATTGTTCCAAAAAAGGAGCATCTACCAGGGCGTCTATGTCGATAATAGGCTAGCTTAGCTTCGGAGCAATTGGAAACGAACGAACGAACGAGGCGATGAAGATGAAGACAGCAAGAGTTTTAAAAAAAAAAAATTCGTTGCTGAGCAAGGAATTTGTTTTCACTGGAGGACAGAACAGAAGAACGAAGGCAGACGGGACACAGGAAGATGAGATAAAATTATTTGCATTTGTATATGGTTTATTTGCACTGTAACGACCGACGCTGTGCTGAGGTTTCTTTTTCGTCTTTTCCTCCTTAAACCGGCATGTCATCGGGACCTCCCCTCCACGTTAATTCAACTCAGCGTTTTCCCATCTAATGAGTTATAGCCATCAACAGGGCGACGATGCATTGTTGTTTGGGAGGTAACGGGGATCTAAGGTCTCGTGCAAGGGGAGAGTATTCAGTTGACGGAATGAGGAGAGACATTCGCTATAGGCGCTCTGCTGCAATACAAAAAGTATTTGATCGTTTTCAATTTGGAATCTTTTCGTGATATGATTATGTGTACTTTGTTTTGAAGAAAAAGGGAAGCAGTCTGGTCGAGATGGGGCCAGGAACTTCATCTATGAGAAACCCCTCCTAGTTCGGAATACTTGGGCAGAAAATATCTATTAATATGGTATATGTACAGATTCTAGTAAACCTTTCGCTTTGCTACTCCCCTCCCTTTACGACTACACGAGTTCTCCGTTTACACAGGTACTATTCTCCACCTCACGACTCCTGGCGAACATGTCATAGACCCTTCGATACCGACTTTACCTCCCGCCGCACGGCTAGCAGTTATTGCAGATCCGAGAATATCTACTACATCTGTACCACCCACATAGACTTGGTCGCTTGACGGCGGCGTCGCGGGCTGAACTTGGAACGCACAGCTTCCTGAAGTCAGCAGCGTGTTGAATGCATTTGTTGCATAATTCGCTAGGAAGAAATCTCGTGGTGCGGACTGTTCGGTTGTGCGCAGAGATGTGCATGAGTCTAGCCAAGACGACGAAGAGGACGTCGATGTGGAGATCGTGTTGAAGCTGCTGCCTCCACAATAGTCGGATGCTGGAGATGTCGAGGCGTACCATGCCCAACATGCTGGTGGATTATTGGGACTTTGGGCGTACTTGTAAAGACCGCATGTTTGGGCGGCGGCGCGCGGTGCGATTGTTGAGGGTAGACTGAGCGCTGCGGTGGGCGCGATTAGAGATATGAGGAGTTGATGAGGATGCATCTTGACTCTTGACAGGGAGGGTTTGGATTTTAGTGGTGTTGGGTTTAAGGAATTGCGTTACGCATCATATATGAGAGCACCTGGTAGAGCCGGTGAGAAGAGAAGGTGTATGGAGTTAGTTATGTGAGAATATCGTCGGTGAAGCTACCAACGCTTTACGTATGTTACTTCCTTGACGGGCCAAGCCGGCTTGAACAAATCAACCGGGAAAAAACCAACTACTTGCATACTAACATGGTCACTTGACCACTTCTAGATCAATATTATGGCCCTTCATATCCCCTACTCTCAACTTCATCATCGTCACTGGCTGAACCCCATGAACCCCCTCTTCTTCCCCGGCTCAAATCTCAACGCACGAGTTCATCACACAAATCAAAAAGCATAGGAGAATAAAAAAGATGAACAGATCTCCGCCACAAAACCTGGAAATCGGATTCGATCTCGGTCGGCCAATCCAATTGCGGCCCAGAGAAGTGAGAAAAAAGCGTGCCTTTATGCTGTCCAATAAGAAGCGTAGAATCGACGATCACCGTGCGCTGGTTCGTGAACTCCGGCGGCTAGAATGCAAACGCAGATTTCAGCACGTTTTTCTGTTGGTGGAATCGGGGATCCAATAATAGACGTCAATTAAGAAGTCTATATCACTTGATGGCCGGTATAGGTTAGGTTAGGTTAGTCTTGTGTGAGCTGTTATAGGGGAGGAAAGGAATGCCGAGACTAACCCCCTGGACTTAATAGGGGATTTCCAGTTGCCTGTTTGGGATTGAGGAAATGTGACATGCTTTGAAAGCCCGCATGATTTTACTTACACCGATATGGCTTCTAATTTTCTTTTTGTGTCTTTCGGAGAAGTCCTACACCTTCCCAAATGTGTGGCTAGCTGACACAGACCAGTCTGAGAATGATTCCGTTCGCCCTATTGAATGTGACACGTCCCAGCTGGACCTCAAGTTAGCTACATCTTTGCAGTACCAGCTCAATGAGCTTGGCGGTTGGAATTAAGGGAGTACAAAAAGGCGCCGATGTATGAATTATTCAATTAGAATAACTTGTGCCAGAATAAGTGGCTTCCTTTACTACCTATATACATTAAACATTGCTGTATTAGAAATCTATATCCCAATATTCTATCCATTAAGCCCATCCCGAACTAGACGAGGAATCTGCATCCACGCCAATTCGCACAGTACCCGAGGAGCCCCTTATCTCGCCAAATTCGTATTTTAGTCCCATCTCGTTAACTCGCCAATCCCTATCTTTACGCTTCATTGTGCTCAAGCCCTCAAGACGGCTTAGCATCCATGAATCGCACACGTAGTATAGGGCACCCGCGACAGTACTAGGGTCGACGGGCATATGTGGCCAAGGGACGAAAAAGGAGCCGACGACGACTAACACCATGATACCGAGGATACCCACGGCGGACCATGTGCAAATGGTGTGTATTAGGAAAGTCTGCGTAACGCGGTAGGGTATGTTGGAAAGGAAAATCGTGAGAAATTCAGAAAGAATGGATGTTACAGCCACGATGGCAAGGAATGCGTGCCGTCGCTTGATTGACGACCACAATCCTGAGAATGCATTGGTAGGTGGCGCTAGTAAGATCGAGCGTCGCGCGTGCTGCGGCGAGCTGGATAGAAGCTGGTAAGGACTTAGGATAGCGATGCCTGGAAGAGTGTTAGATATTTTAATTTAAAGGGATGACAGGGTGGACTTACTGCTGAAGAATGATGCCCAGAAGAAACTGATAATAACACCAACACCGGTGAAAAGGAACCGAACGCCGAAGGACTCGCTATCCATGAACCTTTCGAAAGGCGTGTCGCCGCCGGTATTGTTGTAGTATAATATCAGAGCGAGCAATCCGCATAGGACGAATAAGAACATCGATCTTCCCACGTACCCCAGCATTAGGAAGGGTAGATGATGCTGTGATTTCGTACGCGCAGCATGGTGATCTTGTGGTTCCTTCTCGTCGGTAGACTTCCCATGAATATAGCTGCCCCTATTTCCTTCAGCTAGCATTATTCCATACTCGACAGTCCCATTTGTGCCGTAGAAGTACCCCAGCTTAAAGCAGCGATCCTCCAACACCGACTCAAGCAACCCCTTTGGCATCCTGGCATCAACACCGGCAGGTAAGTCAGTAAACAGCCGGCGCACATCAGGGTTCAAAGCCAGCGATGCCGTTCCGCAGATACTCCAAGGGTTCGTCCGAACACCCGAAACCCAACTCGCTAGAACCACAACAATCATCAACGTCGCGATGACCATAGCACCCAAAAGTCCAATAACTGCCTTAGCTGCCTGATCAAATACACTAAGCACATACGCACAATTCCTCGCTGACTCGCCACCCTTCACACACCCCTCTCCATGTAGATCGAACGAAACCGCCTCCGCAGCCAACGGAATCAGTAACGCGGACGCAAGCACCAGCGCCGAAGTCAAAAACGCCAACGGCTTGCCACCGACAAACAAGGCCCTAATGCCCGCGACAGCAGATTGCCAACCATTGGTATTCAGACACAATGAATCACGCCCAGGTGCACCGCGCACATAATCCGCGGATCGGGCTAACTCATGCCACGGCTGCAGGATCTTGGCATTGACGTCGAGGATGCGGATTGGCACGGCGAGAAGGATGGCTAGGAGCGTGGGCAGGAACATGCCGATGAAGTATTGCCCGTAGCTTATAGCGTAGGTTTTTATTACGACGTTGGGGTTGCTGGGGGTGGAGGGGATGACGGGGTAGAAGGTTGCGGTTGCGGTAGGTTTACCGCTGAAATCTGTTACGATGGAGATGGAGGGGGTTAGGAGGATGTAGGTTTCTTGTGTGGCGGTGGGTTGGCCTTGGGAGTCTGTTAGAGTAACTGTTTGGGGTGTTGAGATTGGCGTGGGAGTGTCCATCGATGTGAATGTGGCTACGCCTTGGGAATCAGTCAAGGTGGTGGCGCTTGGGGTTACGAAAGTAGGCGTCTGGACGGGAGGAGTCGTCTCTGAGATTGTGACACTCCCTACGTCGCCGTAATCCGTAGTCGCAGCGGTCTCTGTAACTTTTTGCGATCCCACATCGCCATAGTCAGTACTACCCTTAGAAGGTGCCATTGTTGGCGTTGGCGGCGTGCTGATCTCAGAAACAGTCACAGGTCCGCCGACTTGACCGAATTCATCCTCTGGTTTAGAGTAAAAAGTTGTAGGCTCTGCATCGTCAGGACTTGCGGGATCGGTTATCTTGGGTGCAGGAGTTGTTGTGGGGTCTGCTTGTTCTGTAACGGTCTGAGCCCCGACATGTCCAAAATCGCTTTGGTCGACTGTTTGTGCTGGCGTCGCTGAAGGAGTTTCGGCGCGTCCACCAAGAGGAGCGGCTGTAAAATAACGCCTAGCATTGGGTATGCCTTGGATTTCTCTTGCTTGCATGCCCTCGGGAAGAATATCGATGTTGTTGTTCACAACCGGCAGAGTGTGTAATGCCCATGCTATCAATCCGATAAACGCCAATATGACGCATATCAAGAATGTTAGAAAAGGCCATCTTAACGCCGATGGTTTGTAGTTGGGACGCTTTTGGTTTGTTTCAGGCGGGACATCTAGAGCGACTTCGTTGTAGGCGATCATATCAGGTTTGTAGCTTGTTGAGACCCTCGTATAATCTGTTTCGGTACTAGACCATGGCCGATCACTGCCGTACTTCGGAGGGCTCTCGTATTCACCCATAGATTCAGCTAAGACATCGGCGTTGTGGCGTCTTCCACCATATGAGATATGCTCTTCGTCGTATCGTCGCTCATGCTCCTGGCTCATATGGCCTCTATATTCGTACGATTCGTCATGATCTTCGAAGTTATCGTTTTGGACATGTGATTGGGGAAGGGCACCGAAGCCCCCTCTCCCACCGTGCGAAGTCGTCGTGATATGTGACATGACGTGGTGGCGCCTCTGGTCAATACATGTAACCACTCAATCTCTCAACTCATTTCCAGAAAGGAATTATGATATTCCAACCAAACTTGAAAAGTCTGAGGGAGAGGATAAAAATCCACCTCCATCGCGCGGTAGGGGACATATATCCTTCATATTTTTATTTTTGATGCGTGGCGGAGCGAAGTTATCGTTCCATCGTTACAATACCAGTCGTCTTGTACATGGGTATAGGCTATCCGCATACCAGTACCATGTAATTTAGTGGCTAGTCGGCCTTGGCAATGCTCAGCTCTGCTTGCTAAAGCCTAGAAATAGTAGAAATAGACCATGGCGTCAATTCCTTTCGCCAATCGAACCCAGTAAATCTGAGATGGACCCTAATAAAGCACCCTAAGTCAAATGGCTCCTTGCCGATCAGCACTACTAGCTGACCGACCCGGCAGGCTTCAGAATCAGAACGTTCCCTTAGCACATGGTTCTTTATATTATCGCCTATAGGAAGCTGCACAGCTTACTCAGAAGATTGTTTCGAAGCTCGAGTTAATCGATCCATACTTGTGAGTAATACGACCATACCTAGGTACTTAAAATCATCGACCGATCTAATGTCTTGTTTTCAAGGTTTTCGAGTAGGCAATCCCTACCTAGAAACGGTCGTAAAATAGCCAAATGATTCAAAGACATAGCTTTCCGTATAAAAGTGAAGGGTTTGCAGAATACGACACGTTACAGCGCTGAGTACCGCGTGTAGGTACCTATGGTGTTAATGAATTCATTCGAAATTAGGGAGACTGAGACGACATGGAATCACTATAAATACGCCTATCAAGCCTGTAAGGATTCTATCTTATGCCTATTATATGTGCTAGACGAAAAAGGTCTAGGCTATTAAAACTGCGCTGGAGCCTGTAGTTCAGTGCCACGGGGTTTTCCCGGGATGAGGTGAGACTAAATTAAACATCATTCACAATTAGTCAGAAGATTCTTCCAGACGAACGACATTCGTTAAGCTGCGGTTTGCGTATTCCGATATAGTTTGACTTTTGGTGAAAGGTAGGTGTAGAATCTGCGAGGATCATGCAATTTCCTCTTGAAGGTCATCGATGGTGCGTTCTTACTTAGGTACCTACCCAGGCACCTATGGTAGGTGTCGTTTGTCGAGGTCCGAATGGCTATGCGGGATTTCTGCTGACCTAAGGTATAGAAGAAGTCCATTACGTTGAAGAAACAAAATGTCTTTCAATCCCTCATCACCTATGAGGTCGCTCTTCTTAACTGAGGGCGTCCTCAAGCTTATCGGCGGATCGATATTCATGATTTCACCTCAAACACCCTTGTCGGTCGCAGTCGGTGCTCCAATCCCACCATCAGCCCTTCTCCTAACTCGACTTTTGGGTACACAGACGTTTACGTTAGGCTTGTCAATGCTTCTCGCATCCTCAAGAACACCAAAAGCTGTGCCAAGCAGACGAATCGTATATTGGACAATATTTGCAAGAGATGCCACCTTGATAACAGTGCTAGCGCTTCAGTTATGGTTTGGTGATAATACCGAAGCTCTGGGTTTCTCGCCGAAAGGATTACGCGCGTGGCTTGCGGAGCTGATGCCCTTTTGTCTCGGCCATTTATGGATTCTCATTACTAAGCCACATTGGTTCTGATACTGGCAACAATCTATCCTGCCGGCTTGCTACACGGGTTGTTGATTCGTATTCAAGATAAAAAGGTTATGATTAGTAAAGTGTACATCTGATTCCCCTATTTGCCCAATTTCCCGAAATACGACCTAGGATATACGGGGAGATTAAGATGTACCCTTGCGTGTAGAGCTAGATTCCGAATTGTATGAGGTTTGTAAATTTAAAATCCAGGCATGACAACTTCCTCCGGAATTCGAGGAGTTCTTCAATTCTATCGACTCACCCAAGACCGCCAGACATGAACACGATAGAGCACCTCAGAACTCTTTAAATCATGTGGATGAAAGCTTAATCACCCTGATTCGTCTATGTGCCGAGTCTGAGTGCGCGCTATTCCGATCTAACTCAGAGCACCTTGGACGTAGCTCTGAGTCTGACGAGGTTGGTGTGAGTGTTAGCTGGGGGGGACTTCCCCTACGAAAAGTCGATGAGAGACAATCCCGGATTATAGCGGCGAGCTATGTCGATGGCATTATGGACGGATAAGCTGCTGCAGAAGGAGCAAAGAAATGTACGATCATCCGAATAGTATAAAGGTAAGACGACTTGTAGTGTTGGCGAACTTTCTCATGCGTCATTTGCCATTTAAGGCTTATCGTTTAGATCAGAATCACAAGAATTTAAGGAAGATATTTGTTTATATCGTACCAAGGGCGATGATGTTTATTTGTTCGAATTTATCATTTGTTATACTACTAATTTCCCATAACACTACCCCCTTATTAATTGTAATCTGGAGGATATCTCTGTTCAACACACTGGGGATAGGTCCAATATATTAATCCAGCCATAAGCATATTGAGCAACCGTCTTTTGAGAGGTAACTGTGGCACGTAATGCTTCGTCATATCGTACTCGTACATCAACGCAATATTGCCGATGAAGTTCAGCAACCTGAACAACCTGCTTTAGTAGTTAGCTCAAGTAGTAGGATGACAAGTCCGGGATTTCCCCCGTCGGAGTAACATAGCGGACTTACACATTAATCCCATAGAATCCCAACGCCGCCATAGCACTCCTCTCAGCATTTCCAGCCTCTATCCCCTTAACCACCGCATAAATCGGCGGCACCCACAACCCAACAATCACAAGCTCCAGAATGCCAACCCAATGATACGTCCTCACGCGATTCCCCCGAAACGCGAGGAACGCCATACACATCCACAACAACGCAAAACTCGCAATAGCCGGCGCGAAAACCAGTAATTCCCTCCGATAATATATCAAAGAAAGCGCCGCCGCCGCAACCCCCACCGAGAACTGCACGAACCCAAGACATAGAAACATCCACAAAACGCGGTAATACCGATCATAACACGCGACATGAAACTGCTCATTCGCCCAACTCGGCGGCCCTGCGATCCCACCGATAGGCCATCCGCACCAGCGACATACCCACGTTGACCGCATATTCGCTAACGTGACTGTGGTTCCTACGCGGAGATCGTGGGATTGGATTGCGCATTGGAAACATTTAGAGCTTGGCTGTCCATCGGTGCCTGAGGTAGAAGTACGTGGTGCTAAGAGGACTAGACTATGACGTCCCGGCCGCTCGAGACATGAACGACAGTGCGAGACCAGCTGGCGTGCTAGTACGCCGCCGAAATGTGCGCGGATGAATTCGGGGTTAAGGAGGTAATGGAAGTGGTGGCATGTTCGGCGGAGACGCTGCATGTCGCCGAAGTTGAGGTATATCGCAATCATGTACTGGAGCTCGTTCGGGAGCTCCAGGAGCCAGGAACGGGGCTCGGCGGTGGAGGAGTGTTCCCCGGAGTTTCGTTGGAAACATGAGTAATCGGTGTTCCGGGCTCGGGATCGGCGGGATCGGGGAGATGCGGGCGTTGATCCATCTCCGTCTTTTTCGTGATCTGTTTTCTCTCGAAAATGTTCGATCCCTTGTCGTACTAAAAGGTCGATCCCGCTGGTTGGTGTGATGGTGTTCATAGCCATGGGGCGTAGGGCTAGGGTCGAAACGAAGATTGTTTCAACTCATGGATAGTCTCGATGCGTTGAATACCCAGGTAATTTTTGATAAGTGTCTGCGTGCGTTCCCCTCTCGTAAATAGCTGATGGCTTCGATGTCGTGTAAGAATAGTTTGGTAGTTCGCTGGATGACTACTTTATCTGTGATGACTCTCGGTTACGGTCTGTGAAGTCGACTTCGAAGTGTTGAATCTATAAATATAAATATTAAGATACGTATTTGTAATCGCGATAAGTTGCGTCTATGTTAGATGCTTCTGAGCTTGCGTTGTATATGCAGGCTCTTCAGCGTGTAGAGAGGCAAACCTCACACATAAAATCGAAAAATTACCAAACAATAAAATAAAATCTTATGATGTTTATCTAATTTTTATTTTCTTTTCATATCTCTTGATAATCGTGCCTTTTCTTCAGACATTTCTGTATCAGATAACGAAACGAGGGGAAATAGTGGTGACGGCCAAGCTCTTGGCTACGAGTTTTAAGAGTCTGAGCGTTGTAATCAACACCGATACGGTAATCCGATGATCGTCGACTGATAGCACACGTATGGTGATCTGCGTTAAGTAAACAATTAATAGGGTTTTCATATTGCTTTGTGACTAGGTGAGATAGGGCTCACCTTGTGCCATATTTGATAAAAACATGTTGAAACGAAACGAAGCCTAGATATAGTGGCTACACTATCTCATGAGTATATCCAGCCTGAAGGACCTTGTCCCTTAGAAATGTTCATATTACCACGATAAAAACAGCAGGGGTTGGAGGAATTGACCATTTGCTTATAATTTTAAGATCAACTTGGAAGAACACTCTTTTGGATACACGTCCAGCTTTTACACTCCCCCTTTGCCGTCTATCTGGTATCGTAATCAATTGACAAATTCACTCTACGAACCACCAGGACCACCAAGCAGAGCAAATCTTCGCACAATTCCGGGTCCGTATTCTTGGTACTGTAGGAAGGTTAGCCATTGCATAGCCGTACACATTATATTCAGAGACAACTCACTTCAGCCTTGGTGTGGCAATATGATCGGAATTCAGGGGTTTGTCCTAGCAAGCTACCGCCAAACCATGGACCATGCCGTTGTCGCTTGTGTGTGATGACCTGAACTTCCAAACCACCACTCTTCGCTCCTCCACTGCGTACCTCACTGGCTCGAATCCTTGCGTCTACTAGGTGCTTAATGTCTCGTTGTAATCTTCGGCCAAAGTCTTTGTATAATGTGCTACCTCCAGATAACACAATGTTCTTGTATAATCCTCGCCGGACATCGATAGGACTGGATTGGATGACGCCGTCAACAACAACAGGTAGAGGTGTAAGGAAGTCGGAGGAGTAGATTTCGGGGTTAAAAAAGATTTCGGGGGCAAGGAATCGTTCGTATCCAACGTCGACTGTGACTTGACGACCACCGGGTTGCGAGACCACGTGTTTGGCGAAACGGCTGCGATCCCGGTCGAATCTCGAGAATTCCTTAACGATATCGGGGCATACGTAGCAGTATTCCTCCTTAATCTCCTGGGCCGTCTTTAGCGAGCTGTCGGGTTCGCCTCGGTCACGTAGTAAGGATTGAACGAAATAGGTGATGTCTCGACCGGCGATAGGGATAGATTTAATCGAGGAACCGATAACGTAACCTTCCGCAACAGGAATGACGTGAGTGACACCATCACCCGAATCGATAACAGTACCCGTCAGGGAGCGATCGGATACTTTGGACGAAGTCCAAGATGCGGCGAGAGCAAGAACAGCTTGAACGGCGATGTAAAGACCTGCACAGTTAAATGACTCGAAGAATATTTCGGCGGTATTTTCTCGATTCTCGGGAGGGTTTAACGGCTGCTACGTGTCAGTAGTTACTCGGGGTAAAAAGGCGACGATAGTGGCATACAGGCTCGGTTAAGAGGAAATAATGGTCTTCGGGTTCGACACGTAGGTACTTGAAGATGGAGTTGGACCAAAACCTTTCCATATGATCCTAACAAACGTTAATAGCCGAATCAATAGTAATGTATCGAAGGTTAATACCCAATTCTCTATTTGACCGTGTCGAATTGGGTAATGTAGCCCATAACCTAGGCCAACGTCAATATTATTGTCGTGTTCGCTAATTTGCTGTCGGTAACAGACCTGGCCCGTTTGATGCGGCAATAGCTTCGTCGCCGATGAAAAAGTCTAGATCTTCGGTTCCTCGTTTATTCGATAAGTGCCCCGTAGGACCAGCACCTCCTGTAAGGAAGGACGGCTTGTTGGCAACGGCGGGTCGACCTGATCCGGTTCCTCCACTACCAGCTGCTGGGCCTTTCGTGGCTATCGCAGTTGGGAAGACGAACGAGGGAGAATCGTTACCGGCGAAACCTATCGTCGTTCAAAAGCGGTGGGTTAGTTGGATCGTGATCGGGAGGCACATGGCGGTCTATCGAATTAACCCTCAAGATTGGCTTACCGAGCTTGGAGAAACCCGTGCCGCTATTAATCCATGGAGTATTAGCATCGTATTTTTACATTTCGAAATTTATGTAGCATTTCGTAAAAGGAGCTGGTGATTGCGGGGTTGGGAAAGACGTACTTGTCCATGACAACGGCAGGGGTTTGGTTCGCCATTGTGAATGGTTAGGAGCTGTATAAGCTTCCTAAAATCTCAAATTAAGACCAGCACAGCGGAAGAATAAAAAATGCAGCTGTTGTGTTGAAGAGAAACCCGCAAGGTACCTAGGTAGCTGTTGGAAATGAGACTCGGTCGATGATGATGCAGCCTGGAAAGTCGGAATTACGTGCCTATCGTGAGGTTTAGGTGCCCGTCAGAGTTGTGGCTGTGTATTAACTAATTTGGCGGGGCCAATGCGGCTGGGGGGTTGTCTTGGGGAAAACCCCACCCCGCTTCTGCAAGGGATTGTATTACATAATGGATGTACATATGTACCTGTATCGTCGGGAACTTCCCGAAATGCGGCTGTCTAACACCTGCGTTGTGTACATCCAGCTCAAATATTTAACTTCTCTCCCCCGATTTCAATTGTATTTTGGGATACTCGGACTTATATATCTCAAATATTCTAATATTATATTGGAAATTTCATAAACAGTATATTTTTGGAATGATGTTATCATAGCAGTCTATCCTTCCCCGTCAACTGATGACGTAACTTTTTAGGAGTTAGGAAAGAGTATAATATTGGGAAGGACTGAAGGAGAGATACTTGAAGTCTATACTATAAGCTGGGAAGGTGCGACGAGTATATGAACCATCTTATCTATATTCTTAAGAAGTAAGGGACATTCGACTCCCTCTTCCTCCCCACATATCTCAATCTTGTTAATATTTCAATCATTCTCATTGGACATGCACCCTCAACTACTTCCACTTATACATACAACCAACATCGTCATGAGTTCAACTTCCATTTTTGGATAGCTTCCAGAAAATATATCACTAGTACATCATTTTGCTCAAGAAGTATCTGCTCCTTAATCTTCCCATCTTCTATCTACTCCAATCACCTCCTTTAACCCTCCCTATTTGTTCTCACTCACTCTCCCGACATCTAGAAGGGATCGATACTATAGAATACCCCTTCGATCAATTTTGTATATGAACATCTCTCGCTTACGAACGCTAGTTACTCTATATCTGCCTCGCTGCTTCATCCATCAATTAAAGGCGTTAGCTCGTCGCTCAAGCCTTGACTTTCTAACTCTTACGTTATTGCGGGCTGAGCTGAGGCCATTGATCCTGCGTACCTAGGTGTTTAGCTCTTTCGATAATCCAGTTCTTCAAAACTCCGAATCCATATTCAAAGTGCTATGAGCTAGGCCACACCTAGATCACGAATGTCACCAACCGCATCCGATCTGAGTGGTTGTAGTAGTTAGATTGGCCAGGAGAGGTTAGAAACCGCGCCCTTCACGTATTCATGATGATATGCAAACCATTGCTGCTGGCGCAAATAGCCCAGAATATACTCATAGCAAACGATTCCCATTCTCCCGAGACGCAGGCTGACTGAATTCACTCACTTCCAGATACAAGGAGATTAGAAACCAGCAACTCAAACTCCCCTCGTAAGATCAACATCGTCTTTGGTATTCGTGCTTACAACGCGGAATGGATTCCGATGATTTTTTGGATAAAGATGGCTTGAATCAATGTGAAGAATATGGTGAAAACGAGGACGTTATCGACGGTTTGCCCTGGGTTACGAAGCGTCCAACATCTCCTACTCCTACAAATGGCGATAACATCCCTTCCTTGGATGGGGCCATAGATCGATGGGGAATGCGCAGGAAATGGCCAACCGGTGCCGTCTTCATTCATGCCGGTGCTGGGTATCACAGTGTTGCTAATGAGAGAATACACCTCGAAGCCTGTAGCGAGTAAGTGTCTCGATTATCCATCCGGCCGAAGAAGTTGGGTGGATAATTCTAACAATGACCAGGGCTGCTCGTGCAAGCATGAAAGTTTTACGGTCAGGAAACTCGGCCGTTGATGCTGTTGAAACCGCTATCAAAGTCCTCGAGAACAAAGAGATCACAAATGCTGGCTACGGGAGTAACCTGGCAATCGATGGGACGGTAGAGTGTGATGCCACTCTTGTTGATCATTTTGGCCGGAGTGGAGCATGTGGTGCCGTCTCGAGTAAGTGGATTTAGAACCCGTAAACAGTTTTTGTTTGAATCATTAACAATTAGATATTGTAGATATCAAGAATCCTATCACACTGGCCAAGACCATCCTCCAACGCAGTAATAAGCCGCTAACATTGCGCCGCGTCCCTCCGAATCTACTCATTGGAGAAGGTGCTAAAGAATTCGCTCGAGAATCGGGTATATCGTTAGTACCTAACGATTGGCTAGTATCGAAAAATGCCAGGGATCGTTTTATCAGATGGCAAGATGATTTAAGGCGGGCTGAGGCGAAGAAATCTCCCACTCCAGTACCTGGTGGTTATGATCGTGCATTCATAAACACATCCTATAATGAGCCAATTCAAGCTGGGCAACCGGATCATACGAATGCGATTTTAACTGGAACTTGGAATGAAGGCCAACCTGATTCACCAGCCGTATCATCCATCCAGATGCCCCTACATCCCTTGCAACATCCTCATTCGTCTGTGCTGATCAATGCCGACATTGCTCCACAGCTTGTACCCACAACTCCAGCCGAGCACAGTCTACTTGGCTTTCTAGGCTCACCTTCGAGCACTAAAACCTTAGGCGGGGAGATCCCAGCGCCAACTCCAAAGCGGCCAAAGTTCTTGCCTGTGCCGAGCAATGAATCTCTAAGATCAAATCCCAGTACGTCCGCACCTATCAATGCGACTGGTCCGACTCTTCATGATGGCGCTGGGTCGGAGAACCTTGCGTTTGGGATTGAAGAAGCCCCTAGCGTTTCGGCTACATCACTGAATCCTGATAAGTCATCACCACCCTGGACTATGGATGGTAGTCGGGATGATGATGATATTGACTGTATCAGCGATACAGTAGGTGCGATCGCAATCGATTTCACTGGAAAAATTGCGGCTGGGTCATCTTCGGGTGGTATTGGCATGAAACATCGAGGACGAGTTGGACCAGCAGCTTTGGTAGGCGTTGGCACAGCCGTCATCCCGGCTCATGAGCAAGATGAAGATGGTATTGCTGTGGCGGCCGTAACAAGCGGCACAGGCGAACATATGGCAACGACCATGGCATCCCAAAAATGCGCAGAACGGTTATATCAAGGTACGCGTTGTGGGCCAGATGGAAGAGACGTAGCCGAGGAAGATGAGACATCCATTCTTCAAGGATTCGTTCTCAAGGACTTTCAGGAGCACCCAGGCGTCAAGTACTCGTCCTCGAATGGGGCTATTGGCGTCATGGCTGTGAAGAAAGGTCCTTCCGGGTATTATCTATATTTTGCCCACAATACCGACTCGTTCGCTCTCACCTCGATGGGTTCCAACGACCTTGCGCCGGCTTGTGTCATGTCTCGCGTGAGAGAAGGCGGTTCCGGGATTGCCCAGGGAGCCCGGAAAATTCATATATGAATCGGCAGCATGGGTCATATTATTGAAGAATGGGATTCTAGATATTTGTTGGCTCGAATTGGTAGAATCCCTTTTGATGGATTTGTCAATTTCTTTTTCTTTAAATATTTCTGCATTATCCTTACTTAAACCTCACATCACTTTTCCTACTCGTACCTAGACTGGGATGGATTATACCGGGTTGGAATTGGTGTTTTTTTGAGATACCCCTGGACAGACACTCTTCAGCATCAATAAGGATATTCATTTTAGTCTTCACCTGGCCTGTATTCATATGGCCCAAATCAGCTATCACCTTTTGAATCAAAGTCAACTTGGGCTAACGGCGGTGGTCCAAACCAAACAACAAAGCAGCGATTGCTTGGCTGATGATGACAAGATCACTTAGACAACACTTAGATAGACCGAGTATACAATGAAGTTTTAAATATCATATCTATGGCAAGCTGACTGGTTTACAACTACGCCTATGCTTTTTTGAATTCGTTATAGTTTTCATTCCCATACCAAACGCCCGCCTTATATGTATATGCAAGTCCCCTAAGTCAGTATAGTACAAAGTCCCTCCACCATATAATGAGAAGTTTCAGCTTTCGTGATCATACTCAAGCAGGCGCAGGGGTCCCCGTGGCACTACCCGTCTCCTCCCTACCCGCACTACCATTAACACGAGCCTTCTTCTTCTTCTTCCTAGCGCGGGGCACGACCGCTGGTTTTGCTCCGTAGTTACCGAGGGCGAGCTTCGTCCCGCATGTGAAACACTCGGCGCCTTCTGGTACTTCGCAGAATATGGAGAGGCATATACTGCATACGAATCCCGTATCTACGACTTTTCGGTGGCAGAAACAGGCTGCGCGGAAATCGACCGAGTCTTGCGTTGGTGAGACTAGGGATTGCCGTGCTTCGGCGTCGGCGAGGAAGCCGAACATTAGGTAGGAGAGGAGACCGCGCGGGTTATTGGCGGCGGAGAGGAAGGTCCCGCCGGTTATGAAGGCGGCTTGTTGCAGGAATGCTGGGGGGGAACCGCGGAGGGAGAGGGTGTCGAGGGGGATGCGCGCGTGTGAGGCTGCGAAGACGGCGTTCATGGTTGGGATGTATTGCGCGGGTTCGGAGTCGGAGACAGAGAGGACGAGGATGCGGGAGTGGAGGGTTGCGGCGGTGGATTTTGTTGTATTAGATGAGGATGTGGTGGCGGTCGTAGAAGGGTTGGCTGGGTCGGAGGATGTTGCTGCTGGCTCGAAGGCGCGCGACATTTTGTTAATGTAGGATAGAGCTAATGTAAGAGCACCTGAGATGAGCGTCGTGGGGTGTAGGTCCGAAGGCGAGGTACCGTCGATGAGGGTGCGAAGAGAGGTCAGGATAGATGTCTCTATTTGTGCGAATTGGGGGAATTTGTTGGCTGAGCCGCTGAGTTCTTGTACTCCTCCTGAACCATCTGTCATCTCGACATCCTCATCATGGCCATTCTGTCGGGCAAAGCGATCCGGATTCGGCGACTCGGGGTATAGCCATACGGCACGATTGGGATGCGCGGCTATTATGGCGACATGGCTATCGTTGCCGAAGGAGAGATGGGCGTTGACAAAGACGAGGAGATTGGCGAGGGCTTTGGAGATGGGTAGGTGATCTGAGAGGGCAACCCACGCGCGTGGATTGGTGTCGACGACGATTGTGAGAAGGGAAGGTATTTGACTAGCCGCCGAGGCAGGCTCACTGTAGTGTTCGGAGGCGTCGATACGATTCATTGTGACGGGATGATCTGCTTGTCTCTGCTTATGGGTTTATGGTTGCTTGCTCTCATAAGTAGGAAAAGGGCTCAAAGGCCGCTTTCTTTGTTGAGTATATTCGTTCCACCATCTAAACTGCCTAGTGTAAACAAAGTGATTATGTCAAGATCGTGAGAAAATCATTGGTATTGATTTCTATTTGTGGTAGTGATATTCCACAGCTATGTCAGCGATGATGATTGTGTATAGGATAAGCATCGAATGAAGCATCAAAGCTACGAATGCTACGAATTAGAATGGAGAAAGATCGATAACGATAAGGTTACCTAGCTCTTCTCACCGGGTTCACCGAACAATGACCCGCCTCGATGGTGTAGGACAAGGGCAGGCGGGCTGGCGGGACAGGAAGGTTGGGGAGGTACAAAGTAAAAAGTAAATTTTGATTAAAAGCACGCGCCTTGCGTTTCAATGCCGCGATGAGCCGGGTATGATCATCCACTAAGAAACACGCCTGCTCACATGACTAATAGCTAGACGTCATATTTGAGCAGCTACTACGGAACACATCCCTGCAGCTACTTTATCAGGCGTTTAAGTATATTGATAACTTTATTGGCGCTCTCGGGGCTTAAAAGTACTAGGGGAAACTTATTTTAGCGGGGCACCTTCTATATCTCCAGGGCTCCAGGGCTACTGTACATCCTACATCCTAGCTTACGTGGGTGGGTGCATATGAGGTCAGTAGCTCTAGCCATTACATGTACCGTTTCCTTCTGTTGATTGCGTCGAAGTTTAAACTCTAGCAAAAACAACTTAATTTAATCGGATTGACCTCATCCTCCATCTTTCTTCCAACCTTCAACAACATACACATCATACCTTACACCCCTTTGACGACAGCTTCCCTAAATTGACCTTAACAGCTATATCTGACCTAGGTAACTAAGCCTTACCTTTTGCGGCTAAGTTAACAATATCGCTGTTTCGAGACAACCATCATCTAAGCTCACATTCACCAAATCGCATGTGACAGATGACCTATTTGCACACTCCTGCTGTCCCGCGCTCCTACACCCTACACTCTCGGATATCGTACCAACAAACACAAAGCTGTATGTTGATCTTCCCCCACATTCTTCTACATCAATTCCCTTGCAGCATATTGCATTTACTCCATGCTTGGTCCCCCATTTTCACTACCGGCCAGTCTAGCCAATTCGCTCCTCTCCGCATTCGTCTTACAGTCTTATATGGTTAGCTTAGGTTACAATACCTGACACCCAATCGAATTAGGCCGTGCGAGTGAATATCTCGAAAGAGCTTAAGCTAGCTTGTTGAGAATCTATTTACACTCAAAAATATTCCCTAGGTTGGTAAAATCCTTCATGATGATCCTTGCAGCTAACTAGTGCTGCATCCCTTCCAGTCGGATCACAAGCCTACATACGTACAGGTAAGTAAGAGGGAGATGAGGGTGCGGGATGTTTGTATAATGTCCTTTGTATCCCAACCTCTTTCACACTCGTCACGGGTCGAACGCAAGCTCACTACCTACTTTCTCGTACCACATCCCCCATATCTATCCGATAAAAGCGACTCTAAGCGATTAGGTCGTCATCCTTTCTGATCTAAAACTCGCTGCCGTTATTGAACGTTCTGATAATGAACCATAATTCTTAGCACAGACATTATTATCCCACGGTCCTCTCGGTCATTACAAGCAATTTACTATATATACCAGCCATTATCTCCGAATATTCACTTCATAGCTACCTAGGTATGATATTCGGCGCTGACTGAGCCTAGATCCAACATACGCCACATTACCACATTTCAATTCATTAAGTCCGTCACGACCCCAACTACTTCTACATTATTTTTCTACTTTTCAGAAGACATCACCATCTTCGTACATACGCCAGAACTCAAGGGATACTTATTCCCCTTTGGTGAAAAAATGGACGAATCACCTATTGATGTTACCTCCAACCGCGAGGAGATGGACAAACTGAACACCGTGGAACAGACACAACTCATTCTTGCGCGATTAATGGAAGGTGGCCAAGAAGATGACGATACTTGTCAGGAGCTCGATCGACTCACCAAGCTTTTAAATGAGGATATCACAAACAAAAACAAGACTCAATCCATCTGCGATGTAATCGACGATGTTTGTGTCGATACCATTCTCGGTTACCTTGACATGAGACAAGCCGATACCGTCCGTGGACACGCAATCTTGAGCGCTTCGGCATATCTGAAAGCTGCCGGAAAAAAGGGAGACGAAGCTCTAAGTAAATTCTTTTTCGATCGTGTGAAAAGGGGTACTTATGATGACTACATCGTCGCTTTCTGTGTCGCCGCCGCTATCTTCCCAATCGCCCCAGAAACAACATCGGCCATATTCCTCACTGAGGGTTTCTTACCTTCCCTTGATCCCTTGATGCGACGAAAATGGAAGAGCAGAAAAGTCGAGACAGCATGCCTAGACATGCTTAACGCCGCTTCTATGAACTCGTCATGCCGTGAGGCTATCCGGAAGTATTGTACCGACTGGCTAGAGGAGGTTGTCGACCAAGACCCGAATGAACTGGCTAGGTCGATCCACGCGGCGGATCCCGAAGTTCAGGTTACCGAAGGTTCAATTGCTATGAGGAGGCATTCCGAGGCGGTTCAGCATCTCGCTGCGGTGATCCTAGCAAAATTGAAAGTAGGCACTTTAAAGTTTCCGTCCTACTCACCACCCGCATACGAAAATCTTCGATGGAAGTGATCTAGTATGGTCAAATGGAGATGGGCTGACCTGAAGGTTTCAGGCTGTGCCCTCATCGGCGCAACAGACGACGGAAGGATCCGAAGGTAGAATTCAACAAGCGACAACTAGTATCGAGGATCTCTCTAGGATGTTCGGTTCGATGATACTTGGAGACCCAGAAAACGAAGACGGCAAACGACATTCAGTAGAGGGTTTGGCTTATGCGACTATCCAACCCGCGATTAAAGAGGAAGTAGCTCACAACAAGGAACTTGTGAAATCTCTGGTTAGGATTCTAGCTGACGCACCCGCGAAAGCACCTCTAACATACGGAGCACTTAGCATTTTTATGAACCTAACGCGATATCAACCAGTACAATCCGAGGAAGAAAAGAAGATGACTCAACTCAAGGCTTACGCTAACGCCAGTGGAAAGCTCGCGCCGGCTAATCCGTTGAACGATGACAATCATGTTTCGGAACGATGCAAACGAGTTTTTGAAGCCGGTATAGTACCAGTTTTGGTAACTCATAGTAGGCACGGTTCTGTTGCCTCATTAAATCTCATCGTATCCATTATTTCAGCATTATCAGTTACGACTGGTTTGCGGGGTCAGCTTGCCCAGCAAGGTGCTGTGAATTTACTTATTGCTGCTTGTACGGCATTACCAGATACCGAATCACAAGCTAAGCGCACTGCTGCTCAAGCTCTTGCCCGTATACTCATTAGTACGAACCCGGCTCTCGTTTTTGGTGGTACTCGCGCACGTCCCCAAAATTCTGCCATACGGCCTCTCACCTATATTCTTTCTCCTGATCCCACAGCGGAAACTCGAGATCTTTTGCCAACATTCGAAGCATTGATGGCTCTGACTAATCTCGCATCGACGGACGACGACACACGAGTTACAATAATTCGCAATGCATGGTCCGAGATCGAAGAGTTACTTCTGTCCTCCAATAATCTTGTTTCAAAGGCAGCAGTGGAATTAGTATGCAACCTGGTTCAATCTGTCGAGGGTGTTGCTCTCTATGCAGCCGACAACCCACAGGCGGCCAATCGGTTACATATTCTACTTGCACTTGCGGATGCTGAGGATGAAGGGACAAGAAGTGCTGCTGGTGGTGCATTGGCTTCTTTAACAGCATACGAAGCTATTGTGACTGGTATTGTTAAGAGAAAACGTGGAGTTGAGGTTGTCTTGGGTCTTTGTGGGGAGGGAAATGAAGACTTGCGGCATCGGGGTGTGTTCGTAGTGTATAATATGGTTGCCTATGAAGGAGAGGCAGGTAAGACGGCACGAAAAGCGATACGGGAGAAGAATGGGGTAGAGGTATTGAAGGGATGTGCAAAGGCCAGCAGGAGAGCTGAAGTTGTCGAGGTTACTATTCAGGCGTTGAAAGTTTTGCTTGAGGAAGATTAGGTGTACGACTTGAAAAAATGGATGAATTGTTATGCTTTGCAAATTATTGGTGCAAGGGACGGGAATATTGAATTGTTGAAATGTGTACTATTTTGACCTATTATCCGGTTCGGATTTTTGAGCGTGCCATCTATATCTAATGTGTATGATTTGACTCTCTGGATCCTTTCCTGTTCTAAATGATGCATTTTGTAGGCCTCAAATAGGTCCTTGTAATCCGATTTTCAATACAACACTTCTAATCATCAACCCGATTCAAAACAGCAACACCCTCCACATGCCCTGTCTGCGGGAAGAAATCAAAGCCGCGAATACTCTCGATAGTATACCTCGTCTTCTTTTTCTTCTCCCCCATTTCGCCTGAAGCCATTTCAACATCACCGTTACTCTTCTCTGTATCACCATTCTGGGCTTTTCCAAATTCACTTCCAATCTCCCCACGCACCAGTATCCCCACATCCCGCGCTTGTGAGTGTACATTACAGGACACGTACACGACTCTCTTCGGCGCGAATTCTAATAATTGATTTAAAAAGCTGGCATCGCAGCCTTTGCGCGGGGGATCGATTACGACGGCTGTTTCATCGGCGGGGTAAGTTTCACGTAGGTTTGGTGTGAAGAGATTGGATGCATCGGCCGCGATAAACTTGGCGCGCTCGGGCGGAAGGGAGTTGGCGGCTGCGTTGCGCGAGGCGAATGCTATTGAGGACGCGGCTACGTCGATGCCGACGGATCCGCCGGGGAAGAGACAAGAGAGGGTTATGGTGAAGAGGCCAGAGCCGGAGTAGGCGTCTAGGAGGTATTTTATTTGTGGTGTAGTGGTGTCCGGTGAGGTGAGTGGTAGTACGTGTTCTCGGATGTAATCGGTGAAAGTAGGGAGGATGGAGTTGTTATTTTGGAAGAATGAGCCTGCGGGGTTGTGGAAGACGTAGGGCCCGATGTACTCGGTTGATGTGCCGTTGTTGTCCGTGACGCAGGTCTTGAGGTCGGTGTATTCGTCTGTTTCGACGCGGATTACTTGGTCTGAGGGGGGTTGTGGGGATTTTGAGCGTTTTGGTGAAGATGATTCGGGTTCTTCTGGTTTATTATCGCTGTTTTTGAAGATGCGTTTGGTGCTTTCCCGTAATAATATTGTAGCACCGCGCGTGTAATTTCCGTATTCGACTTCCATACGGGCGCGTTCATTCTTCATGCCCATACGTACAGCGTCAGTACCGATGGGGCAATCCTCTATATCAATAGTATTGCGCTTTCCCTTGGGCATAAACCCAATAGCGGGACGCTCTTGTAATGGTTTATTTCCTTTTCGCCAACCTCCAGGGGGATCGAAATGCGGTGTTAGCTTGGTGCGGTAGCCGTACTGTAGAGGACTACCGATTGTATCCTGAATGGCAGGTACCAGCTCAGGGGGGAGTTGGGAGAAGTTACGATACGCCTTTTCGACGATACGTTTTTTGTGCTTCAGTTGTTCGGCATAGTCGAGCATCTGAAATTGGCAGCCTGAGCATTCGGCAAAGTATTTGCACTGCACGCGGCTATCGTCCCGAGATGGTGATGGCTTCACGACCGAGATGAGATCTGCGACTGTGTACCCTTCCTCTTCTAGGTGACGATATACTTTCACTTTGACCGTGTCGCCAGGTACTGTGAAGGGCACGATGTAGACCTGTTTAGATCCTTTCTGTACAGCCAAGCCTTCACCCGTCGATGAGAGTTCGACAACGTCGACATCGATTTCAGAACCTCTTTCCGGTAGATCAGTAGCTTCTGGTAATTTGTCCCAACTCTCCTCCGCTGCTGCGGCTTCTTCATCCCGGTTTAATGATTCGACCAGACTTTGTATGTCGAAAGCCAAGACCTCCTCGTTGGAACCATTAACCATATCACCCCCCTTCTTCTTGGCCTTCTTTTGATTTTTCTTATTTTCTCTCTTCATCCCTCGTTTGGATTTCCCCTCATTATGAGGTCTCTTCATATGGTTGGGTTTCTGCTGCTGCCCTGGTTGTCGAGCCTCCATGTTCACTTGTGTATCTGCGGAAGCCATCATGTCAGATGGATCCGATCTGATCATACGCAAAAATTGCTCGGAGGTCAAAGTTTCGCCCAAATCGATTTTAGAATTTTTAGCCTTTGCACCAACACGGACAGTGGAATGATACTGTCGATGCCACACACTTTTTATCTCCGATGGATGAGTGAAATGTCGATTGATGAAGATGAGGTATTCACTTGAAACATGCGACGAAATCTTGGCAACGGCATAACCTGTGAATCTAGATTTTAGAATCAGTCGGGAGGTCGCCGTTGCGTATAATCTCATTGGTATATCCCTCTTCTATCTCGTTTTGAGATTTTCTTTTTTTTTTTTCTTCTTTTTTTATGAAGAATTATATTGAAAAATTAGAAATTGTCGATTTTTAACTGGAGGAAAGTTTGACCCTTGTACCGTATCCGATTACGATAAGATACCGTATACTTCCCCGCCGTATCTATCTCCGTATAAAATGCTACTACCCGATAGTTTAATTTGTGTTACCGTACTAATACTTGAACCTTCTTTTCCTCTTACTTATTAGTCTCTTCCTTGGTCTCTTCCCATCATCAACATTTTACCTTTACATATTATTCGACATTGGAACAATTTGTAAGGCACACGAGGTTTTAACATGTCTTATTGAAGCGACGATAAATACTGCAAAAATGGATATCAAACAAAGATCAAATGGTTATCGGGGCTGGTGATAGGTAATTGGCCCTTCTTAACACCCTCCACCACCGCCGCCGCCGCCACCACCACCACCACCATCACCTCCTCCTCCACTGCTACCTCCACCCCCGTCACCACCGCCAAAAAAGCCTCCTCCCCCTCCATCATGTCCATGGTGACCTCCGTGGTGTCCCCCGTAATTTCCATGATGGCCGTGGTGGCCGTGATGGCCGTGATGTCCGCCATAACCAGCATCCCCCATGTACGCACCCGCTGCTACTCCTCCATCGGCTCCACTGTATCCTGCTCTGTATTTGTTGGGCTTTTGGCCATATCTGACAGGCCTTGGTGGTTGTTGAACCGGGTAGCTTTTGCTTGACTAGAGTTTTATTAGTCGCCATGTCTCAAGCAGTGCTTGTTAAAACACATACCCCGAAACACATATTATCTGATAGTTATACGCTTGTGGGAAAATCGAGTTGGATGTTCAAGCAACTTAATCCTATTATCACGCAGGAACTGACAACATATTTATACTTGAATTATCTGTATTCTTTTCGATTCATTTTCCTTGTTTTTATTCGGATTACAGACTGCGGACTTCACTAAATACCTTCATGGACACCGACGAATTGAGCTGAACACAGCCCTCCGCCCATCGCTCGTCGAGCCACCACTATGACGTAGTTCGGTGAGATTGGCGTCGATACTTAACATTATCCATTAGGCGTTTTTATTATTGACTTCATCTGTATCACAGTCGGATTACATGTGGCGTTTATTAATCTCCGTACACGGAATCAATACGTCGTATATGATGGTGGTCGTTGGGCGGTAGAGGGGTGGGTTGGTATTTAAGTCGAACATTGCCAAGTGCAAGTGTACTTATGTAATCTTCATGACATATCAGATCATTCTCAGATCAAATCTATGGTAAGTGGAGGATGCCCTACTCTCACGCGGTTTCAAACTAAAGCATGCTGACACGTAACCCCAACCCCCTTCATTACGCGCCTGTATTGCCATTTGGGATAGTATTCCTTACATGTAGCGAGCACCCAGACTGCAAGAAATTCGCCTCGGGACCGAGTCAACCCCTGTACCCTGTTGACACGGAAATCTTGGGTGACCTTGTAGCGCTTGTGCTCATTAGTTCCACCAGATCTTCCAGTAGCTGACCATCTTTTCAGTGGATCATTCGCGACATCTTCGACACTTGTTACAGCATTTTTCAGCTCGATGACCGAGCCTCAATTTACAGGACAAGCGAGCACTGCTTACGAAGTAACTATCACGTGCCCTTCAAACCAATATTTCACTTCATAGATACTATTGTATCTGTTGGTAAGGTAGATGCCTAGGTATTCATAATGTTCATAGCTCATAATCTAAAGGTTGTTAATATTTGCTAATAATAATACTAATGCCACCCTTTTTCATGATGAACCAGCTAAGTATACTACTACTGCAGTATACTATACTAACAATAGAATGCGCCGCCACCGCGCATAGATGCCTTATTAGTCAATATCAGTAACATCGGTGACAGACCATATTCTGGTTCAGCTGGGGTAGTTTGGGGGTGCATGGCAAGGATTTAACCCCATTCATATTGCTTCGCCAAGATATTGTTCGCTAAGTCACTGCACGATGTGGTCCAGTTAAAAAATGCTGTGAGACGGGGCTCTCTGGAAATGCTCTTATGCTGCGAGAGCAGCACTTGCTTCCCCGGAGGCTTTTCTCTAGTTCTCGAAATCTCTTCCTGTTGTTGAAATAATCCGTCGTCATGTCTCTCCCATCGTTCCTCTCAGGAGACGATACCGACTCGGGTGCCAATGAGATATCCACTCAGTTTAATATTCGTATGGGGATATGGACGAACTGGTCTCGTGGGAAAATCTTTGGATCAACTGTCACGCTTCGCAGACAAGATGCCGATCTGATTATAGCGCTAACAGCCTTCTTCATTGGATTTGCCGGAACCCGTTTCTGGAGAATCCTGTGTTTCCTAATTCATCATTGTCGATCCTCGCCAAAACCCCAAGATACTCTATATTACCAGAGCCAGGCTATCCTCCGAAACTCTGCGACTGCTGAATCGGGTCTGTGGACTTTCATCTCACTTTTTTGGACATGGCGTAAGAGACCAGGAAAACGATTGATTCGAGCGATTCTTCTTATTCTTACGCCCGCATTCTGTATTGCCGCCTTCATCATAGCCGGTGCTTTATTCTCCGGAATATCTACTTCTATCGGCAACGAAGTGCTTGTTAGTGGTTCTACTTGTGGCGCCTTTGTCAACCCCTCCTATGACGCTTTCCTTTGGATGACTGCTACTTTTACAAGTCACATCACGAGGGCCCTAGGCTACGCCCAACAATGTTACTCGGAGACTGTACCATCTGGTGCTATTGATTGCAATTTCTATACAGTCAAACAGATCCCGACAATCAGGAACTATAACGCACCTTGTCCATTTCAGGATAACATATGCCGAAGCAATTCATCTAACTTGATGCTCGACACCGGTCTCGTCAATATCCACGACCACTTAGGGGTAAACCTGCCTGCTGGTGAGAGGATACTATGGAGAAAAGTCCTTTCATGCGCTCCTCTAGTGACTTCAGGTCGTACAAGCAACCATTCCACTGCTGACGGAAATTACACAAGATATCACTACGGTGACGTCGTAAGGACACGCAATTCCACGGGCACTGTCAGATATAATTTCACGTATTCAATTGATAGCGTGGAGTCACAATATGCGCCTTTCAATTTCACAAATATCTCGTATGATGGCAATACGTACATTCTAGCGTAAGCCCCCGTATAAATCTTCATCACAAACACGTAAACGGATACCATCTAACGCATAATATTCTATCAGGGCTAAAGCAGAAATGACTGCAAATGAAACCACCGCCTCGAGTGATCCTTATACACCTATCCCCGAACTTCGAAGAGACGATGGTGATCTCACATTATTGTTTCTATCCGGAAATTCAATAGCTTTTATGGAACCTCTAGATGATGATTGGTATCGTGCTACGGTCCCTTATAGTAACATCAGTTCAACGGTTACAAACGAGGTAAAAGACCTGTATCGAATGGCGGACGCAGCTTCACCGATGGGGTGCGTTGAACAGTACCAATTGTGCGCAGAGACTCCTAATATCTGCGGACCTTTGGCTGGCTTCCTTGATGCTTACGTTGGAGCTGTAAAGCAGGTCAATATGACGATGACCCCCGATAATGCGGGGACGGTGAACGCGAGCGTGCAGCGCCTAATACGGTTCGGTACAATGCAGACAGACCCTGCGGCAAATACAGTGAGTATGATTACCTCGGTTCTCGGATCCCGGGCCCTGGTTTCACAACAAACCCTTTTAAGCAACCTGCAACCTACCTTGCCCAAAGACCAATGGAAAAACGACATGACTCAGATGTGGAACATAGGGCTAGCGGCCCTTCAAGGGATGTTCGTGGAAACTGTTTCCGAGGGCGTGGACAAGAAAAATGCCAAAGCTCTAGCTCCTGGGTCTGATGATGAATACAATCTATGTCAAAATGTGGTATGTGAGCTCACAGAGGAAGCATGCGATGAAAATTCAACCGTCTCGGTTGGAACTTCGTTCGCGTCGTAGATGATCGTCACTAATCATACTTACAGAAAATTCGAAGTTCTCGGCACAGCTCATTCAGTCTATTCTGGCTCATCTTTACATACGCCATCGGAATTTTTGTTATCACGATATCTTACATACTGGAACCTTGTCTAGCTTGTTTACACCGACGTCATGGATATAGGGGATATCACCGTCTCGAATGGCTCACAAATGAAACACTTCAATTACAACGTCTCGCGAACGAAGATCCGGGGTCGGAGTTTTGGCTTCGTTCCGATGAAGATATTCCGATGACACGACAAGGCGTTCAATTGGGTGGTTATGATTTACGCGATCCTGAGCATCCTAGGGTTTTCCCTCCGTATTTGGCGAGTCCTGTGAATGAAGAAGTTATTTTGCTTCAGGGGACTAAATACACATCTAACGAGGGATAGAAGTCTCCATGGTATATACGGGAAGGTTTATTTGATTTATGTATTATCTGATGCCCTGAGCGATGGTTTAAGGAGTAAAAAGGGGGTATGATTGGGATGGATATTAAGACGATGGTAATTCCCTAATTAAATGTTCTTGGACAAAAAATGTTAGAACGGAACAATTAAATAGTAACGAAACGAAACGGTGCAATTCACCCTAGTCCAGTCCGAGTATAGTACTCCGTAAGTACTCCGTAGTAGATTAATTGTAGATAGATGTGGGGCATCGGAGTCTTATACTATAGGCAGGTACAAGTTGGCTATTAAGCTTTTGCTTGGTAGATGCAGGTAGCTTATCTTGCTTTATAATCGAAAACTAGTTATCTATTATCACACCGAGGCCGAGATATGTATCCGATAGGTTTGGCGCTAATGGAAGGAATGTCCGGATCGTGATGTACTCTTTCCGTATCTTTCGTATCTTTTTTGTATTAATCATTCAAGACACTTTTTAAACTCTTATCACTTACTTTAACTCTTACGACTTCAACTTTATAATTATATTTCTTGTAAATAGATTTAGTTGATTGTCGAGTAAGTCTTGGAATAGTGTTCTTTGTTGGGTTGCAACTGAGGAAGAACCCGACACCCCCCCTCGGCATAGACATGCTCTGTCTTAAGGGTACTTGGTATTAAGCGGAAGATACATTTATAAGCCAGTCGGATAGATTACAACATCCTAAACCCGAATCACAACATTTCTTCCCTCTTACCGATACGATGAGTGAGTGGCTCTACCTGTCACATTCTCTTGATCTTCTACCCTCACCTTGCTAACCTCAACCCTTAGAATCGTTTACGAGGTTACCACACGGCCTTCTTTTGTTGTGCTTATCTGTCGCACCTTCAATAGCAATACCACAAAATATTCAGTATGTCCTAAGTCAACAGTCGAGTTCGGGGAAGCGAGGTGCTGTCGCGAGTGAAAGTAAAGTGTGTAGTCAAATCGGCATCGACCTCCTTGCTCAAGGTGTAAGTAATACTAATAAGCAATTATCAACTTGTTAAATTGCTTATCATCATAAAAATAGGGGAATGCTGTCGATGCTTTCGTCGGGACGCAATTATGTGTGGGCGTGATCGGAATGTACCACTCGGGGCTTGGTGGTGGTGGATTCGCTCTCGTACGGGATAGCACGGGCAACTATACCGTCATTGACTATCGCGAAAGTGCACCTGCAACAGCATATGAAGATATGTATAAGGGCAACATAGTAGGGAGCGTTTTTGGTGGCCTTTCCGTTGGTGTACCCGGTGAATTGAGAGGTCTTGAGTACGCGCACAAGACTTACGGAAAATTACCATGGAAGAATGTTGTGCAACCCGCTGCCGCCGTGGCCCGCGACGGATTCACCGTTACGGAAGATACGGTACGATATATGGGATACGGGCGGAAAGTAATTGGATATAATTTCCTGGTAGACGATCCCTCGTGGGCTCAAGATTTTGCTCCCAATGGTGAGAACCCATATATCCCAACTGCGAAATGCATTAGTGATATCGATGATGGCTAACCTCCAATTCAGGAACGTTAGTGAAATTAGGCGAGACGATGACGAGGAAGCGTTATGCTGAGTGAGTTGAAATCGGGGACAACCTGACTTTACTACATATGTAGTATAGACTAACCGGACAACTTAGTACCTTGAAGAAGGTAGCCGAGCATGGCGCCGATGTATTCTATACCGGTCCGATGGGTTCGTAAATCCCCATTTCCCCGAATACATGCTGGACTAATCCCCCTCAAGCCGAGGCGACCATTAGATACATCCAAGAGAACAATGGCACCATGACCATGAAGGATATGTCAAGTTACAAGGCTGTCATCCGCGACCCTGTCAGCATTTCGTATCGTGGGTATAAGCTGTTCTCATCAGGCGTACCCAGCAGTGGTGCTGTCTGCCTCAGTACTCTCAAGACAATGGAAGGCTACGATGCGGCTGATCTCGCTTCCGACACAAACCTCACGTTACACCGCTTCGACGAATCAATGCGCTTCGCATATGGCGCACACCAGGCTCTTGGCGACCCAGCATACGTTGACGATATGTCTCGCCTCGAAGCCGCAATGCTAGACTCAGCCCATGCAGCCTCGATCCGAAACCGCATCCGCGACGACCGAACCCAACCCGTCGAGAACTACGACCCACAGCATGTATACGCACCTTCTAGCCACGGGACCTCGCATATCTCAACAGCCGATGCTGAGGGTTTTGCCGTCTCTTCGACTACGACAGTTAACTTGCTGTTTGGTAGTCTACTCATGGTCCCCGAGACCGGCGTCGTGCTCAACGACGAAATGAACGATTTCTCAATCCCAGGTATACACAACGAATTCGGATACGCTCCCTCCCCAGCGAACTACGTGCGACCTGGCAAACGTCCCCTGTCCTCCATCACACCCGTCATCGTCGAGCGTCCCAACCCCGCCTCTAAAAGCGGCACATCCATCCTAGCAGCCGTAGTAGGAGCCGCAGGTGGTTCGCGTATCATCAGCTCTACCACGCAAGTTGTATGGAACATGCTAGAGCGTGGTCTAAGCGTTAAAAATGCAGTCGCGGAGCCCCGGTTCCACGATCAACTTATGCCGAACGTGGTGACTTTTGAGTATACGTTTGATAATAGTACCGTAGCGGCAATGAAGGAGAGAGGTCATGATGTCGTGTGGGTGCGCGAGGGATTTAGCGCGGTCCAGGCGATTCGACTCAAAGAAGAAGATGGCATTTTTGAGGCTGCGGGCGAGAGGAGGCAGGGGAGTAGTGGGGGGTTGGTATTGTAGATTTTTGGTTGTACATATTTGCTTGTTGGCCGGTCGGCAGGGCTAGAGGTTCGGTGTACACGAGGTTGAACAAAGAGTGTGTATAGAGTTACATTATTATGAATATGAAGTGTACGAGATCCAAATATATCAACCTAACGATACAGATGGGGGAGAAGTCAAAATCAACTTGGCTCTAGCGCCCGTAGTTGGTATTGAGTACCTAAGGTGTGTTGGTGTGACCAAGCAATTTGGTAAAGCAAAAATCGCACGGCCAAGGCAAGGTGGCGCAGTACCTGGGTACACAAGATCGCCATCTAGCTCGTATGCAGGGCGTGTGAATAATTATTCATTTTTATGTCTACATCAAGTGTCACAATAATTATGAGTAGGTTACTTTAAAGGTCGGCACGATCTCTTTAGCGATATTGACCTCAAGCAATCTGGCGATGTCCGCACATAAATTATGCGCGATTACGAACTGAATAATGTAGAATATGGGAGAACAATAGAAATAATTCATCAGGAAAAATACTTTTATTCATAACTCTACGAGCTCGTGTGTACCTAGATATGGATATCTTGTAGGACCATATCTCATGCATGGCGTCGTTTGTCCGCCTTTTCGCGCAAGGCAACGGGAAATACAAGTCAATACGAGATAGAAAGCATCGTAAAAGCAAAACGCAAAACAAACTCCGAGTCCGCCTCCTGCCGCGCAATCCTGGGGGTATCGGAAGAGTCTATATCTATCTAGTGTGGATGTAGTCGTACTTGCTGTAATAGGGAGTAGGAGTAGGAGAGGAGTTGAGTAAGGGGGAAAACTGGGTTGGTGTATTGATGTATTTACAATTTCATGGCAACGAGCTTTTCCAACTCAGTAAGCCACTTCCTAGCGAATTCCTCTTCAGTAAATCGCTTGGAGGAGAGACGAGCTCTGCGTCGGACTGAGAGTGGGTCGGGATGTGAAAGTGCTTTCTCAAAGCCTTCAGCGAATTCTGATGTGGTCGAAGCATGGAAACCTGGGAATACTTATTAGTCATTAGAATGATAAAAATGCAAACGAAGGGAATTAGCATACCTGTGGGTTCGCCGTCAACATCAGTGACGATGTCTAGCTTAGGTCCTCCACTGTTGTGTACGACAGATATCAAACCAGCCGCAAGATACTCAACCACACCAATTCCGAAGTGCTCATTCCACATGCCATTCACTCCCACGAATGCTTTGCCAAGCCATTGGAGAATCTCAGACCACGGCGCATCGAGTTGAAATATTACTTGGTCCTTGATGTGAAGTTCGTTAACCAGTAAACGAAGCTTGTACACTCGCCTCGAATCGTTGTCATCCCTAACACTACCGAGGAGGACCAATTTAGCCTCTTTTGCCGAGTCAGTACCAGTCTTGACAAATTCTGCGAACGATTGGATGATAAGTTGGTGGTTCTTCTCGGGTCGAAATTGGGCGATGTAGACCAAGTACTTCTGACGTCTCTTTTCACTTTCTTCGGAAATCTCGATTGCCTTTTCAATCTCATTCACGGCACAGGGTGGATATACAACAGCAATGGGATGTTCTCGACCCCTTTGCTTTCGACGTGGTCCCCATATAGACTTGATGTGAGCTTGTGTCCAGGTGGAATTCGTCATGACGACATCGACCGAAGCACCCATCCAGGAGTAAATAGCGGCGAACAGTCTCCAGTAGTGTTTCTTGATAGCACCCTTAAGACCAACCCCTTTTCCAGCATTGACACCCTGACTTCCAACGGCGGTCGTAGGATCGAGAGAATCAAGCATATCGGTAGAGATGGTAGGATAGTGGACATAGGCAGCAGTCGGCATATCTGGGAAAAGGATCTTGCTTAACCCTAGAACGAATGCGTAACCCATAGTGTCGACAAAGATATCGGGTACTATGAGAGAGAAAGCATCCAATCCCATAAGTAAAGAACCAAGTGATTGTCCTAATAGGGTCATATGCGGCCATGTGGAAGAGAGAACCCATGATCGAGTGGATAGGTAGAGAAAATGGATCGTGGGAGGGTGAATATCGATACTGAATGTATTCTACTATGCAGTTAGTAACGTTAGGCCCATATTCACAAGGTATATAGCTCGAACCTTGACGCGAGAGAGCATATTCTCTTTGGAGACATCATGATCACCTGTATAAACGACGATCTTGGCGTTGGGCCATCTTCTTTGGGTGGCTCGAATAGCAGCCCATAGGACACGCTCACCTCCACCTCCAGCATTACAGAAGGGGTGGAAGAAGCCAATAATGCCATCCCAATCGCGACTACCTTTCTCTCCGTTACCAGAAGTTCCTACAATGGAAGCTTCAATATTCTCCCAGCCCTCATCATCGCTGCTAGCATTACTATCTTTTCCTTGAGCTTGGGTCTCTTTGAATTTGGCCTCGTTTTCGGCAGTTGCACGTATAATTAAGGAACGACGACCTTCGGAACCTGATCGTAGACAGAAGCCGCAGAATTTTCCAATCGTGCGAGAGAAGATTCGGAAGAAGAATGGGAGTAGGTAGTTCCATCCGATTAATATCGCGAACGGGGTACATGCGACGGCAATGGCCGTAAAGGCCAAAGTCTTAGGCTCCATACCGAAGGAGTAAGGTGAAGCTCCAGATACGGTTGAACAGGTTGAATCGGAATCGAAACTAGGACTAGATTGTGAACCGCAGTCGCTCGACATTTGTCGGGAAGTAAGGCTGGCGAATTGATAGAGGAATATTGTCCGAAGTATATGGATATGAAGTGAACACAGATACTAGGTATAACTAGGTATACTTCGCTTTCTATGTGTCTCCGTCTTGGTAATTATAACCTAGGCATAAGTGTCAGGAAATAAATATCGTTCGGGCCTTGTCAGGCTACGCCAAAACCAGTCCAGTTGACCCATTGAAAAGTGAGGTGTATGACTTGGAGGTGGTTGTTGTAGGAAAGAAGGTTGCGCTCGTGGGTTGTCCGCTGATAAATTTCAGCGTGTGACCGAGTTGAGTAGACAAGAGACAAGAACGACAAGAACAAGGTGTTCCCTTCCCCATTAATTAATTCACTTAATGCTGCTGTAACATCCCACCAAGCAGGTACGAGGTACTTCATCTACGTACCTACATTCGTCTAGCTACATCCTAGTAATCGGTACGTACCAAAGTATTTCTGCAGGGTAACACAGTTCCGTAGGGTTTAGTACGACACGGTGTTAATCGATACGGTTTAAAGCTGTTATCTTATCGACGGTCTTTCAAGGTCCCCACATATTGCATACAATCTCTACCATAAGTTTAACAAGATTCAATTCACAAAGTAACTTAATTAAGGTACTTTCTATAAGGAGTTAGCTATATAAGAGACAGTCTTATATGGACTATATAGCCTTTGAAGCTATCATGCTACCTTCTATGGAATCACCCCACCAAGTTCACGGAAAATCGACATGATTCATTATGAGTTCAATTCAATGGTCTCATTCTCTTCGAATAGCTAGGCCTTTTGGCTTACTATCAACGACTAGAACTCAACTTCAACCTATACAGTCAAGTCGGATTTCACTACCCCATCATGGACACCAACCTGGAACGAGATCTTTCCATTTAAGATCAATGCTTGTTGTCGCTTCACAAGTAACTCAAGAAACTATCATCCACCTCCATAGTGTCACACATATACCATGGTTCTTATGGATTCCTTGTGTATCACTTGGAATCAGTCTTGTGTTCCGATTACCATCTAAGGTATATACACGTAGGATCACCCAGCGTCGAGCCACATATCTCCCAGTCATACAAGCATGGAGTTGGCGTATTCAAAAGAACATCGCCGAGGAAAAAGTATGGCCGTCGCGGGTTAAAGATGAGATACGGAAGAGGTACAAGGATGTAACCAAGAGGATATATCGCAACGCAGGACTTCAAGAATGGAAATTATACACTGGAATCCTTAGTTTCCCTTTCTGGATCATCGGTATCGATTGCATTAGGCGGATATGTGGTGGTCCAAAGGGCATCGTTGGAAATATCCTCACTAGGCCTAGTGATGCAAAAATTTCCGGCACACAAGAAACTGTCCAGGCTGCTACATCTCAAACAGATAATATGGGGGCATCTATCGACGGTGTCTTGGCAACAGCAACTGAAAACATAAGGAATCTACCTGACCCTAGTATTACGTGGGAAGGTTGCCTCTGGTTTACCGACCTATCCGTTTCCGACCCCTATCATATCCTTCCTACCGCTTTATCTACTATGTTAGTCATTAACTTATTGCCAAAGACCAAGAAGGGGATATGGCAGTTACTTGGTCTCAAATACGAAAACCAACCCGTGATAGAAACGCAGTCGGCCCAGATACAACTCAGATTACGTCGAATTGTTATCTTGCTATCTGCTATGATAGGTCCTCTTACGGCAGACCTGCCTGCTGCTTTGCATCTCTACTGGCTAACATCAGCCGTGATGCACGCTATTACAGACTGGGTGATGTCACGCTTGATGCCAATTAAAGCCAGAGGTGTTGAGAGATGCCAGGGGACGGAATATTCTTACCTACAACCAAAACCCACTGAGAAACAAACATCTCAAACAAAACAGGAAAAGGCTACGAAATGAAGTAGCAAACTAGCTAAAGGGATATTTGAAGTTACGAGTCCAAGGCAATCTTATGAATTGTATCGACAGGTGTAACTATGTAAAAATAGTATATCAAGGCCGATAATTGGGATTTCCCATAATTCAGATCACACTCAAATCAAGGTTCTTGAAGGGTGTGGTTGAGTATTTACCCAGATCCGATCTCAAAAACAACAAATACAGAGACGATCAACTCTTGTCAATTATGGCCTGCAACAATCCTACTATGATATACCGAATGAATGAAATTGCGTCCATGCTAACTCCAAAAACGCCCTAATGCCACCACATGTACACTCTATTAAACAGACAGATAAGTGAGAGTATGACTCGGGTTTTTCGACTAGTTCATCCCAGGAACACAGCCAACAAGACAATAGCCATAATGACAGCTAGAACCAAAAGTAAGCAGCAAGCCTTGCTTCGGGCATTCTTCTGGTATCTTGCGGCACTCCTCAACTCGTAGTCGGCACCGCGCGTATCATCACGAATGTTAACGGCGTTGTTCTCAATGGTCTCGAGAACTTCGCCTTGCTCGCCGACGATTTGCGCGACTTGTTGGAATAGTACGTTTAAATCACCAACACCCTCTTCGATTTGTCGGATTTCTTCTTCGCGCTCGGTAATAAGGGCCTCCTGGAAATCGACCTCATCTTGGGGTGCTAGGTGAACTTGTTCCTGCTGTTGAAGCTGTAGCTGTTCGCCTTCACCTGGAGTCACACCTTCTTGGCCTCCTTCATGGTCGAGGGCGGCTTTGGCGGCGGTAACGGAAGCTCGTTGCTTCTCGATGGCGGTACGCTGTAGAGCTTGGAATTCGCCGAGGGAAGCCTTGAATTCGCGCGATAGCTTTTGTTGGGAATATTTCTGGGTGGGCTTTACGACAGGCAAAAAAGTTAGTGGCGCGCCACCTTAATAAAACATGATATATTGTATGGTATGATTACTTACCGTAGGCTCTTCCCAGGTCTGTATCTTCTTGATGCCTTCACCCACTTCCTTGAACTGTTCTGTAGATTCTTCGATGGTGGTATGAAGTCTCTCTCGCAATCGAGGGTTATCGCGGCGCGTACCGAGAAGGCCAATATCCGTCTTTAGCTTTGATATGTTACCCTGCAGATGAAATAGCTTATTCATAAGACCCTGCGACAGACGAGAGAATTCCGGGTCATCCGTATAGGCGCCATTGTTCTGGCGACGACCATCTCCGCTACCAGATTCTATCGAAGATAACTGGTCAAAAGACATGGCTGGGCGATTGTGGATTCTTTAGAGAGCGACGATGTGGAGTGCGATGAAGTTAGATGGATAAATGAGAGATCGTTCACGGATTATGTTGTTGTAAAGATTGGATTGGTTGTTGACGTTGATTGAAACGGATTGAAATGGCAGAATGGATGTTGAAACTGCGCCTGCTGCTGTTACGTAGCTTCGGTGTTAATCAGAGTCACCTGCGCCGATCGTTACGGAGTAACAGACAAGGTAGCCGAATTGGGGATTTACGTTTAGAGTTGCACATGTACTAGCTTACGTCAGTTGAAGCTACATGTAAGCGTGGACACATACCAAGAACTCCACCTTATGTAAGGAATGCATATAGCATGGCTCGTGCACTGAGTTAGGCTAGATAGGTTTAGCGTATTCTCGGTGAATCTACTGCTAAGCTCTCAGTCTACGATTTTTTATTTACTTTCACCAATAGTGACTACACAATCCTCACCAAAGCAACCATTGCCTGAACCGTCGTTCCTTTCTTCTACACTCATAATTGTGCACACATATTTGCGCACGCCCTGCACCTCCTAAATTTCTCTACTCCCAATTCAACTCAATCCAGACAATGTGTTAATCTCAACATTTTCCTTTTTTGCGGTTGCGAAAATGCCTCCCAGAGTTCCACGCCTTGTGTCTTATAAAGACTTGTTACAGCCTGCTCTACAAAGACGATTCGCCTCGACTGCTGGCGTTTTGCTTGCAGCCGCTTACATCCAGGCTATTACCCTCACAAAATGGGATCATGGTATGTTGTATCAAACTCTGCTCTTATCAATAGCTCGCTCACCTTACCTCTTAACAGCTATCTGGTCATGGTTTCCGCTTGGACTGGCGGGTTTACGAACCCTAGGGATATTCGCTAGTACCCTTCCTATCGTCATATTACGAATTGCTCATTGCCATATGGGCATCCGAACCTCTAATTCACCTTTCGATACATTCCGTCGCTATGCGTTTTCGTTGTCGACTATCGAGACGTTACTTACATTCGCCATCTCTGCCTGGATATTCAGTCAAACTTACCTATTTTCGATCCCAACGAGCGCAAACATTGGCTGGATTACATACTATAGCGGTGATCGCGCGCGATTGAACGAGCGAGCCCTCTTCTATACCGTCAACATCGTGCTTCTAGGGATTACTCAAGGCATAATACACTTGACTCTGGATTTCGACAAGATGGTTTTAGGAACAGTGAAGCCGAATCGTGGCGGGGAAGCGACCACACCAGCGATAACCGGTTGGGATGTACTTGGTGTGTACATTCCTAGCATTATTGTTCGCGCAGGAATGGTTTCGATATCTACCTCCTTAGCCAACTACATTGTGTTGTACCACTACATCCGTCCCTACGCCTGGAGCTGGGCTTTGTCCTTTTTCCGAATATTTTACAACCTTCCAAAATACAACATTCCACCCTACCAAGCACCATGGAGTGTCTGGATGTTAGGTCGATCGATGTGGGCTGGGTTTTTGATGTGTTCGTTATGGTACATTGGGGATAACGTCTTCAAGGTACAGCTCACGAAGGCACCTCTCAAGAATAACAGGCCTCTTAGTGTCGAATGTCGAGATCCCAATGGAAGTCTACTAGCCGGATTAAAGAGCCAGAAGACACGCATAGTAGTAAGTGATTTGAGTGATTTTGCTCGTTATTGAAGGTAGTTGCTAATGGTTCATTAGTCTTTTGCTATGTGGGAATTGGCCTTGATTGCAAGGGATTTCGATGATAGGCGACGAAGCATCTTCGAAGATATCGATCGAAAGGATGGTCCTATGTGGTCGCAGATATATGCCGCATGCATTGGCAAAATTCAATTGCTAGAGAAGAGAGTTGAGGAGTATGGGAAACCTCCTACCCCGCCTGCCGCACAACCAGCCGCTGCTGCTCCTCCCCAGCAGCCAGCCCGAATTGTTCCGCCTCCCAAGACCGATGATATTGAGATACCTGCCCCACAAAGGCGCCTCCAAACTTCTCTTAGCAAGTTTGTTAGTTCGCCGGGGAAGTCGCCCGCTGAGACATACCTACCCGAAGTTAAGAGGAGAGTATTAGAGGCGAAGGACCGCTTATTGGCGGACGAGCAAAAACAGGTATTAGCATCCGTACCCGTTAATACTTTGTTCCATTCCCTGGCATCCCGAGTTTTGCGTACGCCCGTGATCGGCGGTTTATTCCAACAGACCTTCGGCCGCAGAATATCGACTTGTGTACTTGGTGAGCCGTTTGGCGAGGTTAGCATTTACGTAAATGCGGCTTATATTCTTTCCGCATTAGCAGTGTCTAGTTTGACAGAAGACCGATACGGCAACGTACAGAGAGACGTACCGACTATTATACGGACGTTTACGAGAGTGATCATGAGGCTCGAGAAGTTCAAGGATGAGCTACCAATACACTGGACAGATATCGAGGGACGCCGCGAATGTCAGGTGTCGGATGAAATATTAGACGCGTTGAAGGATGGGCTTGACGAGCTCATCACGGCATTTGGAGAGTTTGCTGGTGACCTACGTCTTACCCGGGCGGATATGAGACTAGCTAGGGAAGCAGCTGTGAAGAGACAGGCAAACGCAGAAGAAGGACCAAATGAGAATGGAGCTATAAACGGAGCTGCCAACGGAGCTGCTAATAGGGCTGCTAATAGGGCTACGAGAGAAGCACCGCCAGCACAGCCGGAGATGCGGCAAGTGCATTAGTGGCAGCATGTGCTTGCATCTATCGAGTCTAGTAATTAGGAGATTCAAATATGAGTCGAGTCTCGGAAGATAAATGCTATAACTTATTATGATAAAAGTTTAGTGTAATGAAGTTCTTTTTCTATGGTGTTTGCCTTGTCATTTCATATGGAATAGCGTAATTACACGATGAAGTATAGAGATATAGGGTCATAAAGGGGAAAGGGAAAGGGAAAGGGGTAAGGCTATCAGTACTAGTCCTGGAAGAGCTGGACTGTTGCCTCGTTCACGCCTGCCAAATCGATCAAGATCACTTCACATCTATATGTACTACCTAGGTATGCAGGTTTCCGCAGTAATAACCAATGAGACATCTGAATTGGATTTATAATCTTATCTGAGTTTGAAATTTCTGCACCTTTTCGCAGCTGACTCTCACTTCTATGCATAATGTGCACATATATGTACGTACGTGTACGTATCAGGGACAAGGCTAAAAAGTCGGGGGCCACAAGGCGTCCAATTAAATGTAGCCTAAGCTCAGTGGGGAAACACAAAGTGGAGAAAGTGCATGACCAAGCCGGGATGGTATGCCTTCCATGTTATTTCTATGGTTGATACAATCTTATCTTAGGTAATTGCACTGTACGACAGTACTAACTTTTGAGTTACACGCGCGATAATATCAACTTCGCCCTTTTTTTTATTTATTTATTCCTTACTTTCTTTTATGCTTCGCATCGTCACTCTGCATCTCTTCTCATTATTGCAGCCCTCCATGGATCTCGGAATTAACAGACTCTAATCCCACAAATTACAAATACCTAGAGAATCGCTTCATGAGCAACTTATCTCTTAATATGAGATTCGAATACGCCTCATTTAGTTTTACCTCGGTCGCGCCATAGCCGGAGCCTTACCGTGCTATACCGTGTTGCACCGTGCCGGACAGCATGAGATTATCATATCATTCCCGCCTCTTCTAATACCACACCACCTTGTAATATCATGCCGAACAATACCAATCTCTTCTCTCGAATAGCCTACCATTCAGTTTATGTCTTACTATGTCTTCTTCTCGCCGCCTTACTTCTTGTCGTCCCTGGCGACTTCGTTCGGCAGGTATTACTTTCTAATAATCAGTACATCAATTTAATTCTCACGGCTATTGTCTTTGTTCTTACTGTACTTATTGTTTTATTTGTTTACGCGTTGAGGCTGTATGTCACTCGTACAGTACTGGCCTCTATACCCAAAACCTGGATTCCAATTGAGAAAGGCGATGTAACCAAGGAAGTCCGAAAGATGATTACCAACAGCCTCGGCAGAAGTGCTGCTATCGCACGGGGGGCTCGGCCAAAGGTGATTACGCCAGCATCTCGACCAACATCTCTGGAAAATGCCGCAGGGGATAACGGAGCGGTCGACAGTAATGCAAAGGAACAACGAAAGTCTCTTCAGCTTTTCCGGCCAAAACCAACTGCGACAGCTGAGGAGCAAATGGGTATTGCCTTCCCACCATTACGGCCTGTCTGGGGTGAGATTGAACATGACGGATGGGGTTCACCAAGCTCGCCAGACCTTCCCAACCTTCAGTACAGCACTGTTCTCTCGGAGCTGCCGAATCTTATCGAGGCGAAGGCCGTTTCTCAAGCACCTCCGGATCCCGCATCTCATACAGATCCGCCCACGTTGGATGCTGACGCCGTTGCCTTACTCCAACGTTCTCATACCATGACTATGAGGGATTACGTCATGAATCTCATAAGCCTCGGCGTACTACCTAGCTCGCAGAACGCTTTCGAGTTCCTTGATAGTTATGAACGCGCCCGCTTCTCAACTCGGTCTTTATCCGAGACGCATTTCAGGCAATTGATGCACCTTTTCGCCGAGCTGCTGCGCGCAATGCAACCTCTGGATGCTGCCTCGATATACGAGTCACATGACCCTGATGACGGTTATTCTGAAAGTGACGGACATATCGATGATGATGCTCCGAGGGATACTACCCCTACCACACCCGCCCGCAGCAACTCCAGCTCACTCAGCCTAAGCGGGAGCAGCACGCGCTCGCGTGCTCGGAGGCCAACCCTTCCGGCCCGGAATTCGTCAACTCGGACATGGCACCAATACCGGACAGCACCAACAACACCGAGAAGCAAAGGAGCTAGTGGTGGTAGGGGTCTATCCCATTCGCCTAGTACAAACAGCGGAACTAGTAGCTTCGCACAAACGCGACGGCCCTATTATCCCACCAGCCAGTCATCGAGTTCAAGCTTGCGTTCGACGTCCCAGGCGTCATCAGTTATCCGTCTTGCAACGCGAGAGGACCGCGGCGACTTGCCTTATGTCCTAAGAGTCGGAGAAGCCTACTAAGCTATCGCGACATGCATAGCATATGTTTCAAGGAAAACGGTATAAAGAAAATGGATGGTTGCATCTGGTCGGCGTTAGGGATCACCGGCTCTTCCGATATAAGTTTTGATCTGGAAGAGAACGGTTTGTATAAATGAAATTTTTGATATTGTCTAATGTAATCCTTTTCCCCAATTATTAGGTCGCATCTCACCGGGTCAACAATGACGACAACAACAATAACGCTGCGATATATATCCGACACGTTCGTATAGCATAACGCCGCTCGACATATACATATGCATACATATCTATGGGCACAGTTTTAATACACTGTTGTATATTCGATGCCGCCCGAGATGTATCGAATTATTCGGTTGGCCTCGATCCAAAATGTGACCCGACGAGTACGCCTCCGAGTTCCAATAGTCCCACACGCTACCCAACAAACGCCGTACTCCTTTTATCGTTAATAAATGAGTGACGAGGAATCGAGGCGCCCCATGCTGCCTTTAAGCGAGCACGGGCATCACCTGTTGCAACGTTAGTGTCGGGTACGTATTGAAGATCGATGGGGTTGAGGCGTGGGTGTGTAGTCAATCAGGTGAAGCTCGAATTGGGTTTTCAGCGCCCGATGAAATTCCTAACGGGTTACTCAATTCAGCGCTCGGCGGGTTTCTTGATTGAGGCCCTCGATCGATTATTTGTTCGGATGTTCCATCAAGCATTTGATAAAAATACCTGATTGGACGTTTCGGTTGAGGATTCAAGTAGGCGCTCGATGAGGCACTAAGTGAGGCGCCCAATGAGAATGTCGATACGACGCACAGACTAGCCCGCGGTATCTCCGCGCAACAACGTCAAGCAGCTATATCGTACGACCTCCCAGCAATCGATATATTGGATAATCGAAGGTGTGATATGTAGATGGACGTTCGGGGATGTTGGAAGGGACGAGACCTACTTGGTTGATGCCTGGCTGAACTTGGCCAAAGCGTCGTAGACCTCACGGTGAACCTTATCGCCTCGGGCAGCTATGCTTGACGCGGTGCTCTGGGGTTGCTGGAGAAGAGTGCCGACAGGAGCCAGTCCCGCGGTGACACCCCCCGTGTAAGCGAGAGCACTTTGTGATGTAAAGAGGGACTGATCGGGCTGGGTGTTGGATGGAGTCTCCTTAGATGGGATAGAGCTAGATCGAGGATGAGACAGATGTCAGTTGAAGTGGTCTTGGCTAGATCAACAATGACAATGAGGAATTCGGAGGGTTGGGTATCAATATCCGTGACTGATGTGGGGTGTCCCAGGTTACACGAGGTGATCCTCGGCACGTTCCTTGCTCGTGCACACCTGACACCCATATCTCCAGCCACAGTTAATTGCGAGCTTTGGCCTTAATGGACCCAGAAGCGAGTATTGACAAGGAAAGATCGATTCTTACCCATCGAAAACGGACTCCCTAGAAGTGTTTCCCATGATGAAGGATAAGGACGAGAAGGGTTATTGGTGAGAAATGAAATCGCGATGCGCGACCGATGAAAGAGAATGGTATAAGAGGACGTGTGAAATCGAGATTGATATCGAAACCTTTTATATAAAGAACTTAAAGTGTCTTTACTCGACATGTTTAAGCGATGGAGGGAGGGGGTTGGCCTGGCCTTCTTATAGAAGACCGGCGTGCTGGGTGAACGTAATGTACGATGAAGGTTCTCGTAGAGCCTCCCGACGTACCCAATCATACCAGTACCCATTAAAGAGAATAGCACCGACCCAATGAGGGTGGTTAGCTTAACCACCAGCAACATGTCAACCACGAGCGTTTCGGGGCCGTCCTTGTAACATGGTGTGCTGAAATATATTAGAGGCGAAGAGTTTAGACCCGCTCGGGAATTTCGTCTGGAAGCAGAGACGCTAATAATCGAGTAGGTAGGGAAAAATGCAGAAAATGAACATGGATTTCTGTTGGCCGTTGAAATGACGCCGCTCCTTTGCCGCCCAAATGGCTGTAGATCACTTGATGGTACGCTGTCCACACCCACATGAAGCGGACGTCTGCTAGAAATATTGTATCTTGCAATACGTACATACTTATACCCTGCAACACCTAGTTGCCTTGGATCTAATCGCGATATCTTGCGCGGCACGGTCAACTACTATGAAGGCGCGGAAGGATGCGAGGTGTGGGTACAGTAGCGCATTGAAGTATCAATGCTTCGCAATTCTCACATTTCCCCCGAATCCCTGGTTTTTTGGGCTGTTTGGCTCGCAGGTTCGCATTTTTGTCATGTATATCATGTAGGAACAGTCGCCTCGCCCACATGTTTTCTATACAGTGTATCAATTGGGAAATGGCCCTCTCACCGAATTAACGGGATTTTTACAAGGGGTGCATGTACAATATATATAGTACGTCTGCGCTTGTTTGCGTCTGCCTCGTGGTTCGCGGCGCATCGCAGCCTGACGTCTTCTCACACTGTGTATACATGTCAGCTACGCTTTCGATGCCAAGCACACATTTTCAACATGCAGAAATGCAAGAATGGTTCGCGGACTATAGTAGAGTCCTACGTACGTACACTGTGTAAGTACTTTGTCTTTTTTTCGGAGATGGCATCACATACAGCACATCTCTCCAAAGTTCATAAATGGTTCGCATCCAGCCCAATTTTGCCCTGTACGTACACAATCTTCCCATATACACCATGTAGGTGCCCAATACCTACAGAATTGCTTGCATTCATAAGAGGCCACATACTGTACGGAAACACAAAAGAATCCACTGACGGTAGTCGGCAAGGATAGTAGGCTGGGGTGCAGTACTTCGTCCAGGATGATAGACTATCCTTGTACCTAAGTAACGGATGAAGTCGGAATAGTATCCCAATTTTGATGTTACGCCGATAGGTCGCAGATTGCCGCAGAAAGCTGTAATCACTTGTCATCGAGTTCAGCAGAGATGTTTCGAGGTTTTGCAGTATTATTATTGCTTGGCCTCGTGTTATTATTCAATATACTAGAAATATCATGCGTCTTTTCTATTTCTATATCATTTCAAATATGTATGAGACAGCTATAACTTCAGCTTTCTATACATACTATACGAAGTTCTTAAATTGGGAGACTTCGGGCTCGGAACTCTGCCGACATGCATACCTAGGTATGTATCAAGTAGAGAGAGAGCCTCATAAATAGGTAGATAGTTATTCTGCAAGAAGGTGGGTAGCAGGCCGAAGTGCTACTACGTTAGCTGCCAAGATGCCAGACGTATACTCTGGAAGAAGAGGCCATTAGTTGAGATGTACGATGTGACATATCAACAAGTTGACGTGCAAGGGTCTTAAAGGGCCCAACTGCAAGTAAGCCCTCCACCAGACCTCTCATTTAGGTGGTAAACCCTGATTATCCATGGGTATCGGAGGACTGCTGTACATACATCAGACAACATACAACATACATACCTGAGGCAAAGACATCTAGATGGAGAACTAGCTTGGGTCTGGGGTTGCCTCATTCGAAGGGAGGCACGGGCTGGTACATCTCAGAGTTCCGCCCACGGAAATAAAAGTGCAAGTTAAGGTACTCGATGAACTCTTACTGACGTATGTATGATCAGTTAAAAATAAAGAAAAGAATATTACCTAGATAAGGTCTTATTTTTTTATTTTATCTTTTTTTATTACGACGTATTTCTATAGAAAGTATAGGCGCTTAATTCTTTAATTGTTAAGGTTCTTACTCCTTTCCGTACTTGACCTGTCTGCTTATAGTATCATCTTTCTATACTATACCCGATTTATACATCAGCTTACACATTCCCGTCTGTACTTACAGGCAAATGAGATTCCTTATCCCTACACTTGCATACTACAAAAATAGGGGATATTTGAGGTATACCACGGAACAATTATTAAAAATTGCCTAGCTCCAGTGCCGACGCGTCGCTTTTCATACATCTGTATTTCACGACACCTAGGTAGTCAGAGTAAGTGACCAACGAGAGTCCAGTTGAGGCATCAGGTGGCTGTGATTTGCGAAAATATCTTTTAAATATAGACTTAGAGCAATCGCAAGAGAATATGTCTTTTAATAGCACCCACCGCTTCTAATAAGTTACGAAGTATGATTCGTTTTCTTGTACGATTTATTTTAAGGTAATGTGTAAGAGACAAATTGCGCATTCGCGTTTCTAGGACTTTCTTCTCCTTTTAATGGGCAGTTTTGTTTACTTCGGGTATGCGGGGTGAGTCGCTGTCTACTATTATCATCAGCTAATCATGATGGAGAAATCAATAGTAACATATCTGGATAGATTCTACGGCTTCCTCGAAATGGAAATCCTAAGCGCATGTGAGAAGGGGCGTTTTTTGATCCTGACCGGTTCTAAAAAGTTGCGGAGGTGGAGTGGTAATGTTCGATCGGTTCCAGCTCTCATCATTTTTTAAACCCCAAGGTAGTAGTGAAAGAAAAATAGAATGTTCGTTGTAGATAGTGAGGCTTGTATAGAAATCTGGTTTTCAGCGGCCTTCTAACCCTCCCTGATGGAATTTTCTACAGCGCCCTGCGCCTTAATTTGCTTCGGTCCTTACATGCGCAGAGACAGTGAAGACCCCCAATCGCGGGCCACCTATCCGCATGAATGTGATACTGTCCTCGACCTAGGCAAGTACTTCCACGGACTAATTTTCTAGATGATATCAAAATGAAACCAAAATATCTAGGAGTGTTACATACGAGATTTTCCAAGCTTTCATCGTGCACGACAGATTCTCAGACGCAGGGCACAGGAGATATCGGGGTCGCCTCAACTACGCCACGCCGTAACATAGAACTTTTTGACTGCATCGTGAACTCATATTACGGCGCGGTTTCCGTGACTCAAGCCTCGGAAGCGATCAACATTCGCGACTTCAAATTCCGAGCCGTAGCATTGACTCACGCTGTCTCACATGTTTGCTCTAACGTCATCGGACGAATACTAAGCGCATTTCTATTGCCTATCAACACCGAGGAAACCGGCGAACACCAACCCCGAGTCCTCTCCGACCATCTTATAAATTACCTAGGTATCGTTGGTAATACTGCTGACACTGAAAGAAAAAAGGATAAAATGGGAAGGTGTGAAGCTGATTCGGGGTTGTGAATGTGACACGGCATATCTGTGCATACCCAGGTGCCGCGCAGAGAATCCTACGCCGCGAGGCAGATCGTAAGGCAGCCCGCAGTAGCCACTCCACGGTTTCGAAATGGGTCGATAGGTTAATGAATATACCTACAAACCCATATACTTTTGGATACGATGAATCCGACATACCGCTATATACCTAGGTGACTCCATACCTCGCGGCTCCCACAGCCTTATATTGGAACATTTATATACGATGATGTCCTATATCTAACACTCGCCACAACGAGCTGATGTGAGAAATCCCCAAATCGCCCCATGAATCCTCCCGTCTCCCTAAAAAGGATTGTTTGAACATGGTTCCCCAACCAGGCTCCCGAAAGGGACACCACCCACGTGTCTATTCGCGCCGCACGGCGCGGCAGGTCTAATTTCTAGGAATCGTTATATCTCATATCTCGATCATCAGCCGCGATAACCTCGCGACAATGTCCCCCGAACTCGCCACTACCTACCGCTACTTTACCTAAAGTAGCCACCGAGTGGTAGGTAGGTAGGTAGTGCTCGCGACCACCCGCCCTACGCCCTTCAATCCCCTCATCTTTCCCTCATAATTTCTCAACAGGCGGATCCGTATTCACCTTCCCATGATCGCAAACCGCCAACAACGGGCCCTCTCTCCCGTCCTCACCCACAGCGCGCATTTCCCCGCGCAACGCGCTTTGATTGCGACCTGCGGCCAGAACCTCGCATTTGATGGTGATAGTAGTGCCTACCGGGATCGGGCGGAGGTATGTGACGTTCAAGCTCCGGCTTACGCCCATGTGCTCCCAGAACCCTGGTTTAGCGATTAAGTGGAGCGCGAGTGAGGTGCAGGAGTCGAAGATCGTGGATGTGCAACCTCCGTGCATGTTATTCAACCCATTGGCGTGGATAGGTAGGACGGTCAAGAGGAAAGTTACACTCGGGGTTGGGGGAGAGGGAGAGTGGGAATGGATTTTGAGATGGGGTGTTATGGTTGTCATCCATTCCTAGGAGGAGGTTAGTTGGTGTTTATGGTATTAGTATTGGGTTCATGTCATGATGATTGATATGCGGCTCTTATTTGAGAGTGTAGGTAAGTAAGATTTTACTTATAAATCATTCAGCCCTAATGGTCTGGATTTGGGATACGAGAACGCATATAAGATCGATTCAACGTAAGCACGAACTTGATGACGCGGGGAACGAGAAGGCAGAAAATAGGTAGGTAGGCTTACGTGGTTTTGGGGGTCTTGGTAAGATTCTGATGCCAATTTTAAAAAGGCCTCAACTCTTTCGATACCTTTGAAAGGTTTCAATGCTTTCATCAGGTTTATTATAGGGGTTTTGGCATCTTTCTGAGAGGATGCGGACATCTTGGAGGCACCTAGATAGTCTCTAAGCAAAGCAGCTAGCGAGCAAAACTCAAGGGGTGTATACAGTTGATAAGTGTAATAAATGCCAAACTGTCAATATATGTTTATATATAAAGATAAAATACAATGCCTGGATAATTGATGGTTAGGGAGATGTGTGTCTTTTATTGTAAGATGCGTATCGTAAGTACCTAGGTAGGCTAATGACTTTGTACCTCGGTTGTAATTACCGTATTATCGGAGCCCAAGATAATATGCTTTACTGCATAGCCAAATGAATGGGCATGGTGTTTTAACAACTTTGTAAAGTAAAAGAAACATAGATAAATGAATGGATTACATGTAATATAAAAGGGAATATACCTAGGTCCTGAACTGAGGAATATTCTATATAATAGCGTGATACTTAGACTGTGATATCGGCGCGAAGGTGGTGTTCGTGCTTCTCTTATGTGTAGTTACTAAATCGTTGCAGTCTGTGACTAAGTAGCAGAGAGCTGCAATACCTTTTAACGAACATTTAAATCCATCGACGAATGGTTTAAAATTACTGGCTAGGGCTTTGTCTGGGCAGATCAAAGTGTCAAGACGTTGTTATTTGTTAATGGGCCGTTAATAGTCGGATACTAAGGTGAATATTTGTTCGTATTCTTCTTTCTCGTGGTACATAGGTAGTCAGTCTTCTTGCTAAAGAAAGATAAACCTAAGCCTATGATAGACTAATAAGTATGGCGATCATGAGTAAGAATATCCACGATTAACGCTATCAAAAGCGCGTCAGGGGCTTGTTTGTTGAAGATCTTCTCATTAGATAAGCAAAAATGAAGAATGATGGAAATGATGGGAATGATGAGATTGATGGTTGACAAGGAATTTGGAGATAGCGTGGATAGCGTGGCCCCAAGCTATCTATATAAGGTTAGAATCGTAGATGATGACATGGTCCGTGCATATACAGCAAAGATGCACAAGTTCAGGGGAAGTTTCGCCTAGCCTTGTCGTGGTACGGAGTACATGATTGGTGGGTTAGCTGTACTTGAGTGGCTCGGGGGGCGGCAATGACCTAATTTAGCGCGGTATGGTAGTATGGTAGGTACCTACACACACGTACTGATCCTACTTCTTTCCTCTGTTATGTATGCAGTAGCGCTAGAGGTAAGGGTAAGGAAGGAAGGTTAAGGTTTAACGTACCTAACAGCTTACCCAAATCAATCCGTCGCCCATCACGCCGGAAACTCAACTCCCAACTTTCTGCCAATTTTGACGGAAAACGGCTACGAATTCTCGAGATTCTTTCTCCAAACTCCAAATTTCAATACCCAAAAATCCAAATACCTACCTCACTTCTTCACGATCCGATACGAAACGATACGACAACGGCGGGGAAAAGAAATAATAATTCACGACGAAATTTGTAACTTGCGTCGCATTGTGTTATTATTATTTTTTATCGAGTCAAGTTACATCAATCCTTTCCAACTATCTCGATTCTCTTCACTCATTTATTCAACCCTGTTTAATTTCTTCTTCCCTTCTTTAATCGCCCCACGAACGAAAGCTACAAACCCGACCTTCACATCACGATCGTTCGAGTATTTTGTTTTTCGCACACGAAAGACCTTTTGTCCATCATAGCGTTCCACTTCTCTCGAACCCATGAGACGTTAAATCAATTGATTTTCCCTTGGTCGCAATCCTTCCATTCCGGATACAAGGTCGTATCTCCCGGAGGTGCTTACAACGCAAATGCGCATGTCGAGAAGACAACATCAACCTAATCGGTGAAGACGGTAGTTGAGGGTTGAACACCGTCAATTTGGTAAAACCGGAAAATTTACAAAATTACCCATGAGTTTTTATCAGGTCTCCGCTATGGGAGCCGGTGGAAATGGATCTGGTATTCCGGGCGCGGGCGGTGTCGGCGGCGGACAAGAGATGCCCGGAAACGGTGCACCTGCTAACGCGTCGAATCAGCCGCATGCTACCGAGTATACGCTACAAGGTACGTTTCGATACTCCAATCACGTCAGCCTCGTCGTATCATAGAACCCTTTTCTTGGCTAACCCAGATTTACCTAATAGGAGTAATGCGCTTCCTCCAAACCGAATGGCATCGACACGAACGAGACAGAAATGCTTGGGAGATCGAACGTCAAGAGATGAAAGGAAGAATAGCTGCTCTCGAAGGATCAGCAAGAAGAGCCGACGCTACACAGAAAGCGCTCAAGAGATATGTCACCATCTTGGAGAAGAAAGTCAAGGATCAAGCTGCCCAGCTTAAGGTCGCTTCTACCACTTCCGCCACCGACCATTCTGTGAAGCAACCTCAGAAGATTGATAGGGCGGCTTTGATACAGGAGAAGCTAAAACGTACGTGTGAAGATGAAAAACCCTGTAGCCCCGGAGATACACATGAGTATGTGATGCTAACTTCTTCAATAGCTTTGGGTGATAAACCAAAAGAGTCGGTACCCGGTCTAGAAGGCCTCGTGGGCGAGCGCGTGCACGAAGATGAGGAGCGTGAGAACCTAAGAGTCTTTTTGGATCAGTGTCAAGCTGAATTCACATATCTGATGGTTACTCCTGCCAATCCCATGCCTCCTCGCGAATCGCCACCCTTGCCTCTGATTGACGACCTCAGAGAGGGAGATTTCGGATTGCCTATGGTCCAGCAACCTCTCGATGCTGCTTTTCAAGCAATGAGACTTAACCAGAATCATGTGAAGGACCCAAATTCTCGCCAAGGAGCACCGAATGCGAATAATGTTCATCCGCTGAACTTGGGTCAACCGAAAAATCCAGACCTACAATCTGCACCTATGGTTCGATCAGGCGAGGGACCTGCACCGATGTACTCGCATCCTAACGAATGGGTTGCTTCTGGACAACAGATGGCTCGAATGCAGGAGGATCCAAACGCGAAGCCGAATCATTCAAGCGACTCCGTCCGTACTGAGTTTGGTGAAGGTTCGTTGGATAAGCGACCAAACGATGGAGATGCTTGGGACTTTGGCGAAGGAACTTTCCCCGACCCAACATCCGCGCAGCAACTACAACAACAATTACAACCTCTCACTCATCGTCCGGACACTGACGCTTTCCCTAATGCCGAAAACCTCCCAAAGTCTCCGAATCGTGGTCCTACTTCGCACAGACGAAAGACTTCCATGTCTCGTAGAAAGAGTGCTGACCAGGAGCTTTCTCTTAACGGTACAGCACAGAAATCAGAAAATGGTAGTTTCAAGTTGCGATTCGGGCTTCGTGGTCACCTTAACACGGTTCGAACTGTGATATTCTCTGGTGGAGGAAGTCCTGGCGAGCCTGAGATTTGCACAGCTGGAGACGATGGTCTCATCAAGCGTTTCCATATCCCAAGGGAGAATCCCAGCCATCTTGGAGGTATCTCCTCTGACCTTGACGTACCCGCTGATTTCACTCATCGTGGACATACTGGCGCTGTATTATCATTGACATCATGGTCGCCATCTCCAAACTTCTCTACAGGTGGTCGAGCCCAAGGTGATGGTTGGATTTTCTCAGGTGGTCAAGATGCAACTATTCGAGTATGGGAAAGGGGTAGGGTAGATCCCAAAGCTACATTGGATGGCCACACTGATGCCGTCTGGGCTATTTGCGTGTTACCTGCAACTCTCGGCGCCGTCTTCGGTCAATCGAATCCTCATGGCAGTCCAGATCGCATTCTGGTTGCCTCGGGAGCAGCTGATGGTGCTGTGAAGGTATGGGCTGTTAGCGCGCCCCCGCAACTTACATCGCCGCAACCAGGTCCACCTCGACGTGCTACTGGAAGTGGTCGTGTTAGAGGCAACTCCATGAGCTCTGGATCGCAATTCCCAAGTTCTCCACAACCCAACATGGCTTCGAATTCACCTTTCCATTACACACTTATCCACGACGTTCGACGTTCTAACGGTTCGTCAGCCTCACCCACTTGTATCACTCCGTTATCGCCAAACGGAGAAACCTTCGTAGTTAGTTACTCGGATGCCGGTATTATCGTATTCGACACGCGAACAGGCGAAGAGATTGGTTCCATGGCTAGTCTTGAGACTTACGATAATACAATCGGCACAAGTGTCAATGCTGTGGTTGCAACAACCGCAGGTCTTGACCAGAGCTCTGGACCAGGCTTGGGTGATGAAGACACCAGCGGCCCTACTGGCGGTAGTGGTACAGCCGGCAGTGGAATTGAAGGTGTTATCATATCCGGGCACGAAGACCGCTTCATCAGGTTCTTCGATGCTAACAGCGGTAAGTCTACAAAATTCGTATACTTACAAATACGTTTTGCTAATTTCCTACTAGGTCAATGTACATATAACATGCTCGCCCACCCGGCTTCGATATCGTCTCTTTCCCTCAGTCCCGATGGCCGCGAGCTCGTGTCTGCTGGTCACGATGCAAGTCTTCGATTCTGGTCTCTGGAAAAGCGAACATGTACTCAAGAGATCACTAGCCATCGAATCATGAGAGGGGAAGGTGCATGCGCTGTCGTCTGGAGCCAAGATGGCCGATGGGTCGTTAGCGGAGGAGGAGATGGAGTCGTGAAGGTCTTTGCACGATAACGCTAATCGCGTAAAGGCTTCCATTCGATATACCTGTACGAAAGAAATTTTCGATAATGGCATGCACCTGAGTTAAGGGGTAGATGGAGGTATTCTGAAAGAAAAAGAAAGACACCTTCGCGCAAGACGAATGAATTATCATATTACGATACTCTCAACTATACCTGAGCCGTGTTTTCGATTTGGAAGGGGTTTTACGCATGCTTTCGCGTTTGAGCATTCGAGTCATAGGCAAGACTCGTGTAAAAAAAAGAATTTTACGAAACTTCAGAATAATAGGAAGGCGTTGTTAGGCCGCGACAAACTGTAGGATTGTGTAAATCTATTCTTGCCACCACCACTACTATTACAAGGGAAGGCTAGGATAGGATTGCAGTCCACCTTCGGTTCGATTAAATTATGATTAATGGAAGAAAGGGGGCTCGGACTAATCTACCCAGGATGAAATGAGAAAGGGGGGAGAAGAGGAAAGAAGTCAAAGCACCAGAGAGAGACGCGCAAGATCATTTAGGAAGCATTAGTGTTGATGTGTAGATACGAAGGCTGAGCCAAAGCTGAAGCATTGCTGGCGGGGCGTAGATAGCAAGCTGCCAAGCAAGCAACTTTTGTCGTGTAAAAACTTGTTAAGAAAGAGAATCGAGTTGCATTCTACCTACAGATTTCTATGGCGAATAAGAATAATTATAGCGTTAGTGTGACTGTTATCTGTTACGTTGGTGTTTCTAGCATAGCAAGGTATTAATGTAGGACCAGGTAGGAAATTTATCCTACCCACAAATCTTAGTGGCCAGTATTAACCCTTATAAGTAGTATAAACTTAGCGCCAAATACATAGGCAGACTGACGACCAAAGTTGAAGTCCGAATTGGTGTAGTGGCTAACATTTGACGCTCTCATGGCTTAATACCCTGAAGATCCGTCAAGCCCGGGGTTCGATTCCCCGATTCGGAGTAACCTTTGCCTAATTTAATGATTTAAATTTTTGTTCCTTTTTAATTGAAAACCGATCTTTATAACCTCCCTCCTCTATTTCCTCTATGACATACAACCGATGCCGTCCCTTTTGATTGATAGGTCAAATGATCACAGGAGAGTATTCAGCTTGTTCCTAAAAATTACAATAAGTGACCCTGCCTGCGAACCACAACCATCACATCCAGACCAATGTGTAGTGACACTCATCTTCTTTTAATAGTATATCTTATGAGAAACCAAAACCCGCTCGGTTGATATTCAAGGTACCTTCGTTCCCCACGCCCCTGAGAGAAATATCCAACACCAGATTCATGGATTTCTCAAACAGTGGTTACACATAGTCTGCACTCGATAGCCATTAACGTTATAATTCGGCGCAGGACAAATGCAGAATCCGGTCACTCCAGAACGAGTGCGTCTTGTCTCGCACTTCAAGAGAGATGGCTATGACTAGCAATCATCAAAAAAGGCGCTGGAAAAGAATCAGGCTGCCTAAGCGCTGGGCTGCTAGCTTAAGGTCGCTCTTCAAAGCCTCATCTCGGCCAAGACCGTACATGTTTACCAATCAGCGCTCGAGGTATTGGAGGAGCTGTTGGCTAAACAAATATCAAGGGCCAACACGACCTACTTTCAAACTCTTCCATGTATTGATTACCAGTCATAAACTCGCATCTAGCATGTACTATCGGACTACATATCGACAAGTTCACTTCCCGCCATAGCTGCTTCTACTCTCTAGGCCGGGCGGGCTATTTTACGAAAGAATTAGACTTCAATCCGATTTCAATTCTCATGTGCTCAATTTGACACATAGCAAACATGCTTAATGACGACTCGAAATATTTTTCCCTAAGTGGTGATATGCCCATCGGTGGGCCAACCACCTGGCATGTCACTGATTGGGATCAAAGACGAATAATTTCAGTTACTATGGATGGAGAGTAAGATGACGATAATATCGCTACCCAACATCTTAGCCGCTATAGCAGCGAGCTCCCCCTTAGCGTATATCGTATCTATGTATCGGATAATGGTGAGATTATCACGAAGTTTACAGATGCCAAGGACGACCAGACGTCATATGTACACTACCTAAGTCTTCGTGATGTCGTTCTCCCTGACGGCGTTCGGACTATACGGCGTGACGAACTTGAGGAACTCGATAGGCTTGGTCCTGACACTGACCTCATCGCATATCCCCCCTGTGCAAACGAATCTGCTAAAAAGGTGAGCATACACCGACCATCTTATTTTTCCTATGAGCTAACCTTGAAATAGGTTGTGTTTAAATATTATTTCCTATGGCAATACGCACCAATGTTTTGGAAGGAGATGAACTTATGGATGCGCTTACCCCGCCACCCAAACATAGCCCCTTTCGATAGCGTCGTCATTGACGAGCTTGAGGGTCGCATAATTGGGTTTGTCGTCGATTATATTCCAGGAGGAAATCTAGAGGAGAATACATCGCGCGTTTTCAAGTTAGATTGGCTCCGTCAGCTCATACGGGCGGTAGACGACTTAAACCTTCGATATGGCATCTCTCACCAAGACATCGCTCCGCGAAACCTTCTTGTCGATGAGTCAACCGATTCTATCATGCTCTGTGACTTTAATTACGCCGCTCGTATGAAGCGTCCTACGCAGGATGAGAGCGAATCATATATTAAGGAGCGGAACGATGTTAAAGGTGTCGTATTTACTGCTTATGAGATCATCACGCGAGATGATAGTCTTCGTATGAAGCCCCACGAAGAGCAGATTCTTGAGAGTGTCGAGCAAATCAAGTGGGAGAAGCATCCGGCAGTAAAGTTAGACTACCCGGTCGAAGCGTATCGGGAAGTACTTCGAGAATGGCAGAAGAAGAGGAAGGCGGCGGACTTGACTAATGGTGATACTTCGAAGTGGATTCATTGGCCTCCTAGGCCTAAACCACCAAAGAAAACTATTCAGACAACAGATATGCTTGGGAATCCAACCTCATTTACTATTGATGAGTGGTCTGAGAGGCGACAGGATGTATTGGCTAGGGGAGGAAAGGTCTTAAATTGGGAACGGCCGCCGCAGCAGAGACTTTTGGATGAAGGAATTCGAGTGCTGGCTACTGGCGAAATAATCAATTGTTGAATCCACAAAAGAATGGTAGGATTGTAATAATATTCGTGTCGAGATTTATATTCTATGAGCATTATGCTTTTATCTTTATACCACTGCTCCACCCCAGTGTATTCCGATTGTTTCTTTAGAGCCTCTCTTATTCTAGAATTTTATAGTGAGTAAAAATGATATAATAAATGTACTAGGAAGGGGGTATCATGACATGCATGTATGGACCAATCTCTAAAAAACACCAAACAAAATAGAAAGCACCAAAGGAGAGTGAAGCGAGAACTATCCCGCTTTTGAAAAAGAATGCAAAAGACAAGAAGCCAACCATTGCTGTCACCATCACCATCACAACAACCATCACATGTGTATCCAGTATGAATATTATGCTTGTTTTTTTGTTTGTTCCTTGCAACTGTCTGTCCTCTTCTGACTTGTATTGTACCACCCTCTTCATCTTCTAACGATATAGAAGGGGCTTGCGTTCCACATTGGGTATCTCCCCCTTTCCATACGTATAAGACCACTAGTTTATCACCCAATCATCTTTCATCCCAACCCAAATGCCGCTTCCTCCTCCATCGGCATAGGCGGGCGTATGCTCAAAATACTCGCATTGTGTTCCTGCCCTTCTTCTCCACCAGTAGCATCCAAGGCACTCAAACCAGTGACACTATCCTGCCTGATTATCGGCCCAGCCGCCGGACTAGGTAACGCGGATACACTTGTCTCCGTGATCACCGCAGGCGATAATAAACTCTTCTGACTCTGACTCTGCACTAGACCCTGGCTTTGATTTTGACTCTGCGCACGTCTTAAAGCACCTCTTTCCTCGCGTTCTCTCATTGATTGCCTATCTGCTTCGATTGCTCTATTCCGTCGTTCTTCTACATCTTCGCGTCGGACAACTCGTCGAAGACCTTCGGATGCTTGGATTAAGCCGTCGATGCTGATGGCGTGGTTGGTCATTTGGTGGTTGATGTAGGTGTATATCGCAGCGGGCGTATCGCATAAGAGGAGTTGACGCTCGTTGAGTTTGAGTAGGGCTAGTGCGACTTGGAAGAGGAATGTACTGCCGTCGTTGATGCAGAGAACTACGTCCCATACGCGGAATAGAGCCTCGGCTGATAGACAATCAGTAAAGACGCTGAGGAACCATTGGAATGTTAAGGCCTCGAGTTCGATACTGAGCATATCTAGGTGTTGCGATAGCTTCGGAAGTACTTCGCTGACGTATTGTCGTAGAACGTGCTGGTCCGCGCGAGATGCCATGAGACTGTGGTCGTAGTATCCCGCAGGTAAGATGCGCTCAATAATCGACACAAACACCCAAAATGCATCTTCGGCGGATGGCATAATGAGTAATAAATTTGCCGCGATCAAGTTCATGCCCTGACAATATCCAACTTCAGGGTTGTGTCTAGCATACGCCCGAAGGACTTCATTCAGCTTAGCAACACCAGGACCCTTCCGGAAGAAAATATTATCAGTAAGCGTGCGATTAATATCCATCTCGATCTGTGAAATCACAATCGCATCATCAGCTTCGCTAGGTCGCGATACAAGATCCTTGTAGTAACCAGGGGTTCGCTTAGAAAGTGCGCCGGAGCATTCCGCCCAGATCTTGGGTCGGTTTACTACGGGGATACCGCCGAGTACTAAGTTCCGGAACTCGTTCCATTTCGCGCGACCGACTTTTCCTTTTACTCCTAGGTCTGCGATACCGATGGTTTCGCCGTCGGTGAGTTTCGCTTCGGGGATCATGACGGGTGCGATTTGGAATCGGGCTTCGGCGGCCGCAGCGGCATTAGCGGCTGCGGCCTCACCTTCGCGTCGACGCTCAGCGCGCACTTTTCGGAGAAACTCGTTCCAACGGATTGATTTTTCCCTTTGTAAGTTATCGTGAACATCGCTTAGCTGCTTTAATAATAGTTTCACTGGCTCAACATCCTCGTGGACTAGCGTAGCAATAGCTGATTCTTCCTCTTGTCTTGGACTCGCTTCCCTGGCCGGAGCTGATGTGGTAGTACCTGCGGGTGGGACAAATCCACGATCGTCTGGATTCACCAGTGCTGGTGATTTGGGCTGATCGTTTCCTTCAAGAACCTCTATACCCGATGCTGTAATAGACGGAGTATGTGACAATAATTCTGTCGGGAAAGTCGCAATCTTTAGATAATCTTGCCATCGTTTCGGTCTGATTTGGTCGGATGGACCTTCTATTGAGGTTGGACTCTCTGGTCGGCTATCGTTTTCAATAGTCCGGATGGAACCTGACTCATCATTATCAAGTAAGTTAGGCGACAGGTTGGATCTTCCGCCCGAAAGCATCTCATGCCCTTTCTTCATCTGTAGTGCGACCTGGTTTGCCTCTCGTTGTCTCTTCTTTCGACGCTGATCGTATATAAACCCGAAGCGATCGATCAAGTACTCTCCATTATTATAGTTATTGTATAGTTGCGACAGAGCCGGGGGTTGACCTTCAGGGGAGAATATCGTATCCATCTCAACAGGTCCATAGTTATCCGGTCTATCGGCCGTCGAACTATCCGCATTTGTTCCAGGCCCTTCCCACCTATCCCGCGGTCGCGGGTATTGCGCATTTATAGGCTTCGGAGTCCCGCGTCGCATTGACATAAGTGCCTTCGGACCCCCCTGTGTGGACGACACAGCCCGGTTCGAAATCCCTGTCTTGGTACTAGCATTTGACGATGATCTCACCGAACCCCCCTGGCCCGCTGAATTCGATCTTCCTCTAACAGAATCAGAATCGCGGACTGAGGAGGCCTTTCCAGCTACTAATTGTAGCGCCATACTCGCGAATGAAGCGGATGGTTTCTTGGTTGTGTGTCCAGAGTAGATGCTCGAAGTGCGGCTAGAGCTTTGAACTGAATCTACATCCGGTGGGGTGAACAAGTCATCTTGGAGGGCGGGTCGACGATCCCCTGGTGTCGATGCACGGATAACGGTTCTTGCGATGTCTTCGTTTATGCTGCCCGCTCTGCTGGTCTTCTTGCTTGTTCCACCCCATAGATATTCCTTCCAAGCTTTCATGGTGCCCTTATTCGTATAATTATCCCTTGGCGCAGACAAACCGCTGGCTCGAACCGTACCATTATTCGCCTCGTTGATACCTAGCGCATTATAGGACATCGAATCATGCATCGCATCGCTCATCATGCCCGAAACATCACCACTCAGCGCGCATTTTATCTTATCCTGGGCCTTGAGTTCCGCCTCGACCGATCGGAGTTTCGTCTCGAGGTCTAGACTCGATAATCCACATCCTAGTATAATCTTCCTTAGTGCTCTTTCCCTTTCATCCGCTCTTCTACGTAACCTTGCGATCTCATGGTCACGATGCGCCAGGTCCTCGGCGATCTGGCGCACGAGGTTGACAGCACCATGTTTCGCGATTAATCGTTCGATGTGGTCGTCGTCTGCGTGGTGGAGGGCGCCGGGGATCTTTTGGGTCGCTACGGGTGTATCGTCAAACAGTGCGTTACGCGCTGTCTTGTTCGTCTCGTTCGAGTTTTTCGTCGAGGTTAGACTATCCACGATAGATAATCTATTCGAAACCGGAGCAGCAGGTGGCGGCGGGGGTTTATTCTCGATATTAACAGTCTGTGTATGGGACTCGAGAGTACCGAAAGAATGTTCGTTTCGCGGGGATTGTGGAGAGAAAGACGGAAATGAGGTAAGAGACTTGTCAGATGTAGCGACAGAGGAGGCGGAGCTGGAGGGCTGTGAGATTAATTTCCTTGGTTTGGATTTCGCGCGCGTCGAGTGGCTTCGGGGACCCCTTGCCGAAGCCGAGGTGGTAGATAGCTGTGATGCAGATCGCTCCAATGGCGCATTTGGCTCGGAATCCATTCTGCTGTCGTCGTATTTATCTCTGTTATTATTGTCTCCTTAGGAATCATGGTCTTCTTCTGTCCCTTCTCCTCTGTATGTAAGCGGTTGATCGTTTCTTAGCTTGTAGCTGGAATTTGAAGTGAAGGGTCAAGAAGATCCTCTGTAGTTCCAAACATGAGGATGTAAAGGAAGAGTCATAAAAAGTAAAAAAGTAGAAAATGGGGGGTTCAAGAAAAAAACGACGGTGATGATGCGTTCCTAATGATGATTATGTATGAGAATATGAGAATCGTTTTATGCAAGAATGTTAGTTGACGTTGTATCTTTACTATGTGTCATGTATGGGAGGAGTACGAAGGAGGAGTGGCATGTCCGTTAATAATTAGTTATTAACGTAGGTTACGGCGTTATAATAGTGGCGTATTAAGGTAATAACCCCTGTCCATGTCCATTCCATTCCATCATTCCACTCCATTATTCCACTATTTTTACCCTAGCTTAGTGCTTAGGTACCTAAATAGCTGCTATATTATTACTTGCAGCAACTGTAAGTTTCTTATCGTTATCGCTTTTCATCTGACGCACCTCGAAACCTTGGAACTGAGCATTACATAATGATGGTGAATTGGCCATGATTACATAATGATATATATGATTATGTAATAAAGCGATTCTTACTAAGACCAATTTCCCCTCCTCCGTTTTTTGGTTCTCTCTTCCAAAAAACATGCGTGTCGCGCTTATACAATCCAATCCTCAAAAGAAGACAAGAAGAAAAGCCAGAGAAAAGCCTAGAAAAGCAAGAATATACTCAAGAAATATACCAATTCCTCAATTCTCCAAACCCGCTAGCTCATATTCGTCTCTTAGCCAAGTCCCCAGTATTCGTATCAAGCACCTTAATTCCCTCGTCCCGATCTTGTATTGCGATTCCTATCCTGCAATAACTGAACCAGAGCACTCAGTATATCAGGGATTTCCCTCATGCAGTTCCCTAAAGACGTCATGTCTCGACGGAGGTCATCTAAACGGCCCGAAATCTGATCCAATCTCGCATCGTAGTTTTGCGAGACTTCACTTCCTGATCCACGACTTTCAGTCTGTTCTCTAATAATGGCTTCCAGTGCAGCAATTCGGCTTTCCAACTCATGTCGCCAATTATCTTGGCCTTGTTGGCCTGGTATGTTTTGGCCTGAGGGCTGAGGATACCACACTGTTGGCGCGGGAGTAAAGCTTTGGGGGTAAAGATATGTTGGTGCCAAGTTCAGATTAGGATGCTGCGCAGTGAAATATTGATCTACACTTCCATGTGTAGGACTGTATGCATCGCCCCAATGTTGCCAATGGGCCTGGGCAGCTGGATACGGTTGAGGCGAAGTATAACTCGTTGACCACCGATCTTGGCTAAGGTTTGTTGCGTATAGATCTGTCCGGATTGGGTGATGAGTTGGGTAATACGCCTGGTACCCCGATGTCCCCGCCCTACGTTGATTCCGGTCCCTAGCGGTTGGCGAAAACCTTGGTGGTGCGGACCGTGTTCCTGGAGTTGGCCCACGCGGATAGCGATTCTGCTGCGTGTCAAATCTTGACTGGGAAGGTCTTTGGAACCGCCTACCCCGAACCTGTTGCGGCTGTTGCGTACGTAGAGGCTGTTGGCGCTCTACATTATCGGCCAGCCCTTCGCTCTCCCCATGTTTCGTCTCGGTTGTCTGAGGAGAATCATTCGGTGAAGTTGTCGAGCCACAATCTAGTTGTGAATCTGCTGGCTCAAACTGGTCCATTTGAGTCTGGAACGACGAGGGAGTAGAAAGTCCGGGCTGAGGTACTGCTTGAGTAGTTGCCAGCGATGAAGTATCAGGCTGCTCTTGGGTAATATTTTCCCCCTGCACTCCTTCCGTACTCGGCGAACTAGGCTCCTCATAGTCCTCTTCTCCTAGTATAGGTTTGTCAGGATTCTGTAACTCCTTAAAGAGTTTAGTAGACTCGGTCTGTTCGGGGGAACGCCAAAGCTTGGCGCCATCGAGATGAACAGATTGCGACCCCGTTTGTTTGGGGGGATAATTCTCCGACCATGGCTCTCCGAGAATATTTTCTGTGTGCTTATGGGACGAATCTAGCGGCTCAGGCCGTTGAACTTCAGCATCGGGCGCGCGTTCGATGTTTTCGTCTTCCTGGGGGTTTGAGCTCTGGCTTTCAACTACATGCCCTTCCTGTTGGTTCTGTTTTCTGGGCACATTCTCGGCGGCCTGTCCCTCTGCCTTGTCGTTTCGTTCCAAAATAGAGATTTCCTCCGCCGTACTCTCCGAAGTCACCGGATCCTTGACTACTTCCTGGACTGAAGATGATTCTTCGGATCGCTGAGAACCCGCAAAGGTCACCTTTGTATGGCTAAGGAGGCCTTTTCCGCCGTCGTTTCTCTTCTGGGCCTCATGGCTCTTTGTAAAATGGGTTATGGGCTTCTCGGCTTGGGGCGGTTGGTTTCCATCGTTCGGGCTGGCTTCGACTCTGAGTGTGTTGGTCCGACTAGCATCCTCCAGTGTTCTTTTCTTCTCAGCTACCACTCTTTCCTTCCGCTCGAGCTTTTCTTTCTCTTTTTGAGCTTCCTCTGCTCTCTTCTTCCGCTCGGCCTCCCTTTGCTCGAGATCTATCCTCTTCTGCTCTGCTTTATTTTGTTCCGCTTTTTCCTGTTCCCTCTTTCTAGTCTCCTTGAGCTTCTGCTTGGCATCCGCCGCCTTCTTTCTGGTTTCATATTCTTCGGCGGCCTTCTTCTTTTCCCTTTCTCTCCTCTTTGCATTTCTCTCTCTATTTTTCTGCTTTCTGATTTCTGCGTCCCTTTCGGCCTCCTCTCTGGCTTTGGCCTTCGGGTCTGGCTTTCGTTCGCTGCCTACGCTTGTCGCTAATGTGGTCGTTTCACCTGTAGCTTCTGTTTTCTGGATTGATTCGTTAAAATCAGTCTTGAACTCGGGATTAATCGATCGGTTGGCTATCTCCGAATCGGTCTTGCTAGGTGATGATTCATCAGCAGGTTGAGTTTTCTGAGATCCAATATTATAAGAAGAGGCATTATTAATCGGGGGCGTCGCGTTGGAGGTAGCATCGACGCTTGCCTTTGCCTCATTGCCCACTGCAGAACTCTCAGCTTCATCTGCGATGCAAGTAACTGGGACCGAAATTTTATCCTATAAAACTTCGGGACACGTTTCTTCACGCGAAGCCGATAATCTTACATGGGTTTCGTTGACTCTAGGCGGGCTTTCGGGTCCATTGACTTCGGTCTTTTCCCTTGTTGTAACATTGACTGCTTTATCGACGGCCAACTCTCCCGACTCTATCATTTTGTTCCTAAGGGTCCTCTTTAATAGCGTGGTTGCTTTCGTAGGGAAATCCGAGAGGACAAGAGCAGAACTGGCAGCATTTTCGCTTTTTGGTGCTTCAGGATTATTGGTTGGGTCCAATTCTTCCGCGGTGCCATCGTCGGTCTGGTCACAACTAGGTCGGGACCGTTCTATCCCCTTTACTAGCGCTGCTATTGCACGCAGTTGTTTATCGTTATTGACCAGCTTTAGATCTCCTTGCACAGTCGATGATGTCAGCCTATTTGTAGGCAGCTCGGTATTGTTCACATGGTTCGGAATAGGCGTTATTTGGTTGCCTTCCCTACTTTTTTGCTTCCTGTTTCTCTTCCCCCTTCGTAATAGATTCACTTCATTGGCTTCGGTATTTAGATCCCGATGAATTTGTTGGTCTGGAGAAGGATCGATTATGTGAACCTGCTGAGCAGCTGGTTGCGGATGACTTATTGCTAACAATGGCTCTGGAAGTTGAGGAGCCTGGCTCTTCGCACTCCTTAGCATCGTGTTCTCCTGGTATTTGTCCAGGTTCTCCCATAGGGTCTTGACTACTGATGCCATCGATCCTCCGCCTGGTTCATCCGATTCGAGAGGCCCCCAGTCCTTTCGCCTTTGAAATATTCCCTTGACTTCATCTCGTAAAGCGAATACGGTTAACATAGGCCGACGAATATTCTCAGAGGGTATCCCTATAGGGATGTACGCTTCAGGTCCAGGAAGTTCTGGATGATGCAGAGGACCGATTCTTAATGGAAATAACGCGGCGTTAGGTTGCTTAGGCTTCTTAGACTTGACCTCGGAACTTGGGGGCTCTTGGTCGACGTTTGTTTTATGCGCACGGAGCATCATTGTGTCGTAGTATAGGCGATCATTCTCCGATCGTAGGTCGTTCCCCTCGTATGATGTTGCATTAAGGATATTTTCTAACCCTAGATCGATGCCGGGGATGGGTTCGAATTCCCCTTTAGTGTACTTGTTTACTTCTATCGCGGGCGGAGTATCGATCGATTCTTCAAGATTTCCCTTGTCCGTAGAGGGAGAGTGGTCGCCTCTACGAATATTTTGGTATGAAGTTCCCGAGGGTTGCTGATCCATTGGCGCAGTGTGTGCAGAGTTTGCTTGGTTGTCTGTGGTTGGCTCTGAAGTTGAAGATTTATTTTCATTGGTGGGGTTCGCATTTTCACCAGTTGCCAGTTGGTTTTCCGCATTCTGTAGTTGAGGGCCCTGCGTCTCCGGGGTTACCGTGTTGGTGGGGTGTTTCTCGAGACCAGGAGTTTTCGTCAATACCCATACTTCATTAGAGTATGAATCTTGGGAGGAGGATGCGTAGATTGTTGTACTTTCTGTTGAATGGTCGTCCATCGCTGACATATCCTGAGGAATGAATGACTAAAATGTTGGTGTTGGTATGGGCAAGTAGCCAAAACGAAAAAAAGACAAGCGATTGTAAATATTTAGATATATCGATCTCGGTGGGTTGAAAACCTGGAGTGAATAAAATTCACAACGAAATAAATGATGGAGTTGTCACAGTATATGATGAAGCTTAACAAAATCCAAAATATGACAATTTATCTATCCACTGGAGGTCGTTGGGCGGGTATCACATGGCAAAAATTGGTAAAGGGAGTAGCAGTCGCGTTCTCGCCTAGATGGTGAAGGAAAGAGAAAAGGCGAATAAAAATATATATGAAATCACCGCGCACTTACTTGAAGCAGGAACTGGTTTTCTTTTAGACCTGCTTGTTCGTTCATCGACGGGGAAGGTCTTGTTTTATATATGTAAGGAAACAATACTACACGTTGAGGAAAGAGTAGTAGAAGGATATTGAAGTAGATGTATCAGGTTTTACCGTTCATTTACCTGTCTCTGGATGACATCTTATATAACGACACCGAATATTTGTTGAGCCATCTCTTTGAAGGCGGTGTCAAGCAACTGGGCAGGGGTCAAGGCCCTTTTACTTTGATCATATAATCATGCGGAAGTCTACGTTTGTCCGTTTTGACCTTTTTATAACATTGCTTCTACGAGAGATGAATTCTATTGCAATAGAATGCACTTTGGGGAGCTCCAGAGCCCATCTTCAGGCCACTTAGCTCGTGGAGATGCTTTCTAGTCTCCCTTTCGCCTGGATTTTCCCATTCTCGGGGCTGCCGTCCGGAAAATAGCTCGTGTTAGAGTTCTGTCACGGACGCAGGCACTTAACCTTAAAGAAAGGTTGAAGTCTATCAAGCAGGGATGGCCCGTGGGCAATGCATGGATATTGAAGCTTAAATCCCATCCCGCGTCCAGCCTTATACTTTATAGCTCTTTCTATTTCCGCTAGCATGCACTGACGTAATGAAAGCTTAATTGGTTTGGAATCAACAATTGACGTCAATGAACATTAACTGTAGAATGAAGACGGGGTTCTAGAATGGCATTTAGAACAGTTCTACAAGTTGTCAAGTACAGGATCGTTACCATTCAGTGTCAGCTGCCTAAGGCGTTGTATTTCACCTCACCTATAATATCACCCGCAATATTCGATTGCCATTGTCCCCAGCCTGTATGTAGCCCTTAAAGAAGAGAAAGAAGACTTGAACAAGTCCTTGAAAATTAATACGGCAGAAGATAAATCTGAGAGAGTTATGAAATACTACTCCTTTACTTACACCAAGCCTTTTTCTTATCTACGTACCTACCTAGGTACTGTAGGAAGATGCTTAGTCCCTGTGCCTAGCTTTTTGGGTATTTCCGTGCGCTAGGGCCAACGCTAGGGACTACCATGCAGCGTCTTCAGGGCGGTCCGTGTCGCTGGGACACAACTAAAAGGCACTTGAGCGTGATGTCGTCAGTGAAAATTTCAGCAGTAAACCACCAACCGGAAGCAGGCAGAATTTCACTCGGCATTTTCGGAATAGGGGCAAAAAGCGAATATTGTTAAGCTTCAACTGTCAGGAGAAAAAAAAGAAGAAAAAATCAGATAGGCTTTTCGATAGAGTCCTAACCCAAGAGACATAGCCACGTGTACGAATCGAAGACTAGTCCGTGCCATGGCCCGAATTGTTGCAAGCTCGGCAGATACGGCAATGGGTCCTTCAGGAGTATCCATTTTGTTGTTTAAGTTGACGGGGTATGGATTAGGTAACTGAATGAACACCAGCTGAAGTTGCCCACCACTTCAATTTCGGGTGTCATGATGCGCCAAAGAGGTCGAATTCAGACAGAATATAAGCAGGTAATCTTGAGGGATCTATCTCTAAGATGACGTGGACTCGGTAAGTCTGGGTAGGACGATATCCAATGCAAAAGAGATATTGGTACTTGATGTGCGTGATGTGATGTGACACTTGGATCAATTCAAGCTTTTTTGACACACCGTATTACAGCCCAACAACAGCGCTTGTAGATTCGTCGTCGCGGGTAGAATTACACTGACGTAAGTGAATTCATGCATAATGACCTGTGGATCACAGCAATCCCACTTCTTCACAAGATCTGAAACTTTTAACGAGCGATATTGTGTACTTACGTACACAATTAGATCTCGATGTTAGATGATCGTCAATGTGTATCGTATACTCACCCAGAAAACATGATAATTTTACACTGATTCACACGGATATGTAGTATGTAGGTGATGAATTACCCGTGCTGTTCTCCCTTCGTTGTCTCTCCCTACCAACAGACCTATCCCCCGTTAAACAAAGAAAATTACTGGGACTGGAGGTCGCCATAGCGGGACAAGACATGTACCTATTCTGAATTCTACGGTTGGATCCGCAAGCAACAAAGCCGAAACCAAACTAAAAAGGGTTCATCTATTCTCCCATTCGCTAGGCGTTCGTCGTAGCGGGATCGATCCCCTGTAATCTGAAGCTAGCGACCTGCCCAATCTCTACCAAGCTTTTCTGCCAAGAATTGGCAACGTGAAATTGGGGGCCCTGTTTTGGGAACTGGGGAACCCGAAGATCCCCAATCCTTCCCTGTTCCTTGCCCCTCGTTCCTTGGAGTATCAGTATCTCTCCCCTGAAGAGATCAAAGAGGGGTGATACTTACTTTGTACATCCAGTTGTAAGACTTATTCTATATAGGGAAAGGAAATAACACAAGCTTCTTCTTTTCGACAAGTGAAGGAATTCACTTAATTTTGGACCCTCACGCGCGTCGTCACCCTTTTGGACACTACTCGTGCCTAATGCCTGCTTATTCCCCTAGGTATGTATCATGTAAGGAAGGGGAATGGGTATCAATTGTGGGAAAAGGGGGAAGCGGGAGGCCTTTCAAATCGATCGTATTCACCGCCACATCCCCGTAAACCTGCATGTCATATATAAGGTCGGTGTGCTAATTCCAAGTCTACAGGTCAAGGGTAAGTAATTCACTTGTACAATTCAGGATAATCAGCTATGTCAGCTACCTATTACGTACTATAAGATGCTTCACTTACCAACAAGCTACCCCGCATGATGCATCCTATTTCATCTAATCCCATGTAGACTGTCCTGTCAGTCTACCTTGTAGTCTACAGTAGTGTACATAGATGTGACCTGTAGAGGAACGCTGCGCTGGAACGTGGGGTTCTACAATTGGAGAGCTTAGCTCCCTCCCGCGCCACCTTTGTATATCTTCCTCACACCTCTTAGCTACTTATTTATTATGTAGCGGATGTAGAGAGGTACTTATATGTAAGTAGGTCCGAGTCGATAACAGGTATTTAAGGATAATACGGATCTCCCTCTCCCCCTTCAACGATCCTTCAACTTCGTTCTGACCCTCTTCGCTTTTCTGTCTGTGTAACATACACTCCCTAATTTCATAACACATATACCTAGGTGTTGACGACATTTGCCCTACCGCGAAAATGGTGCATTTAGCAAGGGTACCTACCGAGGTAGAAGTCAAAAACAACAACTTGCCCGAAGCTGTCAAGAAGATCAGTCTCCAACTCAGCAACGATGAAGATAGCTTCACAACTAGCGTCTACGGCTCCAAATTCGCCGCCGAGGATCTCCCCAAGCACGAGATGCCCGAGGGTGAAATGCCCAAGGACATTGCATACCGCATGATCAAAGATGAATTGAGCTTGGACGGCAACCCGATGTTGAAGTAAGTACAATTATAGCCGCATATATGCATAATCTCCTGATTGTGCTTCCATGCGGTCTTCTAGAAGCGTCACCTGAAAAAAATAAGGCGAAATTAGTGGGCTGACGAGCTGACGATTGATTTTCACCGGTGTAGTCTCGCCTCGTTCGTTACGACTTACATGGTACGTGGGCAATTTCTTGGAAGTCTTGGCTTAATCTCAGCTTCTGCTAGTATTGGTGGTGGTGGTGTTACATCACATAGTACCTGCAAAGTGGATGGGATGTACCTATGTAGCCAGTCAGTCATAAGAACAACTTCGCTAACCCCTAACTCCGTCGAATAGGAAGAAGAAGCTGAGAAGCTCATGGCTGAGAGCTTTTCGAAGAACTTCATTGATTACGAGGAGTACCCCCAATCGGCCGATATCCAGAACCGATGTGTGTCTATGATCGGTCGGCTTTTCAATGCGCCTGTGGATGGCACTGAGGGCGGTGGTGCTGTGGGTACCTCATGTGTTGGTAGTTCCGAGGCTATCATGCTGGCCGTCCTCGCCATGAAGAGGCGTTGGAAGAACAAGCGCCAGGCCGATGGCAAGTCCACCGAGCACCCCAACATCGTCATGTCCTCAGCTGTTCAAGTCTGCTGGGAGAAAGCTACACGATACTTCGAGGTCGACGAGAAGCTCGTCTACTGCACACCCGATCGCTTCGTTATCGACCCCAAGGAGACTGTCGACCTTGTTGATGAGAACACAATTGGTATTTGTGTCATCCTAGGTACTACCTACACCGGCGAGTATGAAGACGTTAAGGGCGTCAATGACTTACTCGTGGAGAGGGGTCATGATGTCCCTATCCATGTTGATGCAGCCAGTGGTGGCTTCGTCGCGCCATTCGTCGTTCCCGACTTAGAATGGGATTTCCGATGTGAGAAGGTCGTTTCTATCAACGTTTCCGGTCACAAGGTAAGTCGTACACTATATCTAACCCTTCATCGGCTTCCCTACCAAATCATCTAACAACAAAATAGTACGGTCTAGTCTACCCCGGTGTCGGTTGGGTCGTATGGCGAGATGCAAAATTCCTACCTCAAGAACTCGTCTTCAACATCAACTATCTCGGAGCCGACCAATCTTCCTTCACCCTCAACTTCTCCAAAGGCGCAAGTCAAGTCATCGGTCAATACTACCAACTAATCCGCCTCGGCAAGAAGGGTTACCGCGCTATCATGTCCAACCTAACCCGTACCGCTGACTACCTCTCCGAAGCGCTCACCGCACTAAACTTCGTAATCATGAGCAAAAAATCCGGCGAAGGTCTACCCCTCGTCGCCTTTCGCCTGCCGGATCTACCCGAAGGCGCACCAGAACGGACCTACGATGAATTCGCACTGGCGCACAAGCTACGCGCGCGCGGGTGGGTAGTCCCCGCGTACACGATGGCGCCGCATACAAACGACTTAAAAATGCTGCGTGTGGTCGTGCGCGAGGACTTTACTAAGAACCGATGCGACGCGCTGATTTCTGATATCCGGTATTGCCAGCAGTTGCTTGATCAGCTGGATAAGGAGGGTATTGCGCGACAGGAGGAGTTTATTCGTAAGCATGCTATGAATAGTGGACAGGCTAAGCATAATCATCCCCGTTTCCGCGTAAGTATTCCCTTGCCTTTCCCCTCCCATTCTTTTTGGAGGTTGGGAAGTTGGGTGTGTGGCTTATTGGTGAGATATAAACTAATACGTGGCATCAACAGAAAGAGAAGCATTCGATCCAGGGTAAACACGGGAAGACGCATTCCATTTGCTAGAACCTGCCTCCCTACCCAAGCGCCTGGGGGTATTTCGGTGTCTTCGAATTTATCAGTGGTATGAAAAGGCAGTGATATAGTAGAAGCATGGGCCAAATTAGACGGACATATAGAATTCCTTATGGAAACAATTTCTCGTAGGAGGGTTGCATGATCATGACGGATATTATGACGGATGAGTGGCGATGATGTTTACCCCTTTTCTTATACCTAGAGGGCAGCCGATAAGAATAAGAAAAAAATCTTTTAAATATCAAATAAATACGACTGTCTTCCTGTTGCTAAAACTATATATACTGGGTATCTATGATTCTATTTTCCGCTTAAAAATAACTCTTACTACGATCAAAGAAAGCCTTGCTTCTCCTTACCAGCACTCATGCTGTAAGAACGCCGATAATTATAGCTAGATGAAGGAGTCAATTCACGGGGAGTCGCTCGCTCGATACACCGCTGAAATTTTATATAAAGGGGGTGTTGGTTCAAGTTCGGAAAGTACCTCGATGCAAATAAGGAAGCGTTGGTAACAAGACGCGAATCCAAAAGTATAGGATAATACGGCTAATCAGGGCCTTTGTGGGTTAGATTTAACGTCGTGGATAGCCTGATTCCGACTACTCTTGATTTTCCCTCCATTTATTCATGAAAGATCGCAGATGACTCCTATTCAGAGCTTCCCCTGGTTCTTCACCAGCACCATTCGTATTAATCATCATATCCACCCCCCTGGTGCGAAATATATCTCCAATCCCCAGTAAATCCCTGGACTTGGGCCGTCGTTCGGCTGGTAGGCCTGGGTTGGACGAGTCGCAGGAGTCATTACCTTCGCCGACGGGACCCGTATTTATTCCAGTATCGTTTTCCGCTCCGTGCGCGCCCCAGTCCACCCATCTCCATAGGTACTTCCAGCTGTGGCCAAAGAGTAGAGCTCCCTGTGGTGTTAAGTCGAGGTTTAAGCCAGAAAGACTTTTAGAGTTTCTGTCCCAAAATTGGGACAATGGGGGCGTCGGAGGTGGGTGTAGCTCTTGGATACGTTTGGGCTTCCTTGCGGGGACTATGGCGCAGTTACATGGCTCGAAGGTCTTGTCTGGGGCATGCCAGTAGATGCTACCAACCGACCTCAAAGGGCTTTCGTTTTCGCGTCCCCATTTATCTAGAATATTCTGCCACTCCAAAACGCAGACAGCGAGAAAATCCCTTCCTTTAGGAATTGGAACATTAGCAAAACAAGCGTCACACCCGATTGCCCTGTTTTGAGCCGGACGTATTAAGTCTCCAAATCCAATCCCAAACAATGTGATAGCATTTATTTCTCTCAACAGGTCAACCCAACCTCTGCCGGGTGTTTGTAGGAATGCGACTCGTGGCCGCAGTTGGCCTTCGTCTGTAGCGATGTCTATGAAGTCGAAACCTTCCAGTTGACGGCGTGTAGTAAATTTGAACTTGAAGCTTACTCCGTCCTGTGTAGAAATCTGATCCTGATGCGCCGTGATTTTTTCTAAAGTATCGCAGATACTTTCAATTCTATCTTTCAGACAATAATTCGTCTTTGTCTTGCTAAGCTTACTCGTTCGTGAGCCTGATTCATTAGTGCTTGTTTCCTCCAGGTGGGTGTCCGGTTTCGCATATAAAGGAATTTTCAAGTTTTCCTCATTAGTCAAAATGCTAATCGACGCTGCTTGGCCAGTATGGGGCGTGGATGATTCGTGTAGAGAAGATTCATTATAGAGGCAGAGAGACTTGAAGGGGTCGTTTAGGCTGTGCCTCAGGGATGCACGGACTAGGTGTAGTAAAGCGCTCGCACCATCGACCAGATAAGCCCTCCTTTCTTGTGCATCATACAACGCCACGAACTGCTTCGATATTCGTTTAAGGCGCATGGTGTAATCCTTTTGAGCCTCGGCGCCTAAACTTTTCGCTTTTCTGAAGATGGTGGCAGAGGCGCTAGGAGTAACGTACATCCCAGCAGATATCGTAATTCTGTCGAACACACAGCCGCCACTAGGCTCTTCCAGTCTGGAGCGGCTGATAGCATAGTTAGCATCAGGGGAGCCTAAAAGAAGTGTTAGATCTTTCTTGTCCGCGACACAGTAGGATTATTTATCCCCACCTGCGTAATTTGTAACTTCAGTACACCAACCAAGTATATGTCGGGATCTTTCGATATCATCAACGCTTAGGCCTCTCGGATACTGGTTGAAGAACCCTTTCACCCTGGCATCCGCATATGATATATACCTTCCATCCTCATTGGAGACCATGTGCCAAAACACAAAGCCTCCTTGTCGTCTCGTTGGTACAAGGATGGTAGAATAACCCTTGATGAGCATATGCTCAGAGAAGAAGTTGATCTTATTGGTATTCACCAGCTGCGTCATCATAATTAGCGGCATTTCCAGTCCGCTGTTGCGACATGGACGTCGTGGCGTAGGATATCCCGTGACTAGAACTTCATTTTGGAACATATTGGTCCAGCATTCCCCGGTTTGTGATAGGTCGTCCGGCGTATGCACGTACTTGACGCAGATAGGCTGACACATTCCCAAATTACCCTCATGGCAGACTCTTGCCTGAATATTCATTTTACAAGAAGGGTATTGGCAAATTATGCCCTCGCTAGCTTTGGGTGAGCTCAGACAAGTGCTGAACCAAACCAACACTTCGATGACATCAATGATAGAAGCCGCGGAGCCCGTTATGGTTACTGTGTAATACGCACAATCTTGACTAACAATAGCGGACAGCAGAGTGTGGTCCGATAGGGTGTCTACGCAGTTTATAGTTAACCAATGGTAAGATAAACAAGGCAAGGGACAGGTACTTACAGAGGCAAGTACCCGAAGAGCCTTGGCGGAGTAAGGATTTATGAAGATCGAGAATTTGGGTCCCGATATCCGGCCAGACTAACTGTACATATTGTAGACAAGTCGAAGCCCATGCCTGGTTCACAGCACCGGTTAAAACAACGATATTATCGATTACTTCGTATGGTGGAGCCTCAAAGTCTTGCTTTTGGAAGAATTTAATAATCCAAGGGGCTTGGAACACTATATTGTATTCCGTGCGGTGTTCCCTGTCACTCGTCGGAAATGGGAGGTTTAAACAGCTTTGCAGAATTCGCGTTTGCACTTTAGTTTGTGCATTATGAGAGGGGGCCTCCAGCTGGGCCCCTCTTGATATTGAATTAAGAAGCCATTTGTAGGCTGGTGACTGCAAGACGTTGTTCCTGGTGACATGGAAATCCTGCTGAGTCAGCTCGGAGGCTAGGTATTTACGCCATTCACCATTATCTGTTTCTTTGGCCTTGATCTCATTACGGCCGAGCCTATCAAACCGTTCCTGGAATTCTACCTGGGCTTGGGTTCTCTTGGCGTTGATTTTGTCGATGATGATGTCGATGATTTGTCTAATCCATTGTTAGCTTTTTACTAGTCTACCAATCAATGCGAACTAGGCACTTACGATTCGTATATAGGTATGAAATCTAGGAGGAATTGTTGCGATTTCCTGGTCGCATTTAGGTCGTGTAGAGTTGTAAATGTAGGCAGTAACAGAGGGAGAGCGGATAGAAGTGCACACAATTGGTCTATTTTAAAGTCATCGAAAAATCTAAAATCGAGGGCCTCGACCAATGGTGGAACATCTCGATACAGGCAACGACGTGGGTTGTAACTAGTCGGGGGGCCGGGAAAGGGGAGCGAGTCGCGGAAATCAAAATGCCTGTATATCCTGTCCCACTGCTGTAACACACTTGGGGATTGGTCATGTATTGAGCTGATATGTGAGTAGTTAGTGATCACTTTTACAAATGCGCGCGATGTGGGCTTATTTGTAATACCCGTGGCTCTGCACAAAACTAGGATGTTCTTCGATGTTTTGTGATGTATTTGTATATTGCTGAACGTTGTTCTCTGACCTTCTGACTCGGGAGGAATCCATAATGGGACGCGTTGAACAAAATCATGGAATAATGGTAATGTGAAAATGTGTTGTTTTTTTTTTGGAAAGCTGTAACTGGTCTTATGAGTGCCTACCTAGGTACCTAGGCAGTGGCTGTCGTAAAGTATGCAGGCCATTCATTGCTACCCAATCGAATTGCTAATTGGTGAGAAACCAGTGTCAGACTCGGTAAGCCATCATGGGCTCGGTAGGTTTTCAACTGCTTTTTGGATCCGTTTTCATTATCTACCTCATCGGTTATCGTGATATACCGTTCCGTCTCCTGCCACCTGATTTGCTCCTCTCGACATGATTTTTGAGAATATTCCTGGTTGCCACGAGACTTCGCTTCTGCTTCGACTTTGCCTTGCCTAAAGTCATCATAAAATTTTTCCTACGCGCCTTCTCCTTATTGGTCGAGGACTTGCCCTCTGCCTCCTTTTTGGATTTTCGTATAGCTTGCGTAGACTTATGCTCTTCGCGGTTCGGCTTGCCTTCTTTAGCTAATGCTATCCTTTCCTCTTTGGTGCTCTTGCGTAGTTTGGCTGGAGCTTCGATCTGCTCCGCCGTTAATCCCTCGTCAACATGCCGTGATTCCATCTCTTGCTTCCGTTTTCGGCTGCCCATAGCCTTGTCGATATTGGCCTCCATCCGTAATTCGCGGAGCTTAGCTAAGTCGGCTGGCGTAAGAATTTGAGTCGTGGCCAACTTAAGGAAATCCACAGCCTCATCTCCTACGTTTTCTTTATCGTCTTCGGGATTTTCCGAATCAACTTTCTGCTTCTTCGGCTCAGGTTCTGCCTCATCTTCCGAATCGCTTACCCGAATCCACTCTCCGGAATCACTACTGTCATCCGATGCAACTTCCCAATCGTCAGAATTCCACCCATCCTCTTCGTTTTCACCGTTTGGTTTTTCGGCACCTTCCGTTCCTTCAGGTAATCCCAATTCGGCGCGTTTCCGCTTTTTCTGTTCTTCCTTCCATTTCGCTAGAAGTTCGAGACCTTCAATTTCCCCAACTTCCTCTTCGCCGTATCTTTGTTGTTTTAGGTCACCGCTTTTAAGTCCTATGGTCGCGTCCTTGCCACGGTCTTTCTTCCTTAACATCTCTGCACCCTTTTCACGATAAAGTGAAAGTAAACCTTTCGCAGCCATCATAACTCCCTTATCCTTGCTCTTTCTGTACTCAACCAAATCTTGTAATAGTGTCTCATTCATCGCCAGCGGTTGTCGAGCACAAATCTCACGAATGGCATTGAGACCTGCAGAGCAAACTTCCGAAGCCGATGCTTCGGACACAAACTCGTTTGCGATTTTTTGTATCAAGGGCTCGATCGCATCTGGTGGTACTAGGTTATGCGTTCCCTGAGCGAGCGACGCTAGGAAAGATGAAGCGGATTGTTGCCTTGGAGTTAGGTATTTTATGAACCAGGAGTAGAGGGAGATGACAGTCAACTTGTGCAAACCCACTAGTCGTGTAACGAGTTGTAGAATCAGAACTTTGCTTTCCAGAGATAACTTCGACTTCGAGTTTTGAAGGTGTTTCTCAAACAAATTCTCACTAAAGCCTTGGGGATCTTGTAGAAGATGTAGAGCTGAAAAGTTGAGAGGGTGTGGCGCATTCTTCTTGCGATCCTGCTTTTTTACTCGGTCTACCGCCCTTTCGAGAGCTTTTTTGGACTTTTTCGTTTTTTTGTTGATTTCAACCAAGTGCTTAACTTTTTTGATGTCAACAGTTTCTTCGTCGCTGCTCTCGTCTTCAAACTCTTCTCGCTCCTTGTCTCCCCCAAGGAAGAATCTTACGCCTCCTACAATCACCTTCTCATTGTCCGCTAGACAAGCTTGGCGCATAATATCAACCGTCTTAGCATCCGTCCATATTTGGCGCCTCCATAGCTCTCGTACTAGTTTTACAGCCCACAATGCTTTCGGCGAGGATCGATCCGAGGTAACAAGGTTGTAGAGGACGGTTTGTATGGTTCGATTGACTTTGTGATTCGTTGTTTTTGTGTTCGTATTTCGTATGTCGCTTAGAATCTTCTGGTATAAGATCATTCTTAGGGATTTGGAGGGGGTGCTGATGAGGATGGGAAATAGGGTAGTGAGAAGATAGTTGCTGTCGATGACATCTTTCCGTCTTAGGAGGGTAAGACTAGATACTATCTTCTCTCGTAATGTCGGTTCTAATACGGCGTGGTGTTTGGTGAGGACATCCTTTAGGGAATCGGGAAATGTAGCGGTAATTTGAGGATACAATTCGGCACAATGGGCAACTATTAACATATTAAGATCATGAGCTCAGAGTCGTGACAGAGGAAGTCATGAAATACTCACTGAGATCTATTTGTTCTCGGAAGGTAATGAGGGAATTCGAATCAGCGCCGACGGGAGCGGCTAGGAACTTTTCGTGAGCGGCATCGAATTGTTGCCAATTCTCAATGAATTCTTTTTCATATGCGCTGCAGACAAATCAATTAGACAGCAGAACCAACGTAGTGAAGACAAATATACATACTCTGGATCTTTTCGGATCTTATATTGAAGTCCGGCAAGATCTGCCTCGATCTTCTCGAGGGCGGCGACCTTTCTCTTACCCATCGTAATGCCGACCGTGGTAACAAAACGAGTGTGAAGAGTGTTTGTAAGTGGTGAGGGTGTCGCAAATAAAAAAAAAAAGAACGGTCCCCTGTAGGAATAATTTCTTATCACTATCGTTATCTTATCGTCATTAATTCCCAAAGTTATGGGTCTTGTGGGGTATCTCTAGCGTATTTAGGCTGGAGTTTATCCCCTGGACTTCTTGTCCCCCACCATCTTCAACCACCTAATATTTCGCATTAGAACGCTTGCCCATTATCCGTCCACTCTTCATCATGATTAATCTTGTTGAATGTGTTATAGACTTTTAAGACTGCAAATCGATTCGCATTTCTCATATTCCCTAACTTGAGAAATTAATAAGTCAATCAAAATTTTATCGAAACGACAAATCGGAATCGATTGCTGAGAAGAGCAATGCTTCTACTATATCGCCTGTTGTCCACAGGTGGAACGATATAGCGAGAAGAACACATCAATATGACACACATATAGCAATTTTCTTATTTCGATCCTATATGCAATTTCTCCATTTCTACCTTGTAATGTTTTATCGTGCTTCTATATACTACCAAGGTAGTCCTTATCTTCCATCTAAGTAGAAGAAGAAGCAGCCTTAGCATCCCCCAAAATGTCGTCCGTCGCCTTCTCCGCGAGCATGAATACAGGACAGACCGGGAACGCACCAGGTACCGCCGGGAAAGCAGAAGCGTCGACTACACGCAAATTCTTAATACCATGGACCCTAAATTTCGAGTCTAACACCGCCAACTTATCCTCAGCAGGGCCTATTCCGCACGTGCTTGTGGCGTGGTGTGAGTAAGTCTGCAGCTTCAGGAATTCCTTCTGTGCTTCGTCCGTGCAATTCTGGTTCTCGCCGGGGCAGGGATGCTTCTCATTGAAGGGCGCGATAGGTGCGCCAACCGATGTGATTGCCTTCCGGAATATCTTGGCAGCATCTAACATCTCAGTCAAATCCTCATCTCCATTGTCCTCGAAGAAATTGAAGTTAATCTCTGGAGGCTCTTGTGGATCAGCCGAGAGTAAATGAACATAACCTGCTTGCGATCGTGGGTTCATGTGAACGAAAGCACATTCATATTGCGATGGGCCGTACTCAGTCGGGTATCCGGGCCAGAACCCTTCAAAGGAGAAAGACTTGCACCAGCCGTAAATGTTGCGGTTCTTACGCGCTGTGGGCGTTTTCAGCATCACTGCAATAGGCCCCGCTGAAGATCCATTCAGTGCCTTGCTAGCGAGTGCCAGCACACTTCCCTCGTAATTGTCGGCTAATTTCTCACCCACACCGGGAAGGTCCTTAACAACTGGAATGTCGAATTTCTTCAACTCTTCAGCAGGACCAACACCACTAAGCTTGAGGATTTGAGGCGTGTTAAACGCTCCACCGGAGACAATGACTTCCTTATTGGCGAATAGCTTAACAACCTCTCCTTTGGTGTTATTGTAGCGAGGATCCGCCTTGTATAAGGAGGGACCACGGAGAACTTCAACTCCGATTGCGGTTGGTTCCTTAGCATCCTCGGAAAACAAGATCTTAGTAACGAGACTCTGAAGCTGGACTGTTAAGGGGAACTTGGCTGGGTCATCTAAAGTCGCCCGAACATATGTGTTCGTACCAACGCGATGTCCAGTCGGATCTGCGTGGCTAGCAAGCCCGAAAACACCGGTAGCTTGGTCTCGATCCGGGTCAAGCGAATTGATGTCCCGCGTCACCTCCCCACCGACTGTCTTAATTATGCTATTTGCGATAGCTTGTACATCGGATGATTGTTGCATAAAAGCTGGATCGCTTATTGTCACGTTGAGGTAGCCGGTATATCCATGACCAGGGGTATCGGCTGGCACATATTGGGCCGTTTCTATCCTCTCGAAGTATTGTCGCATATTTTTCGCCAACCAGGTATCATCTCCGGTCTTCTCGGCGATCGCGTCCCAGTCGTCATCGGCGGGTAATGAGCAAACACCACCGTTATGCATCGCGCAGCCTCCAAGTGTAGCCGAGCGAGGGTAGTAAATACCCAACCGTTTCGAGCCCTCGGGAGGGTCCAGACCAACATAGAAGGATCCGTCGGGTTTCCGCCATGTGGTGTGTTCGTATTTACCCTCGCGTTCTTCGTCCGAAGAGTGCTTAACGAAGAAGTCCCATCTCGATTTCTCGTCGTTGGCCGCGAGATTGAAGTTGGCCATCTCCGAATAGTTCTTGTTGTTGCCGAGGTCATCACCCGCTTCTAACAGCAAAGTTGGGTATCCCGCCCGCGCAAGGTTGGCTGCGAGAGGCGCGCCACCAGGACCCGATCCCACGACGATATAGTCATAATCGGAAACAGCAACCGCCTGCGCGACGGCTCCAGTGACGGCAAGGAGCCCTAGCGTCAAGAGTTGCCTTGCCATATTTGGTGTTCGAGTTGCCTCAGGATACCCCAAGTTTCGTGGCGAGTGCGAGTGTGAAGCAGGCCCTTATATACCATCTATAAGAGTACCCTGACCACCGGCCTCGCTCCTTGGAGAAGGCCCAGGCCCATGCCACCTTCATATCGTATGCGGAGTAGTTAAGGGCGTTATCCCCAACGAGATTAAATTAATATGATAATACAAATATGTGATGAGTTGCCATTGATAGCTCTAATTAGGTCTGGCTAAATGGATAGTTGGAGAAGGGCCTTGGGGGGTTCATGAAGAACCCGGTTGGGGGGTCTTGATGGCATATTGATCTTATTAACCGACAGGCTAGATTTCTTGCGGCTGATTAAGAACATGCGAAATGGGAGACTCGGAAAGTCTATCATTATCCGTGTGATCTAGCTCATACGATCGACACGCCGTCAGCTCGGACTAATATATGTGATTATCTGATGAATTGATAATCGCTGACTTTGGTCTAGCCCCTATTTATATGCCTTTCCGCTGGGACTACATTCGTTTCAATGATATTGGGGGCATTGGATATTATAGGCCCTCCCTGATTAGGAACAGAGTGGTTTCAATAAGTAGCGATTCTATTCCAATTTGTGATAAGATCATGCTGAACTCGTATGGCTAAATGATACAGCGATAACCCAACCCAACCTCAGGGTATCTACATGGTAAGCTTATATACACGATTCTCTTTACAGTCTCGCTCCCTATTCTATCCACTTCTCTAGCTCTTTTTCAGTCCAATCCCAGAGCTGACCTGGGAGATCAGGGTCCTTACTCCTCGCCGTCTCCATCTTAGACAATTTGCCAACGGGTTCATAAAACGCACCCGGTTTAAGGGAGTCTCGCGGCGCGCTAATGGCGAATAAATGGTTGAAGGTTCCCTGCTCCGGCGTCAAGACTTGACCAAGTTGGCTCACGTAGACGATACCCTTGTCGAGAAGACCTAAGTCGCTAACGAGACTTGTGCTCACGACACCAGGCGTCAAACTGAAAGAAAGTACCTTCGGATACCGTCGTGCTAGTTCTCGCGCATAGAGTAGGTTGGCCAACTTGCTGTGGCTGTAGCGCATCCACCGGCCTAGGTGGCCTTTTATGGTAGTTTTGAATCGATCAAACGGCAGACTACCACCACCCCACGCTGTGCTCGTCGTGATGATGACGCGCACGTCGGCGCCAGGCAAATCAGCTGTTCGCTCGAGGAGTGGTAGCAGCTTTTTGGTTAGTAGCGCATGTCCTAGGTGGTTCGTTGCGAATTGAATTTCGTAGCCATCTGCGGATAGGCCTTCGGGTTTCGCCACTTGATTGTCCGGTTAGCGATGGCTTTTCGAAGTTATTTGATAGCACGCGACTCACTAATTCCAGCATTGGCCAGGAAAACATCAAGACGATCCGTTTCAGCAAGGATCTTACGCGCGGCTTCATTTACAGACGCCATGCTCGCTAGATCGCATTGTATGAAAGAGACTGGGGCGTTTGGGGCCGCCACCTGGGCACGCTGAATAGTAGACTCCGCAGATTTCGCATTGCGACCCGTGAAGAAAATCCGACCCGGATTGTGCTTTACAAGCTCCACGACTAATTCAGCACCAATTCCACCAGTGCCTACGTATTCGATTAGCATTCATTCATTCCACCGGGAGACGCTTCTTACCGCCCGTGATGAGAATGACTCGCCCGGTTAAGTTCGGGATAGTACTCTTGTCGAACGTAATGTTAGTGTTGGTCATTTTTGCACCTGGTCTATATCGAGCAATGGAAGGCTAATTTCAATTGGAGTCTTTAGGTATCTGAAGGTGAGTTATTTCCATGACTATTATTTCTACGATACTTATATATCTGTGTAAATGTCTAGAATTAAGGAATGCGGTGATTGAGGATAAATCAAGAACCCGAACCCTCAAATAACTATCCGAGCGCGATGTTAAAGTTAGTAACATAATGGTCTCTATATAGAAAATCGCATTACTGATATCCAATCCTTAGGCAACATACCCGGTGACGTGCTCTACTTATGTGGGAAACTACCCAGGTATATTTTAGCTGAGGCTTCCATTCTAAGTGCACTGGAAGAGACCTACCCAGATCAGTAAAGTCTTATATTATTAAGAAAAATCGGATGGATCCCCGTTCCGGTACAGAACATGTCAGTCCACATGTTCCCCGTTTTTAGCGGGACGGGCCAACGTTGAGGCCGACTGTGCCACTATTCAATGATACCCTACAACGGCACGTACTATTTAGCAAAGGAATCCAATATCTTCACCTATGTTTTTACACTTCCCTATTATTGGTTAAAGCATCCTTGATTCTCCTACAAAATGACGGTAGCATTTCCCCGGAAAGGGGTGAGTATTCGGGGCGAGTGGGTCACAGTGAGATTCTTGACGAATAGTCCGACCGCTACAACGATTCAATACTACGCAGCTAAAGTAAGCGATATCTTAACTAAGGTTACGTTAGGAATAAAAAGAATGCATGTTGGTAGCAAAAAAGTCGGCGGGAGGCTGTGCAAGCCTGATGATGCATCATGAAACATAGCGATTTCGACAGCAAGGAACCCCGCCTCCTATCTAGGTATATAAGAACCTTCTAGTTAGCAGGGGATCATATTATATGAGTTTCCCAATGCACTTTCTCAAGAAAATCAGCTCGTTGAGGTTGCCTCGAGGCGATCATGTCCGGTATGGCACACAGTCCGGGGAGAGTATCCATTGGCCCTATTTCAACAACAGCCGGTTCAAAACTCACCCCTGAAAGCCGACGAGCAGTACTCGAGAAGATAGACTCAGCATTCTTTTCATTCCAACAAGAGCCTGTCTATGAGCTGCTCGATGCGCCAACTGGTGAGATTCGGCTCCTCGAGATATTGCCTATACGATATTGGATAAACGAGACAGTACGCTGCCGACTCTATAAAACACGCTTAGTAGATGTCCTATTTCAATATGCAGCACTGTCCTACGTCTGGGGCGATGAGCAGAAAACCAAAAAGATCTTCATCAATGGAAATCAGTTTTATGTTACGGTCAATCTCGCGTCTGCCCTAAGACGTATCCGAAACAGTGAGACTTTACAGGTTCAGAAATGCAGTGGACCCGGCTCGGTTCATGATGGCGATACTTACGAGACGGTACCACTTCATTGCTTGCCGATATGGGCTGATGCTGTATGTATCAATCAATCCGACCCGGAAGAATTAAATAGCCAGGTCCGTTGGATGAAATATATCTACAGCAAGGCCGCTAATGTCATCTCGTGGATTGGCGAACCTGATGAGCGGCGTATGGACCTATGCTTCGGCTTTTGCGCAATTTCAATGAAGTACCAACCTATTCTTCCCACGATGCTGAAGCCCGCTCCGACGTAGAGCATATCCTAGAGAAGGTTATGAACGAGCCCCATCTGTCTTGGGTGGATGACGAAGTCGAGGACGATATAAGAAACCCACATTGGCGCGCCCTAAAATCACTTCTCACCTGCGAGTACTGGGACCGTATCTGGATTCAGCAAGAGGTTTTTTTATCCCGTTCGGATAAGACGAACATAATTGTCTGCGGCGATAATCAGACGTCCTACTTCGAGATTAATAACTCAGTTAATTTCCTCTTGATGGTTCTAGCAATTTATGGCCACTCCTGTCCATTGAATATGAGCCGGAACTTGTGGTCCAGGACGATTTATGGATTTCGCTTCGTCAATCTTTATGTCCCGGGCAAAGACAAGACAAATGATATATCTCGTAAATTCTTAATACACGCCTGTACCTGTAGGGCTACAAATCCTAGGGACTACGTCTATGGACAGGTAGGAATGCTGGATGCTACGCTCGATATTGATTATAAAAAATCGGTCAGACAAGTATACTTGGATTGGGTATACTATTCCTCCGAGAACGGGACATTCGACATTGAATGATACCTTCTCTGGGCGGGAACTGGGCTCCATGATTATGAGAATCGATACAATTTGCCATCCTGGATGCCTAATCTAGCTAAATTGACGCCGATTGGCGTTACGATTAAGGCCCTCGAGGTAGTAGACCTACGTCAAATGTTTCACGTACCTTCATTGCGAATAATGGATGGTATTCTGAACATCTACGGCGCTATATGCTACGAGGTCAGACGAGTTATACACCCGGAGCAATTACCCATCTGCGATATGGAAATAATGTTTATATCGCCCGAAATACTTCAATTTATACACCTGTGGATACGAGTTATAAATAACACGGACGAGATTACATACAAAGGTAGTAAGGTGTCATCTTTCGTGGCCCTTATATCCACGTTGTTTAACATCTTCCCGGACCCATTCGAAAAAGATCAACCACTCATGGACAGTTCATTATTTATCGATCTTTTCCGCGTATTCTTCGTAGATCAGGTTGATCGTGTGAGGGAATTCGTCAACGATCCGGCATTTCCCACTTCCGAGGCTATGCAACTCCTCCGAGATGAGCTGGGAGAAGGAGAATACACTTTCTGTGAAGACCTTGACACTCACAGAGCTTTTAATTCCCAGATGAAAAAGGTAGTTACTAATGCAATTTTGTGTACAAAGCGTTCCATTATCCATACGAGTTGCAAGAATTTAGGTGCAGGGCCACGTGGAGCACTTCCAGGCGACCAGATATGCATCTTGGACCAATGTTCCCTTCCAATGATTCTCAGGAGAGTGGGCGAGAGTTGGCAATTTGTTGGTCCGTGCTACATCTACGGCCTATCTCCGCACGAGGAGGTTGAAAGGGTCAAGAAAGGAGAGTTGAAGCTTGAAGAATTCAGAATCCACTAGTACCGGGATCTTGACTTGCGAGAGGAATATCGTATCTTTGTTGATTGTTGGTGTAGTTCAGCTACCTAACACTCCGGCTATTGATGATTATGATGTGTTTACCTAGGTACTGAGGTATGAATGAATTCTTATGTCCATTTAAATCTACGACGGAATCATCTATACTGGCAGTTACACTGTATCTGTTTGGATAGGTAGTATACAGCCCCTCAAAAGCGGATAAAGATGGGTATAGAAGTTCAATGCATAGCCATCCAAGTAATAGACCTAACGAGCTTTCCCATCAACTATCCAGACAAGCATCTAAGCATAAGGTCAGGGACGATATCCAATTCCCTGGAGAAAATAGCAATGTGCTCTATGGAGCCCACGCAATCGGCCGTCGTATTCGAACCAGTCACTCGCGAAGCTCATAAAGTATAGCTATCACTCACGGATTCGAATATCTAGTTAGTATAAATTTAGAAAATATCTGCTAAGCATCCCATTGACTTGCCAAGCAAAGCCCTATAACAATATCGACTCACCGGTACTCTCGTTTCCCTCGCATTTTCAAGCTTCTCCAATTATCATTGAATTCCATATACCTAGGTCCACCACCTTGTCAGCCAAAGGTGCAGATCATTAACATGAACCGTATCGCTGAAGACAATCAGTCTTGTCTTTTTCTTGTCATTACATAAGGGTTCGCGCCCTACGGAATACATGGTCACAATGAGTCAAAGTTGTTCCAGCGTCGCCCGCAGTCCAGAGTTCAGTCGGTGTTCAGATCGAGATTGATTTTCATCAGCTTGTGACCCCAAAGTGAAGTAAGGCAGACTACGGAAGGACAGAACATAGGGAAATAGGAAACAACGTAGGTATATGCTCAACTATAAAGGTCTCGATAGGCCGCAAGATACTTAGCTATGTTTACTCTCCATTAATAAAAATTCGGACTTCAGCATCTAACGACAGCCTCTTTTGAACACATAAACATCCCGCCCCTATATAATCCAACATGAAGCTCCAAACAGTCCTTGCTCTCACCACAGCCACACTCAGCGTAAGCGCTGGGAAGTTTTTAGACCCAACTTTCTACGCGCGTGAAGTCGCCCCTCGCGAGTCCTCACGTATCGAAGACTACCGGGCTGCCCATGTGGGCAATCTTACACCGGAGCAAACCATAGTCCTCGACGACATCCAAGCTGCGATTCCATCCCCTGCTGATGCAGACTTGCCCGGGCTTGAAAATGCTTGTTTCAAGGCCTTCGAGGCTGCGGAGTGCAAGTTTCTTTTAACTGGCAAAACTGCGGCTAGCAAAATGAAGCGCGATAATAATTTGATCCGTCGAGCTATGTGTGATTGCAGCGATGAAAGCGATTGGTGTGATGATGGCTTCCGATGCTCATATCACCAGGATAGCTGCGGCGTCTATAGTTCGTTCCCTCAATTTCGAACGCAACGCTACTGTAATAAAACTGACTCGAATATTAGGTGGTTGTGGCACTCTAAATGCATATCCATGTGACGGGTTATGTATTGTGCAATAATTTCTCGAAAACTGCGATCCCCCATACCCTCCGCGCGCACACTTTGGGTTGAATGAAAAAGGGGGAAAGAAATGGCTATATGGTTCACTATCATGTATTTACTTGATCGCTCATCCGCTCATTACTTCATTGATACTATATTATTTTCTTTTCGTTGAATTTTGTACAAGCCCCTTTTATCACCGCCAGCTTGCCAATTTGCCCCTATTTTCGTACTCATAACCCAGCCGTTAATACTACACACACGTTAAATATAAAAAGCCAAACCTGTGACACAATAAAAACGCTTCACTCCGTAGAAAAACCCCGTCAACTCGTACGGTTCGATTCATTATATTGATCTGGAAGAATTAGCTCCTCACTCCTCGCTGAGGTAACAAACGAACGACACTCCACTTGCTAAACATTATCATAATTCCGGCGCAGCAGGATCGTCCGTTTCGTTGTGTACTACGAACCCAAGACCCTTGCTAGCTGCACAGTGCTTCCAAGCTTCAGTCATCGCTCTTCCTAGTATGAAGCCCTTAGCGCGTAATACCGCTTTGCCGGCATAGCATTCGTACGTAAGGACGAACCACTCCAGTTGGCCATCGCTAAGTACGTATTGACACACGCGGGCGAATAATAAATCCGGCATGCGACAAGCAGCTCGACCGATTGCGACGAGGACCTTGTGAACAGATGCCAAAGCCTCGATCCTATTGGCGACACGTAAGTACGGCGCTTTCATCATATACGAATTCCGGACATTAAGTCTCTTCAACCGTATCCAGAACGGCACGTCCTGCCCTTGAAGCGACTTTTCTGTTGCGGGACCGACCAAAAATGGTGCGAAGAATTGGGCTGCGTCGATGCAATCGTCGAACTCGAAGGACTCGCATTGTTGACTGAAATTTCGCATATAAACGTAGAAATCTGACCAGGGTTGTTTCGGAGGTGAGGGTGAAGGTGTGAGCATCGGACTTGGTCGGCGGAGGCTTAAAACGCGGACGGTCTCGCCGTGTTGGTCGAGGCCCATAGCAAAATCTAATAACGTTCGCTAGGAGTCAGGTTGGGTATTGCTAACAAATATGCATAATAATATTCAGGTAACAAAACAAATCATGATAAAAAGCCCCCGCGCAAATGAAAAGAAGTAAGAATAATGCCACTGACTGTTCCTCTGTTTCACGTCTCGCTTGCGCGTTGAGTCGTGGTTGAGTTCGACGTCGAGATATTCCAATGTGCGGAGCCGGGATACGATGGCTAGGATTGAGGTAGGTTGTAGATGTCTCCCTGTGCATCGGAGACCGCTGAAAACATCGATATGTGGTAATGAAAGTGTCTCGAGGTCAAGTTTCAAGTACGATGTTAATGCTCGTCCTGTTACCATAGGTCCTCCATTTTTACCGGTGAGTGTTGATGAATCACTCGGTGAGTCGACAAGCAGATGGAGATCTAAGCCGAGGGGTGAAGTATCACTCTTCCGCCAATTGGTCATAACCCGAAAGAAGGATCCGAGAGCTGCGGTCAAGACTTCGGTGCCTCGCCGCCGTTCGGCTGATGATTCTTGTTCACCACCTAGATGCGGCTCATATCGATCGAGAGAAACATGGAAATGAATGGTCTGCACAATGGCTCTCCGGCGGGGTGAGGTGACGATGTGGCTGAAAGATTTGAGACGCTTCGGGGTAACTCGTAATTCCCGAAAGGTGAAACCTTCAAAAGCCTCTTGCCACTCCCGCGAGACTGTTGCATAATGTGCGATGGTTGGTGCCGAGTTGCCGCGCCAGTAACCAGAATCCCCGGTCTGTCGTCCTACGAGGGAGTAAATTGTCTGGCGTATCTCGTATGGTAAAGAGTTCAACGACGGCGTCACGGCCATCTTCGACGGTCAGCGGGATAAACGGCCATAACCAAACCAGTAGGTAAGTGAAAGGGTGTGAAGCCCGGACACGGGGATAAAAAGGGGGTTAGTTTAAATAGGCGAGGGGCAAATGCCCGCAAAATGGCACTTTGAAGAATCCCATGTTGAGAGAGATGGGATTCTTGGTTTTGCCACCCACCTACATATACCACACCATTTGAGAAACCAACGCTACAATATGCGCCCCTCATGGAGAATTTCGTGCGTATAGTACCCGCCCCTAATTCCCGGGTCCTTTTGACACATTCTTACTCGCCACGAATCCTACTAGTTAGTCCGCTATTCTAGAACGGTCGGTAGCAACCGAAAACACTAAAAAATGCCGGAGGCTAATAGCAGAATACTATAGCGAGCGACTATGCTAGAAATACATGGGTTAGATACTATAATAACCCACGCTCTAGTCATGCATAGTCTATCCAACCTATACCTACTAGATAACCTATACAAATGAATAAGAGCGATTCCCCTCTTTCTATTGTCTTATTAGGTAATAGATTTTCTCGTATTGCTCGCAAAAATCAAGAGTATAACCAAATAGAAGCTTGAATGAATAGAATATTTAATTCAAGCTTAGCTGTAATTAATTGTTGGTGAGAAGGAAAAGGGGGCACTTAGGTGTGCTCCCGAGATATCTTAGGTACATATCCGGGGCAGTACTTAAATAATCAATTGCCCAGGCAAATTGGTAGGGGTAGAGACAGCTTTTAGACCTAACTATATCAGCATCACATATAGAGTATTTCTGGAAAGAATTTGTCAACGAGTTTCACATGCTATACAGAAACAAAAATATTGTTCAGGAGTTGTCTTCTAAACAAATTAGTAAGTCAAAGCAGAGAGGCCGCCAAGTAGAACTATTTGATATCCGGGGTGGCAAATCGCGATAGTTCAACCCACTTCGTCTTTCACTACACAATCCCGCGGATGCGGAAAGGAGCGGCCCCGTTTGAAAGTGAAACAAGACATACATCTCAATGCGGTTTTCTTTACCTCGGATATGTACAGCTTCCCACTACGGATCAACGGGATGTATCAACTCGCAGCGGCAGGCTGCTTGGTGGCGCCGTGAATCGCTCCTCTAAAAGGCCCTCAGCTGCTGGAAGGGTAGGGAAAAAGAAATCTCTCGGACTTGTAATTGAATTTTGAATTCAACATGGTGGTTGCGGGAATTAATGTAAATATTCTCAAGTATTCTTGAAGTACCTAACAACGCCGAATTATGTATTTTCCAACATCCTCTAGGTAGGTAGTTCTCCAAACTCTCCTCTTTTGCTGACATCGTGGAATGCGACGAGTCAGGTGGGGTCGAGGCGGGTTTTATAACTGTGTGGGAGGTATTCAATGTGAGACCGAGTAATATTGTGGCCTTGGATCGAAAGCAAGTCATGGTGTACGTGGCTGCTTTAAGTCCCTTTTGTATCTCGACATTGCTGTTAGTTGATTCCTAGATGACCGGGCGTCTAAGAGTTTTCACGAAGCAGCCGGTTCCCGAGACAGCTAGGATATCACGGAAGCTGCCCGTGTCATTAGACGCACTGTCCCGTATCTCTAGAAAAGTAATACAGTACCTAGACATTCAGGGCTGTCAATAGGACATGATATAAATCTCAGGTCACCTAAAGCTTCCACGAATAATTCATAAAGCCCATATAATTAAGTCAGCTCTAAGAATCACGAGACAATTCTCTCAGTTGGATATATGAAGTCCTCCCTCCCTTCTCTCTGGTTCGGATCCGATTTGCAGATGAAAAAGCGGGGGAGCTGGGGCAGTTCTTACAGAAGAACATAGAGGTTGCATAGCGCTGCATAATCTATGCGCAGGTACTCGAAAGGGGCTCGAGGGTTGCTTGGAGGCGGGGAGTACCGAGCTTCAGCAGCAGATAAACACGTTTTTCTTCGTATCTTACCTCTCGTTTCTTTCCGCTTTAGCAAACTCCAAGCGTGAAAGCGTACATACCAAGATCAAAGGCGACCAACGAGAAGGATAGGAACATACCGATCGTCCATCAGATAATCTACATCCATCATCACCCCAGACCGGTGAGGCTAGGATAACTGGCTATGAATACGACATCGGTTTGGGGGTTTGTAGGATTCAAACGGGAAATGGGGGGGCGTTCACGATAAGCCACAAAGGCCCTTCTCCGCAACTCCGCAACTTCGAAAGGCAGCCAAGCTGCGATGGGAAATGAGAAGAATGCCGAAAAAAGATAAGCAGAAATCCCACGAAATCGGCGTTCTGCGAATAACCATGCAACGCTTGTCCAACTATAGGAGTAGTCGGGGTGAGGTATAAATCATGGATGGTCATCATGAGCAGACCGTGTTTCCAACCTCGAATGATTCAGGATTACCGGTCTAGGTCAGCCGTACCAGTCGGAATCGAGGATGGGAATCACGAATTTCGGTCCCCGAGGCATGGCATTTTTATTACTACTCCTCTTGTTCGGCGTGTGCTCGGTCCTCGCTACACCCACGAAACGCGCATCCTGGAAATACCTGCAGACAACGCAACATGGTGGTGTTGCGTTCGGCCTAGGCAATCAAACGTACTTTGCGAATGTTCGGCATCCTAAAGCCATCGTCGATGGTGATTACTCGGCTATAGCGGATCAGTCGAGCGCATTGCTGCCGTTCACCGTTATATTCACTGGTGATGAGATCGTGACGGGCGAGTATCTGCAGAATGTTGTCGCAAGCTACTTGGCGGGCGATGATGTATTCTCCGAGGATTTTCTTGAGGGTGTCTACATCGCGAGCAACGAAACAAGCAACGGCACAAGCAGTAGTCCGACTCTCGATGCGAGCGCATTGGAATATCTGAACAGCCTTGCACCAAAACATTTGCTTTTGGATGCCGTTTTCGAACAGAGCCATCGTAGGTTTACGCCCGACTGCCCTAGCGGTTAGAACACCATATTAATAGCTCTTTAGCTTCCTCGGAGATAACAGCCACCTACGTAACCACCCCAAGTAGTAATCTCACCGCCGGGCCCTATGTCGCATCTATCTCAGCGTCTTCAATAACATTCAACACAGTATACCTTCTCTACCGAGACTCCCATCGCGATTTTCTCTACGGCACATACGACTCCAACGACGGCAATGGTACATTTAACCCGGTCGAAATATCCTACTCCCGGTTCTGGGATCCGATGATCCCAGTACCATCTCGGATCTACAGTTGGAGTGATCCGCGACCGTTAGCCGGGTCCCGTGTCGCTATTAAGGATCTATTCGACATGAAGGGCTTAATCACTTCAGGCGGTAGCCAAGCATGGGCCGAAATAGTCGAGCCCGTGAATGAGACTGCGCCGTCTGTCCAACGCATTGTTGATCTCGGTGGTGTTCTAGTGGGTAAGTACAAACTGGCGCAATTCGCTTCGGGTGCAGATCCTTGGGAGTGGCAAGATGAGCATTATCCTTTCAACCCGCGTGGCGATGGGTGGCTCACATGCTCGGCATCGTCGTCGGGTGGTGGGTGTTCTGTCGCTGCGTATGACTGGCTTGATTTTGCTATTGGTTCTGATACGGGATCTTCGATGAGGCGACCGGCGGCAGTTTCGGGGACGTACGGGAATAGACCTAGTCAAGGACTCATGAGTCTAACCGGGGTTATGCCTCTCGGCGCTGCGACGGATACGGCCGGTGTATTCTCCCGGAATGTGCACGACTGGGTGCATTTCGCTAAGAACTGGTATATCCCCGAGTTATGTCAGGACTCTTCCGTCACAGGTTTAAGCCCCCTTAAGGCACCCGACTCCTACGGGTTTCCGAAGCGCGTGCTTTACCTCACAGATTACTTACCTCTCCGAAACCCAGCCGCAGAAGAGGTTCTCCAGGCATTCATCCAAAACATGACATCAGTCTTCGGCATGACAGTCGAGAACTTCAACCTAACAGCAGCCGTCTACAACACTACCGACGACGTCCCCAAATACGGCGCCCTGGAAAACATAACAGGAGTCCTAGACACCATGACGCAATGGCAAGTCGTAGGGCAACCCCTAATCACAACATGGGCCGAGCGCTACGAAGGCCGTTTCCCACCCATCGACGCAGCGCGGCGGGATATATGGACGAACTACAGCGAATCCTACTTCACCGACGAGTTATACAACCAATCCATCGCGTTCAAGCGAGCGGCCGTAGACTGGTTCGAATCTGAAATCTTATATTCGACGGAAGAGTCTTGCAGCGAGAGTATTATGCTCTGGGACATCGGAACAGGTGGTCTACCAAGTTACCGCGAGGAATCGCTAAACGGCTGGCCAGGCACGACTTCGTTCCTTGCGACTACGCCGCCGACGGCGGGTATTAACGGCGCATACCTGTGTCCGTTTTACGGATGCGTTGATATGACGATCCCGATTGGGCAGGTGCCGTATTCGAGTAATGTCACGTTCGTCGAGGAGATGGTGCCGGTGACTATAAGCGTTATCGCGAAACGAGGTTGTGATTTTATGCTGTGGAATATGTGGGAGAAGCTTGCAGATGAGGGCGTGCTTAAGACTATTAAGACGGGGAGGACCGCATTTTAAGTGAGCATTAAGACGGTGGAAGTGGATGATAGTGGTGACCTACCTAATATAGGTAGGTCCGTCATCTAACCTCGGCGGTGTGGCCGTTTTATGTGCCTATCCAGATCCGGCCGTAACTAGACTCGCAGCGCAGACCGAGATGATTTATATAGGCGTTGATCGTCTCCATACCAAACCGCGATAAGTTACATTCGAAATTATTCCCAAGACCGAACTTACTACGCAAAAGGCAGGTCACTTACGACGTCAACGTATCGACTTCGAAATGCCACCGAATAACTCCGAATTATTCGAATAATGCATTTTGGCTCCGTGACAAACTTATTTTCCATTTTATCATTTTGTTTAACCATCAGCTTTTCGGTGTAAGCGTCGTACAATTCGCCGGGTAAATTCATAGTATTCGTCACCTCTTATGACCATTCACGTCATGAGCGTCGTTAGCATTACCAACCGTAAGATATATAAGTCCGATAAATTTCAATAGCCCATCATCATCATAAGCAACGGCGGGTCTTGGTTGCTATATATATAGAGTATGCATAGAAAATGCAACGATACATGGTGGTATCCAATCCATCGGTTCCTGAATGGATCCATCAATTAATTGCACCTATATAAAGTGGTACACATGGCAAAGGTATGGTATGAATGAAGTATTAAACGCAACACCATCGACCACTTTTGCAATTCGGTATACTGAATTGACATTGACCTCGACGCCTTGACTGTTGTACCACTATATACTTTCAACTATCACCCACGCATTTGTTTACAAAGTCCGACCTCAAAGTCCATGATAGTAAACAATATCCCCTCAAATTCAACCATCACCTATAAATACGTCCTCTACCAATCCAATCCATCACCCACCACCGATTCGCCTATCTCAATCCTCAATCATCCCAACGAAACAATTCTACCACCCCTCATTCGTCGGTCCTCGTTTTCACGTCGCATGGAACGAGTTTCCCAAGCTGCGGCGTCGCCTCGAAGGATGCATGCGGGCATCATGATTCGGGTAAGTGTACCTCTTTTTTTTCAGCTCAGCAGTGGATGCGATGCGACCACGTGTATTACATACGCCCACATACACCATCACCCATACCAAATCTATCCATACCCGTCCCCGAAATGATTTATATTTAGAGTTTCTGGCATGCAAGTCAATAATTAAAAAAGGGGATCGGTAAAGAATACAAATAACGAATAAGAATCTATGAAATATCTAACTGTGCCTTGCTTTTTTTAATTCCTTTTTTTTCTTTGATTTTCTCCTTTCATCCGTTGGGTTAGTCTTCCAGATCCAGAACCAGATTCCTTTTTTAGTCTCCCAAAATCCCACATATGCGCATTCCACTGTCTTCTCTCAGGATGACGCTCTCATTCTTTTCTTTCCAACTTCGCCCTCTAATCCTCCAATCTTTGGAAACCAAAACCAATAGATATCCAAGTGGATAAGATGAAATCCGAGAGGAAAAAAAGAAAAAGCAGCAAGCACGCAAACTGGAAAAATATCAACGAAGTCATACCAAAACTATTATTCAACACATCTCAAGCGAAACTACACGCATAACTATCGTACAAACGCATTTTTTCATGGCTAATAACTCAGCCAAGGCATGGGACAACCTTTTGTCACAACACAGGAAAACTTATTCCATGTGCGACATCGACGCAAGCAAAAATTCCGCATAAGTTCTTGCGCCTCCCAAAAAACACAACCAATTAACAAAAAAACAAGGACCCGATCCTATTATACAAGGTTGATAGCGGATACATACCGCTTCAACTGGTGGCTAGCATTTGCCACATATACTCCTCCAGTCTCCAGTCTCCAGTACCCCTCCACCAAGTAGCTTCTTTTTCTTTTCCTTTCTTCTTTTCTTCTCTACTTCTTGTTGGGCTTGAAACACGTCCCTCCGGTCGAGTGAGTTGGAGGCGGACGGTATGATTACCGTGATCGGCATTATGTCTTGTGTCGTCAAAAGAGAATCGGGACGTCGTTAATGTCAGTTTTCTTCCGGATGGCCAAACCAACGATTAGGAAAATTTTAATATATACGGCATAGTCTGCCGGTCCTCGTCCCCCCTCCCTTGGACTATTTTTCTTCTCCGCCTCCCGCCTAGGTCCGGCTCGCTGCTCCTATGGTATCGCGCGCTGAGTCCGTCTCTAGTGGATTGGTGGCTTCTGAACAGATTATGGAGATATGCCGGAGTTTGGTGTCGTCGCGTTTTTCGTCACTATCTTTTCGGGGATCGTTTTCGTCGGAGCAGTTTCGCGTTCTCCGTCCCCCCTCTTTATTACCGCTGAAGGAATTATTGAAATACAGATGACTGAGAAATTGTTGGCGTGGCCGTTCGTCATACATACTGACTGACTGAAGGAAAAGGGTCAGATGAATAGCCCATACGACCGAGAGATGACAATAAGGGAACAGTGTCATGACATGACGTGGCATCTTAAATTCGGCCGTGGCGCGTGATAAAGGTGTACCGCAATGCGTCTTAATGAGTCCGAGGTTGGCTGTCAAGGTCTCCCGGATTCATATCATTCGAAGTTGCGTCCGTGGTCGAGAATGTCAGGATCATAATGGCTACCCGAAGCACGCCGGAAATGATATATGATGTACTCCAACCCCAAGAACCCAAGAGGTTGCTGCGCGTACAAATCGAAGCCAAAAACCAATTAACTTAATGAACAGCAAGTGAGGGAGACAGCACTGCGCCTGTGCACCACAAAAAAGAAACGGCCCATAATCTGGTCCTGTGAGCCCTCGTGGTATATCCTATTCGACAAGGAAAAAAAAAAAAAAAGGAAAGATGGGTAATAGTACAAGAGCAAGTCGGAGGCTCATAACAGAATTATTAAGGATGCTACCGATCCATTATAAAGGGAATGCGTGCTGTACGGGTATGATAATCAAATTATGCAACAATGGAAGAGAAGGAACATTCGTATGTAGCGGGTAGGATCCCGTTACATGTTGTCGATTCTTGCGCTGGGCATTTGTATCGACCCGTCTTCGAAGTCAGGTTTAATGGCCCATGGATCATAAACTCCAGACCCGAAAGACGGCAGAGGTCCAATAGTGCTAACCTCAACTGGGGCTTGATATGGCACTGCGTTGTACCATTGCTGATCTTCTGGACCCGGTTGTGGTTGGTAATGTTCCTGGTTATGAGGTATTTGCTGTTGTGGAACCGGGGGGTGGACGGACTGAGGCGGATGGATCTGTTGCGGCATCTGATGGGTGTACTGCATCATAGGTTGCTCAACAATAGGCGAGGCGCCATTAAGCGCATACGTAGGCGCCTGCGGAGGCTGATGAGTGTAAAATCCATCTTGCGCAGATGGACTTCGACCTTGAGCGGCGGCCGAGAAGGTAGTCGGACTGCTCTGGAGTGAACCTGTCATACCAGCGTTATATGGAATCTCTAACGGGAGTCGCTCGGGTTGTTGTCTAGGCATCTGATACGGTTGCATCGGGTTGGTATTCATGGTCGCGACTCCAGGGTTGTTCTGCTCCGTTACATAGTAAGGATGTTGAGGCATGCTCGCCGTTCGATGTAGCATATGGACTCCAGGATTCTGCGGTTGTTGTACTGCGTCACCGTGATATTCGTTGGTACCTCCAGCGGACACGCTATGTCGATGGTTGTTATTATACGGCTGTTGGACGTTATAATCGGTCATCTGTTGGCCAAAGTCGGCGAAGGATGAGGCTCGGTGGATGGTATGGCCTTGCAGACCTGGGTGGCCACCAGGTACGAGGTGATTCGTTGTTGGCCATGACATGCCATTCTGGTGTTTCGGGGTAGACGGAGACTCGCCGCCGTCGGACTCGGAAGTGAGGTCGTCGACTTCCGACATATGTGCGCCTCTTTGGTGGGATCGCCTTTGGTGCTTCACCATCGTCGTTTTCCGGCAGAAACTGTTTTGCGACGTCAGCTTTCGTTCTCAGAGGTGCTCTTTTCTCATGGTACCTCTTGAGGCATCCCTCATGGGCGCATTTATACGGTCGCTTGCCGGTATGAATACGTCGATGCCGAGCTAAACTTGAGGACTGTATAAGTCAGCATACTTATCGCCTATCGAAGGTGTCGATGCGTCCTACATCTGAAAAGCGTTTGCCACATCCGAGATGTTGACACTGGTGGGGTTTCTCGCCGGTGTGGGTGCGAATATGGACCGTCAACGCGCTTCGTTGTATGAAGCTCTTGCCACATCCGGGTGTACTGCATGCGTACGGTCGTTCGTTCGTATGTATCCGATAATGTCTTTGGAGGTCAGACTTGCGGTTGAAGCTCTACATTTTTCTCAGTCAGTCGACAGGCGAGCACGGCGACGACGCACGGTCCGGTAAGGGTTGAGCGCCAGGTAGAGGCGTCGGCACGTACCTTGTTGCACCCATCCCAAGTGCACTGGAAGGGTCGAGCCGTCGGCTCATTGTCAACAAGTTCCATCAACTCCATCTCTTTGGTGACCCCGAGATCTAGGACCCGGCACCAAGAGGTATGAGTGTGCGAAAGAGACTACTTATATGTATTACAGTGCGAGCCAACATGGACAAGGGCGATGAGCAGGGTGGACCAGGACCCGATGTCTCTTAAGGCAAAGGGGCAGGGGTAGCGTGGGTCGTTCAAAGGCAGCCCCAAGTGTGGATGATACCCTTGTTCGGAACGGTATGTAAGCGGAATCTGTTCAATGCGACGCCGAGATTGAAATCTATGCGTGGAGACAGCTTGTCTCCAGAATTCGGCCCAGGCCGATATTGAGATTATGAGATATCCAATGCGGATGCTGAATTAGGCATACGAGTCGGATTCTCAATAATGAGCGTCCAGCGCAAAATAATGATGTGAGTAACAACCTGATACCACTGGCTCAACTTTATATGAAAGAAGGATGAGAATACGAGTTGAAGGGGTAACCTTTTTGACGGATGCAAAATTTGAGTAACGAGCGGATGCTTGAGGTATAAAATGGTTAGCTGTACTCGATACGAAAAGTTTGAACATGAATCGGTCGGTCGTGACAGATTTATCAACCAGGGATAGTCGAAGGAGATGATCACGAGAAAGGAAAATTATTAATTTTGGTGAGTGGGCTATAATGAACTTACGAAAGGACTAATAACAACTTTGTCTCGAGGTCGTCGAAGTCAATGATAGTAGCGCGAGTTGCTTCAGCGGGTAGAGTGGGCAATCTGGTGACTAAAACAGACCTATCATTTACAAGCGCAGCGAAATCGACGTCGTAATGGCCACGAATTAGTCAACCGGCTCAAACTTGTTAGGTAGGCTGAAGTTGTATAACTCGTTATCGGCGCACAAGCGTTCCTCTAAGTTTAGTTTCAGGCCCTCCAAGGTGGTCAGTGAGAAGCCAGAGTACTCGAGCGAAAGTTCAGATGTTGAGACCAGTATTGTCCTTAGATCTGGTGTATTGTTGAGGCGAAGTAAATGGGCGTGGGCACAGGCAGTCCAGTTGACCAGGTCGTCTCACTTTTTCTCTCCCCTTAGATGCTTTGCTGCCGGCGCACAGAACTTCTCCCGGGTACTGGCCCACCTTGTTGTATGAGCCAGCGAAAACAAGCCTACCTACTTCGAATATGGATTAGGATCCTTTTCGAAGGGTCGACGTTATTATAGCTATAGTAGGCGAAGTCCAGTTACCAAATGCCTTGGCGAAGTCGAAGAATAGGAAGGCTTATAAACCCAGCAATGAAATCCACGGCGAAAAGGCAAAAAATGAGACGGACCAACGGCAGATGTGAGAGGAAAGGACCAATACGATGTGGGTATTCAAATCGGAACCTTCAGAGTGGCGACGAGGTAGGTTATATGTGAGAGCCAAGTGGTAAACACCGTTCGAGCGACGGTCGTCCTGGGAGGAGTACCTAAGCAAGGCAGGTCCCGTCCTAGCTAAGAGTGGTTTGAATTAAGACTGCTATATTATCGAGGTTGATTATTACTCTCCCTGAAGCGGCCCAGGACGGCCGTACGAAGATGGGATGCCTTCCTTTCCTGGTTGTGGAGTCTTAGGTGATGATCGCAAAAGGGAAAGGAGAGGGCTCGAGCACATCCGAATCGTAGCAACGGGCATGAGCTACAGAAATTTGACGAGATCGCAAGGGGAAGACCAGACCGGCGATCCCCTTCAAAACAAAGAGGAGCCCCCCCAGATGCGCAAAGGAACTAAAATGGCTAGTGTCGATATAAAAATATATAATGGCGCGTAGTTAAGATGTGAGGGTCGTGGTGGTGGCCCCGTGAGTGGTTTCGTTCCTTACTTGCGAATTTGCGTACTTGGATAATAGGCCCGTGTTGATCAAAGTCCGTGGGTATTCCCGTATGTACGTGAGTTGCGTACATGCGAGATTTGCTAATATGGAAACCTGACAACTAGTTCAAGCAAGCCGAATTGGCAGGTCTCTTTAGATTGGCGACCACAAATCCAGCCTCGTTCTATACTAGAAGTTGACTGGGTATACTGGGTATGTCGGGTATATGGGGCGTGGTGTTTTTGTTGGTTATTGTCGTTAGCGGACGTCTCGGTTAGTGTACCGAATGAACCGCAGCAAAGTTGCGACGTCCGAGATAAGATGAAGAATTCTCACTTTCTCACACAGATCACGGGCTTCTATGAGATTTGAAATGTGATGGAATTGTCAGGTGACGGAGCCCGCGGATTGGAGAGACAATAGAGAAAAAAAAAAGGGTATCATATAGCGGGATTGGGTGGTGGGAGAAAAAGATGGTAGCAGTTACGGTAGCAATTATAGTGGTAATAGTGGTGGTAATAGATGGTAGTGCTGGTCTTGATAATGGTAGCAATGGTTGCGTGGTATTGGTGGTATTGGTAAAATAAGTGATAGTGATTGAAGAACAGACGAACATATGAACTGAACAAGACGGCGGCGGATTACGGAACAACCCTTGATGACGACGGCGAGAGAGAGTTTTAGGAGTTAGTTAGGCATCGTCGCTGTTTCCATTTCCATTTTCTTTTCTTTTTTACTTTTCTTCGTCTCTTCCTTCCTCGTTTCTCTCACGATTATTATTTTTTTTCATGTTCAAGAAGGTAAGTACCCCCTCAAGCATCTATTTTACCCCCTGTACTTATCCCCACGAAATAAAAAAAATAACTCTACCCAGTTCGATATAAATGAGTCTTGTCATTTACAGTTCTAGGGGTAGTTCTGTTTTTCGGGTGCTGATGGAGGTACCGAACCGACCGTTGACTACCCCTAGGTCGACTTACAAGATATAACGAGAAACCAGCAGCGGTAGCAGTAGTGGTTAGCGGTAGTGGCAGGCTTGGAAGTATACATCGGGGTTGGTTAGGTACCTAGGTAGGTACTATGCTAGGTACCATTAAATGCCATGGTAAAGTATTGGAGGTACGGTAGGTACTAGAACTGTCGCAGGCATCGTGGGCATGTCAAAAAGAGGAAAGGGACAAGGGTGGTAGGGGTTATGTATGTCAGGGTTCATGGATCATATATACTTGTACCTGCCTAGGTATACTAGTGGATAAGAGGGAAAGAGGGAAAGAACGCGGCCGGCGGTCGGGTTCTAGGATGTAAGAATGCATGCTGTCAGCAACCATGGGTAGTAAATCTCCACTTCACTTTCCTGGGTGGCATGTACTTAAAAGTGTACTTCGCACTTAAAAAGGTTAAAAAGTATGTAAGTACCCATTTACACATACATCTAATGGAAATTGGTATTAAGTTATGAAAGAAGATACAGGGCTATTGTAATTAGACTTGCTGTAAGCGGGCTTCATCGATACCTAGATACCTAAGTAGGGGGATCAGTATCCCATTCTATTTTCCATTATTACTAACTTACCCTGTCGAATTTTCTTTTCTTTTCTGTTTTGAAATTCGTAATATTTCTTTTTGGTTTGCCCTAGTTTTTTTACTTTCCCAAAAACCGTTATTCCTCATTATTAGTGCCTATAAAATAGTCAGTTAAATCAAAGACTTCGGTTAAATGTTACTTCGCCAAAGTATGACATAATATTTGTTACTTAGGATGTATATTTATCACATATGCTTTGCTGATAGAGTTTAACCTAACTCGATTGACTCTATTCTATATAGTGGAGAATCACTTATGCTCAGATAAGGTCATTTTTTATCTTTTTTATTTTATTTTTATTTCCAAGCCTTCAAACCTTCAAACCTTTTCAACTGAAACATAAATTAATTTTATACTAAATTCAACCACATCGCATCGTGTCATTGTTGGTCATAATCATGATATTCTCGCAGGTCACATACTGCTCGCAGCGTGCGGGTGATTCTACATCAACATGCTGTATTCGTATTGGCCAGGTGTAGCTGGCTGGTTGCAATTACATTTCCATTTATCTCCAATTGGCCCTTTCAACTCCGTATCATACCTCACATGTTGACAGAGCATTAAGTATAGAAATAAGATGCAAGATTAGCAAGCATATCCCACCGTGCACATTGAGGGGGGTAAGGGAGAAGAGGGGTAGCATCCTAGCTGTGAGCCAGCACGACATAGCATGCTGCTATGGTTCGGTATGATCTGAATGGCGCGGCGTGGCGTGGACATGGAGAACAATAGAGTGTGATAGGGAAACTAAAGTATACATTGCCCTCCTATTCATTACCTACAGCTCTACGATGACCATTCTAGACTCAGATACGCACGATATAAACTCATATATCTGTATGTCTTCCTTTTTGATTATAAAGCCACCATTGCAATTCTTTATATTATTATTTTATATATCTAGGTCTTAGTTGATTTGAGATGTTAAAGTATAGTTGAGTGAGAATGTCTTGAATCGCAATTGTGATCTCAATTCAGTACATTATCAGTTACCATTTATTGTAAGATAGGTCGACGACGATCAGTGAACCAGCCTCAAGAATTTTTTTTTATTATTATTATATGTCGATATCAGGGGTTGTTCTTGGCGTTATTGGTAGTACCCAGGTATTCCGCTATTAACGACTTGTCGTTCCCTACGTACCTACTAAGGTCCAATACCTAGCAGGTATGTTAGGTACCTAAAGAATTACCCATGGCACGTAAGCAAGCTTGATACAGGCCTTGATACTTTTGGCCGGCTCGTGCCGTAAGTCCGCACCTTTCGATATACCAGGCATTATCAATAATAAAGGATGAAAGGATGATTACGATGACGGGGAGGAGAGGTAGATCTAAATGGCGAAATCCCAGAGGTTTGGTAGCGCTCTTTGGGAGTGGTCACTGGTAATCTTCTATTTCTTACTGCTTGGGTACACATAAAATTCAGCCTCTTTTTTTACCAAGGGACATAAGGGACACGTGGATAAATGAAATTGACGTAATTTGATTCTATTGCAGACGAACTATTTTAATCAAGTATAATAGTATAGAGAATATCATATGTTATAGAATATAATATATCATACCTGAAACATACAATTGTATTATTTCTTCTCATTAACACGAGGGTGGGATTCAAGAATGAGGCCGATGGTAACAGTGACGATGATACCTAGAAGCATGTACGAAGCAGCTCCAATTGATAAACAATTGCTTTCCCCCCCTGCACACTTGTGCCTCCCAAGTCTAAGAAAACTAACCCATAGTCGGATAGGTATCCAGTGTAGCGTAGCATTGAA